TCTTCACCCCTACCCACCATTCAAATGGGCGTACTCACTTGTGCCCTTGTTTTTGTTGATGGATGGAAAATCAATTCGGAAATAGAAAGACTTGTCCCATCATCTAATAGGGGACAACGAAGCTGCCCCTGTGATTGTGAACAGTGATGTCAATAATTCTATGGATTATCAAAAAACCATTAGGACCCACAAAATGAGGTAACTTCTTCTGATGACCCAGTTATTCCAGACATTCAAGCCATTGAACCTGTTGCTGACCCTTTAATTGAAGAACATTCAATTGTTGATGAAGACATGTCATCGAAGGAATAATCGAATGAAAGTGATAATGAATCTTTTTACCAAACTTCTCATCATCCTCTAATTCATCTTCACCTCCATATTCACCCTAGTCATCTTTGAGGGAATCTAAACCCGAAGACGATCACAATGATAACGGTAATACCCGATTGCTCGAGAGGATTTTAGAAACAATAGAAAGGAGCCTTGTTGTAGTGAATGATGAGTAACCTGTTTTCGTTGTGCAACCAATAAAAACTCAGGAAGAAGCCAATAATATTGTTATCCAGATGAGAGCTGCGATCGGTCCAAATGAAAGGCGAGGAATTTTATTTGGTTCTGAATTGGGTGAATATCTCAAGAGACATCGAGCTTTATCAGACTGTTCAAGAATGCAATGCCTAGCTCAAATGAAAACGATTACCGGGTATGGTCATGCGTGGATACAATTCCTTATCAATTTGCATTATCTAACAACATTATATCCTTAAATACTCAGAAATCAGCTCAAAAAGTAGATTAGTATATAACCAATTAACCATACGTTAGATTATATTTGGTTCAAATAACCTTCAAGTTCGAATATAATATTCGAGACCATTTTAAGGTTAAATGCAAGATTTTGGAACTCTGGGTTTTTGAATGAGAAACATTTATGAGTCGCCATAGAGTCGTTTTGGTAGGTGGATCAATGGTCGATCAAAGTCCTTATAGCAATAGTTAATTTATTTAACTAAAAACTTAATTTAGTTTATGATTTCGCTTTGCTTCTATACATAATTTTGAGGGAGCTATAGTGAGAATCTCACCATCACATCGATGACATTGTGTCGATCAATTAATTATTATTTTTTACAGAATAATCAATTAATTAATTTTTACTCTCTTTACAAAATTGTTGTTACATATTCGTCCTGTAAATTAATAACATTCCCTGTTATTGTACATAATTATAAGGGGAAAAATGAAATTTATAAAATTACTTATTTCTGAACAGAGGTTAACATAAGTGAATTTTGTTTTTGCTAAAAGGCCAAGAAATTGATTAAATTGCTTGCTATTTCGATACAATGTTTTTTTGATTCTTGAATGTTACCATGTTCGTAGTGTTGAATGTAGGCAGCAAGATGATAACCAATAATTTGGATTAAATGTTCATAGATTTTCGATAGGATTACCATTTGTTTGCTCGTTATTTCTGGTAATTGTTTAATTTCTAATTCATTAAATTTGATTTCAGTTCATGGATCGAGATTTTACATTTTTTTTCTTCTTGTTCAGATAGAAAACAAGCATAATTAACATCATCTTTTTTGATATAGTTGAACAATTACTGGGGAAAGTTCAATTTGAAATTACAAAACTCATTTTTTCTTATTTTTTAAATATAGTTGTATGAATTTAAACAATTTTCTTACAATCTTGATTTTCTTGAATAGAATTTCTGAAAATCTGCCAATTTTTGATTTATCGTTTTCGATCAAACTGTTTTCAGAATCTGGTATTTGCTTATTAATTAGATTGATTAAAGTTGAGGTCATTTAACGAAGGTAGCGTTACAAGGTCATTTTAAGGTCGTCGTGTGAAAGAACACAAAAAGTTGCACTTGAGTTTTGGGTTTGATGATATTCCGTCAAAAGGCAGCTGCGATACAGACTTTTCTTATAAACTTGGCTCTTGAAGTGTTTTCAGATTGAAACATGCCTATCTTCTAATCAGTTCATCACAGACACTTCAAAATAAAATCTGAAGTGTGATTTGATTTGCTCTTTCACACAATGACCTTAAAATGACCTTTAAACGCTACCTTCGTTAAATGACCTCAATGACCTTTAAAATCGTAGGGTCGAGCGCTTCAACTTTGTTCAGTCCTCTGGTCAAGTCTGACATTCGTTCTTGAGATATTCAGTGTAATAGCCGTAGTGGATAAAAAACGCCCCGTAGAATATGAATATAATAGTAGTATGTAAGTGTACCCCTTAAATGCAGGTATGACTTAAATGCATTATTTATTCAACTTGTGTAGTTTATAAATGCTTATTTTTTCATTTCCTTTTCCTTTTGATTTAATTGTGATGATCCAGGTGGAGAGGGTAAAAAAGGTAGATTATCTGATTAACAAATTTATTATTTTTAATTAAATGAGAAGAAAGCCACAGGGTTAGCCACGTTCAGTAAACATGAAAAACAAATGGGAAATTGGTAGCTTCAATATATGTTCATGATGGATGATAAAAAGACGATAAGTTTATTCAGCTTGAATGAAAAAAACATATCAAAAGAAAGAGAAAAGTACTTCAAATTATCAGTAAAACATTTAACTCCAATAATAACTATTGAATAAGTTTAGTCTTGTGACAATTTCTTCGAACGATTGAATCATCTTGTTGAAGTTCCTTGGGTTATCTGCTTCGTTCTTTGTCTTTGGATAGACTTGTTGAAGTTCCTTGGGTTATCTGCTTCGTAATAAAATTTATAACAATCATTTATGGCTCAACGAGGACCAGGCCAAGCACGATATGTCGAGGGCATGCATGCAATTGAGCTAAAGGCATGGGCAACAGACCCCGAAACAGGAATAAGAGAATATTTGTGGAGTTGGGGTTTCGGTGGTGGAAGCGAGGAAGATGCGTATCTTGAAGACGATCTCATTGAAGATTGGTTGGCATAAAAGTATGTTATCAATGTTGGAACTGGACTTATTGTTTTCTCTCTATTTTCAGTTAGTCTCTTCACCCAAAATGATTTTCCACATCCACTGGGTCCTGCCACCATCATTGTGAATGGGTGTCTCAAGTATATTGAATACATGTTGTTCATTTCAAATCTCTTATCACTCAGATAATCTTATATGATTCATTTAAAATTACCATAAATTTTGAGACAAAGTTACATTAAACAGGACAGGAAATGTGCATTTTTGAAAAGTGCATTTTAAGTCATACTTGCATTTAAGGGGTACCTGCTTTTAAGGGGTACCTGCATTTAAGGGGTACACTTACATACTACTTATAATTGAAATCAAAATAACTATGATTAGTTTTTCTGAATGTAGATAACTAAAATGTAAAATTACTATTAAAACTAGTAATTAACTATTTACAGAGATAAAATGTTTCACCAGCATAATAAAGGATCTAAATGATAAAGTTATCCTAATAGTTTCTGATTGTAATAAAGACACTTTTTTTGTTCAACAGTTACAAATGTTGAGTAATTTAAATTATCACAATGATGAAGGAAATCAAATTGATTAAGGTTTTTTATCTTTAACTGTTGTTGACTAATTAACTCAGAATTAGCTTATTTAACTGCTTAATTAAAGGTTAATGGAATGAAGATTCCATGTCGTGGTAAAGAAAAAAGAAATCTTTTTGTTTTTTGTTCTCTTTTATGTAATATTAACTATTGTAACAATTAATCTTCACTGATTATCATGATTATAGAATATAAATTTCGGGCTGTATTTCTGAATTTTTATTCTTTCTTCAAGATAGAAGTACATGTATTAATATAATTCTTTGAACCAAATAGATTTACAAGTGGGAACGATTGATTCATTATCTTCATGGTGATCTTGATAACTGAATCATCTTGATTATATTACATCATTAATATTGACACACATTGAAAATGATTGTTAATCAAATACACTTGATAATAATCAGATTCAATTATATTCAATGATAATGGTCCAGGTTGTTTTCTATCACCATGGAATCTTATTCCCTGTTACTCTGTGAACTTATGGAATGGATATTATCATGAAATCAGGATCTATTTTATGTGTAAAAGTTATTATCTAATATATAAGTTTGATAATAGAAACAATATCATATGAAGGTAATGGTAGAAGAAGAGAAAAATTGATCATTTCCATGATGATGACTGCAAATGATAAGAATCAGAAAATTTCATGTCATCATGTCCTCTTTTTACCAGGTTACATGGTCACACCTACAAGATGATATAAGATTTTTATTTCTTCCGGTTTCCAATGATAATGTAACATTAATAATATCTCACCAATAAATTTCATCATACATAACATTCATCCCCCTTCATTTATGGTGTTGGAGGTGCAAGTGTGAGTGTAACATTCAGAGTCAGAACTTTCAGATTCTATAAGATAAAAGTAATAATAAAAACAAGATATTTTATCGTTATAATGATTGTTATTATTTCATAAAAGATTCTCATGATTTTCATGAAAGAGAGGGAGAGAAACTTTCATGTCAGAAAATGAGATAATAAAAGTTATGGTTCTTTCTTGTATTCAGATATTGAATAGATTTTTTTTATCGAAAATTTTTCTTTTGTTCTAATTTTAATAATATTAATTATTTTGTGGTATAATAATTTATGGATTTCAATCTATTCTGGTGATGATTAATTGTCTCAATATGGGTTGATTTAGTTTCTGATTGTGGATTTGATTCAAACCAATCAATTTGATTCTAGATGATTAATCATAGTACGTAGTATATATGTTAGATTATACTATTGGTTAGTGGTTGAACTAAATCATTTTGATTTAATGTTATATCATTTACCTTGAAACTGTGAAAGTAATCATATTATTTTTATGGCTCCATTTAATATTGTCAATGATTAATTGTACTAATTGATTTTAGGCTATTACACTTCTAAATATCTAATATGCAGCTAATTGTTTACAATGTAATAATTGATTTTTTTGTTTTTCTATTTCTATGATTTAGGTTTCTTGGGTTAGACAAAAAGATTTGCATATTTTAACGGTTGGACGTTACACTTATACGAGTGACCAAAGGTTCACTTGTGTCCATCTTGACGATTCTGATGATTGGACACTCGAGATCAAGTATATTCAAAAGGACGATGCTGGAATCTACGAGTGCCAGGTCAGCACTGAGCCCAAAATGAGCTTGAGCATTAAACTTGGAGTTGTTGGTAAGAATTTGCCATTAACTGTAACCATATGAATTTTCGTTCGAACGATTCAAATGATTAGAAAATAGAAACTTAAATAGTTTAGAATAACTTTTTCTCAAAGGAATCAGAAAGTTTAATCCTCTTTTCCTTTTCCTTTAGAACCCTTATCGATATAATGACTCTGCGAATAATGATAATCGATCTGCATGTAAGATGTTAACGATGAGTTAAATTGTTATAGAAGAGGATAAATTATCTAAAGTTATTAAATTGTAATCAGTTGAGTTAAGATGAGATGAAATGGAAGAAAGAGAGAAAAAATTCAAATTCGATAGGGAACAAAAATTGAGACTTTTTTTTCTAATCATTAATATCTACATCACATAGTATCATGATCATTATCTTCATATTTCATCAGTAAACATCATCTTTATCATCATGATGATCATCAGGATCAATGAACAATAATCACAATAAGTTATCATTTTAATCATCATTTGAATATTATCAAACCTAGACCAAGATGGAAATTATCTTCCTCTCTTTTTTAGTATCATCATTCAATATCATGATATAAGAACCATGAAAATTATCATCATGATGAAAATTGAAGAAACAAAAAAATTGAGCTAACAAAAAGTTATCATCGACTATTTTAGCTTCGATATTTGTTATCATGATGAGAGAGAGATAAAATCAGTCCCTATTGGAATCCAATGTTAGATTATTGTGATGATAAGACATCAATCAAATTGTTTATCATCTTGATCTTCATCATAAGTGGTAGTTGGATGATAACCAAGCAAGAAAAACAGATAATCATTATTTTCATCAATAGGTAATTGTGATTATATTATCATGGTGATAACAATGATATTACATGAAGATAATGATTTAGATACAATTTCATTGCTTATCATCATCATCATAATTTATTACAACAACTTGAGACAATCAACTCAACTATTTACATAATCAGACAATCAATTCAGTGTTCATGATGATTAGATATGGAAACTTTTTTTTTCTTTACTAAAATTATTATCATTAGCTGACAATTTGAATCTTTTAAACTTTTTGATTAACTTTTTAATCCGATTAAACTGATTAATCTCAATCTATTTATTAAATTACAATATTGATTTTCTATCCGCTTTCATAATATTTATCGTCATTTTTTTATTTCTTATATTAATTGTGTTTGAATTTTAATCAACTTGATTGATTGTGATCGTATTGACTGGAGTGATTTATTATCATGGATTCAGGGTTAATCAATGAATTTCTATTAATCCAATTTTCCATTATCAAATATTGACGTTAAATTTAATTCTGATTAATCAAGTCTCCTCTTTTTTTTTATCAACATATATTCAGAATAATTAACTCCAAGTGATAAATGATTAGATTAAATTACATTTTGTTTTGATTGTTGGTAAAAGTTAGTCAATTGTCATATTATGGTTACAAAATTGGATTTAATTATTTTCTTATTTGATCTAATTAATGATCATTATTATTTGTATATTAATTTAATATTGATCTACAAATGAGTAACGATAAATATTTTAATCAATCAGAATCTTGATAATGATTGAATATCAAGATATGGTTAATCAGGTTAATTTAATGATACTAATGATTAGTTTATAGATGGGGAAAATTGATTCTCTGCTAATGACAATAAAGATGATTAAGATAATTATCTTAATCACTGTAATGATTAAGAGAAATGATGATTATTATTATTGGTCTTTATCATCATGGGAATCATCATGTTTACAGAATCTATTAGATCATTATTTTCATCTTATTATTATCACATTGGAATCAAATACAATCTCAGTTACAATTAGGAATCAATAAGAATCAATAATAGAGCTAATTAATTCCAATCTAGTGAAGTTAATTGTTGAACACAATTATCAATAAAATTAACTTACAAACAGATTTTGTTTTGCCTTATCAATTAAATTACTTGTGATCTATTTTAATTTTCATTTAATTTTATTCCAGCGGCCAAAGCAATTATACCAGAAGGATCAGAGTTAATTGTTGAAGTTGGTGTAACAGTTAATTTAACTTGTATCATTAGTGAACAATTATTATCAACATTATCATCACCTTCATCTTCATCTTCATTTTCATCACCAGTCTATGTTTTTTGGTATCATGAAGGAACCGTAATCAATTATGATTCACCTCGAGGTGGAGCAATTAAAGTGATAACTGATCGTAGTTCATCAATTGTCTCACGATTAACGATAATTGAAGCTCGAATTGAAGATTCTGGTGAATACTCATGTAAACCCTCATACGCTGATTTTGCCAATATAACTCTTCATGTAATCCAATCATCTGTATCATCTTCATCCACATCAAATACTTTTGATAATCATGATAAAAATTCATTTAATGATAAATCAAACTATCATTTAAGCTCAGGTTCAAGTTGCCTTTATAAAATTAACTCTACCAATAATTATGTAATTAAGTTAACCAATTTAATCTACTGGTTCAGTTTACTTTTTTTTACTCAAATGAAAAATAAATAAACAAAAAATTCTTTATGTATCAATAGTTATAAATATGTAAAACAATAATGTTATTAATGACTTTCTATTGGCCATATAATTAATAAAATTTTTAACAATTCAACTATTATTTGGATAAAAATAACAAAACGAACAAAAGTTTTTCGATTTACTTTTTTATCTCTCGTTCGATTTTCAAATTTCGCGCTTCAAAAGTAACAGAACATTTTCACTCTTTTCCTGCTGCCATCTGGTGGATCGAAATTGTACTTTTGTGATTTTCTCTTTTTTTTTGATTGTTTTTGTTTTCTTTTTGTTTTTATTGTTATTGAAATGATTAAATTAATTCACCTTCACTATGTTGATAGTTTATCATTTTTTACGTTTTTCATAAAATAATCTTTCTAATCTTGTTCTCTTTGTCTCTCTCGATATATAAGTTGTTATCTTTTCTTTTTTTCCCTTTTCCATAATCTCTGCAGCTCTTAAACACTTTTGGTGAATTTTGTTTGTTTGTTGTTTACAACATCTGATTTGACGAAATGGAAGAAGCAAAAGAAGAGAGAATGGAAAAGGCAATGGAAAAAGTTGCAAGAGCGACTGCCAAATGGCTGTTAAAGGACTTAGAATTACCAACTAGTCCTCTCCGTGAACAAAACAGTTACTTGGGTAGAGCTAAACACTTTCTCTCCAATGCTTCTAATCCTTTGAATTTATTTAAACCTTCATCATCTGGTGTTTCTAAAACTCGAAAAATGGTAGATAAACACAGGTTAGTTGATAAGCTTCGCAATCTCTTGTCTCTTTCATTCTTTCTGTCTCTTTCTATTCCTTTCTCTTCCTCTCCCTCTTTCTCACTTTCTCTCACTTCAACTTTCTCTCTCTCTTTCTTTCTCTTTCAATTTTGATACAGTTGAGATTTAACATTTGTTTTCATTTATGTTTCATTACTCTTAAACTCCTGTTAACTAATTCAATCTGTTTCTTGTTTCTATGCATCTCAGAAAAAGTAAAGACATTAGTCAACGAACTGAGTTTGTTCAATCCCATTCCAGGGTAAGTGTGTCTTCTCACAGTTCCCGAACCCTTGGAGGTGGTGGTGATGATGGTGGCGGTGTCGTTGGTGTTGCTGGTTATGCTGATGGTGTTGGTGGTGGTGAAAGTGATAATGAGTTCGTAATTCAAAGGCCTTTAAATGAATTGTTTACTATGCCCAAAGAGCCCGAAGTTGAGGCTAAAGAAGCAGTTCGTGAAAACCTTTGGGATCTTTATTTCGCTGATTTTGGAAGAGGTTTACCTACCCATCGAACACCAAAAGCTCGTGAATTGGTAATGAAAGGGATACCAGATAAATATCGAGGTGAACTTTGGATGCTTTATTCTGGAGCAATTAGTGAACTTAAACATTATCCAGGTTATTTTCAGAAAATGGTTGAAGCAAGTGCAGGTAGAAAGTGTGTTGCTGCTGATGAAATTGAAAGGGATCTTCATCGTTCACTTCCTGAACATCCTGCCTTTCAATCACCCGTTGGAATTAATTCACTTCGTCGGGTTTTAAATGCTTACGCTTTTAGAAATCCATCAATTGGTTATTGTCAAGCGATGAACATTGTCACCTCTGTATTACTTTTATACGCCACAGAAGAGGAAGCTTTCTGGTTACTAGTTGCTCTCTGTGAACGCCTATTACCTGATTATTACAATACAAAAGTGATTGGTGCCTTAGTTGATCAAGGAGTATTGGAAGAGCTTGTTAAAACCCATTTACCTCGATTATATCGAAAATTAGAACCTTATGGAATTCTTAATATGGTCTCACTTTCCTGGTTTTTAACGATCTTCCTTTCGGTGATACCTTTCGAATCGGCTATTCGTATAATGGATTGTTTCTTTTACTTTGGTGCTAAAATTGTCTTCCAAATTGCTTTATGTATCCTCGAATGTAACGAAGAGGCTTTATTAAAATCTAAAGATGATGGTGAAGCGATGACCATATTAACTGGATTCTTGGAAAATATTACCAATCTTGATGCATCTTCTCATTCAATACATTCAGTTTCTTATGGTCCAACAAGTAAAAGATTTAATCAGGTAGAGAAAATTTATTTCTCTCTATTGTTGACAACACACACGACAACAATTACAATTACCTTTGACGTATAACTAATTAGATGTTTTATTTTTGTTTTTCCTTTACAACAGAAAGTCACAGAGATTAATGAGCTAATCAATGATTCTTATACAAAATTTAGTTTTGTTACTATACAATTAATTGAGAAACTACGTTTCGATAGACGCATCAAGGTGGTTCAAACAATGGAGGACAATAATATGCGTGATGTTATCCGAAGTGTCCAAGCAAATCCATTTATAAATCATTACCTTAAACATGAAGAAATACAAAATTTGTATTTTATCGTTAAAGAAGGTCAACTTCGTCAACAAACATGGAGACGATCAACACCAACCTCTAAATTAACCAATACAATAGCAACAAATTGGGACTCATCTAAACCTTCATATGAAATGTACAAATTAAATTTTGATCAGTTTAAAAATTACTTTCATCAAATCTCAACCTGGACGGGAGGTGATAATGCCGAGACAATTAGCCTTCGAGTTTTCAAAATACTTGATGAAGATGATGATGGTTTCATCAATTTCCTACAATTTCTTCAAATAATCATAATAATGTGTAAATCGGACATTGAGGTTCGACTTAAACTCCTCTATTCTTGTCATCTGGTTGATCTTCCGGAAAATGAAAATGTAAACTCTACCGGTGGTACCAATCACCCGTCAAACTGTGAATCTGAAGTTGAGGAAGCTGAAGAAGTTACAGAATCATTTGAATTTTTTGGAAAATCTTCCTCTTCATCACCTTCACATCTCTCACCTTCATCATCATCATCATGTTCAGCTGAACTTATTTCAGGAAATGAAACTCCTTCTATTAAGATAACCGATATTATTCCAAGTTGGTTTGTGGTTCCTTCGTCTCTTCCTTCAAAAGGTTTCGAGATAATCTCTTCTGGTCCTTCAAGTGCTCCCTCATCTTCAAACTTAACCTCATCACCTTCATCTCTCGGGGTTACATCAAATGTCAGTCTTAGTCCGTGCCATGAGAATAAACCTTTACCCACAATGAAACAAGAACAATTTTTCGAACTTTGGAAAACTTTGTATGATATTTTCTCAGGTTTACCAGATGAACAGCGAATGTACCATTGTGTCGCCTCTTTGGGAACAACTTTACTCAAAATTGGTGAACTCTCATTCCAACAACGTAAACAAGCTCAAGAATTGTCATCAGCTAAAAGTCCAACATCGGATACAAAGTCACTGGAAAGTTTTGACATTGTCTCTCAATCATCAATCTATGGTGACAATGATTCTCAATCCAATGTTAATCTAAGTTATATAACTTTCGATCAATTTCAGGCCGCTTTTTTCATTGAAGAATCGTTGGTTAATTTCTTTGAAAAGAAACCTAAATTATCTGAAGCATTCCAAAAACCTCGTTCCGCTCGTAGTCGAAGTTCATCAAATCGATCGAAACCTGATGAAACCACCAGACAACGAACGCGTTCCCGTTTGATGAAAAGATTCCATTAATTGAGAAATAACCTTTTTCCTGAGCTATTTCTCTCTCAATCTCTCTTTCTTTCTCTTTCTATTTTCCAGCAATTAAATTTTTTCGAATTTGTAGTAACCTGCAAACGAACAATAAGAAAATCGTAAAACAAGTGAACCAAAAAGAAAAAAAAAGTCAATCGTAGCAATTAACTTGGAAAATCCGATCGAAACTACAACAAAAAATCGTTAATTAGCTTTGAATTGTACTTGGAATCGTAATTAACTTGTTGATCAACAGGAGTACAATTAACACCCGAAAAAAAATCAACTACAATCAAACTCAACTTCCGCCAATCGATCATGAGTTTACCTCCTCCGCCTGTGATGAAATGTTTTATCTCTCTCACTCTCTCTCTCTTTCTAATATATTTAATTATGAGCTAAATGCATAAATAATTAACTTTTGATTATGATAACAACAATTATTATTTTACTAGATAATACAAATCGATGTATTATTATTTTCACTAATTTTTATCTGTCAAAAAAAGTTCACCAACAACAACAATGGTGTTTACCAAAACCAATCAACAATTTGTTTCATTTTATTTCAATTAACCAGTTACATTTAACATTTTGGTTAAATCATAAAATCAATTGGTCACAAGATTAGCTTTTCTTAAATTAGTGACAATTAACATTAACTAGTTAATATTGATTGAGTTTAATTGTGAAAAGATTTTACGATTTTTGGTTATGTTTGATTAGAGAAACTTATTTAAGTGGTTAAATTACATAGATGATTGTTAATTAAGGTTAATTATGTCGCTAAATTGGTAAGAATTCTGGTTAATTGTTTATTGTCAAACCGAATAAGAAATTAAGAAAATGCTCTTTCTTTGTTTGTTTCTCTATTTTCACCAATAAAGAAAAGGAAACTAATTGTAAATAGAGAAGAAGAAAAAATTTTCTCAACAATTTTCTGGGAAACAATTTACCTTTTCTAAAGAGGTGAAGGTCAATTAGATGGACAATAAACGTGAACTACTTGTTGACCTCTACGAGAAAAGGGTAAAGGAAATTTAAAGGGAAAGGAAAGTTGTTGATTGTGTTGATTGATTTGATTCGATGGTGACAATTGGCTCAATTTCTTATATAATTGATTGGAAATTAACTTGAGTTTATTTTCATTTTTCATCTTCATCTCATCTCATCTTCATTTCTACTCTCACCTTTTTGTTTGTTTGTTTTTTTCTCTCTTTTTTCTTGTTTTTCTTTAGAATTAGTAAAAATGGAGTCTACATCGATTTCTTTCAAATATTTCAATGAAATTTCACCGGAAATGGATCTATTGACCGCCTCGAGTATCGGTGATCCAAGTCTTGTCCACAAGCTCATTCAACAAGGAGCGTAAGTGAAATTTTCCCATTTTGACCAACTAACCGATCACTTTGATCATCATCATCATCATCTTTTTATTTTTATTTTTTATCTTCAGAAATGTTGATCAACCCAATGAATCGGGATGGACACCATTAATGTACGCAGCTCATTATGGTCACTACAATGTAGTTAAAATGTTAATCGATTATGGTGCTAATGTAAATTTATGTGAGAGTGTTAAAGGTCGAACGCCATTGATGTTGGCTGCTTCTTGTGGCCACACTCGGTGTTTAGAAGTGTTGATTACTTTAGGTGCTGCCGATATTGAGATGACCGATAGTCAAGGTCATAATGCTGCTTATTACGCGATCCATTCTGGCCATGGAAGGAACAAAATTATCGCCAAACTTTTGAAAATTCAAGGTAAAAGTCGCTCATCAGCAACACCAACAAACCTCCCATCTCCGAATTGTTTATCAGCGTCTCACTCAAATCGGCAAATTCGCCATCAACAACAACACCAACAACAACAACAACAACAAACATCATCTCTGACACCATCATCAAGCTTCACACCCACCGTCAATCATCACTATCATCATCATCATCATGCGAAATCATCCCTGACACCATCACCATCGCCTTCACCGTCATCTTTTTCATCATCAACAACAACAACATCAACCGCAACCTCGACAACTACAACTTTACCTCCTGCAAATTTTTCTAATAAAAAATCAAGCCCCGGGGTCATTGGTTCTCAACTTAAAGTACCCTCCCCGTGGACCTATGATCGGTCAACCGCCAGTCCAAAATATAATGACACTAGAATCAGTTGCTCAGGTACAACGGGTAGTAGCCCATTGGCTGGAAACAGTAGTAACAGTAGTGGCGATGAATCATCTTTACCGACCATCATGAGCGATTCCGCTTCGACATGTTCAATAATCTCTTCAACCTCTTCAATTTCCGATGGGGGAATTAATCGAAGCCGTTCACCTTTACCCGAAAATCTCGACACTTTATTAGAGAGAATTGGCCTTAGCCAGTATAGTTTGTTGTTTACTCTACATGGAATCGATTTATATTGTTTCCTTACCCTGAACGAATCGGATTTCGAGGAAATTGGAATTACTCTTTTGGGCCATAAGCGAAAACTTTACATGGCTCAGCTTCGATTCCGTGAATCAGTTGAAATCGCCAGTACACAAGAGCGATTCTTTGCCGATTGGCTTCTCTCCGAACGAGAAAATCTAAAAAAAGAAAACCATGAATTGAAAAGTAAATTAAAAGGAAATGATTCTATTAGTCCTTTAACTTCAATCTACAATTAATTCTCAACAATTATCTCAAATTTGAGACAATCAACATAATCAAATTTTTTACTCTTCTCTCTCCAATGTATTTGTTTATATCTCTTTTTTTTCTTAATTGTTTTTCATTTTTAATTGTTCAATATTTCTAGTCACCCAATTCATATCATTTTCTGAATTGTTCTGAACTCTTTTCTTAATCAATTTTAACCAAACATCAATATTTGTTTGTTTATCTTTTTTTATATTTATAATTTGAATCTCTATTGTTGACACACTACCAAAGACTCACAATTAAATTGGTTGATTTACTTTTTTTTCTCTCTATGAAATTGAAACAAAATTTTCGTAATTTTTTTTTTCAAAACTTTGCAAACTAATCAGTTTCTCTTTCTCTTTGAAAACAATTGACCAAAGGTCAGTTTGTGTTGGGTAATTGGAAAGTTGAATTGATTTCGGGTTCAAATTTCGCATCGTAAAAGTTTAAATAAACAATTTAATCAATGATAATTGATTTTCTTTCTTAATTATTCACTTGGATTCGAGTGTAAATCTTGAATTGGAAAATATGTCCACCAAGTAGAGGGAAACAAAAGTCAAATGAAAGCCCGAAGACAAGTTAACCCCTTTAGAAAAGAGCCTCAAGTCTTTAGATAAAATGATTGAGAATCTAATCTAATTGAGATATTTTTTTTTTCTCCAAAATTAAACTCTCTATCTTTCTATCTGTTTATAGAACAAAATTTTCACGGATTAACCTTTCGCTGGATTTAAATGGTCTCAGTTTATAGGCGAAAGCCAATCGATGATTGGACGAAGGGCGGGATCAACTCGCGAGTTAATCTCTATGTACATAAAAAGGTTTCACTCGTTCTTGATTTTATTGTTTTTCAACTGATTCTCTTTGTCAAATTTTCACTTTTTCTTTATAAGTTAATTGTTTTCCTATTTAGTTGATTGTTTTTCGAGAGATTTAGTTACTTTTTGTTTGGAAAACAAAGAGAGAACTTCTCGAAAACAACCTAACCTTAACTCTAACCTTTAACAAGCGAAAAGTGTTTTCTTTTTTGTTTCTTGTTGTGACTTTGGACTGTGAGATTATTTTTATCAATCAAAATGTCTTCAGTTTTTACCCAAGACCAGCGATATTTGGCCTGGAATTTATTCATGTTACATCTTATGAATGATTATGATTTCATTGAGATGAATAGTAATCCAATTTCCATTTACCCTGAATGGGCAGATTTTTATGCGGATAAAGTGAAAGAATGTATGTCCGATCTTCTTAAAACTGCCACTCGAGAAGCTTTTCCACCAGCAACAATTAATATTCCTAGAGATCAGGAGCCATCATCACCGATTCCTCTTAATCCCAATGAACCTTATCAAGGATTATTGATGATCGCACCTCAATTTGTCGACATTCCATCATCTCCATCATCCATTTCGTCGGGTTCTTCTTCTTTCTCTGATCGCGATTCACCAGCATCTTTCTCATCGGCTCATGAAGAATCACCACCAACCTTTTCCAAGGTAATTGCTCGACCAGTTCCAGTGATTCGACGACCATCTTCCGGTTACATTTCGCCATCATCATCATCATCAAGTAATACATCATCATGTTCTTCCTCGGCTTACAATTTATCCAATGATTCCGCTGACAATCAAGTTCAACCTCGTTTACAACGGCGACGACGAGTCAATCAACGATCTCCACAGCCACAACAGCAACAGGATCGACCTAATCAACAACCACAATCACCCCAACAAAATCAACCAGCCAACAATCTAATGTGCAGCTTTTGTCGACGAAATTCTGAACCAAGAGAATTTTATACCAGTCATAATACTAAAGATTCCCAGGGTAACGTAATCTGTCCCATTCTATTTGCTTACAAGTGCGAAGCTTGTGGTGCCACTGGACCCGATGCTCATACTCGCAGTTATTGTCCCATGGCCTCTGTTGTCCGATCAGTTTTCAGCGAAGATTCAAATGTCCAGATTCGATATGCCAATTATGCTCGAACTGCTCGTGTCCCACAATAAATACAAAAATCATTTTTTTTTTTACATTTTTTTTTCACAACGGACAAATAGGCAATTGGAAATTTTTTTTTCTCTTTTTCTAAATAAAAATCAATCAAGGAAAAAAAAACAACACAAATTTGTATTGATTATTAAGATATATATAAGTTGAATGAAACACCATGTATAATCTGTCTTTGTTTATTTTGTTTTTTATGTTGTCAATTCAAGCTCCAGGTTTTGTGTGTCACGGCTCGGTACCATTTACTTGAACGGGTTAATGATGATTACGATGATGATGACAATATATAGTTATATCTGTTTCTTTTTGATGATAAAGAGATAGAGGGATATAGAGTGAGAGAGAGAGAGAGAAAGAAAGAAAGAAAGAAAGAGGGAAAGATGATAATTGGAGATGATGATGGAGATAATGTGTTGTTGGTTTGATGAGAACGAAATTTGATGAAAGAAAAAAAAAGTTGATGTATTTTTCAAGAGCTAAATACTTTTTAAGGTCTAATTGAATTAATCAAAATAAAAGACCATGAATTGATTAAATAGATAATATATGCTCCCGGTTATGTGTGTGTGTGTGTTTGTATATATTTTTACACTTTGTACACCTTGTGAATTTCATCAACTTGATTTCTGCTTCTTTATATTAGAGTAGGTTTTTTGTTTGCCCATCAAAACAATTGATAAGTTTCAATGGTTCCAATAATTGATTCACCATTCGGTTATATGATCAGGTTTCTCTCCTCTTTCATATTTGGACCACATTCGTCTGTACAATTTTTCAAGGTTCGAAGTGTATATTTTAACATTGAATAGAGATGATTCAGTCCTTGCTTTCCATACTTTTGCTCTAATAGCTTTAAGATATTGCCGATCAGTTCCAAGTTTAACTGCAATGTCCTCATAGTCTTGACGATTTCGGGCTACTAATTCAGGTACACCTAAACAGGCCAATTGTGAGGCTGCCACTCTTGATGCTAATGTTTCACCAGCTAGAGTTATCATCGGGGTTCCAGCCCAAAGTACATCCATTCCGGTTGTGTGTCCATTGCATAGAGGAGTATCCAAGCAAAGATCGGCAAGTTGACCTCGACGAACATGCTCTTCCTTAGCAGCTACATTCGATAAAACAATTCGATTTGTGGGTAAACCCAATTCTTCAGCCATTGATAAAATATTTGGTTCGCCATGAGCTGGAAATCTAAGAAGCCATAAAACACTTTTTTCGACTCTTAACAAAATCTGTAAACAAAAAAAATAAACAAAATAAAATAAAATAAAAAGAAATTAATTGCAAAATTAATTTATAATCTCTATTAAGTGTTGATGATGATTTTCTCCAAGTGAACAAATTGCTGAATCAATCGATTTTCATACTTACATTTACCCACATAGTTAATGTTGGTGGATCAATTTTATACAACTGATTAAAGTTACAATAAACAATAGCATCTTCAGGTAAACCGTATTGTTGCCTTGTAGTGACCACAATTGATTTAGGTGCCTCCTCTCCTGTAGCTGCTTTATTATTAAGTTGGGTTGTGGCTAAACCATTTTGTACAACAATACCATTAACTGAAGTTGAAAGTTGACCAGTACTTATCATTGCCTGAACAGCTGAGGTAGTTGGTAATTCAACCATTTTTTTAACAACCTCAATCTTTTCAGTTGTATTTGTATTTGAGGTGAGAGATTGAGTTGTAACAACGGCAACTTCTTTAACCTTTTTCACTTCAACTTTTTCCATGATTGGTGATAAATCGGTAGCATTGACAATGGCCACATTATCTGGTGGTGATTCATTTATATTTGAATTAAGTGTTGACGAATAATTGTATAAACTAGAATTTTTTTTCAATCCATTGGCTTCAGAAAGGATAACCCTTTCAATTAGATGGGGGAACATGTTAAAATGATCACCAATGAAAAATGTATCAGGCATAAAAGCCAATTTCTCTGAATATTGTGAAGCCAATTCAATTGGTGAGGTAATTTTATCGGTAATTATATAATCCATAAATGAAGCACCACTGGTTCCTGGATAACCAAGCCACATAACTTGTATTGGTGCTGGTTTAAGGGAAAATATTTCATTACGTGCTCCTTTCGTGTAACCATTCATGTTGATTAAAATGTGAAGTTTATCTTCATAGATAATGTCAGCTGCTTTACCATTACAGGTAACTGTTGATAGATCAGTAAAATGGTCACATTCACCAGCAATTTTACTTCGGAAAGTGGTTCCATCATCAGGGGAGAGAGCATAACAAAATATCTCAAAATTTTCACGGTCATGAAAACCTGGGACACTTTGCATAAGATGTGAAGTTGGATGATTACCAAAATCAGAACTGACGTAGCCAATTCTAAGTCTATCAACCTTACCAAACTTAAATTGATAGGGTGGTTTATGGAGTACTTGAATCTTTTCTAAGCATAAAGCAGCATGACGAGCTGCAATTGCTTTACGATATTCATGAGATAAAGGATATAACATTGAATGATGAGGATGAACGGAGGGTAGACGATTTTTTTTCAATTGTTCACCAACTATTGAAACCAATTTTTTCATTCGAGCCTCATAGTCAGTCCAATCGCAGATAATTTGTAAACAATGGGCAAGATTACAATAAGCATCAGGAAATTCTGGTTTAAGCTTTAGAGCGGTTTTGTAGGATTGAATTGCTTCCGGAATATTACCAGAATCTTTGTGAACCGAAGCAAGATTTGAATGAGCATCAGCAAATGCTGGATTTATTTGAATAGCACGACTGTAACATTGAAGGGCTCCTTGAATATCTCCCATTTCTTTAAGAGTGTTCCCCATATTAGAATATGCATCAGCAAAGGCTGGAGAAATTCTGATCGCTTCTTTATAATGCATTAAGGCTTCACCAAGTTTACCCTGTTGTTGTAGAACTGAAGCTAAATTGGAATGTGCTGCGGCAAATTCAGGGAAAACATCTAACGCTTTAAGATACAACCTGGTAGCTTCCTCAATGTGACCTTGTTCACGTTTAATATTGGCTAAATTGTTTAAAGAATCGGCATGAGTTGAACATAAACGAAGTGCTGTATGGTAACAATCTTCTGCTTCGGAAACACATCCTTTCTCCTTTAAAGCATTAGCCAAATTACAATAAGCATCAGGATAATCTGGTTGTAATTCAATTGCTCGGCGGTAAGTGTCAATTGCAAGATCAATTAAACCTTGCTCATAATAGACACCAGCAAGATTACCATGAATTAAAGCATTATTGGGACTGAGATTTAGAGCTCGTAGATATGCAGCAGCGGCTCGATCAAAAATTCTTGCTTCTTTCAATACATTTCCAAGATTTATATATGCATCAAGAAAATTGGGATCCAATTGAACTGCCTTCTCAAAATGATGAATAGCGAGCCACATTTCACCCTGGGCATTAAAGACACACCCGAGGTTAGACCAAGCAACTGCAAATGTTGGACATGTTTCAATTGATTTAAGGTAACAAGCCTTTGCCTCATCAAGTCGTCCAATTGCTTTTAACAGGTTACCAAGATCACTTCGAACACAATAAAGATCCTGATTATATTGCAAAGAAGATACATAGGCTTGAACTGCTTGTTCCAAATCTCCTGAAGCAACCAAAGCAGCGGCCAGATTAATATAACCATCAATAAAGTCCGGTTTAAGTCTGACAGCATGTCGATAATTTTCCAATGCCTCTTGGAGTTGACCTTTCTCTTTGTAAACATTTCCAAGATTTGAATAAGCCTCAGCAAGTAATGGATTCTGTTTGATAGCTAGAGAGCTGAAATGTGCCGATCTGGCAAAACACACAAACAACAACAACAAAAACAAGGAAAAATAAAATGAGATAAAGAGAAATGAAAATAGAAGAAGAAGAGAAAAAAAAATAAAGAAAAGGTAAGATATAGATTAAAAGATATGGGAAAAAAAGAGAGAAAGAGAAAGAGGAAGTGAGAGTAAAAAGAAAGAGGAGAAAATAAAGAAGAGTGTGTATGTGTGAGTAAATAAAAATTCACTCGCAGTGGAGAAAAAGGAACAATCTGAAAATTGATGAATTAACTTACTTATCAAGACGTCGACATTGAAAATTTATTGAGCTAAGGAGTAATAAAATACTGGTGTTGGTAGGATCTTGTCTCCATAGTTGCATACAGTGTCTTTCAGAGCTTTCATAATCTGCAGCAGTGTATTCTCTGTGAGCCAATTCTGCTAAGCTTTGGAAGGCTGCTGCTGACGAGTTGGATGTCATTTTCTGAATAGAGAGAGAGAAAAAAAAATATATAAGAGAAAAAAAGAAAGAGAAAGAGAAAAAGAGAGAAAGAGAAAGAGAAAGAGAATAGAAAAAAATGAAAGAACGAGTCACACTTTTTATCCAAACAAGTTCACTTGGTATTGATTAAATTTACAACGATTTGCCGATGATCTTACCAAACAGTCCACCGTCTTTTAATTTATTCAATTAATTGACAAATTAAACTAAATTACAAATGAAAAGGAGAAAAAATTATTCTAAAAAAAATCTTCTAATCTTCTTCATTCTCTTCGTGTTTATAATCTTGCGGGTAAAGAATCCGAGGTAGAATCATTTTCCATTCCAATCCAAGATTCGATTCTAAAATATCGATACCCGAATCCGGTTCGAGTTTTCGACGAAATTTCAATCGGTTCAATTGTTGTTTATTTCTAATTGGTAAGAGAATTAATTGTTCTGAAAAAAGAGAATTAAAATTTATTTAATAATCTATTGGAAAAAAAGAAAACAATCCAATTGTTACCATTAGAAAAATTCTATTAACTGTTTACTTTATTTTAATCGAAACTAAAGTTTAACCGGTAACTTGGATTCTTTTTTTATCTTGTTCATCTTTTCAATCGTTTAAATTGTTGATTCAATCAAGGAAAACTATTAATCATTCAATCTCAATGACTTTGATATTCTCAATTATTCACTAATTAACTAATCATCTTAATCTAATAATTATTTTTAATTTAATTTTGTTTTCTTCGTACTCTCGTGGCGCCTCCACTCGGTCAATAAAAGAATCTCAGTTTAATCTTTTTTTCTAGTTAATCAAATTATTTTCAATTTCTTAATTTTTGTTTAACAAATAACATCATCATCATAATCGTCATCATCCAGTAAAATTACCATGTTAACCCTTTAATTAGTTTGTCTAATAGTAGTTACATCATCAGATAAATTCTCGTAATTTAAATAGTTATAAATAAATTGGTGTTTATGTTGAAAGAGTCACGAAGATGTTTTTTTCCTCTTGTTTTTATAAACAATAACAATCTCTTAATTGTTGATGATCACAAGTTTATAGAAAAGAAATTATGAGAATTGTATTTCTAAATTTAACCAGAGGAATTAATTAGTGTATCAACTTGAGAGAAAGAAGATTAATAAAAGAGGTAAGTTGAGATGATTTTAAGGTGAGCAAAGAAAAAGCCAATTCCTGGATTTAATGGTTGATCGTTTTTGGAGAAGAAAAAAAAAATTCTTCCAATCATTTTGTGTGTTTCTCTTCATCATCATGACTCTGATTCATTGATTTTATTTATTGTTCATTTAGAAATTTATACATATTTATAGTGTGACAACGTTTCCTGGACACAATGGAAGATATTTCAGAGTTTCCCCTTGCCAATGAAAGGAATTGTCTTCATCTTCCATTTGCTTTTGTTAACAATCACTCTAAACATATAATCAAAATTGATATGAAACCGATGAATATCATTTAAGCTAAATTTTTATTCTCTTCTTGTTTTTCATTTTGTTTTTTCTTCTTCTTCTTCTTATCATCTTATCATCTCTCTCTCTCTCTCTCTCTCTCTCTCTCTCTCTCTCTAGGCATTTTCCCTTTACCTCAAATGCAAGTTTAATTCCTGCGGAAACCGGATTTCCCTTCGTACCCAAAGCTCCATTCGTTTTAATTTAGTGTAACCATTTTGATTTGGGTATTTTCACTGTTTGATTGCCTTCTTGTCTCATCAATCGTTTCAATAATCAAGCCCAATCATAGTTTCCATTACACTTAATTCCATCAACACACACACACACATCGTATCGGATTCTTATCATCAATACTTGATCTTCCAATTGTTGTCATCCCTTTGCTGGTCAACATTCATCTTTGTCTATTCACATATATAGCCACACGAAATTCATCATCAACATCACAACCATCGTCATCTTTTAAACTAATCAAATTAGAACCAATATGATTTGGTCAACTTTCAATGGTCACCAATATATTTTGGCTCTTGTGCTATTTATTTCCTGTGAATTTACCTCATCTCACTGTGGATACACTGGTAGATATGAAAGACGACGAACATCAATCAACAATGACCCTTTAACTGGACGATCAAGTCGAAGTGATAATAGCAATAGTAACAAATTTTCACTCTCTCCAAATTTTGCAACAGATAATAATAACAATAACAACAACAAAAATAATGATGATAAAGATGATAGTCAAACAATTAATCGACCATCAAGTCATGTTATCACTTCTTCAAGATTCACCGAAAGTTTATCATTAACTTCTGCTTCAGTTTCCCTCGCATCACCTTCATCATCCTCATCCTCTTCATTATCTTCATTATCTTCTTCACAATTACCTGATGCACCCTTATCTCCATCTCCATCATCATCATCATCTGATTCACCTTTATCATCTTCAATCTCTCCTGAAAACATTGAACCTCAACTTCCTCCTTCTCCATCACCTCCCAAATTTCCTGGAGTAAGTGAAGGAATTATATCTCGAGATATGTTGAACATTGTCACATCGAACAATATTTTCGGCTTTAAATTGTTCAAAGCATTGAACAAATTCCATGGAAATGAGAACATATTCATCTCACCTTTATCACTTTTCTCAACTTTAGTGACAGTTTACGCTGGTTCATCTTCGTCAACAGAAGATGAGATGATTTCTCTTCTTCAATTGAAAACCATGACCGAAAATCAGATACAAACAGCATTTCGAGATGTTCTACATACCCTTTTATACGATATTGGTAAAAAGAATAACCTTAAATTACTTAACGGTATTTTCATCGACAAAGAGTTGAACGTTTCCTCTGCCTACGTTGATAAGGTTCGAATCTATTACAATGCTTGCGTTGAAAAGGTCGGATTTACCACCGAACCCGCGTACGTAACCTCTTGGGCAAACGATTTCGTCTCTTGGTGGACCCATGGATTGATTCCTTCCCTATTAGATTCAACCTTAGATCCATTAACTCGACTTCTTCTAATCAATGTGATCTATTTTAAAGGTGCCTGGGCCGAACCATTTAATCCTACCCTCACCAGTGAGCAAAACTCATTCCACAATTTTGATGGGTCAACTTCAAAAGTTCCCTTGATGAGGTCAACATCGACCATCAATTATCACTGTGATCACAATCAAGTTAAAGCCTGTTTTATTGAGAAATTATATTCCACTGGATCATTGAGTTTCCTTGCAATTACTCCGACCAATGGAACTGATTTATCTCACATTGAATCTATTCTTGGAACTCAAACCATGACTGAAATGTTGGGTCAACTTCAAGATGCAACCGTCGAACTTGGTTTACCTCGATTCTCTGTTTCCGGTTCCTATGATTTACTTAAACCTCTCGAATATCTTGGAATGAAGGCCGCATTTTCACCCAAAAAAGCCGATCTCTCGAAAATGGGTAACTCGAAGGAGCTTTTCGTCAAAGAGGCTAAACACAAAACGGTTCTTCAGGTCACCGAGGAGGGAACTCTTGCCGCTGGAGCTACAGTTGCCGAAATTGGAACAAGAAAACGATCTCCAAGATTAATTATCGATCGTCCATTCATTTTCCTTATTCGAGATCTTAGAACGGAAGCCATTCTTTTCCTTGGAAGGATCAATTCACTTCCATGAATAAATAAATGAAGAAAATTAATTGATACCAACAATTAAGGTACAATCGATAATCCTTTCCAATTGATTAACAAATATCAATCAAATCGAATCAAATTATTTCTATCTATTCGAAAATCTATTTTCTATTTTCGCTATACCTGGTGTACTTTATTTCTTTAATCAAGTGTCATTGTTACTCTCAACTTAACAATTAACATTAATAATAGATGATAAACCGATAGCTAATTATCGTAATTTAAAATTGATTTATTAATATTTTCCTGTTTGTTTACTATCAACTTGATTGTAGTTCGGGAGTTGAAATTAGATCATCTAATTTAGATGATCATTATTTCATTCAGTTGGTGTCAAATTTTTTCATCCAAGAGTTTTAATTGTCTCATTGGATTCAGAATATGATTAGATTGATGATCAAATAATCAAAATTGATTGAACTTCAACTCATTTCCCTCGAAAAGAAAACTTTAAATTAATATTAACATTGAATTTGAAGCATCTTGATCAGCCTCCACTTGCTGGTCAGTCGGTTAGACGCAGGAAAGGAAACCTGTCGTGTCCGAGTTCTAACCTGGGTCCAGTCGGATAAGTGGAGGGTGTTGAATAGCCTCTGATTAAGGACCCAAGCTGTCGCTTTGTGTAAGCATTTAATGTTTCAATAGTTTCTTGCTTTTCAAGTCAACAAATGCTCTTTCACGAAATTTTTTATCTTTATTAGCGGCAATTAAACCGTTCATCACGATTTTATACAAACTCATGGCTTCTCGATAACTCCATTGATAATTGTTGGTATCAACACTTGATATACTACTAACAGCCGATTGCCATTTGGCATCTACAGAGTAATTCAGCTACTTTGCTGGTTTGTTTTTCACGATTAATCAAAAACTACTTGACCGATAGGGTGTATATTTCGTCTATGGAAGTTTGACCGATACTCAATTGTCATATTTCAAGGTCATAAAGTTTATTCATGAAAGAAAACACTTGAAGGTCATTTGAAGAACTTTTTGAAAACTAGAAATTTTTCCATCCTGGTCGTGAAGTCAAAAAATAATATTATTACAAAGCAACGTTAGTAACGCGCTAAGACAAAATCATACCCAGTAAGTGCAGAAATGATAAAACATCACAGGTGTGCTTGAAAAAATTTCTAGTTTTCAAAAAATTCATCAAATGACCTTCAAGTGTTTTCTTTCATGAATAACCTTTATGACCTTGACCTTGAAATATGACAATTGAGTATCGGTCAAACTTCTATAGACGAAATATACACCGTATCGGTCAAGTAGTTTTTGAGAAATCGTGAAAAACAAACCAAAAAAGTAGGTGAATTACCCTGTACATTATCTTCGCCAGAAATTAATTCTAAGATCATATTTAATTGTCTATGATTGTACTCTGGTATGATTAGTACTTTTACGGGTAATTCTACTTCGCCCGAGATTGAGAGACTGAGAGAGAGAGAGAGAGAGAACAGATAAAGAGATGGAAATATGAAATAATAAAGAATCAAGAATCAATTAAATTGTAATGATAATTTTTATTGTTTGATTTTAAAATCTTGATTTGATTTGAAGACAAGAAAAAAATTGAAAATCTACAAACTTAATATAATTAACATGGTAATTATTGTAAGTGTAAACTTTTCATTTAATTACAATGGCCAATTAATAATAGATTATTAATCGATAATTGTCAACATTTCAAATTGATTGATTTTGTTGTTTTGTTTACTTTCAACTTGATTGTTGATTGTAAGATTAAATTAATTGAATATTATTTTATTTGGTAAACCAAATCAAATAAATTCACTTGGAGTAAAAATTTTCTTTGTGTATATTGATTGATTTGATTGTGTCTTCTTGAGTGTATTTGTGAGTTGGAGATGATTAAGAATGATAATTAATGATGATTAGTGATTAAATCATTTTCTAAAATCAAAATCTAATCCAGAGTAACCATGAGCTTCGGGTTTACCCCAATGGTCATTGTGCTTCTTTCCGTAATGATGATGCTCTTCGGAGTGTGAGTGTTTATGATGTTCCTCAAGCTAATTAGTTGATCATAAAGAAGAAGAAAAAATCACAATTAAAGTCAACAAAACAATTAGAATGTTAATTGTCGCAATTACCTTATGTTTTCCATGGTGATTGTGTTTATGATTATGCTTGTGGTCATCGTTATGGTGATGATCATGTTTATCGTGGTGCTTATGAGATTCATGGTGATCATCATGATGTTGATGCTGATTAAATAGAGGAAATTGAGTTACAATTAGCCGGTGAAAATGATGATTGTGTAATTTTCTCACAATTTAAATAATTTAAACGGTAAATGATTCGTTAATTGTGAGAATTAAACAAATGATAGAACGAAAAAATATCCGATTAATTAATTCACTTACATCTTCCTTTTCCTTGTGGTGATGTTTATGTTTATGTTTGTGATCATGATTCTGAAAAATACAAATGATTAACAATTAGAAATAATAATCAACAATTAACTGTCATCATTTCAATTAAATAAAAAAAATCTACACCCAATTGATTTGATTCTGATTGTTATACTTTCATTTAGTGATCAACAAGTTAACAATCAAGAAAGTAAAAAGTGATCAATAACCTGTTAATTAACTGTCACTTGATGGATTAATTGTTATTCTGTTGATTATAATGTTCACAATTAAAGTTACAATCCAAATAAAGTGAACAATTGCCTTTCAATTAACTTTTCCATCCCCTCTCCATCCTTGTAATCAAATCTGACAATTAATACTCGGTTTTCAACCTTGTTAATTAAATTACAATTAATACACTAATACAATAGTTAATTAGTTCTTATTGATTATTAGTAAGTATTAATTGTCATTCACAATTAAAAGTTGATAAAGTTTCAAGACAAATATGAACAAAAATTAAAGCAAATTTATTAATCCAATTTGTTCAATTGTTAATTGTGACTCTGATTTGATGATTTGATTATTGATTAAAATTTTGATCAATTTCCGGATAACATTGATTTAAATTGGTCGTTGAAAAAAATCAACTAATCAAATTAGGTCAAAACCATAAAGGTTAATTGTAAATTCAATCCCAGTGATTAGATATTAACCCGGAACGTTAAAATCTTGTCAAATGTCAATGATCACAATTAAATCAATTACAATTTAAAAGTTATTAACAATAATTTAAGTTTCATTGGTAAATCAAGTTATTAGATTTAAATTGGTTACAACAATTAACGACCAATTTTGTAGTTGTTTTCGTCAATAATAAAATTATCACCGTTGATCCAGTTTGTAATATTATCTAATAATTTAGTTAATTGTTAAAATGATTAAGATTGACCTGTTAATTGCAATGTACTTGTTTCGTGGTTCAATGATCAATGAAATCTTGATTTCTAATCATAATCACTAATCAACTATATTAAATTATCCGTTTGTATATAATATTTTTAATCATATTTGTAGTAAGTGTTAACAGTTAATAACAACAATTAACTTTTCCCTGATCACAATCAAAAATAATAATTAATCTTCACAATCAATTGGATTAACAGTTTCAATAGATTTATATAAAATTTGTTAATTATCTTGATTGTTATCATTTTTATTTATATAAACGACAATTGAATGACATTGAAAGTAAATCAATTGATGAAATTAATTAAATCATTTAAACAATTAACTTGATTTTAATCATTTTGTTATAATTTTTACCTTAAAAGATTGAAAAAAATTGCAAATTGATTAGTTGATTGTTTGAATGGTTAAAAGTCACAAATAATAAAATTAACTATTAATACAAATGACAATTTGGTTGATCATAAACCATTAAGATTAACTAATCAACAAAAATAACCGTTGATTACAGTTGATTGATTGTTTTAATTGTAGTTATGATGATCAACAATTAAAGATACATTTTTAATCCTTAATTGAACTTTTAATTATTTCATTTCGTTTTCCTTTCACCTTAATTGTTAAACTTTCATTGTTTTTCTTTAATTATTGATTACAAATTAAAAAGTTAATTATAATTGATTATACACTTGACACAAAACTAATCAACTAATTTGTCTTCCCAGTGAAAGTGATTAGATTAACATGATTACAATTTTCCTGGATAATTTAATTGTTGTTGTTTGTTTTTCGTTCTCGTTTTATACTCACACTCACAAACCAAACAGTTTAAACAATTAATCGTAACAATTTAATTTAGATGGTCAGAAATCAACTGATTATCTTGATAACCATGGGAAAAAAACAGTGAAGGTCAAATCGGAATGGTCATCATTTTAATCAAAGATGGACATAGGTCACGAGAATCAGTGATAAAATAATCTCACAATCAAGTAAACAACAATTAACATTTACAACAACAATCAATTTAAATTTTTCTCATCAAGTTCAAATCGTTACCTTTAAGAAAATCAAAATAACAAAAGTTTTCGTCTTAATTGTTAATCATGATGATAACAATCAAATGGCTTGAAGGTAACAAACAGAAAACAGTTAATTATGATTAAATTCATTCATCAAAATAATAGTCACAATCAAACAATTTAAATTTCATTGATATTTGAGGTGTTAATTGTTGTCCTTTCTATTGTTGTTAATTATTACGATTCACACTTAATTCATCATTACGATTTGAATCAGAATCGAGATCAAAGTGAACATTGATTGAAAGATAATCTTTTGATTTAGTAACAATTATCATCTAAATAGCTTAATTAGAATCATTGATCAAATTTTCCAATTCCTTTTAGCAATTAGAAGAACGATTAAGTTTCACAATCTAAATTAATCCATAAATTAACTGGAATTAGATTCAATTAGATTAATAATATAAATGAAAATCGTTCATTGAACTAATGAGAAGGAAAAAGTTTCCAATCGAATCAAATTTTCACTCCTAATCTTTATCATGAGAATCTTGCTAATTATTATCATTAATTTGATAATAATCTCAATCAATCGGAAGTAAGCAACTACTCAATTAGCTTATAATCTTAATTAACTTAATTATTTGAAAGAATCACAAGCTAAATCAAATGGAATCACAATAATTAAGCTTCTCATCTGAATCTTTGGTTATTGAAAGTAAACAGAATCAATAATTTTCAGAACTTTAATATTATATGATATAAATTTCAATTCAATTCTTACCTCATGATGGTCATTTTTATCATCATGATCATGCCAGTGGTCATGGTGATGTTCATGTTCATGCTCTTGCCAACCATGGTGATGATGATGATCACTTGAAACTACAACAATTAACACTGAAAGTGTAACGAAAATAATAAAATAAGAATTCATTTTTTTTTCTTCTTCTTCGTTGATTAACTAATCGAAACTGTCAAACTGTTTGTAAACTTTGAAATTGATTTACACTTATATATAACCAAGAATTTAAATTGTTAGCAAATAGAGATAATCATCATTGAGATAGTTTTCAAACAATTAGAAACATCAACCAACCATAGCTCCCCATCAGAGCTTAATTGCTTGATTAGCATCGTTACTATTTAACGAACGTTATTAACTGTTGATTATTAGTCTGACTCTCGATCTCTCTCTCTCTTTCTTACTGGAAAATGTTACTAATTTGATTATCTGTTGATTAGGAAGTAATTTTGTTCAATTGACAAAATTAAGTCGATTTGATTGTTTCGGTTTAGGTTAAAATCGAAAGTCAATCAACTAAATTGTTAATTGTGTCTCTCTATCGCTCTACCTATTTACCTATTGTCCACAATTCATTGAATCCTAAATACGCTAATAAAAAATTAAATTGTCTCTCTCTCTCTCTCTCTCTCTCTCTCTCTCTCTCTCTCTGATTTAGGTACTAAAATTAATTAATTGTTAACAATTCTAATGATAGAGGTTCGTTTTTCTCTGAGTAATTAGAATAGTTTAAATTTCAATTGATTTGATTCAAATTTCATGGTCTATTAGTGAGACTTCAAGAGTGATTTAATTGTACCGATTATTGTTTTCCCATCAATCAGGGTCATTAATTAATTTTAATTTGATTAGATTTATATGCGTATTCATGTTTAGATTAGTAAATTGTGTAAGGTTAATGGTGAATTACCAGATGATTAGTGTCATCAATCAGTCTTGAGACTCTAATTTGAATATAGAACAACAGTAATTACTATTGTTAATTAATCACCAACTTTAATCAAGTTTGATTATTGTTATGATGTTATCATGATGATCTTGAAGTTTAATTGTTAAAGCGAGTTTTTGTAACGATTGAACTTAAAAAGTTTTTTAAATTTTAAAAATATGGAAAATTTCAACTTAATCTCATAAATGATTCAGTTTCATTGGATAAGTTGAATTAATCCACTTAATCCATTGAAGGTAATAATCTAATATACAATTTACGATAACTGTGATTATCGAATTAGTAAATTCAGAAGGTGTGGATTGAAACTGGATCATTAGAAAGTGAGACAATCAGCTGAGAGAAGTGAAAGTGAGTGAGTGGATGAGAGAGAGAGAGAGAGAGAGAGAGAGAGAGAGAGAGAGAGAGAGAGAGCTGAAGTTCTGGTGAGAGTTCAGGTGAGCGTTTGTTTATCTTCTTGTGATCATGTGAAAGTGAATTAACGGACAGTTTAACCGATTGTCCAGTTTCGTTTAACTGACCAAATCAGTTAACAATTAAATCATTCGTCATGTTAATTATTGGATAAATCAGATTAATCCCGAGTATATTGGATTCTTTCTGATAAAATACAACAAATATCTCACCTAAAAATTGATAAATTTTCTTAATCAGTGATAAAATATTCTCATCTCAATCTTTTATTGACCAATCAACTGACCATATCTCACCAATAACAAACCAATTCCTGTGTAATGTGATTTTTGTTAACATTTTTCATCAGAAAAGCAAAACCAAACATTCTGAACATTTAAGTTTACAGTTATTACCATATGATGGTCAAGTGTGATTTAATTGCTTTTATATTGTTTCTGATTAATTTAAATTTTGTTCTGTTGGGACGTGTTCGCGTTAAAATTTATGACCATCGAGCGGAACATGATCCAAATTCCTTATACGGAACTGGACCTTGGAAATACAAAGGCTACGGGTACGGAATTGAATATCAATACGAGCCCGATGGTTCCTATGGTCGGGAAAAAGGTTATGGCTTCATGAAAGCTTTCGGTGTTGATTTTTGTCGTCACTCGAAAAGTTCATTGTGTCGGAAATCATCACCTTTATCCATGTCATCCTCATCATCATCCAATGAAGATGAGGAAGATGATAAATCTTTTTTCAAAGAGATGATCAATCCTGGTGAACCCTATTGGGGTCATCCTTCAGGTGATGTCCTTCGAGATAATTTGTCAACGTTACAAAGTCAATCTAATAAAGTTGTTGGTTCATGGAAACCTAATTGGATTCGTCATGATTAACAACAATTAAACACTATTTAATTATGTTCCTGTTTAATGATAATCAATAACACAAAAAAAAACTTTTACCTTCTTTTCCTGTTGATAATCATAATCATTGTCAAAAGTTAATTCAAGTACAATTTATTAATCGAAATGTATATTATATGTAATAGACAATTTTTCTTGATTGTAATTAAATTTCTTTCTATTACATTATTATTATTGAAGAAGAGTTTTTAATTGTATCAATGTGATAGTTAATTGTAATCGTTTCCAATTGATTTTCGTAAGTTTAGTTGAGAGATTAAATTGATCTGAATGAAATTTTATTCGCAACGATTACAATTTACTAATTCTCTCATCTAATCTTGCTATTTATTATTATTCGTTGATAAATTAAAGAGATAATTTTGAAAAGTTAGAGAAAAAAAAAATACGATGATGATAAATATCTTGCAGTTACTTGAGGACAAATAACGGGATCGGGTGTAAAGAAAGAGGCCAAGGTCAAGCAAGAGAAACAAGATGTTTATCTTGGATGATAGATTCTAACATCTGATCATCATCCAATTTAAGGAAGAAGATGATAACCAATATGATGATGCAAGAGGAAGACAAGTAGTAGGGTCAAGTAACTGCCCACCAGCAACAGCAGCAACAACAACAACACCAGGAACATACAGGAACTAATAGTTGATCGAGTGATGAAGATGAAGATGATTAAGATGGAGAAGGGGGAAAACCTATTTTGGTTCCGATTCAATAGTAAGAAAATAAGGTCACCAAATTGACCTGAGGGCTTGTTCTTCATCGGTAAATCAGGGGGAACACCAGAAACCAGTATAACGAATGGAAGCAAAAAAAAAGTGGTCATCATGAGAGTGACCAGTTTATAAGGATGAACCCACCGGGGAAATAGATACAAGTTGAATTGATTGTGTGTAGACAATGAACAGTTTCAATTAACCCTCAAAACTAACCACTGGTCAAGCTGAACGTTTTTTTGCTTGTTTCATTCTTGTGTATGTTAAAAGTTGATCATAATCATCATCATGACAGTAATTCCAATTCATCTTAGTTATCCAGAGGAAACATTGACTCAAGTACGAAGTAAATTACGTGAAAAATTGTCCAATCGTTTGACGGAAATTGATGTTAATTTATTAGATCGTCTTATGGTTGATGATCTTTTATTACGTCGATACATTAAACGACGAAATGGTGATATTGAGACGAGTGTTCCGTTTCTCTGTTCCGTTCTGGAATGGAGGAAACGTATGGGTTTCCCTGAATTAACGGAAACCTCATTTCCTAGTGAATTCTATGAGGTTGGTGGTATATATAATTATGGTATCGATTCTGAAGGTAACCCGGTTGTTCATATCCGGATTCGTTTATTTCAAAAGATTGAAGGGATTCTCGATATATTGAAAAAGTTTTCCATCTATCAAATGTATCGAGCCGATGAATTGGCCGCTTCAAAGGGACCAGAATTTGGTTGGGTTTTGGTTTTCGATTGTACCGATGCTTCAATTGCCAATGCCGACATTGATATGGCCAATTTTGTCTCGTCAACTTTAAGAAACTATTTCCCCTCAGGTCAAAAATATATTCTGGTTCATCGGCTCCCCTGGTTACTCTCGGCGGTGAAAACTTTGGTCTACACAATGTTACCCGGTTATGTCAAGAAAAAGATTCGTTTCTGTGATGAGAAAACTTTAACTGATCATATCGCAATTAACAATTTACCTGATTACTTGGGTGGACCAGGGACTCCAAGTGATTATCGGTTAATCCCTCAGGGTTTAACCACCACCCGTGAGTTAACAATTAAGGGATTACTGCCAATGTCAGATGAACAATTAAGTAAAACTTATCAGTATTATGATAAATTGAAATGCTTTTTATATCCAAACAAAGATTGAAACATTAAAGAAACAATTAGAATATATAATTAATTGTTCAATTGCTATTTCGTATCTGATTAGTTTCAAACAATTCTAATCATGATGAGGATTAGCAAACAATCTAGTTAATAGTAAACAATCAAATACAATGTTATCAGTTTTTGTTTACAATCGATTAACAATTTAAACCACCGAACCTTTTTTTTTAATTCTTTCATCAATCTTTATGATTAACTAATTCACTTTAATTGTTTGTTTACTAACTAATTGTCCACTAGATTTAATCACAATAAAAGTCACTTGCTTCTTGTATAATCTGCTGGTTAATTTTTCTTACATGTAATCATTTAATCAGTCTAACAATCAACTGATTAATTAGATTATTTTAATGATAAATATCATTAATTTTTTTAGATTTTTTTTCCTTATAATTAGTTACATTTGATTATGTTTTTTTTTTATCAAATGTTGATTGTTAATCTAATTTTGATCATAATTTTAACTCTTTTTGATTGTGATCACTGATTGTGAACTTTGATAAAAATTAACACTTTACAATCAATGATAATGATTAACTTTTCTCATTCAACAATTTATTTTTAATCCATCTTTGTTAATCTAATTGTTTGACCGTTAGAATTGGTCATCCGTCAATTGACCGTGAGTACGAACAACAATTGTAATTATTTGATTTCTTACTTTCACCAATCAATTGATTGTGAATTTATTTTTTCTCTCCATCATCACAATTATAATCTAATTTGTTACTCAGTTTAATTTAATATCACGATCACGATTAGTTATTAAATTGTGTCTGTTGGTATCAACAACGATCTGATGGTAATGATGTTTTTTTTTGAATTACGAGTTAAATTATCATGTCAATTAACTTAGAATTGATTTCAAGGTTTCACCTAATTTTAAGTTGATTGTTGGGTATTTAATTGACAATTTAGTAGAAAATTTTGAATATTTTTTCTTCAAATAATCGGGAACCACTTCGTCTTCAACCCGATATCGAGGTAATCAGATTTTCTGTGAAATCGAGAAGGAAAAATTTAGATAGAAAATTGATTCTATTAGTAAATTGTTGGCTTTTTGATTGTTAGAAATTAACAGTTTACAGTTCAGATCAAGACTAGGGTGATGACGACAATTGTCCGATAGATTAAGATGATTAAAGGCAATAATGATAATAGTTTCATAATGATGATGACAATAATTTGATGCCTATGGTGATGATGACGATGGTGAAGTTGATTAACTTAATCATTGTTGCAGTTATTTAACAGTTTCAAGGTTAAATTGTTGTTTCTTTTTATTGAAAATTTTTCATTTCATTGTAAAGTTGATCGTCCATGAAGCCATTTTATCTTGGTAATCAAAATTTTCGCTGAAATTTGTTTAATCAACTAATCGGATCGATGGTATTGATTTTTGTTTCCACCCAATTGATGAAATTGTCGTGATCACAAGTAAATTAGTTGAAACAATTCACCTTAAAAATAATTCTCTATTTGTATCAATCAAATCTTTACCCATGTAATTGCGAAGCACCGGCGGGATTACTACGGTTCCATCGGCAGTTTGTCCATATTCAAGAATCGCTAAAATGATCCGAGGTAAGGCACAAGCGGTCGCGTTAACGGTGTGAACAAATTTCGTCGCAAATGGTTCATTGGTTTCGTAATTTGGTTCCACTACTTTGTACTTGATGTTAAAACGACGAGATTGAAAATCTGTACAATTGGAAGCCGAAGTAACTTCACCCCACATTCGAGATCCTGGTAAAAGTACTTGAATGTCAAACTTTCGGGTTGCCGTTAATCCCAATTCTTCTGGTGGCATATCAATAACCCGACATTTTAGATTAAGTTGAGAGAGAAGATGTTTCTGAATTTCCATAAATTCAAATAACATCTCAGAACTTTCCTCCTCTCTGGTTAACGAATACATTTCCACTTTAGTAAAATAGGGAACTCGATATATTCCAGTTTCCGTTTTAACCTTTGACACTTCAGCTCGATAACATCGACTAACAGTACAATACTTTTTAGGTAAATCTTGCTCATTGAATGTTTCACCCACATGAAGACCAGTTAACGGAATCTCCGATGTTCCTGCAAGACAAATTTTCCCTTCAAATTTATCCTCATTACTTCGGGTCCAAGGCTCATCTCCGTTAAATCCTAACAATTTATACACTTGAGTTGCTCGGCCTCTTGGTTGATATCCACAGCCACTGATGGTATCTTCATAGACTATATTGGGAACCATAACTGGAATGAAATCAAATTTATTCATCAACTCGTCGAGTGTCCAGTCAATTAGAGCCTGATGAAGTTGAGCCAATTCCGCAAGGAAAGCGTAACTCCGTACAGATGTGACCACACCAACGCCGTCATGTTTACTTGTCTGGACCAGGCCAAGTTTATTGGCGATGTTTAACCCTTTCTTTACTTTATCCTCTTCCAACATGATCGTTGATCCAAATTCTTCCACCATGAAATCATCTATGGCCGATCCTGGTGTATAATCGTTCCACCTTTCATCTAATCGGTTTGGTAAATTGTTTACATTTTGTTGTAAAAATTTTCCAATCTCCTCTTGGTTTGTACACTTTTCCAATTCTCGATTAAATCCACGTAATCCTCGTTTCTTTATATTGTCAATAATTTCACTTTGATTAACAGGATCCAAATAATATTCTCGATTAACATGATCATAAGTAATTATTGATGATAATCCATTTGAATCAAATCTTTTCCAATCTCTCCAACCATCAAAAGTACCATTGAAACGAGTAGAATGACTGAAAACACATTTACTTAGATTTTTCAATGTTAATCCGATTCTTGGAACAATCAACATGATTAATTTAACTTAACAGAAATTTAATTGTAATAGTAAATCACAATTAAGAGTAAAACAATCAATCATTTACAATTAAAGTTGATTCTGTTAACCAAAAATCTTACCTTGTTTTTCACATGAGAAATCAGCTGTAACTTGATTACCATAGAAACCAAAGTGACAAAATAATTTGACTTTTTAAATTTTAACCAAGTGAACTGATTTATTTTAAAGATGATTAATGAGAAATTATGATTGGACAGTGACCAGAAATTAATGACCGGATATGATATGGTTATACTTTTAAGTTTATACGCCATAGGTAAAGTTAAAGAAAGAAGAAGAAAAAAATTCATTTGAAAAGTTGTCATATGTATATCGGTGAATGAACAACAATTACGAGTTTAAATTGTTTGATAAATTTGTTGATAAAATTAAAATCAATCAAATGGATTAAACAAATTTCCTCTTGACTGGTTTTTTTCTTCTTCGTGAGCTTGTTAATGGGTCACGTTGACCGGTCAAGCTTATTTCACATTGTAAACCAGTGAATCCTTTTCGACATCGACATTTGTCAACTCCAATACAACGACCTCCATTTAAACAGGGAATTAAACACTTTGAATATTCACACCGAGGACCATAATAACCACGGGAACAGGTACACGTATCCTTTTGATCACATTTTCCACCATTGAGACATCGTTCCCAACAAATTCCACCCTCACAGCGTTGACCTTGATATCCATTGATACAATTACATATTCCTGGTGCTATACAATTACCACCATTAAGACAGGGTGGGAAACACAAAGGTGTCTCACAAAAGGTTCCAGAATAACCTCGACGACATTCACAATTAGAATCTAAATTACACCAGCCACCATTGTGACATTTGGTATGACAATTGATGTCATTTGATTGTTTTCCTTGACAGTGTTTTCTTAGCTTCATTCTAATCGGTGTACCTTCCAAATTCTTGTTATTCTCACCATCTTTTATTGCCAAAGTGATGGCAAAAGATGAGACACCAGGTATTGATCCTGAACATAAAATGGTAACACGAAAAATACTTGGATCATTGGGTATAAATCCTTCCCGGTTGATTGAGATAATTGGATCAAATAGAATTGACCGATTAAATGATTTCAATTCTTCAAACTCGTATTGATACATTTTACCAGCTCCTGAAGTCCATGTAAAGTTAATTGAAATCACTTCAGCAGGAATATTGGGCAGGTAAGTTTGAAAATTAGGTTCCAATAGGTAAGGTAACAATTTACCTTCTCTTATGGCATAAAGTTGACTTGATACATTGGCAAGTTCTCTAACTTGATTCTCATCTAACCAAAGGGAAACATCACGAGGTGGATGATCAAGGTAACCACGATAATCATCTTCTTCATCAATTATCAAAGGAATTGATTCATACTCAGATGAAGAAACACTAGACAAACCAACCAAAAGAATCCAAAACAAACCAACTGTTGATAAGAAAAAACCTTTAAAAGTTAACATTGAAACAACGAAAATCAATCAATCCAATTAATTCTCAATCCAAATAGAATATAATCCAAAGAGAAAAAAAATTCCAATCAACAGCTAAACAACATAATTAACACCAACAATTTAATTTAATAGAAAATTAATTCAACAATCAAAAAGAAATGGAAAAGTTGATAAAGAAAAGAAAAAGAATTTTTTTCTAAAAGTAAATAAATTCTCCACCCATAGATGGCGACACATCGTTTTCTTTTTTATCAAAGAATTTGAATTGTTTATGATTCTTGGCGGGAAACATTTTGGGTCAACCTTTGAGTCTAAATTACACGTTTCTAATAAATTAGCTAATTGTCATCTAATCACAATTAACTTTAATAATAATTGGTGTTAATTAATTAACCATTACCCTGTGAACTATCCAATGATCCAACTAAAATAGTCACAATTGATTTGGATCTTTAAACTGTAACCGAAAACAACTGTTACCCTTATTTTTTTTTGTTCTGTTTCTTCATTGTTAATATTATAAAGATAATTGTTTACTCATTGTTATCCTTTGGTGGCTTTGGTGGTGTTTTTGTTTCTTCTTGGGACTAATATATTCACCTTGACATTTGTGTAAAAGGTTAAATTGATGGTTATTTATCATGTTTCTACAAGATTATCGGAAAGAATTTTATGAATTACTGTTTGGTCAACGGATTTTGGTTCTTGTTAATTATGATGTAGATGCTGTTTGTGCTGCGAAGCTTTTGTCTTCGCTTTTCCGTTCGGATAATATTGTCTTCACCATTGTACCTGTTCTTGATGCTGAAGATCTTTACAAAACATACAATGCTCACCGAGGAAGTGTTAAATATATTCTATTGATTAATATTGGTGCTACTTTTGATATAGTCGAATTACTTGAACCAGATGATGAACAAGTTTTCTTTATCGCTGACAGTCATCGGCCCATCGATGTCTACAATGCCTACAGAGGAGATCAGGTTAAGTAAGTGTTTCTCTCTCTCTCTCTCTCTCTCTCTTTTATTTCTCTAATTGTATATTAATCATGTGTTTATTTTCCCGTTCTTTAGGTTATTAATGAAAGCTGATGATGTAGGTGAAATTCCTGAATACAATGATCTATTTCGTGACTCTGACGATGAAGATGATGAAGATGATCATTCAATTGCTGGTATGAGTTTGGAACAATTGGAAAAACGTCAAGAGAGAAGACTTTGGAACGAGAAAAGGAGACAAATTCTATTCGATTATAGTCAATTTAGTTATTATGGTGATTCAATTTCATGGACTTTCTTTCAATTAGCTTGTAAGCTAAATAAAGATACTAATGAACTTCTTTGGTTGGCAATAGTTGGTATTTACGATTTACTCTCATCTGGACGTATTGATCGTAGTGTTTTTAAAGACTACCTGAAGCAGCTTAAAAGTCATTGTAAACGTTTAGGTGAACTAAAGAGTAACGTTAATCTATTCAAAGAATCTGCTCCAATCGATGATATAATCAATACTCCGGCTGGAAGGCGAAGTTGCATTTCGGTAGTTCATAAAAAAGATTTACAATTACTCCTTTATCGTCACTGGAATCTACATGATAGTCTTAAACACACCATGCACGTTTCTTGTACATTCAGAGTGTGGCATTTAAAGGGTTATAAGCGTCTCCTTGAATTTCTCGCTGAACTGGGAATACCTTTGAAACAAAGTAAACAAAAGTTTGTCTCTATGGATCTGGAATTGAGGAAACATGTTCAAGAATGGGTTTCCGATTTAGCCGAGAAATATGGTCTAAACAAAGTGATCGGCGATTCGTTCGAGGCCAGTCATGGATTTAAGTACAAGTTTGTCGCTAACGATGTTGTTTCGGGAGTTAAAGCACTATTAGAATCACCAAATAAGGAGCTCTCACCGAAAGAAAAATTTATGAAAGCACTTGACTCACTTTCTTGGACCAAAACCGATGAACTTATGGAAGGCATTGAATTGGCCAAATTAAAATACGAAGCTATACTCAAAGCGGTTCACGATATTATCGAGATGAGAAGTGTTGAATCTTCTGGACCTTTTTTACATACAATTATTCCCGAAGGTTCACCTGATGCTAAATTATTCGCTTATCCTGGAAGCCTGATAACTTTGGCTCGATTTATTTTGGAAGCATTTGTGGCCACTTCCCGACGTAAACGTGTGGTCAATTTACCACTGGTCGTTATAACCCCAGACGTAAATAACGCTGGACTTGCTTTAGCAGTGGGAATACCACCGATTGCTGAAGACTCGACAAGAAATTTATTCGGAAAAGCATTCATCCAAGCTGGACAAACCATGAACTGCCAAATCGAACCCACCCTGTACGATTTATCTGTAGTTCGTTTCCCTTTTGAAGAAAGATCAAATCTTTTCTCTACTCTAATCTCACTACTCAGTTAATTATCCTTCAAGGTAGATTTCACCTCCTCATCCTCATCCTCATCCTCCTCATCCTCCTCATCACCATCATCATCATCATCATTATCATCATCATCATTTTCATCATTCTGTTACCACCCATGGTAATAGCTCATCACACAGAGACACACCCAACCTCAACTATATAAATATTTAAATTATTTATATTTAAACCATTCAAAATTCAACATTTATTATCTAGTGGCTCGGGGCATCCAGATTCAAAGCGGAAAAGGTTACAAAAAAAAAATGTCATTCGTCAATATATCAGGATAAGGATAAGCACTTTCTCCCCTCTCATCGTCATCCTCTTATTAATTTCATCATTATTATTACTATTATCATCCAAATCTATTTTATATTGTAAATTTTTACAAAAGGAAGTGAACAAATCAATTGATTGGCTTATCAACTGCTCAAAGGATACACATGGATCAACCATTATCAACAACAACAACAACAACAAAAACAATTGAATCATCTTATTGTGCATGGGATTTAAAAACAATTAATAGTTAATCATCATCCAATCCTTGGTTATATAACAATTCATTTAAATTGACCATCAGATTGATTTAATTTTCAATCAAGAACATCATGAATCCATGAAAAGGGAAAAGTTAAATCATCTTCTCATACTGAATTAATATTCATAAATGTTTCAATGGTTTCTAAATGGTTAGACGATTGAAATTAACAATCAGCTGATTCTTTTCAATGATAAAACAAAAAATTAACTAAAGACTGTCAAGAAAAAAAAACCTTCAGAGAGCAATGATAATTGATAAACATCTAAATGTTACAATTAAAAGGGATAAAAATTGTTGCGCGATTAAATTGCTCGAGTTAACTTTCTTCTTCTTTTTCTTCGTAATCACAATCAGTTAATTGTAATCGCAATTAATTCAGGTAAAACTTGATCAAAGTCTTTTTTTGAATTGATTATTGTTTTAATCCTGACGAAGAAATAAATTGTCGTCTCAATGTTAATTAGTTTTCTTTCTAACGATTATAAAAGACGACAATTAGTTTTGCACTTTAAATTACCCGAAAATTGATCCTTCCATTAATTAAACAAATTACGAACTCAAATTGTGAAAAGAAAAATTAATAAACTAACCATATATTTTATATGGGGAACTGATTCTCTTTTCTTTTTTAATTGGATTAGTTAATTACAATCACGGTCATCAGACTAATTTAGTGGAAATTTTTGATTCATTTGACAAAAAAAATGAAGAAAAAAAATCAAGTTTATCTTCAAATTGTCTCAATAAAACGGAGAGTTTATCAAACTTAGAAATCAAGGTAACAATTAGTGTGATTATGATCATGGTTTATCAACCTAATTCTTAATTGCAATCGAAAGATTCACAATCAGTTAATTGTTAACCTTTGAATTTTTCTTTCATCGATTTCCTTTTCCTTTTTTATCTCTCTCGTTCCATGTTGATTCTGTAACAAAAAAGGGTCTCAATTCACTCGTTGATTGGAAAATAATTAATTCGATGGACAATTAAGAGATTTAAATAGCTTTTATTGGTTTTGACAAAATTGAAAGAACAATTTTCATGAACTAATCAGAATCATGATCATCATGATTATCTGTAAGTTAGTAACAAAAAAGTTTTTCCTCTTAACAAAAAGGTTGATGTCGTTGATGGTTCGATCGGTAAATCATCAGAGTTTTTGGATTTTCAATGATGATTAGTTTTGAGAATTTCAATTGAGAAACGATTGGAAATTTAGACAGTGTGAGTTTGTGAAAAAGGAACAAAAAAAGTTTTCGAAATGAGAATAAAGTTCGTTATTGGTTCTACCAAATATGAATTTAGACTCGTTGGTTGGGTAGAAATCACTTATTGGAGTTGGAAGTTACCGAATGGAGAGAAAGCTCGAGCTGGAGCTGAGAAGACATTTGGTGCGGCGATGACTCGGGCTGGTTGTGGGGCGAAAGCGATTGGAGCAGCGACTGGGGTTTCTGTTTGGTAAGGGAGGAAGAGAAATTCAAAGTTTTACTTGGTTAAAATTTTGTTCGAGTTCGAAAGAGTTGGAAAGTTTGATTTTTCTTCTTTTAATGTTCTGTTTTTCGTTCTGAGAGAAGGAAAATTGAAATTGAACTTGAAAAGAAAATATTGATTACCTGGTGGTGGAGGTGGAGCGTTTGCGAGTGCGGTCAATTGTTCACTGGTTCGTTGGTTGGTTGCAGCGGCGATTCCAACGGTGTCTGGTGCAGAGATTGCGGTATCAGCGCCAGCCAATGGAGCGGTTCCTGGTTCGTTTGTTTGGATGGAAGCACGGAAACCAGTTTCATCGGCAACATATGAGACAATTCGTTGACGACCATCGGCATCACTTAAAGCATATGAACCAGTTTTACGACCGAAAGCATCACCTTGTTCACTTCGTTGAGAACCACCGGAAAGTCCTTGTTCAGTGTAAGCGAATTGATAATTACCTGTACCATCTTCAGATCTTGAGACTGATGAAGAACCAGTTGAAGCAATACCAGCGGGGGTAATGACGGCAGCCGAAGCGACAGCAACTAAAGCAAGAATAATGATGACCTTTGAAAAACGAAAACGAAAAACGAACAAAAAAAAGGAAAATTATATTATTAAAATAACAAAAGTTAAACAAGAAAATCAGTTCAATCAAATGATAGGAAAATTTTGGATCATCAAACCAAATTAGTGAATATATTTACCTTCATGTTGAAATGGTTTAGGATTAAACACCGAACAGGTAAATTAAAACTTCTCGAATGTTACAAAACTAAGTTAATGTTTCAAAGTGAAATGTTTTAATCAACTGACTCTGATCTTTATACCCAAATGTTTCTGGGCAGTGGATTAACTTGGTCACCACCTCTTTCATAATAAGATTAGTGGATCAGCGTTTAAATTACATGAATATCTTATTATGTTCAACACCAAGCGACTAATCATTTTGTATATTTAAGGTAAGATTGTTTTAAATTGTGGGCTGTCTTTAAATTGTAATTTTCTTGCTTTTTATTTTGTACTTTCACTTTCTCTTTCACTCTTATCAGGTAAATTATCCAGGATGATGATGATGATGATGATGAGGATGCAGAAAGATGATAATGATGATGATGTGAAAGATGAAGATGAAGATGAGAAAACCTTGAGACTTATAAAGATGAAGCCTCGAGCAATTATGATGAGAGAATCAAGATATTTATTCATTATTATTTTACTTCATCTTCATCCTCATCATTATCATCATTTCGCCATCATCATCATCATCATCATCATCATCATCTTCGCCATCATCCTTGGCCATTGATTTTTCATTTCGATTGGACTTTAAATAATTAGATTGTGATTAAATGTCCTTGAGGTTTACTTTTTTTTTCTCGTTTCTCAAGATTAAACTTGATTCCTCTCTCTATATAATTCATACTGTGATTAATTTAAATTGTTGTTTGTCGTTAGTATTATTTACAATTAAGAGAGTCTCATGTTATGGTAAATGAACATGATGATGATGATAACGATTGATGAAAGTTAATTGTCTACAATTATAATAGTAATTTACCAGAGAGATAGGAACCAATTAATTAGGTGGTTTTCCTTTTGTTTAGCATTTTCGTCTTAATTTGTTTTTTCTCGTCTAAATCAAGTTAATTGTTCCCTCTCTCTATCTCATAATTTATGGTGATTATCATTTGATTCATTTTTCAATTTACAACATTAAATTGTTTAGTTCATGATGTTTAGTTAATTGTTTAGGTTTTGTTTTCTTTGTTTCAATTTCAACAGATTCACTTACAATTTCATGAATCAAATTGAATTTAAGTTAATTGTTGGTTCACTTGGTCACTGATTCTTTTGATTAGTTTATTAATTCATTGGATCATTGGATCAGTGGGTTGATTTTTTTTTCTTATTCTCCTGTTAATTGTTGATTTAAATCTTAATTTGTTTTATCTTTACCTTAGTAAACTAGTTTGTCCAGGTTGATTAGTGATTAATTGATTAGGGATTAAGACAAACAAGAATCAATGATGAAAACAACTTTTGATTTTAAGATGAGTTAAATTGTTGATTAACTAATTGATTGTATTTTAACCCTGACATGTTAATTTGAGGTAAAACTTTTAATTTAAATTGATTAGATTATAAAATGATCAATAACAATATGAATAATCATTGATTAGTGACCGTTAATTTAAATTATTCAAAAGTCACAAAATTGTAATTAACTAAAATTGTAAAAGATTCAATTTTTGGTGTTAAATCTGCTAAAGGCAATCACGATTAGTTTTAATTCATTTAATTGGTAATCAATAAATTAAACTCAATCAATTAACAGTTAACAATTAGCTGGAAAAAGTGTTGATAGTTTTTGTGGTTTAGGTTAATTTGTTTTTCTTTTGATTGTTGATTAAATTAATTGATTAATGAAAATGATCAATAAATCAAAAATCGGATGGACACTTGAATCGGGAAATGATTTAATTGATCTGATTAAATTGCCTTGAGATTAGTTAATTTACTAATTGTTATAATAGTTAGTTGATTGCATCATATTTAATTATTTTTGGTTAAACAATTAAACAATTAACACCCTTAAGCAATTGTTTTAATTGCTCAGTTTATTATTAGTTAATTAATTAAAATGATAATTGTAATTTGTTATCAATTGTCACCAGTGTTTATTTACCAAATGAGTTACAATTAAAACTAATTGTGTGATTAATTGTGATGATAATAAGACAAAAAAGTTATTGTTTTAATTAATCAACTACTATTAGAGGATAGTGATAACAATTAAACAATCAAATAGACAATTAAAATACAATCATCTAGAATCTAGAGTAAGGATGATAAATCAATTGTTGATTGTAATGATTAGTTAATCATAATAATAATTTTACTCATTAAATTGATACACCAATTGATTGGATATTTCAATCAATCTAATTGATTGATTAAACTTGAAGAGAAATTATTTAGATGAGTTTAATTTGTTTAAGAAAAAAAAATTAATTATTGAACAAATAAGCGACTGATTGTCACAATTAACCCCTGAAAGAACAACAATTAATCAATATCGATTGAGATTTAGAAAATCTCAAAACTGATTATCCTTAAAGAGTAAATTAAACAATTTAATTTAAAGATTAAGATACTAATCAACTTTGGATTCCATTGGTTAAGATTAAGATACAATATCTCAAATTAACGAGAACAATTAACAACACCAAGTAAACAATTGAAAAGAATCTCCATTTAATCAGTTAAACAGAAAGAAGCTTAATTGTTGAACTAAATTCGGTTCGATCAATAATAATACGAAAAAAAAAATTGGAAGATCACAAAGTAAATTTACTTTTTTTCTTATAATTGATTATGTTTATTGATAGATTTTAATTTAGGCAATTGCGGACGTGATTAGGTTTCTTCATGATATTTTCTTAGCTTAACTAATTTTCTTTTTTGTTTTGCTTTTTAAATCAAAATTCAATTAAATCTTAGAAGATTTGAACGTGAAGAGGAAAAAAAAAATGTTTACATTTGTATTACGATATAACTTTTTCTCATATGTATATAAAAGGGATTTAAAAAGGAAGGATAATCCACTTGAACGCACGAACGAAGGCAAATGAAGGAATATTTGTATCGCCATCTTGTGGTGAATATTTTCATAATTCGCCGAACCAAATTGACTTAAAATGTGGGTTTAAAAGAGAACCAAAAGATGGCGAGACAAGCGAAAAAAGAGATTGCGAAATTGTTCAAATTGTTTCAAGTTGAATTTCCCCTTTTCCCTTGAAAAAAAAGGTGATTATGTGAATGTGTGTGTTGAATTAATTAATTGTGTGTCTTTTGTATGTGTGTGTTTTGTGTATGTAATGAAATGTATGTAATGTATGTGTTGGTTGTGTGTGTGTGTGTGTTTCTCTCATTTATATATGTAGGCTTTAAAGGCTTAACTAATTGGTTGATTAGTTGTTGTTGTTGGTGATGATAATGATTTTGTCGATAGATTTTTATAGCTTAGATCAAGTGCATGGACGGCGAGGTCTAAAGGCTGCGTTGATGAGGTTGTAAGACCAGCATTAAAAAGCATGGCACTTTTGATTTCGGGTTTGGACGTTTTCTTGTGACGTTTGCGAACGTGTCTCTCACAGTTCGCTTTAGTGGTGAAAGCGTATTTACAGATAGCACATTGGAATGGTCTCTCTCCGTTATGGGTTCTCAAGTGACGAACTAGTGTTGATTTGTCCATACTCGTGTAAGAGCAAAGATTACAAGCATAGTTATGGCTACCTTTGGTATGTCCACGATTCGCTCGTTTTTTGGATTCTTTGGTTTTGACAGAATTGGAATGACCATTTATCTTTCCAGTTGAGGTTCTTGGGTGATTTACTTTTGATTTAGCCAATAAACTATTATTATTATTATTATTATTGTTATTATTATTGCTTAAAGTGTTCATCTTGTTGGAGGTTGTTGTTGTTGTTGTTGTGGTTGGAGTTAAAGTTGGAATTGTTGTATTATTGGTACTGTTAATGGTGCTAGGAATATTAAAACGATTAAGAGTGACTTTAGCATTGATAAAATATGAAGGATAATCAAAATTGTTTTTCTCATCTTTAAACAATAATGATGATGGTGAAGATGATGATGATCCCTCGATTGAAGGGTGAACTTTGACCAGGTTGTTGATGTTAGTTTGATTGTTGTTTGAATCGTTAATTTTATTGGAATTGTTGAGAATGATCTTGTTCTTTTTGTATAATTGAAGCATGGCGAGAAATTGTTCCTTCTCATTGTCACTATTTGCAGAATGATCATCATCATTATGATCATCAACATCAACATCATTATCATTATCCATCTCCTCCTCCTCCTCTTCATCATCATCATCATCATCTTCTTCTTCTTCTTCTTCTTCTTCCCTCTCCTCGCTACTACCATTATGGATACCATCATCATCTGCATTATCATTATTAATCGAAGGTAGTTTACCAGTAATGGTGGTTGTAGTTGTTATTGGTGAATTAATAGTCGGATTGGTGACAATTGCTTTGAGAAAATTGGACGGAGATGAGGTTGTTGATGATGATGAGGGTGGTGAAGATGATGAGGTTGCTGTTCTTGCTGAGGTTGTTAGATTAACACCACTAACGGCATGGAAAATGCTTTCGTATTGATGGATTGCTTGATGTGTAAGGTAAAGTACAGGACTACCAAGGTCTACTTGGCAAAGGTGACAAAAGGTTGAACTAAATAATGTCCTGTTTGTAGGTCCCAAGCCTAATGATGTTGCATCAATTGGTGATGCAAATGGTGATGATGATATAGCCTCATGATGTTGAAGATGAGGGTGGACTGTTTGCTGATGTAAGGAAAGAGCTGAAGCACAAGGAAATGCTTTAGGACAATTTGAACATTGAAAATCGTGATAGGGTGAACTTGATTTGCGTATGTTGGCCTCGCAAAATGATTGGGCGATAAGTGGATACTTGTGAGAGGAAAAATCGGTAAATGTGAGATCATGAAACCCAATCGAAGCATAACCAGAATTAATACCATTATTATTATTATTATCATCATTAATATTACTATTATTATTGTTACGTTTGATCCCTGATTTGCTGTTGGTGTTACTTGTAGTAGTTGTTGTTGATAATGTTGTAGGAGATGTTTTTAATGATGATGATGATGGTGATGATGATGATGCTGTACAATGTTGTTTGGAAAGAGATGATGAAGACACTTCGTATAGATTACATCTAATTGATTCAACTTTGGAATGACTCGTTGATTGTAATGGTGATTTTTGTTTTCGCAGTTTTTCTGATGTGGGTGCTATTGCTGAAGATAAATTCATTTTTTTACCGTTTGATGATGAATCTGAAGTTAAAGTGAATGATGATGATGATAATGAGGATGTGAAAGAGGAGGAGGTTAAAGAGGAAGTTTTATGTGAAGATGATCTATCACATAGTGAAAGTGCTTTTTGATTTTTGCTATTACTTGTGCTGGTGGTGGTGGTGGTGGTGGTGTTTGTGGTGGTAGCAGTTGAATTTGTATCATTATTATTATCGTTATAATTTGAATTAGTAATGCAATTACCCTTTGAATCAGTTCGTAAGGCGCTACTCTTAAGTGAACTACGAGATGTTGGTGATGATGATGATGATGATATTGGAGTTGATGATGACAATGGTTGAAGAGGTAGAGCGTCATTCTCCAAGTTAACTTTGGTTTTATCATTAGCTATTGATGATGATGATGATGATGATGATGTAGTATTAGAAGTTGTTGTTGTTGTTGTTGTAACTGATGATGATGATGATGGTGCTGTAGTAGTTTTTGTCGATGATGATGATGATAATAATAATAATGATGAGATAGCAAGGTTAATATCAGATGAAGTCATCGATGATAAATTTTCAGGATGAGTCTCATCATCATCATCATCATTATCATCATCATAAGTAGTCATCATTGCTGATACCCCCACTCCTGTTCCCTTTCCTTTTCCTCCTCCTCCACCTCGTTTTCGTACCAACATTTTATGATGATGATTATTATTATTATTATTATTGATGGTCGTTGAATTATTATCATCCTGATCAGTATCACCATCGTTGTTGTTATTGGTTGTTGTTGTTGTTGTTGGATTTTTATTTGCATTAGATGAATAAGCACCCTTTAAATTTCGTGCATGGTGATGATTATGATGAGGACTATGATGAGATTTACTGTTACCATTGTTATTATTGCTATCGGGAGCATCGTTTTCATTTGATTCCATACCATGGGTTCTCATGTGTCGGTGCATATTACCGTTTGTTGTGAATGTCATGTTGCATATTTTACACTTAAATGGCCTTTCACCGGAATGTATTAACATATGTCGATCAAGGGAACTCGCAGAGGAAAGTGTTTTACCACAAATAGAGCACGTATGGGAATGATCAGTTGGATTATGCTGGCGAATGTGTACCGTAAACGAATGTTGAGAATCACATTTTGTATCACAAACAGGACAATTCCATTCACTGGTTGACATAACTGGTTGATTCTTTTTCTAATTTGTTGTTGTTCACAGAGAAAATAATAGATAAAAATGTAGATAAAGAGACAGAGAGAGAAGAAATTAACACAATTATAATAAAAAACAAAACAAAAATGACAGAGAAAAAAAGAAGATAGAAAGAGAAAAGAGAGAGAAAAGAGAGAGAGAGAGAAAAAAAAGAGAAACTCTTGTTACCAACACCAAAACCCAAACAAACACTGACTGTTTATTTTTTTCTGCTTCTTCATCATCCTCATCTTCCTCATCTTCCTCATCATCCTCCTCATCATCATCATCATACTCATCATTCTCATTCTCATTCTCATCATCATCATAATCATCATCATCATCATCATCATTATTATTATTAAAACCTGTTTCTTCCTTACCATTTATATTTTTTTTCGTGTTTCCTTGAGCTGAGTTAGAGAATCATCATCATCATCATCATCATCATCATCGATCGAAGAGAGTGGAAGAGAAAAGAAGATGAGATGAGAGAGAAAAAAATGAGAAAAAGAGAAAGATACACACATTGGGTTGGCAAGGTGATGAGAGAGAAAAAAAAGAAGAGAAAGAGATGATGATGATGATGATAATCATTATTATGATGATGATGATTATCATTATTCTCTCTCTCTATCTCTTTTTTTCTCTCTATCTCTCCACCACCACCATCATCATCATAATCATCATTTACTATCATCATCATTAACATCATTTCTCATCATCATCATCATCAACATCCTCAACATCATCAACATCATCATCATAATCATCAAAACAACAAACAACCTTTACTTTCCTTTCCTTACTTACCTTGGATAATCACAAAACCGAAGAAAAAAAAACTCTCCACTTCTTGGGCACTAATTGTCACATTAATTAATATATTCCTTTTGATCAAGAGATGATGATGAAGAAATAGATGGTTAACTTTATGGTAGAGATGATATACAAAAGATACACTTAAAAGATAGAGAAAAGGGAGAAAGAGAGAAGAAGAAGAGAAGAAGAAGATGAGAAAGAAAAAGAGAAAGTAACAATAAAGAATCTTCAATGTTTTCACTTTTCGCATTCTCTTTTCTTTTTATTTTTCGAATTCTTTTTTCCTTATCCTTCTAAATCTCTAAAAATTTAAATTTCCTTCTTTTCTTCCTTACCCAATGGCAGCAGTTCGACTTTACCATAGGCTTTGGGTTCTCTCTTATCTTCTTCTTCTTAATTGTCTCTTTATCCCAATCTGACGATTTTTAATCACTCGTATTATCAATTAATTCAAAAGATGATTAGTTGATAAGTAGTAGAAGAAGAAGAAGAAGAAGAAGATGAGAGAAAGAGACTCAATAGAAAGAGATTGTTCTGGTTTCCATGCCAACAGGAATATGGGTTGAAGATGAAGTTGGAAAGGGAAAGTTCATCTTCCGGTTTTGTTTTCTTTTTTTTCAGTTAAATGGATTAATAATTTTCGCCATTAATTAAGCTTTTTTTCTCTTTCTCTTTCTTTTTTTTTTCTTTCTTTTTGATAGCAACAATTAACCTTCAATGAAGAAACATTGGTTTCTCTGGTTTTCCTCCAATTACGGTTTGTATCTTTCCTTTTTTTTCCCTTTCTTACTAACCCGTTCTCATCTTTCTTTCTCACTCTTTCTTTTTCTCTCTCTTTTTCTATTCTATTTCGGTTTGTAGGTGTATTTTCAATTGATTGTTGGTTGATTACTGTTTGATTACAATTGATTTTCACCTTTTGTTATTATTTTCTCTCTCTCTCGTTGATTACTGGTGTGTATGTACATTTACACTGATACGAACACAGGTAGGTTATCATGTAAATTGTTATTCTAACATTGACTAAATAATCATCATTTTCTATTCTCACTAACCCATTTTTTTACCTTTCTCTCTTTTTTTCCTTCTTTTCTCTTTCTTTTTATCTTTCCTTCTCTCTCTTTCTCTCTTTCTCTCTCAATCTCTTGTGTTTGGGTTAAGGTTTTATTATTTTTGTCTTTGTTAATATACTAACGTTACCATTGGAACCCAATATTTCTCATCATTATCATCATCATCATCATCATCATCATTCTCATCAATAAATAAGTTTTAAAGGAAAGTAAAGTTTGCCTGATGGATCTGATGATGATGTCAAGAAGAAGAAAAAAAAAAGAGTCAAAGTAAAGGTAGGTAGGTGGTATAAAGGTACATAAGGTATAATGGTAAGTTTTTTGGAGGAAGAAGATGACGAAGAAAAAAAAGAAAAGGAAAAAGAAGATGAAGATAAAGATGATGATGTTGATGATGATGAGGATGATGATGATAAGGATGAAGGAGCAGGAGGATGAAAATGAGGTTGAGGAGGAGTGAAAGAAGAAGGAAAACGAAGGAGGACATTTTTTACATGTTACAAATGGAGAATGTTGTTTCTTTCTCTCTCTCTCTCTCTTCCACCCTCAGTTCTATCTCTATCTCACTATCTCACTATCTCTATCTCTATCTTCCTCTTTTTCCTTTTCTCTTTCTATCATTTCCATTCTCTTTCACTCTCTCTTTCATTTTCTCTTTCTTTCTCTCTCATTTTTTATCTCTATCTTTCTTCTTTTTCCTCTCTCTCTCTCTCTCTTCCTTGGCGATTCTATGGATTTTACAATGATGGTTGGTGACCTGATACCACTGGGAAGTAATTATCATTTGCTTTGTTGCTGCTGCGTGTTAATTGGTCACAAAACTGATTAATTTACTCCAACTACAAGAGTTAATCAAAGAGGAAAAAAGATGATCTTTTGATGGTTGTTTACGTTTATGATATGTCTTGAAAAGAAAGAATGAAAGAGAGAGAGAGAGAGAGAGAAAGTAAGAAGATCTTTATTACTCTTTGGTGTTGCTTAAGGCATAAAGAAAATAGAGAGAAAGTGGAAAATCTCTTCTTCATCATCAGAATCAGAATCATCATCTCAAACTCGTTTTCGTAATTACAATTAACCCCAAAAAAAAGATCGCAGATGAGTTGATCAAAATTCAACCTCGAATTGAAAAAATTTACCTGATTGTAGTTAATCATCAAGATTACTCTTCAGTCTTATTGATTGAACTTTATTGATTTTGTCAATATTTAACTGCTTCCAAGTTTTCCTTTGAATATAATGTATTCATCTAAATTGTTACATCTCTTCCTCTCTTCATCTTTTGATTATCATCAAATTTTCAATGCACTTTTAACTGTTAATTGTTTTTCGGTTAACCCTCTCTTTGGAAAATAGCAATAACCAATTTGGCACCCAAATGATTAACTTACAAGTTTAATTATCCTCTCATCAAGACAATTAGCATCGTATTACAATGAGATTCCCATTCACACACTCACAATGCGACTGATTAACGATTTAATTAGCTCAACTCATCATTTCGCTATCAATTGGATCACTCAAATTGTCACCATCTTTCTAATTGTTTTCCGTTACTCGCGAAACAATTAACTAACAAGCAATCGCGATGATGATCATACAATTGACAATTTGTTTTCTTTTTTCCATCTTCAGGTTTTGTCAATATTTTTCTCATAAATTTCCATGTTTTTCATTCTGTTGTTAGGTGATGATCATCAATCGAGTTAATAGTTGGTTCCAAATAATCTGAATTAATAGTAATCATATTGATGATCATGGATGATAATAAGAATCACTATTGTAATCACCTTATTTTTTTTCTTCTTTTTTTTCTTTTCTCTCTCTCTTTCAGAACTTCATGGTGTATAATAAGTGAATTGATTTTCTTTCTGAGAACCAACAACAAAAATCAAAGAGAATGAACAAAAATGAGGAAATTTTTTCTTTCGAAAACAAAAAATTGACCAACGAAAATGAACATTCAGGTAACTATTCACATCTCTTTCTTTCTCTCTTTCTTTTTCAGAACTCAGGTTATCTGATCAATTCTAATCGATATTTTTTTGCTTCTTCGATTTTCTCACTCATGTTTTATACTTTCATAGGAATATCAATCAAATTATGTAAAAACGAACTGAGAGAGAGAGAGAGAGAGAGACTTACGAAACTAACGGCGATTTATTCTGAATAAGTTCTGATTGTTTTTTTCTAATTCGATTCGAAGATATTTTTTCATTTTCTTCTATTGAAATTCAGTTGTAATCATGAATTTTTTTAATTCTTTTACAATTTATATTTCGAATCTATTAGCTGATGGAAAAAAGCATTAAGCTCATAACGGTTTATATTAGAGATATAAATTCAATTAGAGATATTGAACAGATTAATTAACTAAATTGTTTGTACTCGTGAATGTCAGGGTCAGTTTAGAGAATGGGATAAACTTGGAAATGAATTGTTTAGTAATTAACTGATTCTCTTTTGGACCTTTTCGTTAATCTATGTGATAAATTTGGTCTTAATTGTTGTCTCTCTCTCTCTCTCTTTTTCTCATCACAATTTTAACATTGATTGTGATTCGAAAAATGTTTCAACTATTAACTGTATTTAAGATGATGGTGATTCAATTGTGTAAACAATTAACATCAACTAAATGGTCAGTCGATTACAAAATCCTCTTCTCATCATTGGGCATCTCAAGTTACTTTTCAACAGACAATGAGGACTACAATTTAACTGAAACCATCAATTGTACACAATCAAGAAAAGATCATCAAGAGAAAAAGAGAGAGAGAGAGAAAAAAAAGATTTTTAATAATCAACAGAACAATTTACTGATCACGAAACATTAATTTCGTTTTTTTTTCTCTCTTTTCTTCATCAACTTCGAAAAGTGAAATTCTTTTTTTTTATCAAAAAGAAAATTAAGAAATATAATTTCACTTTCTGTTCGCAAATTTTTTTCTCTCTTCTAACTACATTTTCTCAACGAATCAACTCAACAATTAACATTCAATCATTTTCCATCATTGGGTTGATTCATTGAGAGAAAAATTTACAGTTAACAGAGTTTCAAATTTGGCGCGTTCGAAAATTTCGCTTACCCGTTTCCATGGAAACGATTGACCTTAAAGCTTATTTGAAGTTTCTGATTGTTTTGATTAAATTTGATTCTCAAGTCAATTGAATTTAATCAAAGTGAACACAATTAATGTTAATGTTTAATTGTTGCTGTTGGTGATTAGATTATCTTGTTAATTTGATGTAGTGACTTGTAGCGTCATCTGTCATTAACCATAACAATATTTTTTTCCATTTGTTTTGATTGTTTAAGTTTATTTGTTTTCTTAATTGTTGACCAGTAATTTTATTTACTTTTGAGTACAAACAGTTTGATTTAATTAATTTAAAATGTTTATTTTCATTGTAATTTCTATTCATCAAATCTTCTTTGTCTTTTTCTTTCTCTCTCAAGTTCACGTTTGATTGCTGTTAATCACTTAGACTTGTTGTGTTCATTTCAAGCGTTAGTTTATCAACTATGGAAATTTTTTTATGTTAATACAACATTAATTGTGATAATCTACTGATTGTTTGGTGTTCATCTATCTAATATAATCTCGGAGATATTGTCGGATTTGTGTCTTCTTTAATCTGTTGCCGAACCCTCATTGAAATATTGTGAAATCAAGGAGACGATCGAAATCAATTTACTCTTTAACTTTTTTGTTAATCATCTTTCCAATTGATCATGTTTCAATCTTAATTAGAAAGTAATCAATTAACTCAACTTTAAACTTGTTTTCTCTTCCAAATCAAATAGGAAATAATTGTTTTTGGCAAACAAATCAAAGTTAAATTACTTTGGACTTTGAAGTCTCACAACAGTCATAACAATAATATTATTTTAATGATCAACAAGATGGGTAGTAACTACAATTTAGAAAATAATTGTTAAAATATTGATATTCGAACACACAAATTCAATAAGTGATTTTTTTTTCCTTCGATTATTAATTTTCCTTTCTGTTTAAATCTTAGATCCATTGGTAAACAATTAAACTGTTCGTTTGATTCCGAGTAAAGAGAGGGAAGATGATGTCCTATTGGAACTTTGGAAATGTTTTAATTGATTATATTTACAATCCTTTGTTGTAATATAATTTTTCCGGGGGTTGAGGCAGTTTCTTCAATTCTTCACGAAGTTCTGGTTCAATTTGGTCCAATAATATTGAGCTTTTTTGAGGGAAAAGTGCACAGCATAATGGAGTTGTGAATATTAAGCTGAATTTCCGGAGAAAGAGAGAAAAAAATATGAAATTTAATTCAATTAGAAGTTATAAACAAATTTCCGAACTAATAACTCACAAGAAACCACAGATTACGACTTGAAGTGGAGCATTGATCCAGGGCATTCGCCTGAGAAATCCTCTTTTCTCAAGATAGTTCATTAAAATAGGCGGTAAAGCTTGATTGAAAAAAAGAAAAGTTAGAATTAGTTCATAATCGTAGCAATTAAAAAAGAGACTAACTCATTCCAGGAGCAGCCATTCCAATTCTCGAAAGAACGACCTGAGTAATAGCCTTTTGCGCTGCCACTTTCGATTCTCCGACCGGGTTATTATTCTCGTCATAGAGAGTGATACCTTCTCGAATTTCTCTATTAACAAGAGAGAGAAAAAAAAGTCAATCAATGAGCCACAAATTAAGCAAGAGAATGACAGTGAATTAATTACTTTGATCGCATCATGGGAATGTTAACACAATTCGCCGCAGCGACAGCACAAAAAGGTACAAATCGACCGACCAGTGGGGGAGCTTTTTTGACTAAACTATTGAGACCCAAGGCAGTGACCAAAGCCCCACTCGTTGCGAAAGCATAAGAAGTACCTAATTGACTAATGACAGAAGCACAATTTGTATTAGATAATATTCAAGGTAAATCAGTTAATCTTTACGATACGACTTACGAAATTGGAATATCAGATGTTCCACTTCTATTAGTATAATTAACGACTGCATTGAAAGACTGATTAAACCATTGCCAAAAGATTACTTGTTTAGTGCTCCTGAAAAGAGATTAAATAAAATGAGAGAAATTGAGTTAACCAAGAAAGTTAATCAAATGAGAATTTGGTTAATTGATCCTACTTGTAAAAAGTTAACATGCAACCAGTAATGAACATATTCATTGGTACTTGAGCCGACATCCGACCAATAATGAGTTGTTTTTCCCCTGTTTCCGGATGATGAGCACTGTCATAAAGATATTTGTAATACCAGAGTTGATCCTCGGTTAATGGGCCAATATCTTTACCATTTCTGTAATAAATACAGTTGATAATTCAGGGTAATTTGGAGTGTTGATTGTTGAAGGAGAGAGAGAGAAAGTTCAATTAGATTCTGACGATATTCCCATGAGTGAATGAGTTTGGATTAATTTTCTCATCATTCTGCTAACCTGTAATCTTCAACAACTTGTTTAGCCTTAACAAGTTCAGATGAAGGTTTGAATAAATTCAATGGATTGGTGACAACGAAAAAGTGTTTAGCTCGACCCAGGTAAGTACTTTGATCGTAACGAGGCGATTCAATGTCTATCATCCTTTTGGCAATTACACTTGGTGCTGGTTCCATGTCGTCAGATGTGATATGTAAACAGTGGATTCAGTAACCAGGGTGTAAACAGAAGATACTATAGAGAGAGAGAGAGAGGGAAAGGAAAAAAGAACAATTTAATAATCAGTTAGTAAGGTAGAAGAAGAAGAAGAGAATTTGAAAAATCAATGAAAGAAAACAACTTCTTGATGATCAATCATTTATCCATTGAAGGACATTGGTTCAAAAACGATGTGTTCATCTTGAGAGATAAGATATGATTTGAGAGAGAGAATGAGAGAGATCACAGGAAATTTAATCATGTTTGATGATAATGAAGATGGAAGAGTAAGAAAAACTAGATATTAGAATCGTAATCAACTCTAAAATTATCTTGAAATCTTAAAGAAAAAGGCAATAGATGCTAAGGGAATCTCTCAACTAACCAGATAACCCAAATCTCAACCATAGAATTGCCAGTTGAGGTTATTGAGCAATGTTCTTGTTACCAAGTAATCAGTCAATTAATAGTAATCGAGGAAGAATTTGTTACAATTGTAAAAACAAAGTGAATACTCTCATTGAAATTGTAATACGAGACCAGAATTTTCTCAATAATTTGATTGGAAAAAAATCTATTGAATTAGAGTTAATTGAGGAGGAGCAGAAATTACCGATGATCTTACCTGATGGAAAAGCTGAAAGAGGGAAAATAAACAAGAGAGAAAATGATTGAACAAATTAAAGATTTATTATAAATGCACTGATAATGAGAATTGTTGTTATGTGATGATGAAGATTGTAATCTACAAGTGTATTCTTCAAGGTTTAACAATAGGGAACATAATCTGATGAAGATGATTCATCCTCAGGCACAAGAAAGAAAAAGAAAACAAGAGAAAAGAGAGAAAAAGAGAAAGAAAACAAGAGAGAAGAGAGAGAGAGAGATCAATATTGGAGTCCAAGGTCACGGTCACGTAGATCAAACTGGCTGCCATATCTGGTGGCAACTTCTTCACTTCCTTTATTTAAGGCGACTTTCAACCCATTGAAAATCCCTTCCGTTATTGTGTAATAATGTGACTTAAGCTCCTCTATCGTCCAACGATGAGGATTTGAAGTATCTGCAGGAATGTAAAGTTGAAAGGTGAATAAAGTTTCATCCCAATCAAGCAGGTTGTCTGTTGTTCGCCAGAATCTATCCAAAAGAAATTTACGCTGGTCAATATTGATACTTGCGACAGTAACTTGAGCCATTTGTAATAAACAATAAAGAGGAAGTGAAGAGTTAATGAAGAAGGAGTTGTTGTTGAAGAAGAGTTGATTAAGAAAAAGAAGAAGAGTTGATGAAGAAAGAGAAGAAGAGTTGATGATGAAGAAGAAGAAGAGTTAATGAAGAAGAGTTGTTGTTGAAGAAGAGTTAACAGGAAGCACGTGAGAGAGAGAGAGAGAGAGAGAGAGAGAGAGAGTCAATCAATGAACTACAAATTAACCAAGAGAATGACAGTGAATTAATTACTTTGATCGCATCATGAAGAAGAGTTGATGAAGAAGAGTTGATGAAGAAGAGTTGATGAAGAAGAGTTGATGAAGAAGAGTTGATGAAGAAGAGTTGATGAAGAAGAGTTGATGAAGAAGAGTTGATGAAGAAGAGTTGATGAAGAAGAGTTGATGAAGAAGAGTTGATGAAGAAGAGTTGATGAAGAAGAGTTGATGAAGAAGAGTTGATGAAGAAGAGTTGATGAAGAAGAGTTGATGAAAAAGAGTTGATGAAGAAGAAGAAGAAGAGTCAACAGGAAGCACGTGTTTGTGTGTGTGTGTGTGTGAGAGAGAGAGAGAGAGAGAGAGAAAGAGAAAGAGCTGAGAATCAAGAGAGAAAAAGTCAATCAATGAACCACAAATTAACCAAGAGAATGACAGTGAATTAATTACTTTGATCGCATCATGGGAATGTTAACACAATTCGCCGCAGCGACAGCACAAAAAGGTACAAATCGACCGACCAGTGGAGGAGCTTTTTTGACTAAACTATTGAGACCCAAGGCAGTGACCAAAGCCCCACTCGTTGCGAAGAAATTGACCATCAGGTGACCAATTCAATCGAAGTACATGAGTTGTACCACCACACTCACGAAATGGTTCACTAACAGTTTTCTCTTCTTTCCAATCTTTGGTTCGCCAAATTTTAACTGATTTGTCATCAGATTGTGAGGCAACGTATTTACCAATGGGATCCCAACTGACTCCTTTGACAAAACCATTGTGTCCATTTAATCTGGTAACTATTTCAGGAAATTTACGAGCATTCCAAACGATAACATTATTATCAACTGAACCGGAAGCAATATATTCATCTGTAGGTGACCAATTGAGATCAAGAATATCACCAGAGTGTCCACGAAGAGTGGCAATACACCTCCATTGTTCAACATTAGCAGATCCTCGAAAGATTGAAGTCGCTGATGATCCCAAATACTTAGAGATTTGCCAAATCATGATGGTTTCATCATCTCCAGCCGATGCCAAATATTTACCAGATTGAGACCACCTGACAACATTGACACAAGCCAAGTGATTGTCCATTTGACACAACAATTTAGGCACTGATTCTTTTTTCTCCAATTCTTCATTGATGACAGGTCCAAAATTCCATAAACATACTCGCCCAGCATCACCACCTAAAGAAAAAGCAAAAAAACGAATCAAACGAATGAACAAAAACAAAGACAAAAGAAGAAAAAAATATCACACAAAGAGCTAAAAATACAGTAAATGAAAGATGATGAGATAGAAAAGTAAGAGAGAGAGAGATAAAGAAGAGGAAACCAACAGACTAAGAGAAAGCAATTAAAGCCGGGTTACCATTGAAGAGAATAAAAAAATATTCTGATAGAAACTCACCTTGTCCACCAGTAGCAAACTTTGTCCCATCCGGATGAATATCAACAGAGAATATGGGTTGACCTGTCAACACAATACCAATAGAAACAATTACAATTAATCGAATTAAATAAAGAAAATAAAAGAAAATTAATCACTGATCAATTAGATTAGATCACATGTAAAAACAAAAGGTGAGAAAAGAATAGAATAAAAAAAAGCAAACCAACAAAGTGACAATAAGAAATTAATCAACTAACCGTCATGATTAACCCAAACGGGCTTGAGGAGTTTCATATCACCCTGTTGATGTAAAATCAGTAGTCATAAAAATTAATTGTAATTAAATGAACAATTAGTTAAATTGTGATAAAAAAAAATCAAATCAAAATAAACTCTCATCAAAAATTGGAAACAAAAATTATCAAGATGATCCAATTTTCGACTGGAAGCGCCACCTGTTGGAAAATAACACAATCGATTTTCGATGGAATTTAAATTTCCCTCTTTACATTTTGTTCTTTTTAAACGATCGCAACTCCATCTATGAATTGTGTCAGGTGGTTTTTTCATTTTCTCTTTTATATCTCTGTTTCTGTCACTTGTTCAACTTGTTTTTATTTTTATTTTTCCATTTATTATTATATTTTTGGTCTCTCTCTTTCTCTCTCTCAATTTACATGGAATATCTAAATTAAATGTAATTTTGTGTTAATTTCGATTAACTCTGTGCTTGGTTCTTCAACCAATTTAAATTTCTGTATCTTTAATCAATTTCTCATCTTGATATTCTATTTCTTTTTTTCTCTACCTCCTCTCGCTCTCTCGCTCTCTCTCTCTCTATTTGTCTGTCTGTATCTTTCTCTCTCTCTCCCTTTTTCTTTCTCCCTCTCAAATAATCTTGATTATCATTTTATATCAATATGTCAACAACCACTAACAATTTGAAACAAAGGTTTATTCGTCTTAGAAAATTTAAGCTTCCGGAGACTGAGGCTTTTGAATCTGAGGAACAGTATAAAGGTTATATGGAACAACGATAAAAATGAAAGAGAAAAACAATTAAATTAATTATTCTCATTACGCAATGTTAAGATGATCCCACATTCGCTCAGGTGATTACCCCCTCTAGGTGTGTGTGTCTACAATTGAGTTAATTTGTTTTTCTCTTGTTGATTGTTACCATCATGATTGGTCAATTCTAATTAATCGAGATTGTCAATTAAATGATCGGAGGCCATTTATGAGTTGGTGAGTTAAATTGTTCTCAACAAATAATCAACAAATCAAATGATAATCTAATTTGATTGTTCTTCTTATTTCAAACCACCTTACACCTTTTTTTTCCTATTGGTTATTAAGAAAATTTTTTTCTATTCTATTTTTTTTTCAGGTTTTCTATTTGATTTTTGCTTTGTTTATATTTTGAAATTCTATTTCGTTTCTATTTCTAATTTATGTATAGAAGGATTTCTCACCTGATTAATTATCTCCTGGTGTATATAGAATTATATCTCTCTCTACATGTGCACTACCCCCAACATCATCATGGATGAAGAGAATGACCAACAGATTCTTGATGGAATTGATGAAGACATTTTCAAGATAGACTATCAACTTGGATCTTTTGAGAGCTTAAATTATATTCTTGATAAGGTTGAAAGTGAACTGAGTAAGTATAATCAATAGATGTAAACAATGGTTAACCTTATGGTGAAAGAAAATATTCCATGACAGTTTCTCGTTGTTGGGTAAAACCCAAACCTCGATGGATTCACTGTGTATGCATTTTGCAACCGCAATTAGTGATAAAGCCTTTGGTGTGGTTCATGGTTATGTTGAATTATGTTCAGTTGAGGTTAAAAAGATTGATAATTTTCGTAAAAAAGAGTATAAAGAATTGTGTAAATATGTAACCAACGAGTGTTTTATACCCTGTTTGATAGATCTCAGCAAATCTTTATTTAACATTTTACTCAACTATAAACGCATTTTATATTTCCATCAATGTGAAATTGATTCAAATAACGCAAATACAATTAATCTGAATAACATCAACAATAATGAGGATCATTTACCTCATGAAAGTGAACAAAATAGTAAATGTCAACCATTGGATACGGGAAATGAAGGTGGAATCAGTGGTTATGGTGATGAAGGTGAAGAACGTTCAATTGCTGCAGCAACAATTACAACAAATTCAATAATTAATTCAGATAAAGGTGATACAAGTGACATTGAAGATGATACTGGTTGTGATGGTGGTGGACCTGAGGCTGTTAATGGTAATTCAGCTGATGAAACAATTGGTGAAATTGAAGAGGAAGAAGATCAAGTGGAAGCGGATTTTAATCGTCGATTCATTTTACAAAAACTCGAACATGGATTGGGACGAATTTGGCAAGAAGCACAACAAAAGTTACGACTTTTAGTTCAAAGTCATGACATGTCAACCTGTTCATTTGAAGAGCTTATGACAATATTGAGAATTTCCCGACGAATGATGGACATTGGATCAGAATTTTGTGACAACAATTCAACCGAATTTGAAGAAACCCTTCACGCTAAGACAGTTAATTATTTCAATCATTATCACAAAACTCGACTGGATGAATTACGAATGTACCTGGAAAATGAATCATGGACTGTGTGTCCAGTTAAAAATGGTTTCCAATGTTTTGACCTTCAAGAGTTTAAATTTCTTAAACCTTTACGTACTTATTCATTGGGTAACCTTTCATTAGCTGCTAGTGAAACAAGTGGACCACCAGGTCAAGGGTCACCTGAGAAGTGTAACTTTTTCCGTGATTCACTTTTGAACGATTCTTCCGGTGCAATTGAAAATCCTTTTGATAATATTTGCTTGGAAAATGAAGATGCAAGTGATAGTATCATCAGAGAATTGGAAAGGACAACCAATAAAGGAGGAGGTGGTGATGATACATCGGAAGATGAACTTGATGATGAGATGACATTAGATTCAAATAAAACAACAACGACAACAAATTGTGGTGATAATGATAAAAGAGTCAACAATTGTTACAATGAAGGACCTTTGGTGACCAATACAAGTCTTTACGTTGTTCGTCTCATCGGAAAATATATGCAGATCATGTTTCTCCTCCGGCAAATTGCATTTGATATTTTATTATCCATATTCCATTTATTTGATTACTATTTTTATACAGTTTACACCTTTTTCGCCAAGGAAATTAGCGAAGTTCGTAACAATTGTCTTTCCTTGCGTTTTAAATCCTGCCTTGCACGAATTGAGTCTTCAATGAAAACCGATCTGATCAATGAGACAAATGATCTTGATCAACATCCATCGACAATACAATCAATGGGCCTTATGGATCGTAATTTATGTCCTGAAAATCTTCATGGTTTAGCCGAGAGAATTGTCGGAATTGAATCAGTGTAAGAATCAGCGAAAAGAAAATTTCACAAACAATTAACTAATTTTGTTTCTCTTTCTATTCCCTTTTAGGATGTTCCTTGCTTCACAATTAAATACTTTACAACAATTTTTCCGAGATCTTATTCCATCTGGTAAACATTCAATTCTTGACAAATACTATTCACAGGTAACAATTAATTACTCATTATTGGTTGATTGTTGGTCGATTCCAAATAATTTAGTGAATAAGTTTTAACAAGTTGTCTTGTTTTCCCCATCAACAGGCTGTATCAGTTGCTCAGGACTTACGTTATCCTTGTTATATGTTGGTTGCAATTAGATCAATTAATATCGAGTCAATTTTATCAACAGTTGAAAATGTCCGTTGGGATTTAACGGAAATACCGACCATGCATAATAGTTACGTTGATTGTTTATTGAAGGAGATTCAATTGTTTTCCTATCGATTGGAAAAAATTTGCTCCTCACTTGAAGCTAAAATTCCCCAAGAAGCTAAAGATATGTTATGGTCATCAGTTCTGAAATTGGCCAATCGAACCTTTGTCGAAGGATATTCAATGGCCAAAAAATGTACACCCGCTGGTCGAGCTCTTATGCAATTAGATTACCAAGAATTTTTAACCAAAGCTGAAAAAATGACCGCAATCAAACCAATACCGGAAAGAGAATTGGTTGAAGAATATATAAAAGCTTATTACCTGATGGACGATGCCCTCGAGCAATGGTTAATGTCTCGTAATGAATATACCCAACGACAATTAGTTTCATTAGTTAATTGTATTGCCTCTGAGAAGAGAGTTAAGACTCGTCTTCTAGCCATCATTGAAAACAAATTTGATAATCAAAATTGTCCAAATTCAACAAATAACGAGACAAGACACTAAATTTAATTATCAACAAACATAATTACAGAAATTATAATTGTAGCTCTCTCTCTCTCATCTTTATCTTCCTTTCTCTCTTTCTCTCTTTGTATCTTACTTTCTTTTCTAACTCTAAATTGTTCATTCATGATTCTCAGCGATTCATTTAACTTTCGAATGTGCAAATGTTAATTTAATTTATATTCACAATCAAAACAATTAAACAAATTTTCTTGTTACCATTTAACTGAATATGATTTTAATCAATTGTTCGTGTTTTACAAGTTGTCAGATTTCAATTATAATAATCGAAGGGCCTGATGATTACAAAATTTAAATGATTTGATTTCAAGAGATTCAAGTTAACCAAATTTGGAGGATGTTGGTTCAGGCGTTGACTCAGTTCCAAGGTCACTGGTTACTGTCAAAGGTCACTGTTCGGCTAAATCAAGATCTCTATTTTTCAGCCATCTCGCAAGATTTTCATCACCTTGAAGTCCATCGAACGTTTCAATGCCTGAAGTTAAGATGAGATAATGAGATTTTACCTCTTCCACAGACCATGAGTGATTTTGGCTACTGGATTCAAGATCTTGGACAACAGAGTTTCGCGTGACTTTCCAATTCAATCGATGATCATTTCCTCTAATGAATAGACCGCACAAATTGCGCTGTTGGGCCGTATTCAACACTGGAACCTTATTCAAAGTATTCTTTTGATAATGGTCACCAACCCATTCAAATAGAGCATTTTCAAACTCTCGAGTGTACTTTTTGTAATCTCGTATTCCAAAACTAATTCTAACCATGTTTAGTTGGAATTGAAAACTTACAAACAAAATCAACTGATTTAAAAGTTATTGAGAGACAAAACGAAAATAATTATATCAAATTTCAGAACAAAGAATCAATTCTAAATAAACTGAAATTATCCAATGAAGTGAATTTCAATAACTGAAATTATCGATCTAGAATTAGGCTGTTAACAATAAGAATCGATCTAAAATCGTAAGTAAACTAGAATGGTTTCTATCCGGATGCGGAAGGAGACCTGCGATTAAGCATACAGCATACCTATGTACCAAACGCATTTTAAGCCTCGCCCTGAGGAACAAACTTTCTTACCACCCTGTAACTAGATACCGAAGTGAGTGAACATTAGCTAGCTAATAGCCAATTTCAAACCAAATGGCTTTAGCCAGCAGTCGCGTTCGCTTAGCCGGTTTATGGTCGCTTATCTTTTAAGTAACTTAGCTACCTCGAATCACCTTAAAATCATTCATTATTGGTTAAAAACCTATTTAAATATCGATTTAGATTATAGAAAAAATCTATTTGTGAAATTCTGCAAATGTTTTACCTTGATTATCTAGAAACAGACAATTAATTTTTGATTTAAAAAGATCAACTATCAAACCAAAAATACCCGCGCTAATCAAAGTTGCGATCTCAAAATTTTTTTTTTGATTTTTGGATGTTTCATAGACTCAAAGCACCTTTGAGTATCAAAGAAATTGATTTAATTAGTTAACTTTAGGTTTAATTGTTGTATTAATGCATCTTAGCCACTTTGATAAATGGCTAATTGGCTAATCGACTAATAGCTAGCTAAGGTTAGCTAATGGTTGCAAATTTGTGCTTTTAGCCGGCTAATAAAATCTTCACTCACTTCGGTATCTACCTGTAACTACTGCTCGGAGTAGTCAAGGCGACACTGAAGCGCCTCACATGAGTGACTATTGCCGCGACTTTTAAGATATTGTTCGTTCTGTTCATTGATTTATTCTTTTTAGTAGATACCGAAGTCAGTTTTTAGCCAAGTAACTGACTGACGAGAAAATCAAGTGGCGGTCGACTAAAGTCGACTGAAGTCAACTCGCGATATTTTGTCGGTTTAAAAACGCGAATTTGCAATTTTGATGAAATTTTTTGTACAGTAGAGTACTCAGTTAATCAGTTACAGTTAGTTGTTAATCATCTTTCCAATTGATCATGTTTCAATCTTAATTAGAAAGTAATCAATTAACTCAACTTTAAACTTGTTTTCCCTTCCAAATCAAATAGGAAATAATTGTTTTTGGCAAACAAATCAAAGTTAAATTACTTTGGACTTTGAAGTCTCACAACAGTCATAACAATAATATTATTTTAATGATCAACAAGATGGGTAGTAACTACAATTTAGAAAATAATTGTTAAAATATTGATATTCGAACACACAAATTCAATAAGTGATTTTTTTTCCTTCGATTATTAATTTTCCTTTCTGTTTAAATCTTAGATCCATTGGTAAACAATTAAACTGTTCGTTTGATTCCGAGTAAAGAGAGGGAAGATGATGTCCTATTGGAACTTTGGAAATGTTTTAATTGATTATATTTACAATCCTTTGTTGTAATATAATTTTTCCGGGGGTTGAGGCAGTTTCTTCAATTCTTCACGAAGTTCTGGTTCAATTTGGTCCAATAATATTGAGCTTTTTTGAGGGAAAAGTGCACAGCATAATGGAGTTGTGAATATTAAGCTGAATTTCCGGAGAAAGAGAGAAAAAAATATGAAATTTAATTCAATTAGAAGTTATAAACAAATTTCCGAACTAATAACTCACAAGAAACCACAGATTACGACTTGAAGTGGAGCATTGATCCAGGGCATTCGCCTGAGAAATCCTCTTTTCTCAAGATAGTTCATTAAAATAGGCGGTAAAGCTTGATTGAAAAAAAGAAAAGTTAGAATTAGTTCATAATCGTAGCAATTAAAAAAGAGACTAACTCATTCCAGGAGCAGCCATTCCAATTCTCGAAAGAACGACCTGAGTAATAGCCTTTTGCGCTGCCACTTTCGATTCTCCGACCGGGTTATTATTCTCGTCATAGAGAGTGATACCTTCTCGAATTTCTCTATTAACAAGAGAGAGAAAAAAAAGTCAATCAATGAGCCACAAATTAAGCAAGAGAATGACAGTGAATTAATTACTTTGATCGCATCATGGGAATGTTAACACAATTCGCCGCAGCGACAGCACAAAAAGGTACAAATCGACCGACCAGTGGGGGAGCTCTTTTGACTAAACTATTGAGACCCAAGGCAGTGACCAAAGCCCCACTCGTTGCGAAAGCATAAAGTACCTAATTGACTAATGACAGAAGCACAATTTGTATTAGATAATATTCAAGGTAAATCAGTTAATCTTTACGATACGACTTACGAAATTGGAATATCAGATGTTCCACTTCTATTAGTATAATTAACGACTGCATTGAAAGACTGATTAAACCATTGCCAAAAGATTACTTGTTTAGTGCTCCTGAAAAGAGATTAAATAAAATGAGAGAAATTGAGTTAACCAAGAAAGTTAATCAAATGAGAATTTGGTTAATTGATCCTACTTGTAAAAAGTTAACATGCAACCAGTAATGAACATATTCATTGGTACTTGAGCCGACATCCGACCAATAATGAGTTGTTTTTCCCCTGTTTCCGGATGATGAGCACTGTCATAAAGATATTTGTAATACCAGAGTTGATCCTCGGTTAATGGGCCAATATCTTTACCATTTCTGTAATAAATACAGTTGATAATTCAGGGTAATTTGGAGTGTTGATTGTTGAAGAGAGAGAGAAAGTTCAATTAGATTCTGACGATATTCCCATGAGTGAATGAGTTTGGATTAATTTTCTCATCATTCTGCTAACCTGTAATCTTCAACAACTTGTTTAGCCTTAACAAGTTCAGATGAAGGTTTGAATAAATTCAATGGATTGGTGACAACGAAAAAGTGTTTAGCTCGACCCAGGTAAGTACTTTGATCGTAACGAGGCGATTCAATGTCTATCATCCTTTTGGCAATTACACTTGGTGCTGGTTCCATGTCGTCAGATGTGATATGTAAACAGTGGATTCAGTAACCAGGGTGTAAACAGAAGATACTATAGAGAGAGAGAGAGGAAAGGAAAAAGAACAATTTAATAATCAGTTAGTAAGGTAGAAGAAGAAGAAGAATTTGAAAATCAATGAAAACAACTTCTTGATGATCAATCATTTATCCATTGAAGGACATTGGTTCAAAAACGATGTGTTCATCTTGAGAGATAAGATATGATTTGAGAGAGAGAATGAGAGAGATCACAGGAAATTTAATCATGTTTGATGATAATGAAGATGGAAGAGTAAGAAAAACTAGATATTAGAATCGTAATCAACTCTAAAATTATCTTGAAATCTTAAAGAAAAAGGCAATAGATGCTAAGGGAATGTCTCAACTAACCAGATAACCCAAATCTCTACCATAGAACTACCAGTTGAGGTTATTGAGCAATTTTCTTGTTACCAAGTAATCAGTCAATTAATAGTAATCGAGGAAGAATTTGTTACAATTGTAAAAACAAAGTGATTACTCTCATTGAAATTGTAATACGAGACCAGAATTTTCTCAATAATTTGATTGGAAAAAAAATCTGCTATCTGTTTACTCTCATGTTACTGCCTGATAATTGTATCCACGTATGTGAATATGTGGATGGATATTGGTTTGTTATTATATACGAAATAATTGATTCTATTGAATTAGAGTTAATTGAGGAGGAGCAGAAATTACTGATGATCTTACCTGATGGAAAAGCTGAAAGAGGGAAAATAAACAAGAGAGAAAATGATTGACGAAATTAAAGATTTATCATAAATGCACGATGATGATTGTAATCTACAAGTGTATTCATCAAGATTTAACAATAGGGAACATAATCTGATGAAGATAAATTCAGTGGATTGATTTAATTCACAGAATTGAATTAACACCTTAATCCCAACGAATTGGAAAAAATCACAACAAAATTGTAAATAGAATAGAGAAAAATATTGAAACAAGGAAAATCCAATGGAAGAGACAAAATTATCATGGGAAGATGAAGATTTTGCGTTGTGGTAACGATGAAGATGATGATAAATGTGAGGGAGAGAAAGAGAATGAGAAATAAGTGAGAGAGAGAGAGAGAGAGAAAAATAAAGAGAAAAATGAGAAAAGTGATGAAGAAAAAAATAAACAAAGTCTATGAGAAATTTCTGGTTGCTAGGCAACCGAAAGGTTTAATTTCGTAACCAAATTGAACGATAAATTTAATTGCTCTTTCGAACATGATAATCACAATTGATTCAGTTCTTTTAATTTTATCCTTTAGTTACAACCTAAGCCAGATAATTAGAACAATATAAATCACTGTTAATCTTTAATCATAATCGATTCAATTGTTGTTAAGGTTATGAAAATCGTTTGAGATTAATATTAATGCAAACTAATCAAAGATCATGTTGAAATATTAATCAACATTTAGACGAAATTGATTAGTTGAATTAAAACAAATTCTTAAATCAACTTGGTGGTTATCAGATATTGTCTGTATTAAGTTCTGAAACTGAATTGAATTTTTTTTATTCATTCCAATCAATAAATATGATAGACAAGTTGGTGCAAGTTGAATATTTTTACTGATTCAGTTAATTAGTTGATACAATTAGTAGTTTTAAATCATAATTTGAGAAAAATGATTATCTTATGATACTTGTATTGGTTGGGTTTTATTGGAACAACGATCGTTGGGTGGTAACGATTTAAATCGTTGGGAGTTTTTGAATTATACTATTTAGATTAATAGACTTTGGGAAAAGGTCTTGAGATTTGAAGCCAACATTTATCGGACCATTTGCCCTTATTTTCATCGATAACGTGAACAGCGTAAGCGGGTCTCGGTTTATCTGAGGTGTTCGGTTGACTCCGATGAACCAATGCACCGTCGAAGACTAAACAAGACCCTCGAGGAACGGGAACTGGGACGAAAGCGGAATCTTCAAACTCTTTTGGTGGACCATCGAATGCTACCTTAACGCCATTCTCATCAACTGAACGGATGAATCGACGATGAGGTGGTTCTACATGAGAACCTGGAATAACCTCAAGACATCCGTTTTCTGTGGTCACATCGGTCAATGCGATCCAAAGAGCGCAAAGACTGTCAACTGGTTCGGTGAATAAAAACTCAAGATCTTTATGAGGTGTCACTTCTGAACCAGTTCGAGGATTTTTAAAAACAACGATACCTTGACAAACGGCTGGATCTTGATAGTTGATCGCTTTTAGAACACTTTTAACCCGATCGTTAAAGGTCACTTTGTAAAACTTTTCATTGCCCAAGTGAAGACCATGGCCGAGCTTTTGTAAACAAAGACTTCGAGGTAAAATGAGTTCGCCTTTTTCATTAAAAGCTTTTTGCTCGAAAAAGAAACCCGCTTTATCACCGGAGGCCATATAATAATCCGTGGGTCGATGTAAATTACCTGGGGCAATGATACTACGATGCTCGTTTAGGTCCAAATTTTCAACGATATCTTTCATTTCCTTTACGAGTTCATCAACTTCTTCTTGAGAGAGAAAGTTATGAATTAAACCATATCCATTTTTATGGTAATCTTTCAATTCTGCCTCGTAATTAACCATAATTAGTGGAATCTAGAAAAAAATCAACAAAGAAACAATCAAATAATAATCAAAAATAACAATTAGTAAATCAAGAGGAGGAAAACTTAATAAGATCAAAGATTTAGATTCAATTGAACAGAGGGAACAAAAAAGTTAATCAAATTAGTCTAATTAACTAGATAATTACCTGATTGGTGATAATTTCGTTGAACAGGTAAAATAAAATGGACAATTTGTTAATTGTTCACTTCTAATTGTGATCAATTGTCGTTTTCGATCGGCTATTTATATACTGACATCGATGGTGAATTAAATTCAATTGGAAGATCGTTGAGACTCGTGATCATGATAATCAATTGTTTTGACACGTTTATCAACCTTTTTTAATTGTTGATCATCCCTCTAACTGGGTTGATTAGTTAATTGTCAATCCTACTTATTATTATTATTGTTGAATGTTGGTGATCCTTGAGATTTCAATGACTAATCAATTGTGATTAAAAACAAAATCCAGTGCAAATCAATGCACCACCACCTCGATGATTATCAATTAACGAGAATTAAACATCGTCAAGATCAAGTCGAACGATTTTAATTGTTTTAATATAATCTATCAATTCAATCAATTCAATTGATGAGTCCATTGTTGTTATACTTTGATACCAAATTGATGATTATTTTTCTCATCAATTGAAAATTCAATTGATTACTTGATTAGTGTGATAACTTTTTAATTTGTCTGCTCTATGAGCTAATTAATCATCACAAGGTAACTTTAAGTTTGAACTTTTGCCAAGTTAATCAATTCATTGAGATTTTCATAATCTCAATTGATTAACTAATTGTAGAAAATCAGTTTAGTCTATCTACTTGATCAATGAAAAGAGACACAGACTCATATTCAAAGTTAATCAATTCAGATTTAGTGCTCACCGACACAATTAGTGTTAATTATGAGTTCGAACGCGAAATTTACAGCAATTGTGCTAATCGAATGTGACCTTGTTGTTATTCCGTCAAGTAATCGACGATCGAGATGAGAATATCGCTCGAAATCAGGTAAGTTTTATCCTTAGGAAATTCTATAAAAACTTATTCTTTTTCATTTTTTCTCTTTGTATTAATCACATCCAAATCGATAATCTGAATATCAAATCCAATCGATCAATTAAATCCGAGTCAATGGATTAACAAATCTTTTTACTCAACTTTTCAAGATTAAATTCTATTATTTGAAATTAGTTAATCCATACCAACAATTAGTCTCAATGGTGAACTTTAGTTTTCGTTGAGACAAATTTTTCTTCTTTTGGTTTAATTGTGATTTTAGAGCAATTAAATCATTTCTTTGATTAATTTATTCATTTTTTCATATATTTTTTGTTTTCATCTTCAATTCCGTTATTCTTATTATTTTGTGTATCATCTAGTAACTTTCGTTTCTTTCGTCACCAAAAGTCGTTATAAACGTAGATCAAGTAATGATTTAAATCGTTGGAGGAATTAGATTAATAAACTCTGGGAAAAGGCTTCGAAAGCTGAAGCCAACATTTATCAGACCATTTGTTTTCGGCTTCATCAATGAAATGAACAACGTAAGCGGGTCTCGGTTTATCTGAGGTGTTCGGTTTACTCCGATGGACCAATGAACCATCGAAGACTAAACATGACCCTCGAGGAACGGGAACTGGGACGAAAGCGGAATCGTCATATGATCCTGGTGGATTATCGAAAGCTGCCTTGACTCCGTTTTCATCAACTGATCGGATAAATCGACGTCGGGGTGGATCTACATGAGAACCTGGAATAACCTCAAGACATCCGTTTTCTGTGGTCACATCGGTCAATGCGACCCAAATAGCGCAGAGTCTATCAACTGGTTCGGTGTATAAAAATTCAGCATCTTTATGGGGAGACACTTCTGAACCAGTTCGAGGATTTTTAAAAACAAGGATACTCTGACAAACGGCTGCATCAACAAACTTAATGGTCTTTAAGATGCTTTTAACCCGATCATTAAAGGTCACTTTGATAAACTTATCGTTTTCAACGTGAAGACCATGACCAAGTTTCTGTAAACATTGACTGCGAGGTAAAATGAGCTCACCCTTTTCATTGAAAGCTTTTTCCTCGAAAAAGAAACCCGCTTTATCGCCTGAGGCAAAATAGTAATCACTCGTTTGTTTCAAATTTCCAGGGGTGATGATAGCACGATGCTCGTTTAGGTCCACATTCTCGACGATATCTGCCAATTACTTGATGAGTTCATCAACTTCTTCTTGAGAGAGAAAGTTATGGATTAGTCCATATCCATTTTTATGGTAATCTTTCAATTCTGCCTCGTAATTGACCATAATTAGTGGAATCTAGGAAAAAAATCAAAAACAACAGTTAGTAAATCAAGAGGAGAAAAACTTAATAATTAAAGATTTAGATTCAATTGAACAGAGGGGACAAAAAACTAATTAAGTTAACTATAGTCTAATTGCCTGGATAATTCCCTGATTGTTGATAATTTCGTTGAACAGGTAAAATAAAATGGACAATTTGTTAATTGTTCACTTCAAATTGTGATCAACTGTTGTTTCAACCGACTATTTATGTAACGAAAGAGGCTAAAAATCCGGTTCATTTTGTAAATCATTTAGATTTGTTATCATGATAATCAATTGTTTTGGCACGTTTATCAACCTCTTTTTTAATTGTTGATCATCCCTCTGGGCTGATTAGTTAATTGTCAATCCTTCTTATTATTACTGATGTTGGTCCTTGAGATTTCATTAACTATAAATAATATGAAATAAAATTCAGTGCAAATCAAATCAGGATGTCAATTACATTGTTGTTATATCAATACTTTCACATCAAATTGATAAGCATTTGTTTTCCTCGGTTGCAAATTCAATTGACTAGTGTAATAACTTTTAATTTGTCTAGTTTAGATACTCTATAAGTCCTAACTGATCATCATCAAGATAATTTTAAGTTTGAATTTTTGCCAAGTCAACCATCATAATCGTAATTAACTATTGTGGTTGATCAATGAAAAGAGACTCATATTCATCCCTCTATAAAATATTCAGATTCAATTCATTTGTATTGATTGGCCGATCGAGCATAAAATTTGCTCAATCAATCAGTGACTTTGATACATCATTTCGCCAAGGAATTGACCATCAGAGTGAATTAAAGTTGAATTTTCTTCTTGTGATAAGTAAAAAGATTAGCTAATCCATCGACTTTTAACAACAAATACTGTAAATTGATCAATTGAATATGGAAATTAAATGATCGATTGGCTCACCTTCAACACTCATCTTAACCTGAGGGAAAAACTTTTGAGAATATAATTACCATTCATGATAATTCATTCGTTTTTAGAGACATCTCAGGGGGGGAACTCACCTAATCGAGGCCACTCAAACGATGGGAATAGAAAGTTTCGAGCTTAATTCTGACCCTTATAATCAAATTTTCTCATTAATCACATCAACCTTTAGTCTCGAAATCCACACAAACCGTTCCTTGTGTATTCGAAAACATATCCTGCAAACATCTTTGTGATAAATCAACTCGATCTCGAAAAATCGGCCACTTCCTGAAAATCCCCAAACTTTTTCTCCACAAAATAAAAAAAAAGAGAAAATGTTAAACAGAAAATTGAAATTCCCGCGAAAAGAATTTGTTACTAAAATGTAACCATAGCAACCAACATATGGCCTCAGATGAGAAATTGAGTCAATTTAATTGAGTTTTCGTTGAGAAAAAATTTTCTTCTTTTGGTTTAATTGTGATTTTAGAGCAATTAAATCATTTCTTTGATTAATTTATTCATTTTTTCATATATTTTTTGTTTTCATCTTCAATTCCGTTATTCTTATTTTTGTGTATCATCTTATTTGGCTTCTTCAATTCTCTCCATCATCTAGTAACTTTCATCTCTTTCATTGTTTGTACAGATTTACGTAGATATTTATTATTTACTATAAATTCATCTCTTCTAATTTCACCTCTTTTGCTTTTTTTATACTAATCAGTCCATCAAAACGATCATTTTTTCATACTTATTATATAAATAAGTGTACATATATATATAAATTTATAAATTATTTCATTAATTGTATAAATAATCTCATCAATTTTTTTGTTCTCTTTGAGCCAATTTTTTTACATTACATCATTCATAGTCAAAATGTCTTGTTGGGATAAAAGAAAATTAACTGAAGGTTTATCTAACGTTTCCAATGGAATCAATCCTGCCAATAACCATAAGGATGACAAAGGAAGTGTCCAAGGGAAGATTGAACCTGGTAATCATGATGGTGGCGGTAAACTAAGGGTTGAAAAGATTGTCTATGGTTGTGAAGGTGAAAAAGGAGTAAGTGATAGGATCGAGAAAGAAATGATTCCTGAGGTATCTTTTGGTGAGATAATGAATGAACAATATGCATCTTATTTGATGGAGAAAGAAGGATTACCAGGAGAAAATTTTACCAATCAACTGGTTAATACGACCGAGACTCTATCAACTGATTTAAACGATGATAGCAAATTATTGAATCCAATTGAAACAGTTACAGGTGATTTCCAAATTCCAGATGATAATGAATCTACTGACAATGATCTGCTTTTGGCTCAAATGCTACAAGAAGAGTTTGACAAAGAGTTCAATGATCACCTTGAAAGGTAATATATTTATCTTTTTCTACTTGTTCAATTTTCCAATTTATCATTGAAACATTTAAAGATGAGGTAATAACAGCTACTTGTTACATTTAACCATAGATTCTGTCATCATTCAGGTTAACCTAATGTTAATTTAACCTGTTTTCTATTTCCTTTTTCAGAAGATTTTCTCTCTTTCAATTTGTTACTTGAGATCATCAAAGCCTAGGAATTAATTTAGGTTTTGTTTTTGTCTGAATTAGTGGAATAGTCAATCATTACCACTTCAACTATTTCCTTTTCCAATATTTTATCTTATAGATTTTTTCCTTCATTCTTTTTATTTCTAATTATCTAATAATTTATCTTTCTCTCTTTTCACCTGTAGCCAAAAGGAAACCGTGACAACAACCAATAAGCAGGAAAGTGTCAGTGTATCTTTTTGTCCTTCTCGTCCGATTCCCAATTCATCAACAAGTGAATCTGACGTTGAAGATGATACAATACCTGGTGGGGAATATCGTGAATGGGATTCATTTTCCAGTGTTGAGAAAGGTACATCAGCAATTACACTTGGAAGAAAAGGTTTTGCTAAAAATGCTGAAGGTTCTTACACCACGAAACATGACCCAACGGTTTGTGGTCGTCGGAATGCTTGTCGAGTGATGGATTTTGATGTCGCTGTTAAAACAGGTACGTTCAGGATCTTAATTGTTATGACCATTATTTATCCAAATCTTTATCTCTCATATTTCTATCCATCACATTTACCATCACAATAACAACATTCATAGAGAAAGAGAAAAAAAAAAGATTGAATTTAAAACCCATTCACAAAATTGAACTGAATTTAAGTGACTATGAGTAATTGATCATTTGACTCAATGATCTAAATGACTTTGATTATACGGATATTCAGGAAGTTATCCCGTTATTATTGATGAATATTAACAGAAAATAATTAACTATCATTATCCTCTTTATCAACCACTTTGTCACCATCAACATACTCTCATTTTGAATTGGTTTTGTCTCAATTTAAGATAACAATCAAATTGATATTTTTGATATAACATAGGAGACGGTGGTGGGTTTGATATGAAATTGAACAACAACGTTTTCAATGCCCTCAAGGTTCATTCAAAGAAGGAAAGTAAACGAGCAGCTCGACTTCGCCAGGCCAAGGAAAAATCTACCGTTGAACATGTTATGGATGAAAAGACTCGTCTTTCCCTTTATAAATTGCTTAATCGTGGTATCTTGGATGAGGTTAACGGTACAATTTCAACCGGTAAAGAATCACATGTTTACCATGGTATTGGCGGTGACCCCGAGAAACAGATAACCTGTGGTGAGGTGGCAATTAAAGTTTACAAGACAACCCTAAATGAGTTTAAAAATCGTGAGGCTTACATCAAAGATGATCATAGATTTAAGGATAAATTTTCACGGCAAAATCCACGCAAGATAATCCATTTATGGGCTGAAAAAGAGATGCACAATTTAATCCGAATTAAGAGAGCAGGTATCCCTTGTCCCGAAGTTGTTATGCTAAAAGATCATATTCTTGTGATGAAATTTATTGGGATGGATGGTAAACACGCTCCATCACTGAAAGATGCTAAACTATCATCAACTCAATTATCTCAAGCTTACCAAAATGTTGTTGAGGTGATTAATTATTGAGAATCAATTTGATTACCTCAATTGATTTAATTTTGTAAATTCATTTTTCTTTCTTCAAAATTTTCTGTTTTAGATAATGAAAAAGATGTACGGTAAATGTGAATTGATTCATGGTGATTTAAGTGAATACAATTTACTTTGGTATTCCAACAAAGTTTGGGTTATCGATGTGAGTCAATCGGTTCTCACTAATCATCCCTTCTCACTCCATTTTCTTTCGCGAGATTGTCTCAATGTTACCAAGGTAAATTTTTAATTTTCGATTTTCGATTCTACTTACTTTGTTCTTTTTCTAATGTTATTCTTTTTTCCATCTTTTTTGGTTAACAGTTTTTCGAAAAATGTGGCCTACAAGAGATCAGATCAAGCGGTGAACTTTTCTATGATATTACTGGCAAAGAATTGGAAGGAAATGATCTAGGAGATATCGATCATCTTGCTAATATAGTAGATTATGAACGAAACGTTGAACTATTGACCTATGGAGTAAACAGTAAAGTGGACAATTTCGAGGAATTGTTTGAACGAAGTGTCCTCGAAAGGGAAAACGCTGCTCTCAACGGAAATAACAATAAATATCAATCTAAAGGAACACCTTGTTACTCATCTTCCTCTTCCTCTTCAACTGGATCATCATCAAATGGTTCTCGAAAGAAACGACCATCTCATTGACCGAGGACTAAAATTAACTATCAATGAAAATTTAATCAACTGTGAGAAGTAAACAAAAAAAAACGCTCTTGAAAAACGAATAGAAATTCAAAAAAAAACAATAAGAGTAACAAAATATTTGAAAAAAAAATTCGAGGTTCCAATGGGAAGCCAAATGTTCACCTTCGATCGTCAAATGTACAAAGAAAGTAAAAATCACCAAAAAAAAAAGACAATTGGACATTGTGATGGTCAAGAAAATCAACTTAACTGTCACAATATCGTTAATTATAACAATCTCGGATTTAATCATTGGAAACCTAAATGATCCTGATCAGTTGAATCGCAATCACTAATTAAACCTTTCATTGTCTAATTTATAACGTTAATTAGTTGGAGAGAAAAAAATTACAACCAAGTGATACAAAATTTGCAAAAAAAAAGTCAACTCAATAAAATTAATGTGGCAATGAAATCTCACAATTAAATCTAATCAAATGGTTTTAATTTCACTAAATCAACTTGATTTGTTTATTATCCAAGTTTAGGTTTGATTGAATGAGAAAAACAAAACTCATTCAATTGTTACAATAAAATAATTTCCTCTGATTTAATCGAGATAATTTATCTTAATTACTTTGATCGTAACATAGATGACAGAATTACTGATAAATTGTAACTGTTTATTGGATAGAATTAATTTTCCAACAATCAACTGTTACCAATCACTAAATCAATATAATCAATTGTGATGAACAATCAGCAATCAAATTGATTGTTTATCTTACCTACACCAAGTAAATCATGAAGATGAATCAACTAAAATAGTCATTAATCTATTGATTATCATAACCAATACAATGTCAATCATATTTAATCAAACAATTTCTTGATTATCATTAGATAATCAAGATAATCAGTTAGATTGATTTTCTTTGATTCCGAAAATGATTCTCAGTTTTTTTCTTATGAGATTTTCCCTCATCTCATTTCTGTAAACACATAAGTCGATATAAAAACGAACTGACTTTTTCTTGATTCTCTCAGTGATTAATTGATTTAGTTACTAATTTCCATTTTCTATTTTGTTACTATCAACTTGTTGAAGGATTGGAAATCAAATTGTGATAATTAAATAATCAAAAGAGTTTGTTATTCATGTTGAGAGATTTTATTTTCTAATCCTATCAAGTTAACTCTCTGTTGTTTTGATATTTTTAGTTGGTACTTTTTTCATCCTTTACATCATCATTTTCATCATTTTCTCCTCATCATCATCTTCGTCATCATCCTCGTCATCATCCAGTCTCTGTTCAAGGTTATTTGCTTGAAAAATTCGTATAATTAACCTTGATAATTAACTCATAGAGTTAAAAACACGTTTCAGTTTGGTTTTCTCGCTTCTCTTTTTCCCTTCTCTTATTAACTCTTTTGATTTTTCAACAATCAATTCTAATTGTTTCAATATGGTTAATCAATATGGCCGATGTATTAACTTCTCCGCTGGACCTTCAAGATTACCTGAAGAGGTTAGTGATTAATAAATTGTCTCTGAAAAGAGAATAAAATTTGTTCTTTTCTATTGTTGCTATGATGCATTTGATTTTCTCTTTGGAGAATTTTTTTGTTCTATTCTTTTTAACCCTTTTTCTTTCTGTGTCTCTTTTCTTTCGGTTTTTAGATTTTGGTAAAAGCTGCAAGTGAATTACTTAATTATGAAGGATCAGGATGTAGTGTTATGGGTAAGTAAACGTTAATCTTTCGTCAATTGTCATTCTAATTGTAACCAAGATTAATCTGTTAATCTCTTTTCTTTCTTTCAGAGCTTAGCCATAGATCGGCTCAATTTAGTAAGATAATCACTGAGGCGGAAAATGATTTAAGGGAATTATTGTAAGTATTTGTTTTCTTCTATTGGTTTACAATTGAATTAATTTTCTTTGATTAACCTTTAAGGTCAGTGCCAGACACTCATGCGATTCTCTTCTTTCAAGGAGGTGGAACTGGTCAATTCTCAGCAATCGCCATGAATTTATTATCTAATCCCAATGAATCTGCCGATTATCTTGTCACTGGTTCCTGGTCAAAAAAGGCGTTTGAAGAAGCTGCAAAATATGGTAAAGTGAAACAAGCCAATCAACCAACCAAAGTTTTCACCTCAATTCCAGATTCATCTACCTGGAATATATCACCGGATGCCAAGTACGTTTACTATTGTGCCAATGAAACCATTCATGGAATTGAATGGCACGAATTACCTAAAAGTGTGCCAGAAAACATTCCTCTTGTCGCCGATATGTCATCTAATTTCATGACTCGAGCTGTTGATGTCTCGAAATACGGTTTAATCTTTGCTGCAGCTCAGAAAAACATTGGAATCGGTGGATTAACGGTTGTCATAGTTCGTAAAGATTTAATTGGTAAATCACAACCAATTACTCCAGTTACCTATGATTACAAACCGATGTTCGATAACAATTCACTTTACAACACTCCACCTTGTTTCGCGTTAGTATATATCGTTTTACATTTTTAAATCATTGATCAATTGTTACAATATCAATTTCTGATTGTAAATCTTTTTTTTTCCTCATCTATTTTGTAGTATCTACATGACAAACCTTTACTTGAAATGGATCAAAAAAGAGGGTGGACTTGCTGCTATGGAGGAAAATAGTAAAGTTAAATCGAAAATGATTTACGATACAATCGAAAATTCTAATGGTTATTATCATTCACCAATCGATGTTAACTGTCGAAGTCGAGTTACCATCCCTTTTAGAGTTGGTGGACCAACAGGTAATTCCGACCTGGAAGCCAAATTTCTCAAAGAAGCGATATCGGCCGGAATGATCCAACTTAAAGGCCATCGATCGGTTGGTGGGATACGAGCTTCGATTTTCAATGCCATCTCCATTGAAGATACCAAAACATTGGTACAATTTATGGAGCAATTTATGAAAGCTAATCCATTATAAAAAAAGATTGTTTCATTGAAACCACTAACAATTAACGAGACAATTGAGAGAATCTATTAATTAATTCTAACACTAATCCTGCCAACTTTATAATGAGTTAGCCAACAAACAAAACACAAAAATCAAGTTAACACAATAACAATTAAATGATTTATTACAATGACAGCTTTATGTATATTTAATCAACCGCTAATTGTTGGTAAACATTTTTTTCTCTTCTCTCATTCAACTGGATTAAAGAGTTTAGGTCACATCGTCATGTCAATACAAAGTCAATTCAATTGATTAAGTATCTTCTTCATCAATATTAACCTTTCACTTAACAATCATCCTGAGTCACTTAAATTGCCACAATTTAACTTTAAAGAGCTGCAATGAGAAAAAAAAGAGACAACAATCAAACAAAAAAATCTAATCACATTAATAACCAATGAAGCCAAAAACTGAAAATTATGATCAACTGTTGACAATCAATTATTCAATCGATGACGTTTTGTAATTGTTGATTTAATTGAGATCAGTTGAATGATCGATACTGATCTTAATCAGTATCACCAAAATTAACAATCAATTCTAATGATTGGAGAGCAAAAAAAGAGTAAATTGTTGATAAATCGCGAAAAAGAAACTAAATCAAATCAAGAAAGTGAAACAACAAGAGATCATTTTTTTTGGAAACTTTTTCGCTTTTCATTCAAACTTTTAATTTCTCTTTAGCTAGAAATCAATTAAAATGAACTTTAATTCAATTGTCTGAACTTCGTTTTTTTTAAAAATCCAGTTTAGTGACAAGAAGAAAAAGAAAATTCGAATGAATCGAATTTTGAATTTAGAGAAAAGACTTTGGAATATCCAAAGTTCCATTGTAAATGGAGAAAAGAACTTTTTGTTTATTCTTTCATTTCATTTTCTCTGCATCTCTCACATCGCGTTAATTAATTGATTCTGTGATCGTCACATAGGAAATGATAATCTTTGATTCTCTCCATTGGTTGAAAGATTTACTGTTATTCCGATCACTTTCGATTTCCTTTGAATTCTGTCTCCCGACCAATAAATTTCTATTTTTCATTGTTTGTGTGATTTTCATTGAAAATTCGTCGATATGATTTCAAGGGGAAGTTGGAACTCGACCGGAGAACCAAGATGGGAGCTGATTTGTTCCTTTCAAGATTGAGACCTTCAATTACGAGAAACATTAACCATGTTGAATGTTTTTCCACTCAAGCCTCAGCGTCCAACTCTCCCTGCGAATCTGATTCTAGTCCATATCCCGTTGATCAAATACTTTTGAGTCCAGTCGTGGAAACATGAGAGCTTGAGTAACCTAGTAGTTAAGTCCTCTTTTCCGTGGTTCTAGTGGCGAAAACGATGGAAATTTTCTTGTGCAAATCGTAAGATTGATAATGAAAGTAATTCAAATAACCTGAACTGACCTATTGGCCTCGAACCAATGCTGCTGACATTATCTTCTGGAAGTAGTGATAATAGATATTCAGGTTGGCCTTACCGTAAATGGAAAGTCGAGTGAACGGCACACCTATTCCAGTAGATAATCGAGAGGAGAGCTCACGTAGCAATCGACGTTCATCCTTTAACCCCCAAATACTGTTGGAACATTGATCTTAGATGAATAAGTTTTTCTAATTTCCGAATTAATTAAGCCACTTCCATTTACGACGTTGTCGAGTCAAGACTTCTTCGTCTCTATCAAATGCCACTTCTTCATGTTCTCAATGCCTCGTGTTGGTTATACGTTATCATGGGCTCTGGTTAACAGGGCCAAAGATTCAAATTTTAAAGCTCAATTTAATGCGAAATTTTTGTTGGTATGATGATCGCTGAAACCTTAGCTCAAATCTTAGATGCGCCTTTCGGTGATGCCATTTATTGTTTAATCGATGTTGATAATAAACATAATTACCCGAAGTACTCAGGTCATATTTCATTAAATCACATGAATGAGTAGTTTTGATTAGACAAAAAACTTAAAATTCTTGATTTAATCTGTCGATACATTTGATAATAATAGTAATCAAATTTATAACGATCACAATTAGACTGGTTCCTCTTTTTGTTTCATTATTACTTTCGTTGCATAAACTGTGCTGATTGTTGATTCAGTTCCCCGGTCTAATCATCAAACAATGATTTACATTACAATTAACAATGAGAAACATGATAGAAAATTAAATTTCATCAACACTCTTGAAGTGAAAGTAAATCAAAGTTACTCTGTTAATTGTTGGCCTTGAACAATTCAAGCAATACAAATAACAATTTATATTAGTTAAGGGAATAGTGATTTATTTTCAGTTGTTGATCAGTTTATGATTAAAGTGAATTAAAAAGTGTTGCTAACAAGTAAATTGAATCAAATTGTTAATCATTAATCTTAAAATAGATTGATAATAAGAGTGAGAGGGAAATTTTCAATTAGTTAATTGTTAAAGTATGTTAGTGGTTTATGGTGATTTGTTGATTGGTCACAAGTAGCTGATGATTGTTATATTGAACTATTGTTGGTTAACTAACCTGAAGATGATTAAATTATTTTCGTTGGTTGATTAATATCGAAGGTGATTAAGATTCTTAATGATCAGATAAATAGAATCCATTTAATGATGAAAATATTCAATTAAAAGGAATTAGATTATATCAACATGAAAATGACGACAATTAAAGTCAAAGGCGTTTACACACATAGGGAGATATTTTTATCATCACCATTATCATTTAGATTAGTGACAATTAATATTATATTATGAATAATATTTAATCGTTCGGATGTTTACTAATGATTTGATTATGAATAGTTGCTTTTAATTAATGAATATGATCAAGAGACAATTTTAATGTCGCCCAATCCATTCACATTTGAATTTATCTCTTTTTCCAAACTAACCTTTTTTTGGGACTTTTTTAGGAAAATGATGGAGATAAAGTTGATGGTGATGATGATGATGATGAGAGAGAGAGAGAGAGAAAAGGTCGATTAAATACCCTTTAAGCAAGAGTATGTAATTTAGTCGATCATCTTTGCGTGACGATATTGTTGATGCTTTGATTATACTCATGATGTTGATGTTCAAATCAGTTGATGATGAGAGTTAACTTTATCTTTTTGATGATGATAATTGTTGGACTCGATAGAAATGATAAAGATCTGAAAGAGAAAGAAAGAGAGAGAGAGAGAGAGAGAGAGAGATAAGTTTCTCAAGAGAAAGAGACTTAAGGTGAAAAAATGGAGAAAGAAAAACAAAAAAAATGAAGGAAAAAGAGAAAAATATATAAGTTACAGGTAAGAAATCGAAAGAAAGAGACAAATTATTTCGTAAGTTTGAAGAAAATGCTGGAAAGAGAAAGAGAAATAATTGATTCGATTGTGATTTAATTGGTGACCTCGATGCTCGAATTTCCTGGCAATCGGTTTTGATTGTTTGTTATTTGATTTTCATTCGTTTGTCAAATTGAAATTGGAGAGAGAGAGAGAGAGAGAGAGAGAGAGAGAGAGAAATGGAAAGAGGTAAATAAAGGTGAGAAAGAAACGTAGGAGGGGATGAGAGATGAAGAGTGAGAGAGAAAAGTGTTTATGAGAGAGAAGGGGTAGTAATGAGGAGGAAAAATACAGGTAAATAAGTGTGTCTATTGGAATCGCTGGTGAAACAGTTTATTCAGAAACACTGTTGTTGTGAGTTGGCTTAATGTGTCATTCAATTGATGGTTTAAGGTGCTGATAGTTGTTGTTGAACGTGTTTCAAGTTGAAGATGATAATGATTATGATGATGAAGATTGTTGTTGGCGTTTCAATTTGATGTTGTTATTGATGAATATTAAGAATGAAACAACATGGTGATGATGATGAGAAGAGAGACAATTGAAAAACAATTGATGAAATAATTCAACTAATTGTTGTCACTTTTTAACTTCTTCATGTTATTTGTTTTCAAATTAACCAATTGAATTGTGCTTTTCCTAAATTGTTACAACAATTTTCCTCCTTGTGAATTTTCACCAATTATCGGATATTTATTGTGACTTAATTTCATCCATTTATCCATGGGACATTTAACAACTGGATTTGTAGCTGGTTAATTGTTATCATCTCAACAGAAGTTAATTGTTACCTGTAATAAGGAAAGACGAACAGAAATCAAATTTAATTGTAAGTGGACGACTAATTTTTACTTCTTTAACCTTTTTGTTTTGATTGTCATCGTTTTTTTCATGTTAATTAAATGATTGATGGCTAATTGTCACCATTGTTATTACCACAGTGATTTGAGTACTTTAAAAAAGGTTATTTCAACAATAACGTGATAAAGATGAGATTTGATAATCAGCTCGTCATTTAACCTAATTTGTTGTATTATCAATGAAACGGTTGACAATCATCTTGAAATTACTGTTGAATTGAAAAACAGGTTGGTTAATTTGATAATAATGTTGATTGAAGAAAGAGTAAAGAAATGACAACAGGTAATTGTTAAATCCAAGGTGATTAATTTGATTGTAGCCAAAACAATCAACGAAAGAGTAATCAACATACAATCGTAATAGTGTTCAACTAATTTTTCATCATCTCCTCATGGTTGTCACCTTGATTTCCACAGAGGAAACAGATAATATTTATATATTAATGTACATCTGAAAGTCTGAATCAAATTAACTTATTGTAATAGTTATTTTTGTCATCTTAATCAATTTAAGTGATAACAAAAAGATGAAGTTGATGATGATGAAGGTAAGTTAATCAATCCATCATCAAGTATAATCCAAATAAGTTATCATCTCGATTCTTATAATAATACCAGCGTTTTGTTGTGAATGAAGAAGAAAAAATTAATGAGAAAATGAAATAACATTTGATTAGTTTATATTCTTGATCAGTTGTAAATTGCTAAGAGCAAATTAACTATCCAATTAACCTTATAACTCTTGGTGTATTATTTAACTTGAAATAAATAGTTACCTTTTCATACCGGTTTATCATTAGAAACCATTATATTTATCTAACGGTATTCAGTTAAAATAGCAATGGAAATGTGATTAATTAACATCATCATCATCTTAATCAGCTGTTTAATCAATTTGTCAGCTTCATTATCTTTCAACGTCTTTGGTTGCGTTTTTTTATGGGTCAGAGGGATTAGAGTTACGACTTAGTCAATTGTCATCTAAAAGAGTAAAAAACAAGAGAAAATATCAACATAATTAGTAAATTGTGTATATCAGAATCAGTTGATTAGTCAATTAAAGATGGAAACATAAATCGAGGGAGAGAAGGTAAATTGATACAAACAAAGTTAATTCTGGTTGAACGTGTGGATTAATATTTCACTTTTTTTAAAAACGATGATTGATTTGCTTAATCATGACAATAAGATGATATCTTATTGAATATATTGATAGACAATTAACTAATGAGTAGTATAATGTGAACAACGTGACAATCAACAATACAGTTGAATTACAAGATATTACTCAAAGAAAATTACCTCTAAATTACAAACAATCAAACAAGATTGAAAATGTAATTTGCCTTAAAAAATTTGCTGGGTGTAGATTTAAGGTTTACTTGTAAGATTAAGGCTTCCATCCTCTTGGATGATTCATCTCATTAATCTAATCATTATCGTATTGGTAAATTAGTGTAGAAAAAACAACAACAGCAACAATTAAGTGCAATACAATTGGTAGATTAGTGATTAATTGTTAAAGTTAAAGTTTAACAACCAATGTTGACACTAGAGGAAAACGTTATCATTGAGCCTTTTAAAATTTAGATAAATTGTAACGATGAAAATGTAAACACCTTGAAAAGTAAACCAGGAAACCGGAAAGATAAATCAACCAGATAACACGATTAGTGGTCCACAATTTATATAAATTATCTGAATCAAAATGGTAAATAAACATAGGAACAAATAAAAATTAACAAACCATTGAATGAAAAAGAAGCGAAGAAAAAAAAAATCAAATCTAAACAAAATCAAAGAGAGAAAAAAAGTAAACAAAGAATCAACATCTTTTTCTTATTCTCTTTTTGTTCCACTCCTACAATTAGATTATATCAAACAGAGTTACATTAATCATACTAATAATCCCTAATGAACATGTATAGTTACAATAATTAGATAGTAATTAATCAAATCAATGATTACAATCAAGATTATAGGAAAAACAAAAAGACAAACAAATATGTTTACTCACCAAAACAAAGACATCAACAAGTGACCAAGCAAAAACCGTTGACACTTTTTTGAAAGCAAATTTTTACCAATTAACCATCAAGTTGATTAAAAATGGAAGTCCAATTATAAATGAGGATAATGAAAATGTAAATTAAGGTTAATATGAATAATCTATAGAGAAAAATAAACGCTAATTTCAGGTCACTTTTATCAAGAAGAAAAAAAAATAAAACCGATAAAAACACCAAATAGATTTAATCATACGAACCTTTTTAATCTGATTACCTGTTCTCCTCATTTCACTTTAACCATATAATCTGATGAATGATTTAAATCCAATTTACGAAAATGATTTAGAAAAAAATAAATTGTGATCAGTTAATCAAATTATGTTAACCTTTCAATTGGAACTTTCGAAGAACAAAAATTTTCTATTCGTTTGTTGTTCTAGTTGCGATTTTTATTCGCTAGATGGGGTTAGTGTTTTTCTTTCTTTTCTCTTTCTTTTTGTTTCTCTTTCGCTTTCATCGGTTGGATTTTCATTCTAATGGAAACTTCATCAAGAGCAATGTTGAATTCTGGATTTTTCATTTTCTCTTATTGTTTTTTACTTCTTTTAATTATGATTATTGTTGCTACCTTAATGATTCTTAATTTACTTTACTTTAATCACTTGTCACTATTTTCATCATCTCAATCATCATCTTCATCGATTGTGCCTTAGTAACACAAGTCGCAAAAAAGAAAATTGAAAATTACAACTGTCAAGTCAAATGGTCAATTTTTTCTTCTCTTTTTACATTTTATGTTCTTTTCTCTTCAATTTTTCCTTTGTCTTTGTGTTGTTACTCTCGATTTAAAGTTATACATCTTGTTAACAGAAGAATATCCGTTTTTGTAAATAATTTCTCATCTCATTTTCTCTCTTCATGTTAATATTTACTTGCTTTTATACCTTAAGGTTACTGGTGACGAAAATTGAACAAAGTTAAACAAAAATGGCCTCCGTTAAAGTTGCTGTCAGGGTGAGACCTTTCAATAATAGGTAAGTTTGATTTTTTCGCTTATTCTTTTGATTTCATTTTTTATCTCTTTCTATCAGTGTAATTTTGCCATTTCTATCATTAGATTTAACTTCCTTATTGTTCTAAAAAAAATTCTACTGAAATTTACTATGATTTCTTTCAACGATTATGTTGAAAGAAAGTCTTCTCATGCGTTTCTCTTTAAACACTATTTTTAATTTTTCTGCCAATTATCTCTTACTTTCTATCTCTTAGGGAAATTGACATGGGTAGTTCTTGTATCATAAGAATGGAGGGTAAAAAAACTGCTATTGTTAACCCTAATCCTCGACCTGATTTATTGGATACAACTGCAAGTCCAACGGTATTTGATGGGTCACGAAAAGAGTTTACTTTTGACCATTCGTATTGGTCATTTGATGAAAGTGATAAAGATTTTTCTTCACAAGAGCAAGTTTATGAAGACTTGGGTCGCCCAGTGGTTGAAGATGCTTTCGAAGGTTATAATGCTTGTATTTTCGCCTATGGTCAAACTGGATCGGGTAAAACTTTCACCATGATCGGTTCTCCTGGAAATGAAGGATTAATCCCTCGAATTTGTAAAAATTTATTCGTTCGAATGAAAATGGAGTGTAACAAAGAAAGTTCTTATCGAACTGAGGTCAGTTATCTGGAAATTTATAATGAAAAAGTCAAAGATTTACTGGGTAAAGGAGAGGCCAGTTTAAAAGTTCGTGAACATCCAAAGCTTGGTCCATATGTACAAGATTTATCGAAACATTTGGTTACCGATTTTCGTGACGTTGAAGAGCTAATGGCCCGAGGTAATGCTCGTCGTACAACAGCAGCAACCGGAATGAATGATACCAGTAGTCGATCTCATGCCATTTTTACCATCGCCTTTTCTCAAGCAACTTTTGCTGGTAAAACACCAAGGGAAACATTGAGTAAAATAAATCTAGTCGATTTAGCTGGTAGTGAGAGAGCCATGGCCACTGGTGCTAGTGGACAAAGGCTTAAGGAAGGTGGTCACATTAACAAAAGTTTGGTAACTGTTGGATCAGTAATCAAAGCATTGGCCGAATCAAGTCAACAAAATCTTAATCCACCAACAACCTCAACTCCACGTCATGTTTTTATCCCTTATCGAGATTCGGTTCTTACATGGCTTTTAAAGGACAGTCTTGGAGGTAATTCAAAGACTGTAATGATAGCCACCATATCACCAGCTGATTGTAATTATAGTGAGACTTTATCAACTTTACATTATGCTAATCGAGCCAAAAATATTATCAACAAACCAACAATCAATGAAGACACTAATACCAAGCTTATACGTGACTTACGAGCTGAAATTGAGAAATTAAAATTATTACTTGGCGATCATCCAACATTTATTGAAAAAGTTCACGAAAATGAGGCTAAAGTGAAAATGTTAACTGAAGAATGGACTGAAAAATGGAAAGAGACACAAAGAATATTGAAAGAACAAAAATCTCTTGGACTTCGTAAAGCTGGACTTGGTATAATTTTAGATTCTGATTTACCTCACCTACTATCAATTAATGACGGTTTATTAAGCTCGGGTATGACTTTATACCAATTGAAAGAGGGTCGAACATTAATTGGAACCGAATATGGATTAACCAAACAAGATATTAATTTACAAGGTTTTGACATAGAAGATGAACACTGCTACATCGATCTTATCGATGGTGTTGCAACGATTACTCCGATAAACAATTCATTGTGTTTTATGAACGCTGTACAAATTGATGAACCAACTCGTCTTACCCATGGATGTGTAATTATGCTTGGTCGTAATAATATGTTCCGATTCAATGATCCAGGAGCCATGAATAAATTAAAAAGAGAGCGAAATGATAACAACTCATCTTTACTCAATCTATCTAAAATAATGAGTCATTCAACTGAATTAGCCAAATCATGGGATAATTTATGGTCCCAGGTAAACGAAGGTGAATGTTTCGATAGAGGAGTTGACCTTTGTGATATTGAGGAGAAACGTCGTGAGATTGAAGAGCTGGAAGAGGAGCATCGTCGAGCCGAACAGCGTAGATTGGAAGAGCAACAACGAGCTGACCTTGAATTGGAAATGAAAAGAAAAGATTTGGAAAAGTTAATCACTGAAAATGAGTTACTCGAAAAGAAAAGATCAGAAACCGAAGCAGAATTAAAATTGATGAGGGAAGAAATCGCCAACATAAGTGGTCTTAATGGTGGTGATGTTGATGTTACACTCGAAAAATGTTCAAAATGTTCAACAAATGGAGGTGACCTTTTGTTAAGTTACAGCGATACTGGTTTAACCAATGGAGAGACTGATAAAAAGACAGCAAATGATAACAATGATACAAATGTTGATGATGGTCAACCAGAAAGTAATACTGAATCTTTTAATTTATCATCAACGTCTTCATCTACAACCGTTTGTCAATGTAATAACAATACAATTAGTGATACATCAGCAACGATAATCTCATCATCATCATCGTCAGAGGAAATACCATCAACAACAACCGAAAACTATGTTAATAAATTAAGTGAACTGAAAGCTTTTGAGGAGCGATTAGTTGCCATGGAGAAAAATTTAAATGAACAAAAGTCACTTTTTGAAATGCAACGAACCAAAGAGTTAAGTCAAATACAAAAGGAGAAGGACAATCTCAATGAGATGGAGAAACAAGTTGAACTGGACATGTTTATCGAACGAGAGGTTCAACGTCGACTTCGTGATCATCAAGCAAAATGTGAGAAAACCTGGAGAGATGGACTGGAATCGCGAGCAAATGATTATCTTCGTATAACAACATCATCTCCCACCTTGATGCTTGCAGAGGAAATGGAAGAAGATGAAGATCAAATATTCATCAAAATACTTTCTTACAAATGGATAGAGCGAGCCTTTGATTCACACTATGAATATATGGTTGTTATTTGTATTAATGGTCATCGATTGACTATTCACCGACGATATCGTCAATTTCGTGAATTTCATCTTACTCTAGAACGAAATTATGGAACCCGGGAGTCTATAATGATACCCTATTTCCCACCGAGGAAAATGTTCTGGACGAAATCATCAACTTCCCTGGCTGAAGAAAGGAGGAAAAGTTTGGAAAAATATCTTCGAAAAGTAATTCCAATGTTCATCCGAGTTCCTGATTCTCCTCTAAATTATAAAGTTCAAGGAGCTAAAAAATTATCTCTTTCTCATCTTTTACAATTTTCTAATTTCTTCAAAGATGATGTTCCAGATATTGAAGATTAATCAATTCCCAAGTCTAGTCCAACCATCACCTCCCATAAGCATCATCACAATTAGCAACCTTCCCAATCTGATAATCCATTGGATCAAAAAAAAAGTTCTGATGTGTCAACAATCAATCTTCCCTTAGACACTTGTCATTGTTTTCATCATCAATTGTTTACCTGATCAAGATGCTATTTCTTCCGCTCCAAGCAATTGAGAGAGAAATTGTCTCATTGGTAAAAGAGCTAAGAAATTTGTTAATTGTTTTAATTACTTTGCCATCTATGTTTCTCTCTCTCTCTCTCACCATCTATTCATTTCTTTGGATGATAACAACAAAAAGACAACATCAAAAGAATCAACTTTTTAAATTGTTTCACAAAATCAATCACCTTTAAATCCAGTGCATTTTTTTAATAAGCAAGAAAAAAGTAGTAACAATTAACTCGATATATCATGAAAAGTTCACAATCAATCTACCAGAAATCAAAGTGCAACTTAAATCAAATTATTCTGTCATTTATGATGACAACATTTTGTGCGAAAAATTTTTCTAATCTTGTAATTTTCTCAATTTGTTTTTATGTATTTTCGTCAACAGAAAACTTATCACTATCATTGTACATTAATATTATATATAAATATGTATTTATATTGTTGCTAATTAGCAAGAAAACAAAATTGATGCATAATTAAATTTTTAAATTATTAATTTTCTTACAATAAATTGCTAACCTTTTGAAGGTAATTCAAAATGGTTACTAATACAAATGGAAAAAAATTTCAATTCGAATGATTGAAAAACTTCAATTAACAGATTCTGATGATTCCAATGAAACGGTTAACACATTTGATCCTCTGACAAAAATTGTTTTCAAATTTCTTCGAACATTTTTGGGTAAATCATCAGGAGAACAATTAGAAGAATCATCTTCAGATGATTTAATTAGAGCAACTTTTTCAATCACATTTGACAAAATTAAGTTGTAATGTTTATCAAAGGCAATCAGAGATCCAAATAGTTGAGCGATTTGTTGATGATGATGGAAGATAATTTTCCTCCGTCTGATTACCACTTTAATCTGTTGACCGATACACTTGAATAGAAACGATTGTGGTCCAGTTACATCAGAATTCATGAGAGATAAAACTGATTTTCCATCTCGCTTTTCAAATCGTAAATTTGGAACAAGAGTTTTTTTTAATTGTTCTTCACGTTTTTTCACATCTATTTTAAATCTACTCTCATAATCACCATCACTTGTTGGCAACACACCAATTTTAACAGAACCAGCACCTTGACCACCAGCAACCGGTGAATTAGCGGATAAACCCATTGGAGAATCTGTAACAATTAACCCTAATTGTGTTGCTCCACTTTTCTTTTCATATTCATCAAGATGATTATACGTTTTAGCTTTTGGATCGGGTAACTTGATTGTCTTTATATCGGCAATTAAAACAGCCCTTGGATCCAATTGATCTGATTCAAGATTCAAACATTCCAATGCATGATCGACACTTGTAACCTTTGAACTACAACCTTCATCCATTAAAATAGATAATCAGCTAATTGGAACAATTAAATTAACAAAAGTTAACTCTGATTAACCAAAACAATTTTTTCATTTTCATTAATTTTCAAAATAAAAACAAAACATTTTCATTGGACGATCGTGTCTCCATCTATCGGATTCTTTAGTAACTAATTAGGTAAACAAATGAATTTTTTTTTTCACTTTTTGATTGTAAGAAAAATGGTTTTCAAATTTTTAATTCAGTAAGTTAATTGTTAATCTAATCAAGCGGTTAAATGTTATTAATTTAATTTATTTTACTCTAACAGGGCCTTCCTCAGGACACAGAGTTCACCTTACATCGAATCATTAATAGATAAAGTAAGTAAAAGATAATTGTTAATCCTTTTTGTTGAAATTTTCCTTCGTCTCAATGATGTTGAAGGTTTTTCAATTTCTAATTTATATTCTCATTCTCATTTAGTTAATTAATTGTTTTATTTAGAATTTTATTCTTTACAAAATATTCTAATTCTCTTGTTTCATCTGTTTCAATTGTCTAGCTATCCAATACCAGGCCTATTAGACGATCTGCTCAATTGGCTGCTTATTTTATTACCAAAGGTAACAAAATTGTCAATACAATTTGAATATACAAATGTATTAATGACAATCTATTAATTATCTATCATTTATTGATAACTAATCATCAAGCTCTTTTGTCTATCTTCCTCGTCGTTCCTCTATTGATACACCTTCGATGTGTTACCGTTTAGTTTTAAATGATCACTAATATTTAATTTTGTTTCCTCAATATTTTCCTTTAGGAAGTCAATCAATTGGTAAAGATTTGCAAGGATTATTTAACTCGAAAGGAATCAAAGCAATTAAAGATAAATTTAGTGGAGGAGGAGGAGGTAGTGGATCAAAATATTAACTAATTCAATCGCAATTACAAATATAAATATTGTATCAATTTTAGTTTATTAATCAAATTACCTGTTTACCCGAGTTGAGAATGGTGTTAATTCAATTTGCCTGTGATACACTTACAATTAATTATCTTCTTGTAGTAATATATTTGTGTACATATTATATGAATGGAGGAGGAAGATGAAAACAAAAAAGTACAGATAAATGAAGAGGTAAATTAACAATCATCTTTACTTTAATCAACAAACGTAGTGTTACAATTTACTAATCGTGATTTGATATCAAACAACAGGGGGGAACCCGTGACTTTGATTATCAGCTAATCTCAGGGAATTAACAAATCACCTTGGGTGTCAATGAATTAATGATTAGCATCAGTAACTTTGTTGTTGTTTAACATTCAACTAAAAGAATCAGCAACAATTTAACATTCACACTTAAAATCATTAATTGTCAACTTTTAATTCTTACCTACAAAGTGTGAATTTAATGGTACACCCTTGTTGTTGTTAATTCTGTTGATGACAATTAGAGATGATAATCAACTAACGTCAACAAATATAATGATTGTTGATTAATTAATTAATTTTCTCATCCAACAATTTAAACGTAAAATTTATCTGAAAATAAACAAAAATCTAACAGTCACTTTGCCTCATCTTTTGATTTAGTAGCAATTAATCAAAAGAAAAGCTAATTCACTAAATCAGAAAAGCCCATCGGTTAATTACCATAACAATTAAGACCTTGACAATTAAACAGCAATTTCAAGTTAATTGTTGTATTTCTGTTGAAACAATTTAGTAAACTTTTTCTTTTCAACATCAGAGACAATTGAATTTGAGTTTAATCACCTAACAATTAACTTCCATATACTAGTTAACCGACCGTTAATTTGACAATTAATTAACTGGTTAAAAATTAGGGATAGTTTTTAATTGAAATGAGTTGACAATTAGTTGATTATCTCTATGATTTACCAAATGAAAAGTTTTCTTTTGTCTAATATCATTGTGATTTCCACCATCAGGAGTACAACAATTAACTGATTATTTGATTGATCTTTGATTGGTACTGATTTTATTTCATTTCAAATTTGCAAGTTAATTGTTGATTAGCTGAAGAAAGAAAAAAATAAATTAATGAAGCAATCATTTACTTCCTGACATCTAAATTAAATCATACTAAATGTAATTACCAAAAATCAACCAATGAATTAATATCCAAGGTAAACAAGCACAAAAATCACAATTAACTTAATTATTGAAACAATCAAAGGAAACAGATCTAATTAACTCAACTATTAAAGTTTTTTTTTCTCACTCCCTTTAATCAACAAATTGTCATCAATATCTCAGATTTAAACACTAACAATAAACAATTAGTTAATCATTTTGATACCTCAAGTACAAAATTTTAAATATAAATAATAATTTAACCGATATCAGTTTTAATCACAATTAGTTATATAAAATATATAACTAATTGTTACACAATTGATTTGTAGATGAAAATTTAATTGTCTCGAATCAAATAACAAACACAATTAACCATCAAAATCAATTACAAAACTTTTTTTTTGTTCGTTAATTGTAATTAATGAACAGTAACTACAACAATTAGTAAATCAATATAAAGATTAACATCTTACCTTGTAAAAATTGAAAAGTTACTCGAAACAATCAATAACAATTAACTCACTCAATGAATTTTCAATATATTGATTGAGCAAAATTTACAAATCATAACTTAATCAACACCAAACAAATCAACAACAATTTATCATATTGATTAGATTGATCAACTAACCTTAAATTTTGTAAACTTTTTGTTAATCAACAGAAAAAGTTTTTTTGTTGTTGTCTAATTGTTTCAAACACCAGATTCATTTTAATTGTTGTAATACAAATTTCATTGATAATTAACTAAATCACTACATCTCATCATTTGATTTATATCAACAATCAATGTTAATTATTTTATCCAAATCTAAATCAACCTTGTGAATACATAATATTGTTAATTGTTATTGTTGTTGTTTCCATTGATTAGTTTATCCTTTAATCATTTTGTGATTATATTAAATTGTTGGAGGTAAAAAATTAAATCACATGGAAAAATTGACTGATTAGTGATTAATTATCATCATTATTGACCAATTGAAAAAAAAACTGTTCAACAATTTATAACAATTAACTAAAAGGTAAATTTGTTTCCTGAAACTTTTTAACTCAATTAATTTCTCGTTATCATTTTTTGATTGTTGATTAAAACTGTAATTAACTTTTGAACTGCAGTTAATTGTTAAGTTTTGAACTTGATCATGAATGTTATTTATTTAAAGGATGATCAACAAGATGATGATGATGATAATGATGATAATCAAGGTGAATCCCTTAATCATTAACAACAATCATCAAGGATAATCATGATTGTGTATAAAATTGACTTGAATCAAAATCTACATAGAGACTTGAGTCTAATCATTACAATTGATTGTTGTTTTATCGTTATTGCTGATTGCTTATTAATTGTAACCATCCAGTAACAATCAAATAGGTAAATATCGTCATCTTTATCATCATCATCATCATGATTATAAATCATAATCAATGAAATCAATCAACAGAATCATGTTAGATTTTTTTTCCTAATTCAAAGTTATAGTTTTATTATTGATAAAAATGATTAGTGTTTCTTATTGTCTTGCAAACAATCAACTTAATTGTCTCATTATTTGTTGGTGATAATCAAATTAATTGCGTCTTCATAACCATTAGTTTCATGTCGACTTGACAGTTAACACCTATTTTTAAATTGTTGACAATTAACCAGATTTTTGTTGATTCTCATCGTTAATTTTGATTGTTTAAATTGTCTCGTTGTTAATTTTTAATTGTTACTTTTCAATGATAAAGTTTAATTTTCCGTTTTACAATCTCATCAAATTAGTGACCAATCAAAGCTGACCTGTGATGATGATTAAAGTAATTGCTGTTTGATTGGGGTTAAATCATCTTCCAATAGGAATCAAATCAAATCAAGTTAATTGTGATCAAGTGATTGGTGGTGAAATTGTGAGTCTCAGGAATCTAGTTAATTGTCAACAATTTTAATCCAATTGGGTAAGTTGATCAACTTGATTATCATTATCACCATTTTTTTGTTCGGTTTACAATTAACTCTAATTTCCAACAATAACAACAATTAACTTTAATACGGGTGAATCATTGAATCAATACAATTACAATTGTATTATTAACATATTACTCTAACAATTAACTCTTAATCAATCAATCAATCAACTCTCGTGTCAATCAAACGTCATGTTTATTGTGATTTTAATCAAATGTTAATCAACTGTCATTCACATTTATGCTAATCACCTTAAAGATAATCCCAATAGTTAAACTAATTGTTTGATCAATACCATCAGACACAATTAAATTAATCTAGAAATTTAATTTCTCAAATCAAATAACTAATTTTTCATCAATTTTTGGATCACGATTGAAAATCCTAAATGAATTTCAATCAATTTTATATAAAAATTTACTAATTGTCACAACAATCACACTCGTTAATTGTAAATAATCACTTTAATTGCTACCCGAAAACCTTTCAAATAAAATTAATTTAATTTTCTTCAAGTCAATCATTTGATTATCTGAGTAACGATTTCAACACTTAATCAAGTAATCAAATTCAATTTGCTTTTAAATTGTATTAATATCGTTTCTAACAATCAAAGAAAATTATCAAACAACAATCAATTAACTTAATTATCATAACTGTCGATTACAATTAACTTTTTAGTTAATTGTTGAAACACTTTTTAGGAAATAAAAATTGATCAGAATTTTTTTTTCTCCACTTTTTTCCTGAAACATGAAACAACAATTAACTAATTAATGTCAATAGCAATTAGTGTATCAATTATTATCGTTACCATATTTAAATTACATAACGTTGATTGTTAATCAATAATTATGGTTAAATTATTGTTACTAATTAACCTGCAATTCAAATTTAAAGTTTATCAAAACTTTTTCAATTGAATCAATTGAAAATCTCAACCTAACCTTGACCAAGACATTTAATTGTTGATTAATCAACTAATTAATACAAAGGAATTTAATTAACTTGATTATCAAATGATTAACAATTAATAACCCGCAGTAAATTTGCCAATTTACTAGTAAATCAAATGAACTACAATTAGATCAGTAGAGGTCACAATTAAATCTAATCATTAATCAGTTTAGGTGAATGAAGATTTTAATTATTACAATAATAAATAATTTTAATAATTAACAATTATCTTTAGACTTTTAAATTGTATCCATGTAAAATTTTCATTGATTAACAATTAAAACTAATTGTTGAAATTTTTCAAACTTATTAATCTAATCATCTTTGATTGAAATCTAATTGTTAACAATCAATTGTTTTGGTATGTTACTGTTGATTGTTTTGTTAATTGTTTCAATGTTTTCAGTTTCACCTTCATGATTAACAATCAACTGATTTGCTTCAACAATTTATCATTTATTTACAATTTAATAATATTAATCATTGACAATTATAAGAAAAGTATTTGTCTTTATAATATAATTTATATATTTTACTTGAAACAATTAAGTAAACAACAATCAAGTTGATTCAATGTCTGATCACAATCAACTAACAATTAAGATGATTGGTACCAGGTTGATGATTAACAAACATAATCAATTTAGGCCAAATCAAATTGATATCAATTCCTTAAGCCTCCAAATGATTTAATTTAATTCAAGGTATTATTGATTGTTGATTGTACTGTAAATCAATTGTTTAATTGTAATGATGAAACATTTGATTGATTTGATTGACTTTGTTTAATCAATCATTAAATTGTCGGTAATATGATTAATTGTTTATAGTTGATACTAAATGAAAACCTTAAAGAAATGAGGGACAATTAATTAATCATTGGGATTAGATTTGCTTATCAAAAGTAATTTAATAAAAATAGTCAACAATTAACTCCTGATTGTTGATTGATTTCAAACGGGGAAATTAAATCAATCGTTAATTTTTCACATCTTCAACCGTAAACTTGAATTAAACAACTTTCATCATCGACAATCATTGACAATTAACACGATTGCAGGGAAATCAATGAGATATTTTAATTGTGGTTAGTAAATTGAAATCTTTAGGATAGTAAATGATAATAATAGGACAGTTTGTTTTTCGCGGGTAATTTTTTTCGAGAAATTTTTTCTTTTTTGATCTAACCGTTAACTCGAGGGAAAGGTTTGGACAATTGAAGCCAACAATCGGGTGACCATTTGGTTTCATGTTCATCGGTAAAATGGATAACGTAGGCTGGCCTTGGTTTATCGGAGAGGTTTGATTTGGACCGATGGACAAGTTTACCGTCAAATACAAGGCACGAACCCTTAGGAACCAGAACTGGTACAAAAGCGGAATCTTCGTATTCTTTAACGGGTCCATTGAATTCGGCTCTTGATCCTGTCTCATCGTCGGTCCTTATGTACCTGCGATGAGCTGAATCTACATGAGAACCTGGAATAACCTCAAGGCATCCGTTTTCTCGGACCACATCGGTCAGTGCAATCCAAAGAGCGCAAACCTTGTCAACTGGTTCGCTGAATAAAAATTCCGTATCCTTGTGAGGGGTCACTTCACTTCCGACCCGTGGATGTTTAAAGATGAGCATACCTTGAACTATAGCGGGCTCTACATAACCGATTCCCTTCATAATGGCTCGAACTCGATCTGTATGTCCAATTGAACCGAAAGTCTTATTACCCAAGTGAAGTCCGTGTCCCAATTTCATGACACACTTTTCCCGAGGTAGAATCAAATTTCCTTCACCATCAAAAGCTTTTGGCTCGAAAAAAAAGTTGGCCTTACCAGCTGAAGCAAAATAATAATCGGTGGTCTGTTGTGGACTTCCGGGAATGGCACAAAGTCGATGCTCCGATAAGTCCAAATTGTCGATCAATGATTTAGCCTCATCCATAAGCATTTTAACCTCTTCGGGTGTCAAGAAATTATCAATCACCGCAAATCCATTCTTACCATAATCAGCCAATTCTTTCTCGTAATTAACCATAATGATTTTCTTTTCAATTTTGATTGATGATTGAAAATTTAGGCACATAAACAATTCACTTGTTATTGATCCGGCTCAACGAAAATCATTTGCTTTTTATTTAAACAGTTAATCTATTTTTCAACTTATGCAATTAGCTAATTGTGATTAATTTCTCTTATCGATTGTATTGTCTTCGTGGTCACGTTAACCAATGTGATCTCCTCGAAGTGGGGGATATCCAACGAAGTCTAAAGTTCGTTGGAGAGAAAGCAAAAAGTACTAATCAACAAAAATTGTAGTACAAATCAATTTAATCTTCAATCAATTCCAAGAAAAAAGTTGACTAATAATCGTTAATATTGGGAGTTAATTGTAGATGATAATTGATTGTTTCTATTCATAACTACGAAACAATTAAAGTTGAGTGCAAATTTAATCTCTTGTTTTCCGATTCTCTTGACAATTAATCCTGATAATGGTTAATTGTTTGATTCGATTGGAACAATTAACTACCCTTGAGTTATATTTATGACCATTGATTGTCAAGTTAAACTATTAATTGTATGATTAAGATTACAATTCATCTTTTCAATTATTACGAAGTTGATTATATTAATACAATTGAAATTGATTTCTTTTTATCTATTTTTTAATTGTAAAAATTTTATTAATACTTGATTCTCATGCTGATTGTTGTATATAGTTAATTGTTTAATAGAAAAGGGGAAAAATTTAACTAATTATTTTGATACAAATCGTTAGAGCGAATCATAATCAATTGTTTAACTTGTTTTCCCAAACAATTTAAATAGTAATTTTAACAGTAACAATTAAGAGATGATTGTACAATTTAAACTTTCAATGCTTCGTTTGAATACAATTTAAGTTTAATTATCTCACTAATCATGAGTTTTAATCATCATTTTAATCATGATCCACTTTAATCAGTGTGTGTATCAATTTGTTATATACTCAATATTTAAACACATCTAATTTATACCAATCAAATTGATCAATTTTTGTCTGATTGTTTTGACAACAATTAACCAGGTTAACTTGAAATTAACCCAGAAAAATATATTCACAAACAAAGTAAACTTTTTAATTCCTTAAGGATTTAGGAATCAATTCAATGAACAATCAACAACAATTTGATCTCAATTCAAATAAACAACAACTGATTTAAATGTTGTTATGATTAACTTTAAACCCTAATAATCAAATCACAATTTAGTGATCAAAGTGATTGGTTAAATTGTAACAAGAGCAACAACAACAAAACAAAACTAATCACCTTATATCAAAGTTTTGTCTTATTGATTGTTGATTAAGTAAATCATATGTTGATGATTAACCTTATATAATGTCAATCATCAACAATTATCAAACTATCAACTTTAATTGTTAGTTCAACGTCCCTCATAATAGTGGCAACAAAAAAAGCATCAACATTAATCATTTATATGTATGATTCAACTAATCAGGGATTAACAATTAACCAGAAAAAAAACCAAATCAAATCAAATTCAATAACAGCCAAATGATTAACTAACTTTATTAATATTGACATTTAACTTTCTTGTTATTGTAACAATTAATTTAATTTCCACGTGAATTATGGTGACGATGATTAAGATGATGATGGTAAAAAAATTACCCAACAATTTAGTGATTAGCGTAATAAAATCAAATTAATCTTGTATAATTAACCTTTTTTCTTAACCATAGATTTACCGTTGATTAATTAAAAGCAATTAAAAATTGTATCAACATGAGTTTTTAAAGTTTAATCAAAATTAAATTAGTTAAATCAAATGGTTCAAATTGTTAACTCTTTTTATTGTTGTTGTTGTTTAAAACATTGAGTTAACTTTAATACTGATTCATTGATTCACTTACAGTTAATTGTGACAATTAACAGGTGAATAAATTATCACCCACCCTCTAGTGAGCAAGGTAATGGTGTTGATGGATGATGATGAAGACAGAAGGATAGAAAGAGGATAAGAAAGAGATGATAAGAGTGAGAGAGAGAGAGAGAGGGAGACAAGTGAGTAAATAACCAATCACGTTGATTTACCTGTTGATTGTTACAATTAACATTTAGATGGTGATCAGTTATTGTTGCTTTGTGCCAACCATGATCAACTTTAACTGTACTTTAATTTGTCCAATTATCAAGATTCAGAATATCAACTCGACCAATGGATCACCCGACGGCTAAAGATGTGAACAACTGCCCTTCCGCAGACCCACCGCGACCCTCATCACCACCACCACCACCGCCGCCATCGCAAATCGTATCAAACGCAAATGTAATCCCAGTACCCAGTCCCACTTTTTTACCCTCCGTGATTAACGTGACAGGTAAACCAATAAGTAAAAGGTTATCGGTGAAAAAAGCGACACCAACATCAACTTTACCTCTTCCAAGTTCGGTAAATTTATCTGTTCCCAATGGTACAAGTGCTAATCCCGTTTCGAGTGAAACAATGTCGACAAATGTTGTACCTGTTAAACGGCCTTGTGTTGACCCGGAAGATGATACAAAGTCCGCTCTAAAGGAAATGTTTCTTCCCGTTATGTTGAGTGGTTTTGGTAACATGGGCGCTGGTATGGTTTTAGAACGGGTTCAATTTATGGACATTTTCATGGCGATTCCCCAGCTTATTCAACTGGTTCCACCGTTACTTGGTCTTAAGGGTAACGTTGAGATGACCCTCGCCTCGCGTTTATCAACCCACGCCAATTTAGGCCATCTTTCCGATAAAAAGACTCGAAGACGTATCATCATTGGTAATATTGCTCTATGTCAATTCCTCGCCACCGGGGTTGGTTTCATAGCGCCGATAATTGCACTTTTACTTTCACACTTTCAAATCACCGGTTCTCATGATACATCACCCGTTATTCATCAACCACCCTCATTGATGGTCAACGATGGTCATCTTTCGGCAACCTCATTGTTAAGTTCGTCTAATACAATCGGCAGTGGTTCGACCTCATCAATGGTCACCTTTGATGTTGATCATACGAAAGATTTTGTCTCACCTCAGTTGACCAAAAGCCTTTTGGTTGTGGCCATTTTTCTGGCCACTTCGGGGTTAGCCGATGTAATCCTTTCATCGACCATTACCTGTGTTGTTATCATTTGCTCTCAATTTCTTGGTATTAATGCCGATAATGTGGCCACACCAATTGCCGCTTCGGTTGGTGATCTTATGACGATGTGTTTCCTTGTCTATGTTTCAAATGGACTTTACAATTTAACAAAGATCCTCCCATGGGCACCATTAGTACCCTTGATCATATGGACGGTAATCGTTATTTGTACCGGTATAATTGCTCGGAGAAATCCGTTCACCAGGTCAATAGTTTTCCATGGTTGGTCTCCGCTTGTTGTCTCAATGTTATTACAAAATATCTCCGGTGTAATCATGGAAACATCGCTTCGGCGTTTCCCTCGAATGGCCATTTATCAGCCCATAATCAACGGATTCGGGGGGAACCTTGTGGCCATTCAAAGCTCGCGAGTGGCCACTTACCTTCACAAACACGCACCCAAACGGGAATTGGTCAACGAAAGTGACTCTTGTTGCCATTCACCGTTACTTTTTTTCTTTGGTGAAGGTAAGATTACCACGATTACTAATTTCCAACAATTAACTAATTGTCGACCTTCATTTTAACTCTACAACGATAAGAAATGTTTCCCTTGTTAATTGTAATTCTAAACTTTTTTTCGTTTCGTTTCGTTTCGTTTCTTAATCAAATCAAATCTTAATCATGATTATTTTCATTCTCTTGATTAGTTTGTCTAATTATTAACTCTCTTGTTCAGTTTAATCAGTTGATTAGTTAATTGTTACAGTTATTCAATTTATGTCTAATTAGTTAATCCTCATCGTATTAATTATTGATGAAGAAAAATCAAATTTTTCCTTCACCTGATCATTAGTTATCTTGATGATTACTGTTAATTGTTGTTAATTAACTTTAATGCTTTTAATTACACACTTTGATTATGATATTTATTAATAGTTAATCTCTAACAATTATCACAATCAATTTAGATGAAGATAATAATTAGTTTTAACAATTAAGTAGCTTTTAAATCACTCGAAACTAAATTGTTTACATAATATTGAATAGTATTGGTTCAGTCAACCTTTAATATCAAATTAAATTGCTGATCAATTGTTAATTGTTTGACTTTCTCAAAGATCATTGATCTTGATGTTAAAATTAATCAACTGGTTAAATCTAATTTAGTGATAAATTAACAATCAACCAGTTGATTTTTGTTTAATCATCAACAATTTAACATGACCATTGAAAATTAATCACGATATTCAAGAGTGTTTATAATCAATACCACCAACAATTAACTTAATCGCGATGACTTTTCAATCAACTAGTAATAATTTGATCCCTTTATTTATCATTACAATGGTGATAAATCAAACTAATTAACTAACCGAAGTGATTTATCAATTAATAGTTTCGTTACAATAAAAGTTACATGATAAGAAATACTAACGATTAATCAATAACCAATTAAACTACAACAATTAACTTATTATGATAATATTTGAGAGACACACAAAAACCTAATCCCAATAATCTGATTAAATCCTATTGTCACTCGATTAAGACAATTAATCAGTTAATCAGCCATTAAACCAGGAAATCAATTAACTGATTTCATAATTAACACAATTGATCAGTAAATGAATAAAAAATAAGCGAAAATTTTTGATTCTAAAATTTTATTTTCTTTTTCCTTACCAAACCGTTAATCCTTTTGACCACAGGTCAGCACGGGAAATTGGCATTTCTAATGGTTCTACTCGCAGGTCCAATTCAATTGCCCTTGGTACTAATATCGACCCTATTGTCGCCCACCTCGCAGATAACAATTTCCCAATTGTTGACTTACTATTTTTGCGCTACAATCCAAGTGATCATAATCCTTTACATTGGCTATTGTTTTGTTAATCTCCTTTGGGTATTTGGTGCTAATCCGGATGATAATGCGATACCAATACTGACCGCTTTGGCTGACCTATTGGGTACCATAATCCTTGTGTCGGGTTACATGTTTCTGGCCTCAATTGGTGATAAAAACGCAACTCCAATCAACGAGGACAATTTAATTTCCCCCGAATCAATATCTTCAATTGTTTACAATGCAACGACAACTTTAATCACAACCAATATCAATAATAATAATCATACTAGTAATCCGATTGTTAATTATTCAAAATATAATAGCTCATTATTATCATCATTATCAACAACAACTTCATCACCTTTATCATCATTATTGTCAACAACAACAGTCTCATCACAATTAACTACAATACCTTCAATCATTGCTACCAAATTAATTTCAACAACTTTGGCTCCAATTTCAAGCAATATTAATACAACAACAATTAATCAATTTACCTCTTCGTTGATTGCCAATTTAACAACAACAAAATCTACAATTAAACCAACCAATATAACTTTCTGAAATGAGGTGACACTTTTAATTGATCATCAAGTGATCATGATTAATGATGGATTTAATTTACTATTGAATTATATTATATTTTTCCCAACAAACAATCAAATATTTTACTTATTATTAATACTTATAATTGTCTTACTTATTATAATTATTATTAGTTTTAATTGTTGTTGTTACCATTTTAATAAAACAATTAAACTTGCAAAAATTAACCAACTGTACAATCAATTGATTGATCATAATGCTAACAATTAAGCAAGAGAGAGAGAGAGAAAGTAAATTTTGTTAATTGTAATGTTATTAATCAGATTAACACGTTGGGTGGACAGAAAAATAGATGATTAAGTTAATTGTTGTGAAAATTTTTAAAATTTAATTTAGTTTCTCAAATGATTTCTTCATTAATTGTTTCAGTTAATTGTTGGTGTTGAGTATGAAAACAATAATTATGAGAATGGTGATTATTATGATTGTTAACATGATTTAGATTTTGATGATAATGATAATGATTAAGGTGATTGTGATCATGATTATTATTATAATTGTAATGATAATTGTGGTTGTGATTTGTGTAATTATTAAATTGGCAATAGTGGTTGTAATCATTGTGTCCATTAGAGTTGATTAATTTACTGGTGACACAATGATTACCGTTATCTTCATCATCTAGTGATGATTTCAATGTACAGGGTGGTGGCGATGATGGTGTTGGACTTGATGGTGGAGATATTGTTAAAGGCTTATGAGGTGGTGGTGGTGTTGATGTGGGTTGGGGTTGGGGCGATGATACTGTTGATTTATTGTTAATAATTTGATCTTCATTGGTTGATTGATTGGTTATCGGTTTAATTGGTTGACCCAAGACGGTCATGATCCCGGAAGAGTTTAATAAACTATTGCTTGTAGTTGAATCTTTGTGGTCAGCGGGTAGTTTGAAGAAAGATGACCTTTCCGAATTGATCGATGAACAAAACGCGATCATTTTACGTCCATTAATGGAATCGTTACTTTTGTGAAGACTTCGAATTGTTTTCCACCTTTCGAGATGATGACGAACTGTATTTCGAACCTGGAACAAAAGTTTTGAATAATATAAGAATCATTTTGTCAAGAGAAATTTGCAGATTCCAATTGATTGATTGATTAGAATTGGAAACTTTTTCTTTTTCTCATTTTAGTTTAATTACCTCACCATTAAGGAAACAGAAAAAAACGGAAACGGTAAAACCTTGTGTTGAGTATAAAGTGGCCTGGAAATAAGTGAACACCGTCTTAGCTGGACCCGAACCAGGAGTTACCAGGAAAAGGATATAAGTCACTCCCAAGAGTGGAGTTAATACTAATAGAGCTTTGGCTGCTTTTCTGTTATAGAATTTAAATTAGTTAATCATAACAATTAGCGAATTGATTGAGAAAATTTTCGCGAAATCATTTGGTCTTTTTAATACTTACCGATATTGACGAGACTCCGGTGATGTTGCCGCTCTCAGTTTCGTTATCAAAACCCACATTATTTTACAAAGAAAGTAAATATTTAACTACATTTGTAAGAATTAAAATTTTACCAACAATTAACTTGATTGTTTTCAATTTTTCCAATCTTCAAATGAGATTCATTGACTTACCATGAGGACAAATATTATTGGACATATGAAAATACTATCAATTGAATCCTCAGCTTGCCAAGGACAATTAGACCTGAAATTTAAAGTAAATTACCAAACCAAATTATTATTAAATCCGACAATTAGTTGATTGATTAAAGAATTGAGATAATACTAACCCAGATTCAGCGTAATTTTCCCCTGATTTGTTAGAAAAATATTTAAATGGAGCCCAAAACATTACGACGATTGCAGGTAATCCTTAAAGAGAGGGTTGAAAATGTCAAATTTTAAACTAAATTAAGCTAATTACTGGACAATTAGCAACTTACCCCATCCAATTGAAGCATAAAAGTGCATCTTAATTGCTTCAACTGATGAAAATGTTTTCACCACGAGTATATAAAGATACAATCCTTCAATGAACATCCAAAAAAACTGAGTTCCAGTAAAATAAGGTAACAATATATAAAGAAAACACAGAATCGATGATGCAATCTGTGAACAATTAGACAACAATTAAAGAAGTGGACAGAACAATCAAGAGAAAATGAATTTCCAATTTAAAAACAATCAAAATCAAACAGAAATAGACTAATTTATCCTAATGAATATTATATTGTTTAATTGATGGACATGGATGAGAATGAGAGTTGAATTGATGATCAATCCAATTATTTAAATGGTCAATTGTAAGTAAATGTCTTTAAGTGGACTAAACGGAAACTTGACCATTAAGAATGTTAATCATGATGATTAAATCACGTTTTCAAATTACATCTCTAATCTATTGACACGCATTTAAATTGTATTAATATAATCATCATAATAATCTGAAACTTAATCATTGACTGGACATTTAAGTTAATACAACCGATTAATTAATCATCTCCTCTGGTCAAGGATAAACTATTTCCGTCTTCAATATTGTGACCTTATTTCTTAACGATTTCCGTTCAATTTTTTTTCTTCATCATCTATGTATCATCATCATTATTATTATCCTTTGATGACATTGTTTCTCATCTTCATCTTCATCTTTCATCATTTTATCATCTTTACTTTATGTACATAAAATTGTCAATCTCAATGTTTACTTTTATCATCTTCATCCATAGGGATCAATTGAGATTCCAATTGTAACACTTTACCTAATATAAGAAAGATAAGAATCAAATTAAATACTAATAATTGTTAATCTCGAGGATTAATTAACTCTTAATTGTTTACAATACCTCATTTGTTGGTTGATATGATTGAAGGGTCGCAGTTATTATCCAGGTTAAGGCAAAAAGTTCATAGGTCACCATTAGATTGGTATGAATTGTATTACGAGCACACCGCAAGTCTCTGGTAATTAAAACAACAATTTAGAAAACAACAGTTAATTATATACGATTAATCAACTTTTCCATTGATTAATTGAGCTCTAATTGTAGCTGAATGTTAATCAAATTAATGGGAACACCAAAACAACAACAATGTCCAAATAATTTTGATATATTGTCACGAAGGTAAATTCTGATTAAGTAACTGATTAGACCTAAATAAGACAGATTTAGTCTTATAATCAATGTTATATTGACATAATTGTGTTCTAATTAATTGGATAATATCATAATTGAGGACAATTTGAATATTATTAACAATTAAAACTCACTTGAAGTATAAAAATATGAAGAGAGCTGTGGTCAGTGCGAGGACTGAAAGTCCATAACCAAAATAGTAAACAGTTGAAGCATCTTTAGCATTCCAAATATCCTTGATAATTAGGAAATAAATTTAATTAGTCAACAGTAATTAGTTAATTGTCCAATATTACTTACAGAATAACTTGCAGGAATCAATTCTTCCGGTGTAATTGGCTCACATAATGAATAATCTGATTTCTCTGCCCAAGTCCCATTGGCAAGGCAAAGTTTAGAAGCATTTTCTAAATTGACAACAGAACAACAGACAAATACAATTAACTAATTGAACAATTATCTTTAATTGTGAATATGATTAAACTTACGAGATGAATCATATGTAATACCATTTAACTCCTTAAAACAAGGGATAATTGCTAATTGATTAACTAAAGTTGTCGGCCAACATGAAATCCTATCCCAAGTTGCTGAACAATATTTCAAATCGGAATCTGAAAAGTTGACATTTGATTTAATTGTTTCTCTCTCTCTCTCTCTCTGATACAACAATTAACTTACCAATTGGTTGTGAACTATTCTCACAGATAATTGCTTCGGTTAAATTGTTATTAAATAGATAATCATTTGCCTCCTCATCATGATTGTGATCAACTCCATAATTAAAATCATCAAGTCCATCCTCACTTGAAGCCTCTTCAGTTAAATTAAATATTATCATTACTTTTCCCACTAATCATTTAAATTTAATTGTTACAATTGATTTATTTTGATTTAATTAATTTTGCTTTTTTATTAATTTCAGAATCTCAGCTGATCATAAGAGTCTCATTGTTAACAATTAACTCAATGATCATTTTTGTTTCCTTTTGGCACTTGATTGATTGATTGATTTAATTGTCTTTCTCCTGGTAATGATTATGGAAAAGGTAAACAGTTAATTATTAATTATTAATTGTAAGTTTAATTTGTTAAATTGTCTTGTTTGATTTGCTGGTAAATCTATTTAATCATTGGATAACCTTGATTGTGTTGTTAGTGATTCTAATCACCCGGACAGTTAAATTGATTGTTGTTGTTGTCTTTGTAATTGGATTTAAATTGGATTGATTTTTTTATTCCGGTTTTCTGGTTAATTGTTTTACTTTTTATTTGCTCATTTAATTTAATTGTGATTACAATTGTTTATTTATTGTTGATATAAATAAATACAATTAAAAATGAAAATCCTCTCAGATTAACTTTGCCTTGTGATTTAAGGCAATTGGATTAATATATTTGATTCAGTTAATCAGTTGGGATTTAATTTGGATTAACAAGCAAATCAAATGATAAAACTTTTTTGTTTACTATTAGCTAATTGTTGTTATTGTTTTTTTTTACATTCTAATCATTCGTAATTAACAATTAACTAAGGATTTAATTGTTCATAATGTTAATATAAATTTCATTTGATTTGTAAAATAAAAGGTTAATTGTATTAGTTAACAATTTAAGTTGATTGAACTTAAATCATTAAGTTAACAATGTTCATTTAAGTTGTTGGTCATTTAATTGTTGATGATTAAATTTAATTGTTAAGATAATCTCTCTCTCTTTAACTAAATCAATTGAATCATTAGTCTGTTAATTGAGTTAATTTAATTACTTTATTAGATTTGAAATCAATTCGTAACCTTTACTAAGAAGCTTAAATGTTACAATTTAAATTGTTACGCTTAATTGTTTAGATATTTTCAGAGTTGATCATATAATTAATTAGAGTTGTAACAAATTAAGTAACAATTTATTGATTTAATTAAGTCGATCAGTTATAATAACCAAGGTTAAGTAAACTGTTATTTGTTTGAAACGTAAACAAATTAATTAACAATCAACCACTGGCAATCAATAATATAACTTAAAAATTAAAAAAATTAACTTAAATCATAAATTTTATTGATTAATTAACTTATTGAAAAGTTAATTGTTACTGGTGGTGTAAGTGGATTGTGATGACAACCTTCAATTTGATTTTAATTGTTGATAGAAGATCAATTTCCAGAGCCTGGTAATTACATCGTTAATTGTGATCACTGAAAAGGTAACAATCAAATAATTTCATCTGATTGACATCAAGCCAATAAGTACCTGGGAATAATTAATCAGATTAATTAATCATCACTTGAAAGTAACTAATAACAGTTTTGATAAGCTAATTACCATTAGAAATTATCAATTAAAATGATTAATCAAATATTCAACCTGACAACTAAATCAATCGCTAATTTAACTAATCACACACAAGTTAATCCAATAGCCAATCTGATGTGTCAACAATTAACTTAATCCTAACAATTTGTAATCATTTAGTTTCATCGCAATTTGTAAACTTACAATTAAGAAATGCGAAAATTAAATTGTCATTTCAATCAGGCAATCAGTTAATTGAGTGGGCCATCATCATGTTAATCATAAACTAAATTGTTGATTAACTTTTCTTTCAATTTTAAGTTGAAATAATCAATGGGAAACCTTTGTAATTAATTGATTTACAATTTATAAATAGTTACAATTTAGTTTTCAAGGTCTTAAAATGTAAACAAGGAAATATGAAAGTTTTGTATAATCAGTTAATCATTGCTAAGGATTGATTAACAATTAGATTAGTAAATTGCATTGAAAATTAACTAAAGGTTAATCATTGACAATTTAACTTTGCTACTGATCAAGGTTTTTACCTTTTGTATTATTAATTGTTACAATTTGTTACGATCCAATTGATTTAAGATTCAGGTTAAGATATTGGTTTTAATTGTTGATCATTATTAATTGTTGTTGTTGTTGTTATTATTGTTTGTTTATTATTGATTAAAAGTGTTTCTTAGTTGATTAATTTAATGATTAAGATGAGAGGGCGATCTGATTGTCGGTCAATAACCTAATCAATTGATTTTAATTGTAAGTGTTGTCTTTTAGTGATTAAGTGTCTCTGTGATTAAAACAGAAAATGATTTATTAGTTTTTTCCTGTTTCACTGATTTAGTTAATTGTACGATTTATTTTGGGATTTAATTGCATTTCAAACCATCATCATTATCTAACAAGATTTAAATTAACAAGTCATTAGATTTACAATTAACCATATTAACACCCGCTTAATACTTAGGGTAAGTCCAAGGTATTAATTGATTAATCGTAACAATCAATTACTATTTATAACAATTAGTTTCTATCTAAATCACAATTAACATGTTAATTATATATTCCTGGTAATTCCGTTGGTTAATTAGCTAATCCAGTTCTTTGTCGTTCAACTGGATTAACTAAATTGTCAAAATTTTTATATATGAAGTTTTGATCATCTTAACAATTATCCTTAACAATTTAAATTGGCTAAACAGATCCAATGAAATCCTTAATTGTTCAATAGTTTATTTTGATACAACGTTGATTTATCAACCATGATTAAGTTAATTATGCAGATTAACACAACAATTAACAAGCTGATTCAATCTAAATTTGACAATCAGATTAACACAATCAAGGTAAACAAAATGCAATAGTTAATTAGATTTGATTAATTTGGCAAAAAAATCTTACCTTTTCGAGGATTTTAAATTGTTGATTAAATTAAATCACAATTGGGAAATTTCAAAAGGAAGACACAATCAAAATAATCAGTGATATTAATTGTTACACTTGGTGATTAATCAATTGATAGAAAAGTTTTCCAAATTTGTTTTCAATAAGAAAATCACAAGAAAATAAATTAACAGAGATTCCAATTAGTAATCAGATTAGTTACCAAATTTAATTAACTGTTGATGATTGTTATCAATTATTAGATCTTAATTGTGAATTTACAAATCAGTTGAATGAATGACAAAAATACTATTCACAGTTAGAATGAAAATTCAAAGGTAAGTTGCTGATGATTATGATTATGATGATATAATGATGATGATGGAAGGTGATGGAAGATGAGAGAGAGAGAGGGAGAGAGAGAATGAGAGAGTCAATGAGTGAGTGAGAAATTGAGAGAGTGAGAGATAGACAGAGAGAAAAGAAAGTGAGAACATAAAGATTAGTTGATTGTAGCGCAATCGCCGATCACAATTAACGATATTTTCTTAAGATTGATATTAATTTATCTTCTTCCATTTTCTTTACCTGCTAAACCAACTTAATTAACTTAATTATCACCAGAAAATAACAACAATTCAGTTGATTAATGTAACTTTTTTTCCGTCATTCCAATTGCGTTGAGTTTGATTCCTTAAAGTTGAGCAAATCTTTCAAATTGCTCGCAATCAATTTTAATCATTGGCACCATTAATTTAAGACTTTTAATCATCATAATCTTTTCTTATCATCCTCATCTCTCTCTCTCTCTCTCTCTCTCTCCAGGTGAATTATTATTTGGGCTATCAAGTTATATCTTAAACACAATTAGATCAAATTAATTTAATGATGTTGGTTATTCGGCTTGTATTTTGTTGATCACTTGTTGATTGTTGGAGTTGTTGTTGTTGTTGTTGTTGGTATTTGATAATCTGATTTACCTCCGGTTTTCTTGATTAATTTGATTTCTTTAATTACCATTGATTTGTTGGCTGATTTACACATGTCGTAAATTGTTAGAGCTGCAATTGATACTCCGGTTAAGGCTTCCATCTCAACTCCGGTTCGGCTAATTGTTGAAACGATACAATCAATTTGGATCATCTCATTGTCTATTATTTCAAAGTCAATTGTCACCTTGGTTAATTGTATTAGATGACATAAAGGAATTAAATTAGCTGTTGATTTAGCAGCTAATATACCAGCTATTCGTGCAGTTGAAAGGACATCTCCTTTGGTCAGTTGATTGTTAACAATTAACTTGATTACTTTTGGCCCGATGTAAATTGTACCCATGGCTTGAGCCACTCGCCGAGTCTCATGTTTACCAGAAATATCAACCATCTCAGCTGAACCATGTTGATTAATATGAGACAATTGATTATCATCACTTGATTGTTGATCAATTGGTTCCTTTCCATCATTATGAGTCTGGTTAATTGTCGATGATGATGTTGATGACAATGAAAAAGATGAAAACATCCGATTGGCTAATTAACAATACGAAGTGATTAGAATACAAAATATTAGCCGATTGATTTTTCTCTTGTATTGTTAATCACTTTGTGATTTAGAAAATGAATTAAATTAAAACTCAAACAATCAAAAAACAATTGACTTTTATATCTCTCTATTGTTTTAATTGTCTTGATCACCCACCAATTAATATCATCGGTCGATTAGGAGATTTAGATATATTAATTGCTCCTAAAGAACGTACGAGAAAACAAAAACAACACAATTAGCTGATTTCAAGTAATAGAAACTGTTGACAATTAAAATCTATTATTAGATATTTGTGTACTTTGATTAATTTGGTTAATTTAACAACAATTTACCTGCATGTCGTTCACGTTTACGAGATAATGTTGATTCAATTAGATTGATTATCTGATCATCACTCCAACCAGATCTTAGTGGGTCTCTTAATGACACCTCTTCAGCTCCAAAGAGACAAACCTAATTAACAATTAGATTAAACAGTGATTAGTGAACAACATGGTTCGTGTAAAATGTAGTAATTTACTAATTGTTAATCTCTCACCTTTAAATTACCATCAGCAGCGATACGAAGTCGATTACATGTCGAGCAAAAGTTTTGTGTCATCGACCCAATGAAACCGAATCGGCCTTTGAAACCGTTAATCGTAAATAGTGTCGCCGTATCAGAGGGATTATCTTTAGCAATTGGATTAATCTCATCACCGTATTTACCTTTAATTGTTTTCATTATCTCATGGGCAGGTAACATTTTACCTTGAGACCATTTATTACCATCAAATGGCATATACTCAATAAAACGAACCTCTAATTGTTGATCTTGGGTTAATTCAACAAACGATATTATCTCATCATCATTTAAACCTCTCATGATAACACAATTAATTTTAACGATTTTAGGTAAACCAGCGGATAAACATTGTTCAATTGATTTAATTACCAAATTAAAACCTTTCCTACGAGTGATCAATTCAAATTTCTCAGGTCGCAAAGTGTCAAGTGATATATTGACAGAATCTAAACCTATGGAAACAATTAGAAAACAATATAATTACTAAGTTTTAATCATTAAGAAATTAGATTTTATCTAATCAAAGGTAATTTAAAGAAAACAATTAGATGATCAATTTGAGGAAATTGATTGGTAAAAGAAAAGGATTCATCAGGAAGCGGAACAGAAAATTAAAGATAGACATTAATCTAAGGTGGATAATCAGTCAACAACCAGAATTAGTAAATAGTAACAACAGAAACAACAATTAAGTAGATGGAAAGAGGAATTACCTGAATCAACAAGCTTTTTAATTGAACGGCCCAAAACCAGGCCATTTGTGGTTATGCCGATTGTTGATAATCCGATGGATTTTAATTCTGCTAAATCGTTAACGATTGAAAGACAATCCGATCTAACCAGTGGCTCTCCACCGGTTAGTTTAATTTTCTTAACACCCAAGGAATTAACAAATAGTCTCGCTAATCGGTTAATCTCATCTCGTTGGAGGAGAGATGATTTCGGTGAAAGGTCAACTCCATCTTCGGGCATACAATAGAGACACCTAAGGTTACACTTTTCCGTTAAACTGATCCTCAGGTAATCATGTTTACGTCCAAACGAATCCTTGAGAGGTAAAGATGACCAATATTTTACCTGTGAACGTTTTAAATTAGAGTAGAAATTAATTAGTATTAATTGTCTACAATTGGAAAACCACATTATTGTTATTAAGGGAATTGCAATTGAAAAGTAAACAGTAAGTGAAGAGGTTTAATTGTTGGTGAGAGAGGGAAATTAGATACAGTTGATCATTGATTCCATTTCTCTCATTGTGAACCTGTTGATTGTCATTAATTGTAATTGTCTCTCCAATCACAAGTATTACAATTGTAGATAATTGATAATCTTCAATTTGATTAGGAAAAGTTTAACAATAAGCAATAGAAACACACGTTTTCCCTTCATACACATTCAGTGTGTAGGAATTTACAGTTATAAACACTAATTAATTCAGTTTATTGATCATCTAGATGATTAGTCAATTTGATACAATTAGTAAATTGTTTTCGATTGAGAAACGAAAATTTATCCATAAGTGAATCTTTCGAGGATCTGATACTTTACCTTGATAGAAACATTGATACTCTTGACAATTAACAATTGTCTTTAATTATGACAACAATTTAATCGCAATTAATTCAGACACAAGAATGTTTTTAATTCAGTTGTTTACAATTTAGAAAAATGCAAATGTGCTGCCATCTCTTTTTCCATTATCTTACTAAAAGTTAATTTTTTTCGTTTTTTTAATTGTTGACGATTTCTTATTAACATCGATTGTTATAATTAACCCTTTTCTGATTTCATTTAATTATCTTAGGTGATTATTGTTCAAAGATTGTGATTAATTTTTCTATTGAATTATCTGAGGAAAAACAATAACCTCATGATGTATATTATACAACGATAAGTTAATTAGTATTGAAACTGAAACAATCTAATCATGATGAGAATGACTCACTGATTGTAATGATAAAAAAAAGATACGAAAAATTAATTATCCTAATTACAATTAATCTCCTAATCATTGGAAAACAATGAGAATGATAAAATCCCTTAAATCAGTTGATTGTTGTTGTTTTTACATTCAAACAAAAAGTTAATTGTAATCAACCAATTTCTAACATGTTGATAACAAAAAATGATGACTAATTGATCCTGAAAATTATTAGACAATTATCAGTTAATTAGTAAAAAAAAATTTACAATTATAATCTTGAAATCGACAATATTAATCAGAACAATTAAATTTCCAAGGTAACAATAATCGCTACCTTTTAATTAACCAAAAACATCAATTAAAATCGTAATCATATCGACAAACCTAACAATCAACCTTTGTATTATTTGCACAATTAAAATAAAAAAAGAGATTAACTAAAACTAATCAACTAAATTAATCTCATCATTTGCTATTAATACATAATTAAAACAATAGCAATCAAATACAAAATGAACATATAAAAACAAATCGATTACCTGGTTAACAATTATGATCAGTTAACTTTTACCAATCAGTTAATTTGGATTAGAAAATTAAAAAGGAAACTTTTCTTGTCCGTAATTGTTTAATTGCTGTTTACTTTTCCTTTTCGCCAATTACAGTTAATTAGTAAATTACGATTACAAACATTGGAATAACAATGATAAAGACAATCTATTTATGTGCTTTACTTTTGGGTGTTTTCTCATCACCATGTAGATCTGAACATCTCCCTGAAGATGATGAACAAGATCCAAATGCTTTCGTTGATTCAATTCTGTCAACTGCCGTTGAAAAGATTCACCAACAAGGAGTAATTCCGATTCCCGGTGAACATAAATTTGGACCTTTCGGACTATTGACCATTAAGGATATTCACTTGCTGGACATTGAAAATATCTCAAGACGAGGAGATTCATTCATCAGGGGAGATGAGGTTTGTATTAGCTGTTCCAATTTAATTGTCTTTCTTTTCTATAGTTTAATTTAATTCGGTTCCGAGTTGTTAATTGTTAATTTGTGTTTCCTTCTCCTTCTCTCTCTCTCTCTCTCTCTCTTAGGATTCAGGAATCATTTATGTTAATACATCGTTCACCTTGACCAATGTCCATGCCAATTCAAGTTTCGTTGTTAATTTACCGATGCAAGGGAAAATCAGAGTGACTGCAACCACCACAATTAAACAAATTGATTTAACCCTTCGGTGTGAATATGATCCTGTTAAGGGTACACTTAAACCCACCGCGATTCATATTGACTCTTATACTGGAGTTGAGACCGTTGTTCAAGGTTTAGGTCCGTTTAACCCGATCGTTGAAAAAATGGCCACAATAACTGCCGATGTGCTTGAAAAAATTATCGCCAAAATTTTGAACTTAACGATCGCCGCTAAATTGAATGGACTAGTTATCGATTTACCTCAACTTTGACTTGACCACTATTTCCGAACTGACCAATTGATACTCATATCTAATAGACAAAGATTCAAATAATAATAATCAGCATTCAAATTTTACATGATAATCAATTGTTACAATTTACTAATTATTTAGTAATTTTGATAAAAATAATAATAAAACATGACGAAATTGTCAATGAAACCAAATTGTTCAGTTATCACAATCAATTAACAATTTAATTGTGAAATCACATGACAATCATAATTGTAATGACGATTTTCATTACGATTCATCGTTAATGATTAAGTTAATTGTGTACTTGATTTTAAGATCAATCATTGAACAACAATCAACAAAAATCAATTCAATTAATGAGAAACATTTAATTTTTTAACTTTTTTTTATTTAAATAACATAATCAACCATTTGAAAGACTAATTAATTATATAATTAAATGGTAATTAAATTACGCAATTAAATGTTACTCTTTTTTTTGGACCAATTGTTATTTATGATTAACTTTTTAATTGTTATCAAATCATCATCATTGTCCATATAGCAATTAATGATAACACTTGGTAACATTTTCTCAGTCAACAATCAAGCATATTAGTTAATTGTTCAACAATCAAGAAAAGATTACAATTGATTTACTGTAACATTTAATCAAATTAAGGGGAAAAACACAATTAAAACACTTTACCATTGAGAAAATGAGTTAATTGTTGATGATAGAAATTAATTACTAAACCCATTGGATTAATTTTCCTACTTAATCATCACAGTTTTTTATATAAATAATTTAATCTCGTAATTTTTAATTGTTAGCATAATTGTTTCAATGGTGGACAATTGATTTAAGTTAAGGAGATAGAGGGAGTTTATTATTAATTAAATTGTAACATTGTATCATCATTATCAAACAAAATTAGATAATTAAAGTAATAATAATTATAATAATAAAAAGAAAGTTAAAATTAAAAGTTAATTGCAATTGGTAACAATTTGATTTGCCATTTTATCGACTTGTAAAAAAAGCTTCATTTGATTGCTGGAGATGAGAAGAAATAAAGTAACAATTAACTAATTGTTAGAAGATAAAATTATATCAAATTATAGAGAAACAAACGAAAACATAAACCTTACCTGAGAACAATCAAATTAATTTAATTATAAACATAGAAAAAAAAGAAAGATAGAGAAAAAGATTTGCAATTAGTTAAATTGTTGGTCAATTTTGCGAAATGATGATATTATGATTGAAGAAAATAGATTAATCTTCTTCCTCATCGTTAATTAATTAATTACTGATTACAATTTATTCTCACTCTTGTAATTGATAAATATTAATCTCTTACCTAAGCTTAAATTGTGAGATAGATACATACAATTAACTTAATCAACAGTTTTATCTCTCTCTCTCTCTCTCTCTGTTTATTATTTATAATTAATATCATCATTATCATTAAGCTAATCACACACAATTTATATCGTCTTGATTTCATTGACACAATTAATGGTTAAATCATAATTGTAGTGATTAATTAATAAGGTAAAATCATAAAAACCGGATAAAGGTTCAAATTTCAGATTTTGATCAACACATCAATTGATTTCTCGATTGATTAATATGGTGATGTTACATTTGATTATGATAATAATCATTAATTGAACGCATGTTTCAACAATTAATCCACATGCAATGTGAATCTCATCAAAATAACGATGATAATTAATTATAATAATAAATAGTAATCAGATTTTAACACACACACACACACATAACTAATGAAGAAAGAAACACAAACACAATTAAATTAACAAGATTAAATTAAAGTAAAAAACAAAAGTTAAGCAATTAGATGAGCTTACTTTATAACAATTAGTGTGTGATTTTTGTGTGATCGGTTAATTTTTTCCTAAATTAAGATTAGGAGATATAAATATTGACTCAATCTATTGCTGTTGTTGTTGATTGTTGGTTCTTGTTGTTAAATTGTTGAGGTTCTTGAAGATATTGTTGATTTTTAAAATTGGTTTGGTTAATTGAAGGACAATTCAACTAGTGGATAAGCAGTAACCAATCTCAAACATAAATCAAACTTTATGGTGTTAATTGTTGTTGTTATTATTAAACTTGCTGATATTGTTGTTGAAAATAATGATGATGGTGATGCTTGATTATGATGATTATGTAGTTGTAATAATTGCTGCTTCTGTAGGTGTTTAGGTGAGTGTGGTCTTTGTATGAATGTATTTGTGAGTGTGTGTGTATTTATATTTATATGGTTGGATGTGTGTGTGTATATGAATTGATTTAGATGTTAATTATTTATAAATCACGTGATAATTAATTAACAGTGTGATTGATGGAAAAAGGGAGAAGTTGTTACAGTCCTGAATTTGATTAGATTGTAATTAGTTGTGAGTCTTTTTCAATAGGCGCCATCCTTTTGATAAAATTACATTAGTTAAGATTAATTGGATTCGGGTTTGTAGTTAACTAGTGTGTGTGTGTGTGTGAGTGCGTGTATGTTATTGTTTTTGTAACTAGTTAACGGATTAATCAAAAACCTTGAACATTGAATGATTGTGTATGTTGATCACCACGAGAAAAGAAAAACAAATAATTACAATCTAGATTACAGTTAACCAGCCTGACCAAATTAAAAGGACTCTGTTGATTTCTTGTTGATTGTTGATTGATGATTTTTCATTTGTTTCTCTGCTTCACTTTTTCTTGTTGCTGTTGTTAAATTGTTGAGGTTGTTGCTTTTGTTTTACTTCTGAGTTGGTTTTGTATATATTTTTATATGCAATTAGTTAATTGTTTTTGTGTTTTGTTTTGTTTTTTTTTCTTCAAAAGAATTAGTTATTAAGCCCAACCTTGGTCAATCAAGCTCCTGTGCTGCCATGATAGGAGAATTGTTGGAAATAAGGCAATTCATCCTCTTCCGATATGGAATTCAAATTAGTTGGATCTCTAGGTGGTGTTAATTTAACTGATTCACCGGTAAATTCAGAGTCAAAATATCTAGTGTCCGTATCGGATGTAACGGCGGGTTTAAATGGCGGAGAAACCTTCAAATAGGAAGAAATAGAAGAAGAAAAAGAAAAAGTTAATCAAAATGTTTCAATAAGATTGATTAATATCATGTATTAATAATAATAAAAATAATTGAGACATATAAACATATAAACATCATCACCAGTAACACAATAATAAAACAATTGGAGACGATTATTATCAAGTTACATATGTAAAAAGCAATTTACTGATTGTGTTAATAATTAGTTTTGATTTGTTACTTAGTGTTACTCTCTCTCTCTCTCTCATTTCCCTGTCTCACTTTTATAATATGATTCTAATTATTCACATTTCAATAACAGTAAATAATACTGAAAGTATATCAAGCAATCGTGTGTGTTAGTTGATATAACTATTAATCATTTTTAAAAGGTTGTAGAAAATTAATATTATTGCTCAATTAACTAGAATAAACACTTAAAACTAATTATCGAATAATTAGATTGGAAACATATGTTTAATCGAATTATTCTTTAAATTTGGTGATTTTTTCTTCTTTTTTTTGTATTTACCTTCTTCTCGAGGACATCTTGCCAATTGACACCGGCGAAAAATGGATGAACCATGATCTCTTTAGCATCATCAGGTCCACCGCCGAGACGTTGTTTCGGATCTTTATTGAGTAAACCAGACAGAAGACTTTTAGCTTCAACTGAAAGATTCCTTGGGAATTTGACCTCTTCGATTAAAATAAGTTCAAATAGAACATCATGATCACGATCATAGAAAGGTAAACGGCCACACATCATTTCATACGTAACAACACCCAATCCCCACCAATCAACAGCTCGACCATAATCAGAGTCTTCCAATACCTCTGGAGCCAAATACTCGGGTGTCCCACAAAAGGTTTTAGTTGTTGTACCCCAATTAATGTCTTCCTTACAAAGGCCAAAATCGGCAATCTTAATATGACCATCTTTATCTAGAAGTAAGTTTTCCAACTAATGAAAAAAAAGAATGAATCAAGTAAACAAATGAGTGAAGGAAGAGAGAGAAGGAAGAAGAGGGAGAGAGAGACAGAGAGAGTAAGAAGATTAACAAAAGATTAATATTTATATGAATCAATAGATTGAATTGTGTTCAGTCAATGATGATGATAGTAAAAAAGAGGGATGAAAATGAAGGATATGAAGATATAATAACAAGAAGGCAAATAAGCAAAAGCAAAAACAAGGGGAAGAAGAAGAAAAGGAAAAGAAGAAAAAAAGATGATGAGTGAGAAAAGCAAAGAGTATTATGTTATTATTATCAAGAATTCATGTGAGAGGTTCATTGAAAATAATAAGTATTGGCAAGTTTATGCACATTGACGGGGAATGATAATGATGATGAGATGATGGTGACGATGATGATAATAATAAACATAATAATAAATGACGATGATTGGCACAGTTGACATTGGCAAGGAAAAAAATAAAAACAGAGGGAGAAAAAGGGAGACATAAAATTGGAAATAATAAGTATGGGTAAACAAGAAAAAAGTTGTAAACAGAAACAATGTGTTAAAATGTAGATACAAAGTTATGGTGATGATGAAGATAAAATAGGAGGGAAAGTAGAGAGAGAGAGAGAGAGAGAGAGAGAGACGATGATGATGATGATGATGATGATAGCGATGATGGAGTGACGAAGATGAAAATAACGAGGAATAAAAAGAGAAATGATAAAAGAATGAAAATCAATCATTGAATGAATTTGAACACAAAGAAGAAAATAATTTTACCTTTAAGTCTCTGTATATTATTCCTTGTGAATGAAGATAATCGAGAGCTAAAAGTATCTCACTGGAATAAAATCTTGTTCTATCTTCGGTAAATATCCTCTCCTTTGACAGATGGAAAAACAATTCACCCCCATTAACATATTCTATTACGAAACATAGACGTAGATCTGTTTGAAATGAATATTTTAGTGTCTGTGGGAGAGAAAAAGATAAAAAGATGAGGAGAGAGAAAAAGGAGAAAAACAAATTAAGAGATTAGATTTTAAGGACAAGAGTAACAGTAGTTGTTGTTATTGTGATAAATTGTATCATTTTGGTTGGTAGATTTTTGTTATTGTTTTCAGATTATTTGTTGACACAATTAAAGTTATAGCCGAATAATAATAATAATAATAGCAAGTAAACAATTTAGTTTCTATTTTCTATTATTATTATTATTATTATTATTATGTTGTTGTTGTTTTGCTATTTTTCAATAACAGTAATCAATCAACCAATCAATCAAAAGATAGTTATAGTAGATGGATAAGTAGATATAATAGCAAATGTATATTTAAGAAATAAAAGGAAAGGTAGAAAAGAGGAAAGATAATGATTAAATCGTGATAAATAGAATTAATTGAATGAGCAACAATATATAAATATAATAAAGATAATTAATTGTAATAATGTTTCAATAAAGTATAAAATTGTGATTTCTATTTTTTTTTCTTGAGAAAAAAGGTGTATGTTTCATGATTAGAAAGAAATTGTTATTGTGGTAATACAAACAAGGGAAAAAATCACTAGTTGTAAGAAACTAAAGAGAGAGAGAGAGAGAGTGAGTGAGAGAAAAATAATTCCAAGATAACGAAAGGAAAAAGATGATGATAGGAAAGGAGAGAGAGAGATGATAATGAAAATTAGTAGATAATGATGGATACACATATAAAAAGCAAGGAGGAAAAATAAATTAAATGTAAATATGATTATCATAATGGGCAAGAGTGTGTATTTTTTTTTCTTTTCATAGCCTTTGGTAAAAAAAAGTGCAATCTTGATTAGGGACATCGAACTCGTTGTTAAAAGAGATGATAGCCAAAAGAGGAGAGAGAGAGAGAGAGAGAAAGGCAAAGATGGAGAGAGGGAGGATGATGATGATGATGATGAAAGAAAAAAAGAAGAGTGTGGTAAAAGAGAAAGGGAGAGTGAAAGGGAAAGAGAATCAATGAAGGGCGGTGGTCAAACTTACAATTAAAAAAGGATGTTTAGTATTCTTTAGGACTCGGTTTTCGGTTAATGTGTGGGTTACTTCGTCTTTAGCGATGATCACTTCTTTCTTTAGCACTTTCATTGCGTAAAGCATTCGACTTGCTTTCTCTTGGCACAATATTACTTTGCCAAAAGTTCCTTTGCCCAGAACTTTGATGAACTCAAAATCTTCGATACTCTGTGTATGTGAGTGTAAGTGTGTTTTTAGAGGTTAAAGGGAGAGAGAGAGAAAAAAGAATTGGATTAATATTTACAGGTAAGAACAAAGGAATAGAAAAAGAAAATGTATAAATTACAATTTTTCTGTCCCTTGATGATGAACTGTTACGGGTTATGTTGAGTCTACTGCTCATATCTTCATCTTCCTTGAGATCCATATCTATGTACATATCCTGATCATCATTAGCCGACATAACGGAGGCAACATGTTCAATGGCTTGGCACCATTCATTTCTGTCAGAATCAGTGTCAGTACAGAAAGTCCTTTCAATAACACTTGACCAATGGAGACCTTTCAACAGAAAGGTATAAGGCTTTGATTTTTCAATTTTAAACACCTGACATCCTCTAACAGTGAAACGATTTAAAGGTTCACCAAAATCTCTTTCAGGTTTTTGTTTAAATCCTTTGAGATCACCATTATCATATAGAATAAAATACCTTGGCCTCCAATTTTTAATGTGTTCACCTCTTTTTAAAAGCCATCCTTCCTTAATTAACTTGGGCTCTGGAATGTTTGTTAACATAGTAAAAATTTGATCACTAGTTAAAAAAAAAGAAGAAAAAATTGACGAAGAAAAATGATGTTATTTGTGTTTTAACTTTAGTAGAGCTGAAGAAAGAAGACAGAAATGGAAAAGAGAAAGAAAAAAGAGAGAGAGAGAGAGAGAAAAAGAAATGAAATAAAAGAAATAAGAGAGGGAGAGAAATAATGAGAAAAAGAATATGAGAGAAAAAGGGAGAGAGATGATGAGAAATTTATACGTACAGACAAGTCAGAGATAGAATAATAAGATAAAGAAGAAAAAAGTAAGCAAGGTAGGGAGAAAGAGACACGAGACACTGTTGAAAGAGAAAAAGATGATCAATTTAACAGAATAACAATTACATTTAATTTTGATATTCCATGTAAATTATGAGAGAGAAGGAGAGAAAAACCAAAAATACAATAATACCAAACGAAAATAAAAACAAGTTGATCGACAGAATGAGAGAGATAGAAAAGAGAAAAGAGAAAATGAAAAACCACCTGACACAATTCATAGATGGAGTTGCGATCATTTAAAAAGAACAAAATGTAAAGAGGGAAATTTAAATTACATTGAGAATCGATTCGTTTTCTGTTTTGTTAATTGAAATGTTTTACTTTATATTTATTCATTTTTCCTTAGAGAAAGAACAATAATTGGATGATTATACAGAAGGAATGATTTCTTCATAACATATGAGATATTTTCTTAGATATGAGAGAGTTGTAGAGAAGGAAAAAGAGAGAGAGAGAGTGGGAGAGATAGAGAGAGAGACATGAGATGGAAATATAAGTTGGGACCGAGAACATTGTGAAAAAAGAAACAATTTTACTCAAAGTCACTTTGTTTACTCTATTTTTTGTTTTTAATTGTTGAATCTTTTTTACGTAAAATCCTCCGAAGTTTAGATGATTTTCCTACAATAGGAGTGGTATTTGTTGTTGTGGTTGTGATTGGTGATGATGTTGATGATGTATTGTTGATGGAGGTGTTAAGATAATTGGTTGTTGGTGTCGTGGTGTTTGTTGATGTTGCTGTTGTTGTTGTTGATGATGATGATAACGGTGAATTTGTTGGATTTATATTGCTAGATTGATGAATATTTGATGTGGTTGGAGTTGATTCATTTAATGTATTACTAAAAGATGATGAATCCCTTGGACCTTCAAGAGTCCATGTTGAAAAATAAGGCTTCAAACTTGGCTTTGGTGTGGATGATATGCTTATATCGTCAAATTCTTGCCCTGAATCACTAAAATCACCAATATCATCTTCATCGAGAAAATCATCTATTTGAGTATCATTTTGAGCCATCACTTGTTCCATATAACCTTTATACTGTTCCTCAGATTCAAAAGCCTCAGTCTCCGGAAGCTTAAATTTTCTAAGAAGACGAATAAACCTTTGTTTCAAATTGTTAGTGGTTGTTGACATATTGATATAAAATGATAATCAAGATTATTTGAGAGGGAGAAAGAAAAAGGGAGAGAGAGAGAAAGATACAGACAGACAAATAGAGAGAGAGCGAGAGGAGGTAGAGAAAAAAAAAGAAATAGAATATCAAGATGAGAAATTGATTAAAGATACAGAAATTTAAATTGGTTGAAGAACCAAGCACAGAGTTAATCGAAATTAACACAAAATTACATTTAATTTAGATATTCCATGTAAATTGAGAGAGAGAAAGAGAGAGACCAAAAATATAATAATAAATGGAAAAATAAAAATAAAAACAAGTTGTGACAGAAAAAGAGATAGAAAAGTAAAGAGAAACCACCTGACACAATTCATAGATGGAGTTGCGATCGTTTAAAAAGAACAAAATGTAAAGAGGGAAATTTAAATTCCATCGAAAATCGATTGTGTTATTTTCCAACAGGTGGCGCTTCCAGTCGAAAATTGGATCATCTTGATAATTTTTGTTTCCAATTTTTGATGAGAATTTATTTTGATTTGATTTTTTTTTATCACAATTTAACTAATTGTTCATTTAATTACAATTAATTTTTATGACTACTGATTTTACATCAACAGGGTGATATGAAACTCCTCAAGCCCGTTTGGGTTAATCATGACGGTTAGTTGATTAATTTCTTATTGTCACTTTGTTGGTTTGCTTTTTTTTTATTCTATTCTTTTCTCACCTTTTGTTTTTACATGTGATCTAATCTAATTGATCATTGATTAATTTTCTTTTATTTTCTTTATTTAATTCGATTAATTGTAATTTTTTCTATTGGTATTGTGTTGACAGGTCAACCCATATTCTCTGTTGATATTCATCCGGATGGGACAAAGTTTGCTACTGGTGGACAAGGTGAGTTTCTATCAGAATATTTTTTTTTTATTCTCTTCAATGGTAACCCGGCTTTAATTGCTTTCTCTTAGTCTGGTGGTTTCCTCTTCTTTATCTCTCTTTCTCTTACTTTTCTATCTCATCATCTTTCATTTACTGTATTTTTAGCTCTTTGTGTGATATTTTTTTTCTTCTTCTTTTGTCTTTGTTTTTGTTCATTCGTTTGATTCGTTTTTTTTTTGCTTTTTCTTTAGGTGGTGATGCTGGGCGAGTATGTTTATGGAATTTTGGACCTGTCATCAATGAAGAATTGGAGAAAAAAGAATCAGTGCCTAAATTGTTGTGTCAAATGGACAATCACTTAGCTTGTGTCAATGTTGTCAGGTGGTCTCAATCTGGTAAATATTTGGCATCGGCTGGAGATGATGAAACCATCATGATTTGGCAAATCTCTAAGTATTTGGGATCATCAGCGACTTCAATCTTTCGAGGATCTGCTAATGTTGAACAATGGAGATGTATTGCCACTCTTCGTGGACACTCTGGTGATATTCTTGATCTCAATTGGTCACCTTCAGATGAATATATTGCTTCCGGTTCAGTTGATAATAATGTTATCGTTTGGAATGCTCGTAAATTTCCTGAAATAGTTACCAGATTAAATGGACACAATGGTTTTGTCAAAGGAGTCAGTTGGGATCCCATTGGTAAATACGTTGCCTCACAATCTGATGATAAATCAGTTAAAATTTGGCGAACCAAAGATTGGAAAGAAGAGAAAACTGTTAGTGAACCATTTCGTGAGTGTGGTGGTACAACTCATGTACTTCGATTGAATTGGTCACCTGATGGTCAATTTTTAGTCTCAGCTCATGCAATGAATAACCGAGGATCAACAGCTCAAATCATTGAAAGAGAAGGATGGAGAGCACAAAAAGATTTTGTTGGTCATCGTAAAGCGGTTGCCTGTGTTCGATTTAATCCAAATATACTCACCGAAGATTCAAATTTTTATACATTAATCGCCTTAGGAAGTCGTGATAAATCAGTTTCTGTTTGGAGTACAAAAAATAGACGACCCACCTTAGTGATTCATGATCTTTTCCAAAGTTCTGTCCTTGATTTAACTTGGAGTAAAGATGGTTATTCACTTCTTGGTTGTTCTAGAGATGGGACAGTGGCATTTATACAATTTGAACCAGGAGAAATTGGTAAAACGGCATCGGAAGAAGCCAAAATGGCTTATTTTCAAAAATTATATGGCAAAAGCTTACAATCATCATCCAAAGAGACTCTGCTTATTGAAGATCCAGAGATTCTAAAAGTGCGAGAAGAACAACTGAAGAAGGTAAAAAAAATCATCTTAGCTTTTTATATCAATTAATTGACTAAACTTTCTTTCATTTTATTCTTTGTATACAGAAGGAGCAAGAAAAGTTGAAACAGCAAACATCTAGTTCGTCTAATAATAACAATAACAACAATAATAATAGTAAAGAGCAAAATTTGAATAATTGTTCTGGTATCTCGATTGTGCAAAATGGTAACAATGATTTACATAAATCTGGTCTAAATCTTAGTGATATAAATAATATTAACAAAGGTCCGACTGATAAACAAATAGAGACTCGAATGCCAAATGGTCGTAAAAGGATTACACCGATATTTATTCCACCTCCAAATGATTGCGATGGAGCACCAATGCCATTTAACGCTAGTGCAACAACATTCTCAACAACCGAACCCGATGTGGCCTCACTATTATCATCTTTAAAGTCAGATCAAAGGGCAGACTCAAATATTTCATCAACTCCTAAACAAAGTCCAGAGAAACAGGAGCAACCCGAACAACAGAAACCATCACAACAACAACAACAACAAGTACAATCAACACCAGTAATCAGTAATCAACAAACACCAAAATTATCTGGAGTCTCACCTGTTACACCAGGATCGATACTTTCACCAATAGAAGCACCAATAGTCTCTCTCACGGATTCAATACAAAATAAAACTCAAAACACATCAAATGGTGATAATAATAACAATGAGACACCTCTCTCATTAACTTCATCATCTTCAACGTCCAAAAATCCTTCCGAGTCAACCGAAAAGCGACCTGCCACACCAAACGAAAGTATTTCACCAAACTCTTCCGCTAAGAAGATTAAATTATCTACAACCACTACAGTACCACAATCAACAAAAACATTGAATAACAAATCAGCTGATCAACCAACAGTTAAACAAGCCAACGGGCCAACACGACCACCTGCTGTACATTTGATTCAGAAACTTATGCCCAACGATAAAAAGAAACCAAATCGTCAAAATTTCAGTAATATTACCAAAACACCAACTTCATCCATCCAAGTTGTTCGAGTTGAAGATCGAAACGAGAAATCATCAACAACGACAACAACATCAGCACCTCGATCAGAGGTTAGAGGATCAATTATGTTACCAAGTTTAAAGATTGATAAAAATTCAACAATCAGTGTTAAAGTTTTGGATGAAAACGGTTTATCAAAATTTTTAAGTATCGAAATTGAAAATAACATTAGCAATTCATCACTTTCAATTGTTCGGGTTTTGAACCAAGAGAATGAAAAAGTTTGGGAAATGATTTTATCGTCAAAAATTTGTGGTATCTCAGCTTGTCCCAATCTAGTCGCAGTGGCCTGTTCTGATTTAACTCTATCAGTTTTTAGTACCACAACGGGTAGACGGCTTCATACACCGATTACTCTTGACTCATTGGCGAGTAAATTAAATTGTTATAAACATTATCTATTAGCAGTAACATGTAAAGCATCAGCTTGGCTCTGGGATTTTGAAAAACATTCAGTGGTTGTCAAAAATGAATCTCTTCAACCAATCTTGTCATCTAGTACAACAGTTGTAAACACTGGAATCACTGATTCAGGATCACCGGTAATCACAATTTCTTCCGGTAAATCATATGTTTTCGACCTTTCCTTTGGTAGTTGGTCACTAGTGTCCAATGATAATGATCTACTCAACTTTTTCTCTGACTATAAGCAAATGTGGAAACCTGAGACCAATTCTTATCCATTAGCAATTCTTCAGTCACAAAACAGGTGAGTGAAAAAACTGTTTACTTATTATTTGATTATTAATCTTCTTGTATGTTTCTTTTTCTATTTATTAACAGTTTAATTAAAAAGAGTCATAATGTTTTCCTGTCCAATTCAAATCTCCAAAAAACTGGAACTTTAAGTTTCATTGATCAACAATTATCTTCAGCTTTTATTCTTGGCTCATCTAAGGAATATCGTCATTGGCTAATCACTTTAGCCCAATTTTTAACTGAACAAGGGATTGAACTTCGTCTCCGAGAATTGTGTCAATTTCTTCTTGGTCCACCATTTTCCTCGTCTGAAAGTAATTGGGATTCAAGCATTTTAGGAAATGAGAAACACTCACTTTTACGAGAGATTCTGGCGATCATCACAACTAATTTAAAGTTACAGAGGATTTACACGGAGTTTAAACAACAACTTGATCTCATCTCATCATTTTCATCTTCATCCTCGTCATTTTCATCATTTTCATGATGCTCAACTGCTCTTTCTCTATAACTAATCATTATGATCAACCTCGGATCGTTTTGGATTTGTAAATAATTTTGTAAAAAGTAATTGTAATCACAACAATCACGCTCTCTCTTTCTTTCTTTCAGTTCGCCGGTTTTTTTTTTCATTCACCTTTAATCTCACCAAATTGTGAGAATATGATTTAAATTAATTGCTAATCAACTTTACCCTCTCTTCAACCGTCAATTATTTCCTTTTCCTATTTCCAACTAAGAAAATATTTTTTTAGAAATCAAAGTCAATTTAAATGTAATAATCAAACTTTTTTTCCCTTTATCATAAAAATCAACTTTTTCAACACAAAACAAACCAAAACTTTGCAAACTTTTCTCTCACAATCAAGTTACCCTCGAACTAACAACTTCTCTCTATCAGCCCAACGAAAAATAGTCCAGAATGAAAGATAAACAATGAAAACAAAAGGAGATCGTTAATTGTTGACAAAGATCAAAGATCCATGACAATGAGGATGAAAGAGTGAAAAAGATCAACAAACCTAAATCTCGACAACGTTTCTCTTTGGACTAGACTTAAGGTCAAAAGTCGATCGCCCTCAGTGTGACCTTCCCAAGGTCAAAATCCAAGACTAGAAATATTTATCATCTCTCACTCTCTTTCTTTCCTCCCTTACTTTTCACTTTTCGCCCTCTGGTTAGCCTTTTATTTCTCATCTTCTTCTCTACCGATGTTCTGGTAGGTTGTTTTTTTCTTCTTCTTCTATCTAATAACAATAATCTTCCATTTTCCATCATTATCTTAATTTCTTTTACATTCGTGATTTACTATTCTAATATTTTCCAATTGTGATTATCCTCATCATCTATTTGATTATCAACAATTTCTCTCTTTCTCTCTTTCTAAATAGAGTAGAAAACATTTTTCTCTCTCAATCTCTTTGTTCATGTTACTTTTTTTTTCTATTCTTCCATCACCAATAATAGAAACTGTGCTAATCTACAAATCCACCTGAAAGAAGAAGATTAAATCCCAATCATCAGTAAATCTTTTTTTTCTCTCTCTCATTAGAAGAAAAAACAAAATTCATCAAGTGTCGTCAATTATTGTTATAGAATTTCGGTTAAACCTGTTTCTTTTTCTTTCTTTCTCCTCTTTCCTCTTCTTCTTCTTCTTCTTCTTTCCTTGTGGTTCTCTTAATCCACCGAGAGGCGAAAAGTGTAAAAGATTAACCATTTTGATTAACCAACTTGTTGATATTCTGTCTTCTTCTTGTACTTCATCAATTGACCAATCCAATTGTTGATTAAATGTTTAATTATGATAACAAAACGATCAGTAGATTAGATAACCATTACAAATTCTCTCTCTATATCAACTCTCACTTTAGAAACTCCATCTTACCAGTGTGTTTGTTTCTCTATCAACATAATGTATTAGATCAACAACAACACTTTCAACTTTTCTATTCTATTTCTTAATGAATAATCTTTCTTTTTTCTATTCTCCAATCTCTCTTTCACCTTCTCATTACTGTGATTAGCCGATGATCTTGATATAAAAACAAGAACAATAATCCATCAAGTGTCCACTGTTGATCCTGATTGTCTTTCAACCTACTCTCCTTTACCATTGTCTTTCATATTGGTCATCGTTACCACCGCCGTCCGTTCATAACCCTGTGACCTTCACCATGACATCTATAGCTGATCGCCATCTTTATCCAATCTTCATGTTACCATCAAAATTATTTTCCAAATTTCGAGGTTGGATTTATGGTTACATTAGATTACTCCTTGGTATGGTTTGCTCAGTTTCCTGTTTATTTTGTGTATTCACATTTATTTGGTATTTAACCTTTCGAGGTCTTTATGGTTTCCTGATTAATTTACAATTATGCCAACAACCCACTGGCTGTGGACCTGATGATGATGAAAATGACCTAAACATTGAATATACCGATTATCAATCGGGTAAACGTGGTAGTTTTCTGACACGATGTCGAGCACAAGCTGAATTAATTCAAAAATCATTGAAAAAAAGTCGATCCAATGGAGATAATAAATCTCCCAATGGACATAATGTTAAACAAAACAATTGTAATGATACTATTCAAGAAAACAATGGTAATAATCATCATCATCGTTGCCATAACCATAATCAAAGTCACAGTCACAGTCACCATCATCATCATCATCACCATAATTCACCCACCAAGGAAAACTCAGCTCATGGAGTTCTTGTTAGAAACTCTTCATACGTTTCTGAAGTTTATTACGATGAAAATGGTCATAAAATTGGTGAACAAATTTACCTTACAAATGATTCTGACGGTTTGGAGGAATCATATTTCCAATTCAAAGTGAATGATTATCAACACCTCAAAGAACTCGGTGCTATATCTACAAGTGTCCTGGTCGAAGAGGAACCGTTCGATGGTGGAGCTAAACAAGAGACCGAAGCGAATGTTGAAAATTCCCCTGATAATGAACCTCAAGAGGATAAACATGGTGCTAGTGGTGGAGATTGCGAAGAGAAAATCGTTGATTCCGGCGATGACAACGGCAGTGGTTCCGCCACAATTAAAGAATCAAACATGTTCCACCTTTCAGTTTCCCACTCCCCTGAATCAACCACCTCTTATTGTGGCTCCATTTTAACCGATGAACCAGGTAATATCTATGAAGACGATTCTAGTGCCAAAACTTTGATTAACAACGAAAACAATACAACAACTTATTCATCGACAATCATCCCAACAGATAAAACAACCAGCGATCAACAATCAACATTATTACATTTAAAATCTGAGAATCAAGAAAATGATTCAAGTAATAGTAATTATCCTGATCCTGATAACATTTGCTCAACAACAACAACAAATCAAGTCCAGTTGAACAAATATCCAATCGAATCAATTAAAGAAGAGGAAACCAAAGATTCAACAATTAACTTAGTTACAATACCTGATTGTTCAATTGATAAAGTTAATTGTGATAATATTAATGATGATAAACCAAATGGTGTTCAACTTAATGGTAATGCTACCGGTGAAAAAAAACAAACCACCAATGGTGATGATACTAAATCTAAATCAGTTAATGAAATTGCCAGAGAAATCGAAAGCTCAATTAAAGACCAATCAACTGGACCTTCGAAAAGGACGAAGAAAAAACGTCGCTATAATAATAATTACAATCGAAGTAAAAACAGTTAGAACTTAATTGTGATCAATTTAAAGGATATACGATCCATTGTGTATACATTTTCATACGTTTTCCTATTTCACCGATTAACCAACATTCGCCCATATATTTAATTATTGTTGTAATTATTTTTTAATTGTCTCAATTTTTCACTTAATTATTTGTCTACACATCTAAAAACCCAAGACTTAATATTTGTAAATCATCAGAACAAGATAATTACGATTGTCTTGTTAATCACTTTGAAGAGCAGATAATTGTTCATCTTTACCTTTATTTTTTTTCATCATCATCATCATTCAATTAATCAAAGGTCTCTCTGATCATCATCATCATCATCCAACTATAATTATAAAAATCTACAATTAGCTGATATTGGAAATCAATCAACGCCCTGATTTAATTGAATACAAACCGAATTATATATTTGCTCTTCATTCATCATTTTAATTATGTTCCTCTCGATGATGATTAAAATTCATCATCTCAAAAGTGTTATTTCATATAAAGTAATTAAGCAAAAATCTTAATCACAATTATGGTTTTCACTCTTATGAGAGATTTAATTTTTTTCAAACAAACTTTAATCATCGTAATTGTAAATGTTAAACAATAGAGAGAGAGAGAGAAAAAATTAACTTTCAACAATTTAGTTGGAATTTGATTAGTTTAATTAGCGATTGATTTGTCTAATCAATTGGATTACAGATTTTGTTAAATCAACAGGTGAACAATTAGATTACTATTAATCAAATATCTACAAATGTTCAATGGTTAAGGTAAATTGTTTGCAATTGTTTCTGTTTACAATGTGTATCAGGATTTTAATGATAATTAGTTAATTATCATCGTCGTCATTAAGTTTTAGGTTCATTCACATTGATAAATGATTTGTTTTTATCTCAATCAACAATTAATGGTTGATTGTTGTCATTTGATTACCATTATTATATTAATCATAAGAAGAAGATGAAATTGAACAATTATAATTGTATTTAGGGTTTTTCACTTATTTGAATAATCAGAATTTTGTAGAAATTGATTGTTATTAATTAATCGTGTGTGTTGATTAGTCAAAATGATCCTGATATGATTTAGACAACAAGCTCTTAATTGTTGACCATTGCTCCATTTAGAGTTGATTAACTGTTGTTATCTAATCTTTTTTATCATTTATTTTGATTGTAATATGAAATTTAACAATTGTCAAGTATTGATCTTCAAATGGAAAGTTGATATTTGATACAATGATTTAGATACTAGTTAATTAAGTCTAATTAACTTCGATGAGCTCACTGATTGTGAGGGTGAAAATTACTAGGTAAAAGAGAGAGAGAATAACTGAATTAACTAATATAAGATTGATTGAGAAGAGAAAATTTAATTGAAGAAAAAAATGAAACAGAAATCAAGTGAAAAGATTAGTTAATCCATCGACTTGGATTAAATTGATCGACTGGATTAAGGTAATTAATTGTCGATCGGTTCACCTCGAACACTATTATCGCTCATGTTATCAAGTTAATTCTTAAATCATTCAGAAATTTTAAAGAAAAATTTAATCACCTGTTGATTTTTTCGCCTTTTTCGTGGATACACCGAAATCTCAGTGATACTCACAATTCAATTGGCACTAATTAAGATTACCCGATAGAATGATCCATAAATTTCCACTTAATTATCGAGTTTCAAGCTCTTAATCAACTCGATTTCTTCTCATACAATTAACAATTAATTCTCAATTTAAAATACCCACCTCAATATTCAATCGAAGGTAACAACTAGTGAGATCTATGCTTTCGAAATCAAACTTGAAACAAATTTGGAAAAAAGATTTTCCCTCATTTCGACTGTTCAATCAAAATTGTCAACAATTTAATCGTCACTTTAAGGCTGATTAAGCTGTAAATTGTGTTGTTTTTCTGTTTAATCATACAATCAATTCGCGGTTAATTTTTGATTCAACCCTCAAATCTAATTGATTATTGGAACCATGAAAATGCGCAATGGATTGTGTTTCTTTTTGATTAATTGTTGAGAAAAAAAAAGTTCTATTCTATTGTAATAATATTTAGATGATCATTCTCAGTGTGTTTGACAATCATTGAGGTAACAATTTACCTGTCTAATTGTTGTTGCTTGAAAATTTTCATTCTTTAATCAGCTGAGATTGAAAATCTATTCTTAACATGATATGTGTCTCTCTCCTGTGAATGTCTAATCATCTTTGTGTATTTTTATCCACATAATTAGTTGATGACAACTTTTTTTTTCTTCACTTCTCTTACAATTTAACTAACATTGGCTCAAGGTTTCATTTTTTTCTCTGTCTTCTATCATCATTATCATCATCATCATCATCCCATCAACATCGTTTGATTATCCCTTGCGATTTACTTCATTTTAAACTGTGGTTCGTTGTTCAATTCAGTTGCCATTGTGATAGATTTTTTTTCCCGTTCCAACAAAAACAACAACAACAACAACAACCAATCCAACCAATAAATCAATCAATCAGTAACCTTAATTGTTATGGGTAAACACAACAGTAAACTAAAACCAGAGGAATTAAAGGACTTAAGGTCAACAACGGAATTTACCGACACCGAAATCCAAGAATGGTACAAGGGATTTCTGAAAGACTGTCCATCGGGTCATCTCTCTAAGAATGAATTTAAAAAAATCTATGGAAACTTTTTCCCTCATGGTGATGCATCAAAATTTTCTGAACATGTTTTCCGAACCTTTGATGCCAATGGTGATGGAACCATAGATTTCAGGTAAGTTGATAGAAAAGTTCAATCGTCGATTAGTACATCATGGAAGTGAAAAAAACGGAATTCAGATGATAAAGATTTTCCAATCGATTCTCAATCATTTGTTTTCCTTTGTTGTTGTCGTTTTATTAGCAAATTACTTACACTTGCCTATTCTTAATGGGGAACAATTAGCTGAAATTGTCACGTTATTTACCTTCATGTGTGCTCACTTTTCTGTGTGAATTAGATGAGAGACATGTTTATATTTAAATCTCTGTAAATATCATCTTATTCATCATTCCAATTTAAACTCAGCAACTTGGCAACAACAACAACATTAACTAAATGGAAAAGATTAAAAAGATTCTGAAATTTTGTCTCTTTCTCTTTCCTGTTTCAGGGAATTCCTATGTGCCTTAAGTGTTACTTCACGAGGAAAACTTGATCAGAAACTCCGATGGGCATTTAGTATGTACGATTTGGACGGTAATGGATTCATCTCTCGGCACGAAATGTTGGAAATTGTCTCGGTAATGATTGAATGAGAAAATCGTTACGATGTTGCAATCAATTAATCGTTGCAACTTAAATTCGTAAACATATAATCATGATGATTAGATTGATAATAATTCTCTGTGTTGTTTCATTATATATTGAAGGCAATCTACAAAATGGTTGGATCTTTGATGAAAATGCCTGAGGATGAATCGACTCCCGAAAAGCGGACTGATAAAATTTTCCGTCAAATGGACAAGAATCTTGATGGTCGATTGTCAATGGATGAGTTTATTCAAGGAGCTAAAAGTGACCCTTCGATTGTTCGTCTTCTTCAATGTGACACTCAAACATTTTAATCGAATCATTTGTTCTCATGATAATTTATTCATCTGATTGTTGTCATCGTTGGAACCTCAACAGAGAATCATTTTCCCTGGAACTTAATTATATATAAATATAACTTTTTGTTCCTTGTTTTCTAGTCCATTTCGTAAAGGAAAAAAAATCCTCAATCATCATCAAGAATTAATGAAAATTCTGAACATAATGAAATCTCACATCATCACCATGACATTTACAATGAATCTCTGTCTCTCTTTCTCTCTCCGTTCAATGTAATTGTTTTGTTTTTCAGGTAAAAGGAAAACAAATTAATCATGTTAATTGTTAATAACAATAAAAGATTCATTTTCATACAAGAAAATTAAAACCACTCATATGAGATAAATTTTACAGGACATTTCACCAAGTTTCCAAAGATTCGGTTAAATTTTCTTTCAATCCGAATTACTGTCAGGATCAACGCTCTTCGGAATCATCGAAACAGAGATTTTTCAGTTCCTCTTCCGGTTGTTTTACTCACCGATACAGATAAGTAGTACACTAATCGACAATAGCAACGATTAATAATAATTCCATTGGTCCATTCCATTCTGACCATCAAATGACCTTGATATTAAAATATGACAATTGAGTATCGTTCAAACTTCCATAACTCGAGTCTGGGGTCTGAACACTCAAAAACAGAAAAGTTATTTAAGAAAAACTTGTTGGAAATTTAGTGAAATGCCCTGAATTTGACCGATTTTCTTTGTTTGTTTGGTTAATCATCTTGACCTTGAACCAGTTTAAAGATCAATTTAAACTCTTATGACCCAAGATGACCACGAGTTGGCCTAATATTAATCAGCGCTTCCTGTTCATTGGCCTCATCATGGGTTCATGAACTTGAGAGATAAATTTGTTTTCTTTTTCTATTCTTTTCCTCCATCATCTTAATCATCCAACTGACCAGACCGGGTTTTCTTGGTGTTTTCAATTAGGTAATCAGATCATCTTGATTATCATCATGTTCAGGCCACTCTCATGATAATACTGTTCATGTCTTCAAGTGTTATTGTTATTGATTGATGATCATGATCATGATGACGATGATTTTTTCCTTCTACCTGATTTCAACTTTGATTGTTCCTTATTTAGTTAATCTTGATTAACATTTTAATCGGGTTAATTTCATTTCCAATGTCTTCTTGATTCTTTGATAGTGATCAATTCAATGTCATTACTTGTTTATCTGATTCTATCATCACAATTAACTTTAACCTTCCAACTGTTGATTGTTAACAGGTCGACTATTATTGATTCCGATGAAGATGATCAAGGTAAGTTGATTAGTTCATTGATTCTTTATTGTTTTCTTACCTTAATTGTGGTGGTTTTTTGTTGATTGTTTAGATAATTTGTTTACTTCTTTTGAACAATTTCCTGGTATTCGAGCCGCTGAACATCATGTGGACAAAATTCTCGAAAATTTGAATGGTGTTCACATAGAATCGAAAATAATTACCAACGATTCGGTTAAATTTTCTTTCAATCCGAATTACTATCAAGATGATTCAACTCTTTTTCCCGTTCATTATCAACAATTTAATACTAATCAAGGATCAAATATCAACAATTTACGACGATTATTGTCGGAAAATTTTTCTAAACAAAGAAACCACGAAGCAGATCCAATGTACAAAGACGAGGTTAGAGCGACAATTTTAGGACGATTGGCCTATTATACTCCAGAATCGTTTGTCCAACATTTTGAAGCATCGGTCAGTTTGGGTCGGACTGTTAAAGGTGCAAATATTGTCGGTATCTTACCAGGAATTCATCGTAACTCAAAATCTGATTCAATTGTACTGATCGGTGCTCATTATGACACGACAAAACACTCACCCGGTGTAAATGATAACGGTTCAGGAGTGGCCGCACTACTTGAAATGGTTCGTCTTTTGTCACCTCGATCTGGTGAGTTAAATCATACCATCATGTTTGTCGCATTTGACCTTGAGGAAAACGGGATCCTTGGCAGTCTAGCGTTCGTTAATCAATATTTAATCCCAAAAGAGTTGAAGCCTAAGAAAACGAGCTTCACCGGAGCGTTTATTATGGACATGATTTTGAACTTTGATCCAGCTAAACGATCACAAACATTACCAAACGACATGACTCGAGTAAGCACCAAACATGATTGATGGAATAACAATTAATTTGGACAATATAATCAAATCATTTCCATTTCAGGCTGTACCTAAAGTAGGTACGTTCTTACGTGGTAATCGATATGCCGGTGATTTCATCGCTCTGGTCACTCGACGGGATCTCGATGATGGCCTTTTAGAACCTTTTAAAAAGGCTTGGTACACGATGCCCGCTCAGAATAAGTATAAACTTCTCGTCATTGACCCTCCGATTCCTCAGTATCCACATTTTATTTCCGCTTATCGTTTCCGGAACTTTATGAGATCAGATCATGCCGCTTTTTGGAATCATCGAAACAGAGATTTTTCAGTTTCTCTTCCGGCTGTTTTACTCACCGATACAGGTAAGTAGTGCACTAATCGACAACGATTAATAATAATTCCATTCTAACCTGAATGTTGATCGATTTTAGGTCCATTTCGAGGAGTCCAACGAGCCTGTTACCATGAATTCTGTGATGATAAGAACCAAATTACAAACGAAAATCTTGATTTTCTAAAGCGGATTGTCGATACTCTCATTTCAACAGTTCTCAATTTAGCCAATTAATTTGTAATAGAGATAATAAGACAATAAAATATGCAAATGTAAAATAATAAAATGAAGAAATTATTTAGTTGGAATTGGACATTTTCGGTACATGAGGTGAGCGAACAGGTAGCAAAGGAGAACATAAAAGAAGAGAGAAATCTCCTCAATCAATGATCTCCATTGATGGTAAACTGAGACAAAGTAAATGACTGAGATGAAAATGTTATAAGTTAAGATGATGTAACATTGCTCTTTGACCGCACCGAAAAGGGCAACAAACGACAAGACGATGCCAAAGAAAACACCCAATATAAGTAGAGCAGTTTCTGGGGACCAAATGATCACATTAGGAGCAAATAGACAATACAATTGACCCGCTAAAGCGACAGCATTGATTGTGATAAAAAGCCATTTAACCAACAGGAATAACCACCTGAACGAAGTTGTCTCTTGACCAAGAAATATTGACGCATTGGTGACAATATTGACACTTTTAACGGGTTTACCTGTTGGTCCATCCATAGTAACCATACTAATTAAGAGAGAGAGAGAGAGAGAGAGAGAGAGAATAAAAAAATCAAAATTCTCAAAGTAAATACAATTGAAAAAAATATGGAACAAGAGTCAATCTGATCTATAAATAGATCCAGAGAAACCAGAAAAATGAGCAATCAACAATCAACATAGAGAATTGTAATCAGCTAATTAACTCACCTTCTGGTTGATTAATATTATGTTGGTCATTAACAATTAGAATATTTAAATTGCAGCAATTAACAAATGAATTGTCGCCATTAACCAGCGATAAACAATCTCGAGCTTTTTGTCAACAAACTGAACTGTTCATACGAAAGGTCAACAAATGGGTTAGCGGTTTTTACGAAATCATAATTAAAATTCACAATTCGAACAGAAATTAACGTAACAATTAACTTGGAGAAAATTTTCGCAATTAATTAGATTAATTGTGAGAATTGGAATTGTTTTTGTTTTGAAACAATTTGTTTTCTTTTCTCTGTGTAACCATCGCGACCAAATTAGTGACTCTTACAATTTATTTTTCTGATCCTTTCGATTGTGATTACAATTGGAAATTTAAATTTACCTTTTAATTGTTGAAATTTTTTCTTAATTGTTTCCATATTATTCAGCTTAGAGAATGAATTTAATTCATGGTGTCATTCATTTCTTTACTAAACGCTATGTGAATACTTATTTAATTGTTAGTTTAATCATCTTCCTTTGGAAGGCAATTAGGCTTCCATATGATTCACTAATCTTTTGGTTGGAGATTTGTCTCTTAATCTTAATCACCTTAATCCATCACTTATCCTTCATCTTATCTTACATTGATCAACCTTATATATCGGCAGGGATATTAACTCCAACCATTTTAGCAACAATTTACTTCATGATTTGGCAACAATACATTTTAAGGATTGAAGTTTTAACCAATGGTTTCCTATTGGGCTTTCAAAGTTTCTTCATATTAACTTGTTTCATTAAGTAAATTGTCTGGTTAATCATGACAACAATCAACTAATCACCATCACCATCATCATCATAATTATTTTATTCATGAAAAACAAACTACAATTTACTTGAAATTTGGTTAACTCAAACCTCTTGCAATCAAATCATTTAGGATTTCGTGATTACCAGACTCTTTGATTATTATCACAATCAATTGATTGTCAATTTGAGTTGATTATCATCTTGATTTGCAATAAAACTAAATCAGCAATAATTGAAGTTGGGAAAAGTTATCATTTACCTGTGTTGATTTGGGAAATTAACAATTAACGGTTAATTATCATTACACAGCAAAAAGGATTCAAGGAAAAGTTTAAGTGATTTCATCTGATTTATTTTCTGCTGTAATCTTTTCATCATTTAATTGTATTAAAACTGAAAACTTTGGTAATCAAATAAACAATTAATACTAAATTGGACTAATCATTGAATCAGTTAATCATTCACTCTTCCTGTGGATGTCCAATTGATGATTATTAATATTTACTTTTGCTTTTTCCTCAAGTGAGTGTTTCAAATGGTAAACAAATGATTATCTTTCTTTTGGTTAATTCCATTGATTAAGTTGATTTAGTCTGAAAATTTAATCAAAGAAATCAAATTATTAGTTATTAATTATCTTAATTGTTTCACTTTCACGTTTCAAACATCGAGACCCAAAAACAAAGTCCAATGATTACGTGACTATCGTCGTGTTGATTCATTTGTATAACTTTAATTGTGTCAAATTATTAGTTTATTGATCAGCTGAACAATTACCTAATCTCATTTATTCATTTCTTATTTGGATTAATTAATTTGCACTAATTAATTGGATTTTAGTTCTCTACTTTGTCGACGATTAAACCCAATTGTCTAAGGAATTGGATTCATGTTGGTTTATGATCTATATTTAAGGTCACTTTAGTTGTCGATCAATGAATGGAGAGAGAGAAAGAATTATCTTTGTTACCTATAGGGAAAAGGTCATTCTGGTTGACCACAAGCTCTAATATTGTTGAAGAGGTTGATGGAGATTTGGACACTGTTTCCAAAACGGGAAGAGCGGATGTAGATGGCTCATCATCTTCTGAGATCTTTGTTTACTTATTACAATTTTGGTACAAAATTTTTTAATATTTGAACCGATTCTTATTATCAACAGTCGAGTTTTTGATTTTGTTTGTAAGTTTTCAATTCCAACTAAACATGGTTAGAATTAGTTTTGGAATACGAGATTACAAAAAGTACCCTCGAGCGTTTGAAAATGCTCTATTTGAATGGGTTGGTGACCATTATCAAAAGAATACTTTGAATAAGGTTCCAGTGTTGAATGAGGCCCAACAAAGCATTTTGTGCTGTCTATTCATTAGACCAAATAATATTCGATTGAATTGGAAAGTCACGCGAAACTGTGTTGTCCAAGATCTTGAATCCAGTAGCCAAGATTACTTATGGACGGTGGAAGAGGTAAAATCTCATTATCTCATCTTAACTTCGGGTATTGAAACGTTCGATGGACTGAAAGGTGATGAAAATCTTGCGAGATGGCTGGAAAATAGAGATCGGGATTTCGCCGAACAGTGACCTTTGACAGTGCCCAGTAACCTTGGAACTGAGTCAACACCTGAACCAACATCGCAAATCTCTTGGAATCAAATCAATTTTGTAATCATCAGACTCTTCGATTATTATAATTGAAACACGAACAATTGATTAAAATCATATTCAGTTAAATGGTAACAAGAAAATTTGTTTAATTGTTTTGATTGTGAATATAAATTAAATTAACATTTGCACATTCGAAAGTTAAATGAATCGGTGAGAATCATGAATGAACTATTTAGAGTAAGAAAAGAAAGTAAGATACAAAGAGAGAAAGAGAGAAAGAGAGAAAGGAAGATAAAGATGAGAGAGAGAGAGAGAGAGAGAGAGAGAGAGCTACAATTATAATTTCTGTAATTATGTTTGTTGATAATTAAATTTAGTGTCTTGTCTCGTTATTTGTTGAATTTGGACAATTTTGATTATCAAATTTGTTTTCAATGATGGCTAGAAGACGAGTCTTAACTCTCTTCTCAGAGGCAATACAATTAACTAATGAAACTAATTGTCGTTGGGTATATTCATTACGAGACATTAACCATTGCTCGAGGGCATCGTCCATCAGGTAATAAGCTTTTATATATTCTTCAACCAATTCTCTTTCCGGTATTGGTTTGATTGCGGTCATTTTTTCAGCTTTGGTTAAAAATTCTTGGTAATCTAATTGCATAAGAGCTCGACCAGCGGGTGTACATTTTTTGGCCATTGAATATCCTTCGACAAAGGTTCGATTGGCCAATTTCAGAACTGATGACCATAACATATCTTTAGCTTCTTGGGGAATTTTAGCTTCAAGTGAGGAGCAAATTTTTTCCAATCGAGAGGAAAACAATTGAATCTCCTTCAATAAACAATCAACGTAACTATTATGCATGGTCGGTATTTCCGTTAAATCCCAACGGACATTTTCAACTGTTGATAAAATTGACTCGATATTAATTGATCTAATTGCAACCAACATATAACAAGGATAACGTAAGTCCTGAGCAACTGATACAGCCTGTTGATGGGGGAAAACAAGACAATTTGTTAAAACTTATTCACTAAATTATTTGGGATCGACCAACAATCAATCGATAATGAGTAATTAATTGTTACCTGTGAATAGTATTTGTCAAGAATTGAATGTTTACCAGATGGAATAAGATCTCGGAAAAATTGTTGTAAAGTATTTAATTGTGAAGCAAGAAACATCCTAAAAGGGAATAGAAAGAGAAAAAAAAATTAGTTAATTGTTTGTGAAATTTTCTTTTCGCTGATTCTTACACTGATTCAATTCCGACAATTCTCTCGGCTAAACCATGCAGATTTTCAGGACATAAATTACGATCCATAAGGCCCATTGATTGAATTGTCGATGGATGTTGATCAAGATCATTTGTCTCATTGATCAGATCGGTTTTCATTGAAGACTCAATTCGTGCAAGGCAGGATTTAAAACGCAAGGAAAGACAATTGTTACGAACTTCGCTAATTTCCTTGGCGAAAAAGGTGTAAACTGTATAAAAATAGTAATCAAATAAATGGAATATGGATAATAAAATATCAAATGCAATTTGCCGGAGGAGAAACATGATCTGCATATATTTTCCGATGAGACGAACAACATAAAGACTTGTATTGGTCACCAAAGGTCCTTCATTGTAACAATTGTTGACTCTTTTATCATTATCACCACAATTTGTTGTCGTTGTTGTTTTATTTGAATCTAATGTCATCTCATCATCAAGTTCATCTTCCGATGTATCATCACCACCTCCTCCCTTATTGGTTGTCCTTTCCAATTCTCTGATGATACTATCACTTGCATCTTCATTTTCCAAGCAAATATTATCAAAAGGATTTTCAATTGCACCGGAAGAATCGTTCAAAAGTGAATCACGGAAAAAGTTACACTTCTCAGGTGACCCTTGACCTGGTGGTCCACTTGTTTCACTAGCAGCTAATGAAAGGTTACCCAATGAATAGGTACGTAAAGGTTTAAGAAATTTAAACTCTTGAAGGTCAAAACATTGGAAACCATTTTTAACTGGACACACGGTCCATGATTCATTTTCCAGGTACATTCGTAATTCATCCAGTCGAGTTTTGTGATAATGATTGAAATAATTAACTGTCTTAGCGTGAAGGGTTTCTTCAAATTCGGTTGAATTGTTGTCACAAAATTCTGATCCAATGTCCATCATTCGTCGGGAAATTCTCAATATTGTCATAAGCTCTTCAAATGAACAGGTTGACATGTCATGACTTTGAACTAAAAGTCGTAACTTTTGTTGTGCTTCTTGCCAAATTCGTCCCAATCCATGTTCGAGTTTTTGTAAAATGAATCGACGATTAAAATCCGCTTCCACTTGATCTTCTTCCTCTTCAATTTCACCAATTGTTTCATCAGCTGAATTACCATTAACAGCCTCAGGTCCACCACCATCACAACCAGTATCATCTTCAATGTCACTTGTATCACCTTTATCTGAATTAATTATTGAATTTGTTGTAATTGTTGCTGCAGCAATTGAACGTTCTTCACCTTCATCACCATAACCACTGATTCCACCTTCATTTCCCGTATCCAATGGTTGACATTTACTATTTTGTTCACTTTCATGAGGTAAATGATCCTCATTATTGTTGATGTTATTCAGATTAATTGTATTTGCGTTATTTGAATCAATTTCACATTGATGGAAATATAAAATGCGTTTATAGTTGAGTAAAATGTTAAATAAAGATTTGCTGAGATCTATCAAACAGGGTATAAAACACTCGTTGGTTACATATTTACACAATTCTTTATACTCTTTTTTACGAAAATTATCAATCTTTTTAACCTCAACTGAACATAATTCAACATAACCATGAACCACACCAAAGGCTTTATCACTAATTGCGGTTGCAAAATGCATACACAGTGAATCCATTGAGGTTTGGGTTTTACCCAACAACGAGAAAGCCTTTTGAAGTCCTTTATATGTATCGATGTTGAAATTATGGCACATTTTGGAAAGGCTTGAATCTATGTGCTCTTCAATCATTTCCAGCATCTCGGTTAACTTTGAACTTAACTCGGAAACACAACGATAATGTTTCAAAGTGTTAACAACCTTTTGACATTCGATACAAAGTTGAATAGCTCCACAATAGTCACCATCTTCTTCAACCATCTCTTTCAATCTAACATTGGTCTGTTGAAGAGTTTTAATTGTTGATAAAGATTTGAGAACATCTCTTAAACCTTCCCGTCGCCGGTAAGAAGCAACAATACCTAAACTGGCACAGGTAAAATTACTTCTTCCCTTATCGGCACCTTTACGAGCTGTTCGACAAATTTCAATGGCCTCACTTAATTTATTCTGAATGTCCATTACACGTTTCATCTCTTTTCCATAGGCTCCTTCCTTTTCCATGATGGAGGTTGATAAACGTCTTGAGACGACATTCAATTGTTTCTCTAATCTCTTCTTCTCTTGGAGGATATAATCTAAATCTAGTTGCAAGATTATCAGAGGGAACAAGAAGAGGATGGAATCACACACAAAGATAATAAAACAATAAAAAAAGAAAGTAATTAGACATGATTATCACAATAAAAGGATTTGTTTCTCTCTAGACAAAAATGACAGTTAATAGAAACTGTCATGGAATATTTTCTTTCACCATAAGGTTAACCATTGTTTACATCTATTGATTATACTTACTCAGTTCACTTTCAACCTTATCAAGAATATAATTTAAGCTCTCAAAAGATCCAAGTTGATAGTCTATCTTGAAAATGTCTTCATCAATTCCATCAAGAATCTGTTGGTCATTCTCTTCATCCATGATTATGTTGGGGGTAGTGCACATGTAGAGAGAGATATAATTCTATATACACCAGGAGATAATTAATCAGGTGAGAAATCCTTCTATACAGAAATTAGAAATAGAAACGAAATAGAATTTTAAAATATAAACAAATCAAAAATCAAATAGAAAACCTGAGAAAAAAAAAATAGAATAGAAAAATTTTCTTAATAACCAATAGGAAAAAAAAAGGTGTAAGGTGGTTTGAAATAAGAAGAACAATCAAATTAGATTATCATTTGATTTGTTGATTATTTGTTGAGAACAATTTAACTCACCAACTCATAAATGGCCTCCGATCATTTAATTGACAATCTCGATTAATTAGAATTGACCAATCATGATGGTAACAATCAACAAGAGAAAAACAAATTAACTCAATTGTAGACACACACACACACCTAGAGGGGGTAATCACCTGAGCGAATGTGGGATCATCTTAACATTGCGTAATGAGAATAATTAATTTAATTGTTTTTCTCTTTCATTTTTATCGATAGATTTTTTTAATTCTTTAATAATGATTGATAGGCAATTATAATTGTTATCGATTTCATGTCAATGTTCACATTTATTGCCAAAAATTGGTAATTGTGATGGTATAAAGGGACAATTCTCAGTCAATTTAATTCAAGACGATTATTAGAATTGTCTAAGTGATTAATATTGATTCTGGTGTGTATTTAAGGTCACTTGTGTTGTCAATTAATGATTGAAAGGAAAGAAAGAAAGAAAAAGAGAGAGGGAGAGAGAGAGGTAATTGTTAGAATCGAAAAGAGATTCGAATGTCCAGATTGCATGTTGTCATGGTTATTTATCTAATCCGATTCAGAATCTGCTTCGACGATAGTAATTAATCCTTTGTCAAATAATAAATTAGATATTTCGAGCTAAAAGGTAAAGATAAAGAGAAATGATAAGATTAGAATTAGTTTCTCGCATTCAATTCAGTTCATCTCAACTGATTAATAGGAAATGGCTTTTGATTACAAACCTTTTCATCAAGTTTTTCTAATGGTAGACTGGAAATTTCAACATAATTTGGATAATTCTTGATGAGATAATCAATCGCTGGAGCAAGATTCGATTCGATTTCAACGTATTGTGGATCAATCTCATGATTTGGATCATAAGAATTTTCCATACAATGATAAAGACGAACAACATCTTCTTCCATCACAAGTCTAACTATTCCATATCGAAGAAGGCGAATTGATGTTTCAGGGGAAAGTTCAATTCCACCTTCAACTGTTGCCGAATCAGCGTCCCAATATTCACCTGACCCATGGATACTTGACCTCTTTTCTTGAGCTGTTAAAACTGGAGGTAAACTTTCATGAAGTAATTGTTTTGCTTTCTGGTCTACAGCTGAATCAACATTAATGTGAGAAATTAATTTGGTCATTAGATGTTTAATCTTAGAGAGGAAAACAGTTCTATTGTTGTACATCTCATCGGCGTGAACAATTCCCATGTTTGCAAGATAATCAACAGGTAGAGATTCTCGAAAAGCCCGATCCTCCGTCATAGCAGTTTCCAATGCAGCGGGTAATAGGATTTGTAATAAATCTCCGTAGGTGTTTTTCTGTGCCACTGAAATCGTTATGTGAAGTGAGTGTTCACCTTCAACCGCTTGAGCTTCATGAATGAATCCTCGAGGAAAATAAAGGAAATCACCGGGTTCCAATTCGACCGTTTTCAATGGCGGAGCGGTGAGTTCGCTTCGTTTGAAATTTTTACTAGAGAAACGTGGTAAAGTATTGGCTTCGTCTAAAGGTGGATAAACTTTCCATATCTTTCGACCTTCCAATTGTAAAACGAAAGCTTCAATATCATCATAATGAGGTGCGAATCCTTGTGATCCAGCCGGTGTAAGATAAATATTGGCACCAACACGGGAACCGAAAAATTCTTGTAAAATACTATTCAATTTCCAAACTGATCTAGAATAAGTTTGTGGATTAAGTAATCGAATGGAACAACCAACTTGAAAATGATCCCAAACAACCGCTGGATAAGCTCTTCCATCGGGATTATATGTTTTTCTTTCGTCATTTATGTAACTGGTAATATCAATATTCTTGGTAAACTGTAGATGCCTCTCACGTAAGGCTCGATCTAAATCAGCGGTACTAAAAACACCTTGGTAATAATTGGGTTTATCACGTTTAATTAGCAATGGTTCCTTTTCCCAATTGTCTGACATGAAACGGTCAACATCAAATGGATTAATCAACCATTGGAAACATCTTCTAGCTTGTTCCCTACTGTCGGTTAGATATGGAGGAATATTGAAAGATCGGGTGCTTTTGGTGTCTTCATCACTTTCTTTTTGTATTCTAATAGGAATCTCTGGCATTGTGGTGCTGAAAGGATAAGAAAATCAGAAGAGTGAGAGATTAAGGATTGGAAAAAGAGTAAAAGGAAGAGAGGGAGATTAAGGTGGTTTGGATTATCTTTTCTACCTTGGAATATCGAGGCTACTGATGAATGGAGATTTTTTAAGATCATCGAGACTGTAACTCTGTTTATGTTTCAAAATGGACTCAATTCGACGGATCTGTTTGGAAGGTGTTTCCTCTTTTGACTTTTTATGGACTTTATTTCTAAACGAGAGAACACCAAATGTTTTCTCTTTCTCCTCGTTAATGGCATTATCGGTAACATCATCGCCATCGGTTCCATCTGATTGTGGACCATCAAATTCATCATCTTCCGCAAATCGAACTCTTTTACTACTGGAAAAAGGTTCTTCTAGTTGACCAAAAGTTCTTTTATTTGTTGTTGAAGAGGTTGACGGGGATTCGGAAGATTGTGTTGCTCCAAAATCAGGCAAATCGGATGTAGATGGTTCATCACCAAGTGATCTTCTTCGTTTCGAGTTCTTGGGTTTAGGTGATTTTGACTTTTTACCCTTTGGAATATAAGTACAAGGTCAAACAAATTTGAACAAAAAAGAAACAAAAAAAACGTGTCAATCTCCATACAGAAAATAATCGGATATGATTATGAGAATAAGAAAAGCCGGTAACCTTAAAGATGTTATATCAAACTTACCTTTGCTAATTTGTAGAATTCAAAAGCTGACAATTGTTTAGGAATCTTCATGATTAAGGAAAATTTGAAAAAATCAATTTAAAACAAACCAAATAGAAACTCAATCAACAGTTGATTACCAACTGAGATTTTGGTTGACGATTGATTAAGATTTTCGGTTCAATAATCGATTCTTATTATCAACAGTCGAGTTTTTAATCGATTAATTACTTTCTTTGTATCTTTTTGTCTCTCAAAAACTTTTAAATCAGTTGATTTTGCTCGTGAGTTTTCAATTCCAACTAAACATGGTTAGAATTAGTTTTGGAATACGAGATTACAAAAAGTACCCTTGAGAGTTTGAAAATGCTCTATTTGAATGGGTTAGTGACCATTATCAAAAGAATACTTTGAATAAGGTTCCAGTGTTGAATGAGGCCCAACAAAGAATTTTGTGCTGTTTTTTCATTAGAGAAAATAATATTCGATTGAATTGGAAAGTCACGCAAAACTCTGTTGTCCAAGATCTTGAATCCAGTAGCCAAGATCACTCATGGTCGGTGGAAGAGGTAAAATCTCATTATCTCATCTTAACTTCGGGTATTGAAACGTTCGATGGACTGAAAGGTGATGAAAATCTTGCGAGATGGCTGGAAAATAGAGATCGGGATTTCGCCGAACAGTGACCTTTGACAGTGCCAGTAACCTTGGAACTGAGTCAACACCTGAACCAACATCACAACATATCACAGCCACAACAACAATTTACTCCAATTTTGTTCAACTTAAATCTCTTGCAATCAAATCATTTGAATTTTGTAATCATCAGACTTTTCGATTATTATTAAAGATCAGAAAAAGAGAGCTACAGACATTTTCAACTGTAAATAAAATTGACTCGATATCAATTGATCTAATTGTAGCCAACATAACAAGGATAACTTAAGTCCTGAGCAACTGACACAGCCTGTTGATAGGATAAAAAAAGACAACTTGTTAAAACTTATAATAAGTTACTTATTCAATAAATTGGCCGGAATCGATCAACAATCGATCGATAATGAGAAAATATTTGTTACCTGTGAATAGTTTTAAAAAGGAAAAAGTTACACTTCTCAGGTGACCCTTGACCTGGTGGTCCACTTGTTTCACTAGCAACTAATAAAAGGTTATCCTATGAACAGGCTCGTAAAAGTTTAAGAAACTTCATCTTTTTTTGACCAAAAACATCAATCTTTTTAACCTCAACCGAACAGAATTCGCTATAGTTACGAACCACATTAAAAGTAATTGATTCACTAATTGTGGACACAGTGAATCCATCGAGGTGAGAGAGTCTCTTTCAAGTCGATTCGATGTTGATTCAGTTGACTGATTCGCTTTTCAATTTCGCGCCTTTTTCGTTTCCTTTCTGTTTGTTGTTACTTGGGAACAGAAAAGTAAATTTTTCAAGACAAATTGTTCATCTACTCAGTAGATTTTACTGATTGTTGTTTTTTGCTAATTTAATTAACTTTTTTCTCTTCAGATATTTAGTTATTTTTTCTATAATCAACCATTTTCTCATCTAATTCTATAATTGATTGTAGGAATTAAACCAGTTGATTAGAAGTAAGTAAACAACGTTTGATATTTTCATCTATTTTTTCATTAGATTTTATTGTTTCCAATCAGTTGCTTTTGTTTTATTTTTATTTCTCTCTCTCTAATTACCTTTTCTTTTTTCTTCCTTGATCATCATCTCTTGTTCATTAATATCCGTTAATCAAGCCAGTTGATCTTAAATTGGTGCTTCATGTGTTTCCTTTTTCCCATTTTCTCATATCATTATACTAATAAGAGTCATTTATTTTGCTCATTTTCTTCATTTTTCCAGGAAGGATACTAACTGTTGAAATGAACATGTGTTGACCACTCATCTGATTTCTATTATATTCTATTCAAAAATTGGTGATTACTGACCATGAGTTGATGGTTAATTCTTTGATTTGTTTGGCTTTAAATTAGAAAAAGCAAAATCATCTTTTCCTTATTCTCAATTGGACAATTGAAAATATTTCCTCCAAATTTGTTCAATTCTTTTTTTGTTCATTATAGTTCTTAAAGAATCTGTTCTACTTATTTTCTCTTGAATTCTACCTGTTTGAATCTTCTTATTCAATGGATAATGGAATCCGATTGTCTCCCACTCCTCGATTTAACCAACAAACAATCCGAGATGTTTACAAGTGTGGATACCTTAAGTATTTTAGTAATGTTCCAAAAGGATGTAAGATAACCCAAGTTCCTGTGAAATATTGGGTTTCATTTGCCATCATCAATGAATGTGAACCTTTTCTTGAGATGTTTAGTGAAAAACCTTCAACCATAATTGCCAAACCAACCTATTGTTATCCACTTAAAGGATGTCTCCATTTATGTCCTGCTATTGTGATCGAGGAGAAAGAAGATTGTTTCGAGTTCTCCATAACCTTAGAAAATCAATTAATCCGATTGATAGCTCCAACTCGACAAATGATGGATGAATGGATTGATTGTATTCGAACCAAATTGAAACAAATGTCTATATTAGGACCTCAAGATAATTATTACACTAAAGAACCACATTTTAACCTTAAACCTCGAACAAGTAATCAAAGTTCACGACCATTACCCCCGATTCCTCCTTCAGATTCAACGGACACACTACAACCACCAATCACACCACCCAGGGGTTAGTCTCTTTCCACACCTTTGATTTAATTTCCGCTATTATCTATCTCTCTCTCTCTCCCTTCCTCTTTGTTAATTGTCATTAATAATAATCTTCTTTCCTCTTCTCGTTCTGTTGACAGCTTTGACACCCACTTCCTCATCTCTAACGGTTAACAATGGATCTCTTTCAACGGTTACACCTCGATCATCAACAACCAGCCTTAATCAATCTCGACCATCAACACCACCACCACCAATTCCACCTCCACGTTCATCAACAAATCCTTTGGGTCAATCTTATTCAGCAACACAATCTCTTTACGGTGATATCATTGATCACGTGCAATCAAGTTATGAGCCAATTTTTGGCTCAGTTGCCAATCGTTTATCAAACTTGTCACTTTCAACTCGAAACTCAGCTTTACCCCATGAAGAAGGTCCACCTCCATATGATGATGAACAATCTACCAGAACATTAAATTCTGGTAATAATAACAGTAACGGTTTAAATCATTTAGATCAACAATTAAATCCTGATCATCATTTGAATCTTCTCTCCCTTCGAGAGTCACAAATATTACGTTTACAGAAAGAAATGGCTCACAAAGATGGTGTCCGAGTGGTGGTCCGAAAAAAGGATTGCAATGAATCAATAGCACTTGTTGATTGGTTGGGTAAAGTTTGGATTGCCGGATGGAAGCAGAAAATGTATCCCCAACTTCATAACACTTTTCACATTGGTGATTGTCTAATTAGCGTTTGCGGTGAAAGAGTTCACGATTCTTGTCAAGTGCTTCGTCTAATGAAAAGTCAACCCTTAATTGTTGAGATAATTTTATCTCGACTTCCCTATGGATTTGTATTTGTACTCAAACGAGACTATGAGGGACAAGATTTAGGACTTATTCGTGATGGAAACACCGCTGAAGTGATTCAAGTGATTCCCGATGGTTTGGTTGCAACAAACGGTTTAACACCTCGAGCTCCTTGTGTTGATCCAACAAAGGGACGAGATTGTAATTGGATAATTACCGAGATCAATAATAGGCCATTAAATTTGTTCTTCAAAGGAAATGAAATTCGTGACAGATTGAATGCCGTCGGTAAAGATATTTCACTTCTATTTCAACCTTCGGATTTAGTTAAGGTTCTCAAAAAACGACTTAAATCTTTCAAGAATTATAAAGATTATATTGTTCAATAGATTCAATTGTCAATATCAAACCAATCAACATTTTCTGGCCTTTCAACAATCAACTAATCATTGAACTTTAGCCTCAAATTTACTTGAAGAAAACAAACAATTACCAGTCTTTCATTGTCACTATCAATTTCAACATTTGCATCACTATTACACCACCATGACCACCATGAGTATCATCATGATTACCATAGTCATCATCACGTCAACCACAAAATTATCTGAGCAATCAACACACATAATGATATGAATCATCATCATCTCTCTCTCTCCACTCATAAGATATCAACTATTTATAAAGCACCACGTGCTCAATTATTTGTTCAATGAGAATCAGAAACATCATTAATCCGGCAATCAACTGAATCCAACCTGGTTTCACAATTTAAACACCAAATTTCAATCTTTCATTGATTGAATATCTGAAAATACTGTTGAAACTGTGGAAATAAGGAATCTTTTCATCAATGAAATCACTTTTATCATCCATTATTATCATCATCATTTTCCTCATCACTTTGACTGTCAATTTATTATCTGATTACTGTCACAATCAAAAGCTTCGTGTTGGACAACAAGGAAAATACCATGAAAAAAAACGAGGAGACAAAGAGACAAGAGGAATAATAATCTTTACCATTATAATCTCACCGATCATCATCATTCCAGCATCAAACTGATTAGCAATTAACTTAAAATCAACTACATGTTAAGCATGGAATCGAAAACAAAACAAAACAATTCAAAAAAACAAGAATCATCAACAAATCATTTTGCATTTTTCGAGAAGATCAAAAACAAAAAATGTCACAATTCTCATTGACAATTTAAACCAAAGCAAAACCCCAAATGATCCAATATATTTACAATACCAAACAAATCAATCAGAACAATCAATGGAGTGAAAGAGAGAGCAAAAAAACCAAATTTAATTTTGATTATTCTAATTGATTACAATTAATCTCAAATCAACAGTGACAAAAACAAAACCCAAAAAACATATGATGATATTTATTTGCTTGTGAAATTAACTATATATACACTGTAACAATTGATCACTCATACATACATATATCTATATTAATATACTAATTGCCTTGTAAAACAAAATGAATTAAACGAAAGTAAAATTAAAAACCAACAATTAACAAGTTCGCGAGAAAGTTAATCCAAAAGTTTCAATCGAAAATCATAGTCAACTGAAACTTTACTTTTCGAATCAAAAATCAATTTAACAACTCACACAATTTCCTTCTCTAAATCATCAAGGATTAAAAAGAAAATCAAATTTAATTTAATTTCTAATCAGTGACAATTAGAATCAAATTTCATCAATTGAATCAAATTGTTAAATTTTGCGCTTTAATTGTTAATCTAAAAAAGAGGAGGGAATGAGTCTGAATGAGAGAAGCTCTTGAATCTTGTTTTCATTGTCAGACGACAACCGTTAGTTTAAATTGATTGTTTGATTGATCAACTTAATTGTATTAATTGTGTGCCAACAGAGAAATTAAATCTCTAATTGTTTTCTATTAATTGCCAAAATAATCTCGACAAATTCATCAATCATGTCTATGTATCCATCATTGGAAGATATGAAAGCTGATCAAATGATCCAGGTAAATGAAGTAGAAATTATTGTTTTTCTTTTTCTTTTTTTTCTCTTTTTCTAATTGTTCTCATTAATTTATTCGAATTGATCATTTCATGGAGAATTTATCATCTCCCTCTTCATCTTTATCATCATTTATGTTCCGTTTTGATGTTCCCCATATATTTTTCTGCCCATTTATTCAACAATTTGTATTGTCATTCTGTTGATTTGGTGTCTTCATTTTCTATCTTTTGCCTACTCTGGTTTTCTCTGGTTTTCCATCTTCTTCCTCTCTTATCTTCTCTTTCTTTTTCTCTTTCTTTTAGTAAAATTGATAGGCTATAATATTGATAATGATACAAAGAAAATCATTGCGTTTTTCTTTCTATTAGCAATTCAATTTACTGGTTAACCCAATTTTCTCAAAATGACATCTCGTTCTCTTCAAATTTTCCAACCTCATCATCGACTCTTCCTATTAGTTTACCTTTTTTTCTACAATCAATTATTCTCACAATTTATCGATTTTTTCTCTTTTAGGCTCAGATAAACACTATCCGATATTCTGCCAATTCACCATCACCTTCTTCAACAACCACCGTACGAGAGGGAGGCTATCCCACTGTTTTACCATTCGCTTCACCTCCTTCAGCTCCAGTTTATCCTCCAACCTTAGGAGCGACATCTTCTCCTCCTCCTCCCTATCCTGTTGACTCTCGTCGAATCGGTCAAAATGAACTACACATGTACCCAGCATTGGTTGATCTTCATGAGTACATGGGCCTTAGTTTAACCTCAGCTGAACTTGCTCTAATCACTCCTAGTCCAACCAATAATACAGTTTCAATCAGATCTCCTCGAGAATTGATTCCAACCTCATCTCCAAACAGCAATATGGTTGCTCCTCTTTCCGGTGATTCATTAGGCCTCAAAAGAGCCGCTGTTACTCATGGTCTCCGTCAAGTTGTTCTTTGTAAAGATAAAAGTGGTAAAGTTGGACTTCGAGTTAAATCTCACAACAAGGTAAGAATTAAATCGCTTATTCTTTGCTAATTTAGCTATTGTCTCAATCGATTGCAATAACTATTGTATCGCTAAAACCAGATTAACAATATCCTCATCTCTCTCTCTCACGACTGTTATTATGTCAATCAACTCCCCAATCAGCTAACTTGATTTCCCTGTTTATCTGGTTAAACTCCTTGTTAAACCCAAATCAATGAGTCATACTAATTACCATGAAAATTATCTTGTTTATATTGTTTTGTTGTGTTAATTGTTTCTACAATTGTTACGATTTACAAGAGAAAAGGTCAAAATTTGATCTTTTCTCTTATTAAATCACTTGGAAAGAGAAAAGACATTTTAAATGTTACATAATTTGCATAATTTACTCACATTTAATTGAAAAATCTATCCAATTGTATTAATTAAAATGTAAAAAATCAACACCATCAATATCAACAAGTTGATGATAAAACGTAATTTATAACGTTTAATGTCATCATAACAATCACTTGCTAAGTTTAGATGCAATAGTAAATCAACTAACGTAATTACTCAACAAATGGAAACATTTCTAACAAGTGATTAACTAATTTTTTTTTCTCGTTAATTTTATTCTAAAAGGGAGTTTTCATCATTCTGGTCAACGTTGATTCGCCTGCAGCTCTTGCTGGACTTCGGTTTGGAGATCAAATTTTACAGATTAACGATGAAAATGTGGCCGGTTACTCGATGGAAAAGGTTCACGATATCATTAAAAAATCTCCAGTCAATGGGATTAACATGGTGATTCGAGATCGACCCTTTGAACGAACGATAACTCTCCATAAAGATAGTACAGGTCACACTGGATTCGCTTTTAAAGAGGGTAAAATCACTCACATAATTAAAGATTCATCAGCCGCTCGAAATGGTTTACTAATTGATCATCAATTGTTGGAAGTTAATGGGCAAAATGTTATCGGATTAACTGATAAAGCAATTAGACAAATCATGGAATCGAGTGAAAATGTTATCACCATTACAATTATGCCTTCAGTTATCTTTGATCATATGGTTAAGAGGTAATTAATTTTTTCTCTCTCTCTAATTATAAACAATTTACTAATTTGTAACTCATTGGCAATGTTTATTTGTTTTCCGTTTCTATCAAATTAAATAGTATGGCTTCCGGATTGATCAAAAAATTGATGGATCATTCAATTCCTGATTTCTAATCAATATGATGAACAAAAAAAAGATGCAACAAAATTTCAACAATCAACTAAATGAAGCTACAATTGATCATCACAATTACAAATTTCTAATTGTGATTTTATTGATATTCTCTCTATTTTGATTTGATTTAATTTAATCACAATTCCATTACTACAACAACTCCTTTCTCCATTTTAAAAATTCAAAATTTTGTGACATTTGATTTGAAACAATTTGTTAATCATTTCAATTAATCATTGATTCATGTTCCCCAATTATAAAACTCTAGCTATAAAAGTATCAACCACTTTCAAGCTTAACAACAAAATCTTAATCATCATTTAATTGTTGCCAATTTATTATAATCCAGTTTGTTTATTTAAATTGTTTTCTAATCTCCGTTAATTGTGATTAACTTATTAAAGGTGGAACAATTTTGTTTACCCTAAACAATTAACTTCTACCCAAGGTTCAAACAATTAACCGGAACAAGGAGTAACCCTGAAAATAGACTCACTGATTAACTAATTGTCCGCTTTTCCGATGATCGCCCAATTAATTGTTATACTAACAGAAAAAAACAATCCCATTGATTGACTTTAATTCCCACAGGTTATTTACCATTTAACCTCTCGGAAGTAATTAACAAACAATTAATTATTCTGGTTAATTTCCACACTTAATTGTTAAGTCCAACTAATCCAATGTACAATCAACCATTGAAAAAAAAACAAGCCAACATCCAGTTGAAGAAAATTAATTTAATCAGAAAAAAAGAATAGAAAACTTTGAAACCAATTAAATGGAATCAGTTGGAAACTAAATTGCGAAAAATTTAATTGTCAATCACAATTTGTGATTCTAATTGTTACTCACCTTACGCCCTCTTTAATTTGTTTACTCTACTTTTCCTCGGAAAGAAAATGAAATGAAACCAAAACCTTAAGTCTTTTCATTTATTTAATTGTTTCCATTTATTTTGTTTTCCATTTTTAATTTAATTTAATTACATAGTCACTCCACTGATTAATCAGCAACTTAATTATCCATTGAACTAATCAATTTAATTCTATAACAAGTGGTGATACTTTTACCTGAACCATATCAACATAAATATCTCCACGTGGGTCTGTTGATGTTTTGTTCAATTTGTTAATTCGGTTCATTGATTTGATTTGATTTACATTTTAAGTGACAATTATCATCATTGACCTTGACACTTTCACCTTTTACCTTTGAGAAATTCGAATGAAAAAGAAAAACAAATGATTAGTGTTTTCTATCAATTGAAGAGATTTTATTTCTATACGATCATATGGTAAGTTAATTGTTCTATTCTTTTTTTATTTTGTTCTATTTTGTGAGTCATCCATTGGTCAATTTACATTTTAATCTTAATTTTTTCTCACCTTCTCTTGTAGAGATCATGATGTTTGAATGATTTTCTCACTTATTCTGTTGTTTGTTTGAAAGAAAAAAATAGATCTTCTCTTTGGGATCCATTTTCTTTTTCCATTTTTACTATATCATTGTTTTCATTTCTATCATGTCGAGTGAAGATGAATTAGGTGAAGTGCTTGATGAATTGCTCAATATTCCATCAGAACCTCAGGAAAGTCGAAAATTATGTGATAAATGTTGGTAAGTGTTTGTTGTTTACCTTTTCCTTTAAATGTTTAATTTCCTTTTCTTTTTCAACTTTTTCTTTTCCTCAGTAGACCAGAGAAAGTTTGTCTTTGTCCTTATTTACCAGGTAAACCAATACCTGTTTCGAATAAGTTAATTATCCTTCAACATCCATCAGAGGAGAAACGATGTCTTCGAACAGCCAAAATTTTGGAATTAAGTTTACCTGTTGATAAATTTCGCGTTATTAAGGCTAAAAGATTTTCCGCTCATAAACAACCCGAATTGGCTGAGATTCTGAAAGATCATGAGAGAACATTTCTTCTTTTCCCTGGTAAATCATCTCAGCCATTGGAAACTATTGACACACGTCAACCTTATAACATCGTTATTATCGATGGTACTTGGGCCGAAGCTCGTTGCATTTACCATAATAGTCACGACCTCAAAAATATGAAGAAAGTCGTACTTAATGTTCAGAAACGAAGCAATTATGTAAGAATTTTCTCTTTTCTCTTTTTTGTTTCTTTGTTATTTTTCTCCAATTTCCAATTATAATTTGTATTCTCTCTCTGTCTTTAGGTTATTCGGACTCAACCCACAGAAGAGTCTCTTTCCACTGTCGAAACGGCCGCTATTACTCTGGCTCATTTGGAAAACAATCAATCAATTTACGATACATTAATGAAGCCTTTACAAGCCTTATGTACATTCCAATTAGAGCATGGAGCTGTTCATCACTTTTCTAAAGAATATCTTATACTCAATGGTCTTTACAATAAGCCAATTACTCGTAAAATTCAAAAGAAACTTGGGAACAAACAGGAGATCAAATACTTTATCCGGTGATGGTTTTTTTCTTTCTTTTGATTAAATTGTTTCATCATCCAATTTCAATATTTCTTGATATTATATAAATATTCTTGACTAACAATTTAGTACCAATTATTTATGAAAATTTTCGCATGTAACATAATCTCCAGTCTCTTGATTGTAATGGAATCCGCAAAATCTTGAATCAACTAGTGGGTAAATAAAACGTTAAGAAATTATCAATCGAAATTGTCCATATCGTCCTTTTCACAATCGGAAATGGTTTTAAATATAAATCCAACGATCTTTCCCTTGGTTGCTTTTGGATATTAATCACGGTCAAAATGGAAATGGTAAATGAGCCGCTTTAATGAGCGAAGAGAAAAAACAAACAATCAAAATTGATTGCACACATTACGTGGTTAAAGTCATTAAGAGTTGGTTATTATTATTTAACAGCAGAAACATGACTTGATTCTCACAAGTTGATTGCAAGTGAAACCATCGGAAGCACATGAGTGATAATAATAGTTGTTGTTGGGAAGAAAAATTATAACCCAAGACAATTAACAATTTGAGACTATGGCCTTCAGGTCTCACCCGTTTCTCCTCTTTGTGTATTCAAATCACCAACTTTAATCTCATTTTTTTTTCTCTTATTTTTCTGGTGAACAATCAACCATTACAAACGGCTAAACAACAGCAAACACTTAACATAGGTTAATGGGGAAGGTAAAATGACACACAAAGATATTTTCTTTTTTTAAAACAGACAAACACTGGCCTGGAAAGAAAGATCGATAAGATATATGAATATCTCTCTCTCCCTTTCCCTCTTTCCCTAGACAAGATCCTTTACCACCATCATCACCAGTAGCCTTTGACCTCTTCCTACCTAGACTGGACTCACCATCTGCCATGAAGAAGCCACCTTGCTAAGTACAACTACTTGTAACCTTAACCGATATGCTTCATGTACCAAAAGCCATTGTGTCGCCTTCAGGTCATAGAGACAAATTCAAAATGGACACCACAACATTGGAAGAAAATAAGAAACTCAATTACTCCAATTAAATTGTAATCACCAAACGATCAACTGAGACACTGAAACAATTAAATTAAATTGTTTACAAAGAAACAAAACTAATCACAATTAAATTTAACCAACGAATACAAATCAACACCTGACGCCCTCTTTGGTTTGGGAGGGAATAGAATAAAAGAGAAAAGAACAAAAAGTGAAAAGAGAAAAAAAAGAAAAAAGAAAGAGCCGAAAAGGAGAGAAAGAGAAACAGATGAAAAAATAGACATTAAATTTTCTCTCTCACTTGAACAGTTTCTTTTTCTTTTCTCTCTCTCTTTTTTCATTTATCTTCCAATTAATTAATTGTCAGTCTTGTTAAACTGTGATTCTAATCATTACTCAATTCATGTTATCCATTCAATTGAATACAATTAAAATCCAAATCTTGTTTTCTTTAATCAAAGATCAACAATTTTAACTTGATTTTTTTTTCTTCTCCCTCTTAATCATCGTCATCTTGGTTTAATCATTAATCTTCTTGTGTACTAATTTTTTTGTGTGTGTAACAATTACAATTAACCAATTTTGCTTCATCAGTTAGAGTTATTACAACTTCAAGTAAAATATATTTTACTGATTCTCTATCAGTACAGTTACTTTAACGGGATAATCTCAATCAACCATCAAACCTTTTTGTTTGTTATCACTTTCATCGTCATCATCATCATCTTAAAACAATATCAACCTAATTAGGATAAATTGTGATTAATTTTGTGTCTTCAATCAATTATCTCTTCAATAATCTTACCATGAACGCCCTTCACAATTAATTTATCAACTGTATTTAGTTGATTAATATTGTTATTCTATTCTATTTAATTTTTACTATTACAAATTCTCTCAAACCTTTTTTTTTGTGTTTGCCTCTCTTTTTTTCTCTCTCACTCTTATTTCTCTTTCTAACTACCTCTTTCTCTTCTCCCTCTTTGCCTTGATTCTCTTTCTCTTTCTCTTTCTCTCTCTCTCTCTCTCTCTCTCTCTCTACTATTCTTGTTTACTTTTTTTCAGATACAACAACATTTGAGACCAAAGTTAATTTTTGTTTCTATTCTCAGCTTCTTAAATAATCATAATAATTATGTCAAAAGATTATGATCACCTGTTTAAATTACTAATCATCGGAGATTCAGGTGAGTCTCTTTTAACTTTTCTTTTCTTTGCCCTTCACCATATCGTTAATTGTGTCACCTATGGTTTACATTCATCTGGGTGGATTCAGTGAAACAACCCTTTTTTCATATACAAAAACCACAGAAAAGGAAGAAACTCTCTCAATTACCATTAGGGAGACAATTGTGATCTTAAAAACAATTTGTTCTCTGTGATTGTGATTCTGTGTCTTTTCCTCTCATCATCAACAACATTCTTATTTACCTTTTTATTTCTTTTCTCTTTTCCTGTTGCTATTTTTTATTTCTTCTCCATCATCAACAACCACTTCCATTGCTACTTTTAGGTGTTGGTAAAAGTAGCCTTCTACTTCGGTTTGCTGATGACACCTTCTCTGGCAATTATATAACCACAATAGGAGTTGATTTTAAGATAAAAACATTAGAAGTAGATGGACAAAAGATTAAATTACAGATCTGGGACACTGCAGGACAGGAAAGATTTCGAACCATTACAGCAACGTATGATAATTAATTCTTTACTTTTAAAAAGAAACTACAACAACAACAACAACTTCTTATTATTATTTTGTTTATCTCTTTGTTCTCTATTTGTCACACCTTTCTCCTTGGTTCTTCTGTCAATCACATTTTTAATACTCTGACAGAAGGAGAAAGTAATATTTTCTCATGTGTATAATTAATCCTTCTTCTAAGAAGTTGCTTGTTTTCTCCCTCTGTTATTATCAATTTCCTCATATTCTAATGTCATTTTGTTTTGTTTCTTCGCTTCAACAGATATTATCGAGGAACTCATGGAGTTATAGTTGTGTATGATGTTTCAAATGGAGACACATTTGCCAATGTGAAAAGATGGTTGCATGAAATAGATCAAAATTGTGAAGATGTTTGTAGAATATTAGGTAATTATTGAGCAAATCATTTGTCAAAGAAAAAAGAAGAGAAATAGAGAGAACATGTAAACATTTACCCCAAATCAAAATCTATCTCTTATGTCTTAGAGATAATTCTGTTCTTCATGACTGTTCATCTCTCTCTCTCTCTCTCTCCCTCCCTTCCTCTGACTCACGTTTCTTTTTTCTCTATGTAGCATCCGATCTATTTAGGCCAAAGACTAATGTTATTTTTTCTTTTTCTCTTTCTCGTTTCCTTTATATTTCACACGAACCCTCTCTCTCTCTCTCACCAACACACACATTATATACAAATACACATTCTACTTTGATGTAATATTGAATGGTTTCCCTTTTGGATGATGCCAATATCCTCTGTTCACCACTCGCATTGGAATCATTAATGATGATCTTATGAACTGCAAACCTCAAAACATGCAACAAAACAAACAAACAATTTATCCTTAATCCATATCTCAATTTTGATGTTCACCATTTTAACTGTTAATTCTTCTGACTTCTGTTAACCATCATATTCACCATTCACTATTTTTGGTTTACAATTAATTGGATTGTTAAATTGATTACTATTTTTGGCTGTTGAAACTAAATAATCATCACCATCATTATCGTTACATCCTAAAAGTCGGTAACAAAAATGATGATCCTAACCTTAAATTAGTATTGACCCAAGATGCTCAACGGTTCGCTGATCAAATGGGAATCGAGTTATATGAGACCTCAGCCAAAGAAAATGTCAACGTTGAAGAGATGTTCATGGCAATCACTCGAATGGTATTAAGAACGAAAAAAGAAAAGGAACATAGACAACAACAATCCCAAGATAATGCGATAAGGTTACAAAAAGGCAGTGGTCACAAGGGCAAGAAAAATAAGTGCTGTTAACCAAAAAAATCGAACACAATCAGAATCAAAGAAGAACCAAATTGTGAGCCAAAAAAAGAGGAAAATCAAATCAAGAGAAACCTTTCCCGTTTTAACTAAACCTTCACCAACGAGAACAACACCAACTTATAGAAAATCGAATGTCCTTTTTTTTCGATATGAGAATTTAAATATTTTGAGTCTTCTCCCTCTCTCTCTATCTCTCCCTGTTTCTCTCTCACTCACAAAATCTCCTTTTCTACCTTCTTTTTTTTCTTCTTCTCCTCTTCTTGGCTCCCCAATAGTTGAATCAATATCTATTTTCACCGAAAAAAACAAATAATTTAGCTTAAAGGTGAATCAAAAGCCAAGTCAACGTGAAGATTATATAATTATAATGATAAACAGCTCTAGGGTTAAACAATTTTTTTCCTTTTCTATTAAACATCGATGACTTGTAAACAATCAGCAAACAATTAAGATACATGAGAAACATTTTCTCACTGATGGATTGCCAACATTCATTATTGTATCTTTTTAAATGTAACTTTTCTTAATCATTTAATTTTCTTTCCTCCAATTAGTTTCATTGTAATTAACTGATTTCTTCAATTCATCTAGTTGACAATATACACAATTTACAATTAGCCTTGTAAACAACAATATGAAAGACGATAATATAATTATCCAGAAAAAAGGTTAAAACAATTAGCTTCAAAACAAGAACAAAACTCAAGATAAGTGACAATTAACTCTACACATTTAATTAGTTTAATTACTTCCAACTCTTTACTTGTTTTCTTTTAAAACTAATTCCTCATCCAAACTAATCAGTTCTCTTCCAGCGTAACAACAATACTCTTAATTGTAATCAAGAAACAATAATTTAATCAGCAATCAAAAAAAATGAACAATTTCAAGTCAAAAAACTAAATTCTTTTACTCGGAAAACAAGATTAACCGAATCAAAAAAAAAATCAAATTCCATTTTCAATTATTGATCACTTTTGAAAATCTAATTTAATTGTTACTATTTAATTGTACCTTTTCCTCTCGTACAATTATTTTTCTCTAATTGTCACTGATTACAATTAGATTGGAATCAGGAACATTTTGTATTCGCCCAAGAGCTTAAGCCATAAGTGATTGTAAGAAAAATTTGTCATCTTTTATATTGAATTAATCGAAATGATTAAAAATTGAAAACGAAATCAAATCAAATTAACTTTTTGATCTTCTTTCTCGTAATCAATGAAAAAGTTTTGATTGACAAAAGCTACAAGAGACAATTTGTTTCAATGGTTTTCTAGTTAACCCAATTGACTAGTCAATAATTTAATTCCTCTGCTGATTGTTGTACAAAATTGTTAATAGAATAGTTAATTAGTATATAAATTGAACAAGATAGTAACGGATGAAAAAGGCGCACGCAGATGAGGCCATTTGAATGAAAAGTAATCGACGGACAATTGAGTCTTCCCGCTTTGGACCAGACCATAAGATGACTAAGTTGATTAAGGTTAAATTGGTACATTTAATTTTGGTTGATGAAATTGTTTCCTCGTTGATTAGTTTAAATGTGCGAGCAAATTTAAGGCAAAACCAACCAAGGAATTTAACTTCTTTCGGGTTATATTCAAAGTAACTGTTGTCCATTAAATTTGTCTTCGAATTGTACCTGGAACGAGTTTGGAAAAGAATTGAGATTTTTAGTTGATCACCAGAGATTCGTTGATAACAATTAATGACAATTAAAATGGTTTTTAACTTACTTGGGGAGTCGATGTCGTGGACATGGGACAAAGTGAAATAATTGGGGACAAGAGAATAGAAAATTGAAAATCTGTGGAATAAAAAATAGTAACATCGTTTTACTAAAATGACCCAAGATTCCAACGACAGCGAAAGTCATTCCAGCGAAGTAACAATAAGTATCGCCGACGAAAATTTGAGCTGGATACCAGTTGTACCAAAGAAGAGCCGATGATACACATATAAAGGGTAATATAAAGGTGATCGAAAAAAGATGAACTTTCCAAACTGTGCTGGAGAGTTCGATTAGATTGTAGATGAGAACCGAAATCGAAATGATCAAACTTTGACCAACTTCCAGTCCATTGATTCCAGCGAGTATGTTTATCGCGTTAGTACAAAAAACCGCCATCATTGCCATATAAACGTAATAAAATATACCCAAATTAAGTGCAAACGAAAATGGTTTGGGTAATAATACCCAAGTACAGTTGTAAGTGACCGCATAAACGGTCAACAATGGGAACGACGCGATCGTGGGTAAGGTTAACTTATGAAGCCATCGAAGGTCCAAAATATCATCTACGAATCCTAATAGAACCATACAACAGATTGAAAGAAGAGCGGCAATTAATGATTCGAATTGAAGATCATCGAAAACACGAGCCTTTAGGTTGATCATTGGTACGCTTAATTTGATTGAATCGGTGAGGAAATTTTCATTTATCAAATAAGTTTTGTCAAACTGGAGGAAAGGGATCGGGATAAAAAGTGACATTGTCATCAGGAAAACAGAACCAGCGATTACACCCATGGCTTCGGGTATCGGTTTACCGTTAGGTTTACACATATCGACACCGGTAACTTGAGCTTTTACAAATTTCTCCGATAAACTGGGAATAGTTTTCATGGTAACGTGGAAACTGATCAATGAAAATATTCCAATGGACAGAAAATGAATAAATAGATGAGGAGATAAACCAACAGCAAGACTTGTTGTTAGTCCGAGAAAAAGAAACATGAGATGATAGGGATTCACATTTGCCATTTTGTACCACAAGTCTTAAGTAATCTTATCAATCAGCGACCAAATATTAGCAGCAATTATCCTTGGAGAATCATTGAGAGTGGTCAAAATTAATAACAACAAAAAGATTCACTAATTAACTTTAAAGAAAATGATGTAAACAAAAACACCGGTTGTCTCCTTGTTGAATATTGTCAACATCTAAATGGTTGTTAGGGTAATATAACTGTCGATGTGTCAGTTGATTTCGATGAATCGGAACAATCGTTGAACTAATTATAGTTATCTTCTAATTAAATTGATTCAACACAAGAATCAGATAGTTTAATTGTTGAGAAATAATTTCGTCCATCAGATGAAAACATAAACAAAGTCCAAGAAATTTGGTCAGAAGAAAAAAAGAATAAATAAAAAGTGGCTCCATCTATTGGCGGAAAAAGAAACTAAAAACGAAAAGATGAAAAAAGTTGATAAATTTTGATTGAGTTTCGATTGTAGTAATTAACTAATTGCTGAGGTCAACATATTTGTCCTGAAGGATTTTCATGGATCTGCTTAATTTTAATTCTTCCATGGTTATTAGTTGATTGAAGTTTAATGGAAGTGAAAAGAAATTAATAGAAAAGTTTGAAAATCTTTTTTAATATTTAACTTTTTCAACTTTTTGTTAATTGTTACAATTTATTATTAATCGTTTGTATCTCATTCATTAAGATCATAATATATAAATATTGACCAAAGTGCTCTGCTAATTAATCTTAGCTTGAATGTGAAACAAGAGTTACAATGTAAATCTATTGGAAAATGAGTTTTGTTTCAATCAAATTATTACTAAAAAAATACATTACAATTAACCTGTTAATTAAACCCGTTTAATTGCCGATAACAATGAAGTTTAGATTTTCCAACACTTAATCATTGAGAATTAATCTGAAAAGCAAAAAGTGTGAAAACCTAATCTTCATAGATGAATAATAAATATTTGTACCATTCTAAATTGCGAAATTGAATTTGAATAAAGATGATTAAGGAAAAGATGATTCGATCCAATTGTAAATAGAATCTAGAATTAAATTGTGAAAAATTGTCATGAATTCATTATCGAAATCAAATGAGAAATTATTATCACCGATTGACCTTCTACCACGAGCTAACGCAGGTCCACCCGATCGGGTTCCGTTCGTAGCACCTCCAAGTCCCGTGGCCAGAACAGCGATCAACGTGGCTAAATTGAGTAGGAATAAAACACCAAGAGGAAGTAAAAGAGCGCCAAGTAAAAGGGGTAAACCAGCGGCAATAGCGATCGCCGCTAGTAAAGTCGTCAAATCGTGTTTGTGATGCGACGATTTCTCTTGATGACCAACCGACACTGGAATAGGAATATATTGAACTGCATGGTGACCATGATGCTCGTTTTTCGGATAATGATGCTGATAACCATAACCTTGTCCATGGCCATAACTATGGCCGGAAGAATGGCCAGAATCGTGACCACCACCACCATAACCAGAGTCCCCACCAGCATAGTTGTAAAGTGCAATCGGTTTAAACATTTGTGCCGGTGAAGCAAATGACGGCTGACCCATGAAACTTGCCGACATTGGTATCGATGAAGCATAAGATGCAATCGGATTAAATGTCGACCCTCCAATTCCGGGACTAAGATCCATTCCTAAAATGAAAATATCATAAAACAAATAAAAGTGAAATCGACCAGCCGACCAATTGATTGACGATTTTTTTCAAGTTCAATCCAACCAAGATCGCTAATTGTTGATCCTTTTTAATTGTTTATTTCTCTACTTATTAGTACTTACCCATTTCGGGTGTTGTTTGCCGATAACTAAGATCACTGTAAGATGGACTTTCGGGAAAAGCGTAATACTTGTTGAAATTGTTGCTCTCCGATGAATTAGCCAATTCTAGTGCCGATGAAGGTAAAATTGTTTTCTTAATTGTATGATAAACATAAGGATAAGTTGATTTGTGGGTTGGATAAGTTGATCGAGGTGTTAATTGTGATTCACTTGGGGTAATACTCTCAGGTGATTTAAGTGAATTAATATGATCCATAATTGTTTGGAAACTCGTAGCTATCGGAGCAATCGAAGGTGTTGATTCAGTAGTTGATGAAATCGGTAATCTAAAAGTGATTAAAAGTCTTGGCACTTGGAGTAAGAAAATTAATCCATACAGAATGTTAATTGTTGAGATAATCATGATTAATATTAGAGGGACAACTTTACACTTATACTGATTATTAGAAAGTGAACATATTTAAACGAATCAACTGATTGTCATTCTGTAAACAATTAAGATTAGTGAGCAATCTTAATTGTTACATCGAGATTGCACTTTACCTTTGTGTATTTGTCATTTTCATTGTATCAAAATGATCACAATAGAAAGGAAAAGTAATTGCAAGTTTAAAAATCTTTTCTAATTGTTTAAGCTTTTAACTTTTTGATTGTTACAATTTAGATGATTGTATTATCAATACTCTCTCCCTCTGGTATTGTATTAAATAAGATCCACTGAAATGTATCTCTGATTTATCAGAAAAGTTCATCGATCTACTAAATTCTGAGATGTTCAAATTTATCCAGTGATTTTCCAACACCAAGATATGGTTACAATGGAATCAAGAATACAATTAATTGTAAATAACCATTAGAATTGTTAAGCAATTAAATCAAACGAATAATTTATTGTTCTTAAATATTATAAATAACATTGGATTGGTTGGGATTGGACTGAGGTAGAAAATTGGAAATTTTTTCAATGGATTAATTTTCTTCCGGTTAAGATTTCAAGCAATACGATTAAGTTAATTGTGATTACCTGGGGAAGATAAACAATTAAGAGAGTGAAATTTGTTACAATAGAATTTTTTTTCTCAAAATTTTCGAATACAATCAAGAATGAATGATTGAGTTTCATTTAGTTTCCGCTCGTCCCAAAGTTCAGAGGAGAGACTCCGTTTCCTTTTTCCGGCCGCTATGGCTCCGGTGGTCCCATTAACTGGTATAAACGTGCCACCTCCGCCTGGGCCAAGAACCGCTAACAAGGTAAATAAATTAAGAGCAAACAACAAACCCAACGGAAGTAATAAAGCCCCCAAAAGGATGGGCAAAAGCGCCGCTGCCAATAGCCCGTAAATCCAATAGGACACATCGTTTTTATGATGATCCTGATGATGATGTTTAATATGTTTCACATGAATAACTGGATAAGGAATTGGAACATGAATATATTTAACTTTATGTCCTTTCTCATGATGGTCAGTCAATGGACCAATAAAATTAGGTAAAGGATACGAATGAAAATTATGACCAAATGAATTGAAGGAATCAGTTTGTTTCTTAAAATCGTCCAATGGTTTCAAAAAATCGTACGAAGTTGAACCAATCGGTAATCGATAATCTTGTTGATTACCTGGAGAAATTGATGATGATGATGATGATGATACAGAGATCGACGGTTGATCTTTATTACTACTTTGCCCTCCAGGTAAACCAGGTAATCCCAATGATTGGACAGCACTGTTAATACCAGAGACTAATCAAATATAAAGATAATTAATCGACTGATTGATTTTCATCCTCAACTAACAATCACTTATACTTACTAATAGGATTTTGATTGAGAGATTGATCTTCAACATCGTCCATGAAATCGGAGTCGGTTAGAGTAACATAATTGGGTAGCCCGTTGGAACCAGAGAGCCCATTTAAACTGCTGATACCAGGAAAACCAGAAAACCCACCCAGACTATCCTGTAGCTTGGGCTTACGAAACAAATAAACCACCGGCACCAAAGGTTTACCACCGTCACCACTTCCTCCTCTTCCTCCTCCCGCTCCGGATCCACTGCCGTTAGAGGCACTATTATGTTGACCGGCGGTCGATTGGACTTGGTGGAATCGTTTCCGAGTAAATGGTCTTCTCCATGATTTAATTAACTTATTTGAGATTATATTTGTGTATCCATTGGTTGTCTGGTCAGTTGGGGTCAACAAGGTGATTACAATTAAGTTAACTGACCAAATGAAAAGAGGCAAAGAAAACATAACATTAACAATAAACTAATATTCATCTATGATAATCATTATAATCTTACACTCAACATTTACAGTTAATTGTTGGAAAGTACAAAATTATATCATCATCATACACGAGACACTAAAATGATTAGATGACTAAATTAAATTGCTATTAACAAGAATATTTCATTTGATTAAGTTAACGGTTATTACCTTAAAGGGTTGGGTGATAAGAGGAAGCACCTTTTTTCCCGTTTCAATTAATTGTTGATTGTTAATTCTTGCTGATTGTCAATTGTTTGGATACTTAAATTGTAACAATAATCAATAGATTGAAACTAAATTTACCTTTCCGGCTGTTAATTGTCACGTTGTTAACTTGGTGATCATGATGAAAGGTAAATAACTAGGATAAGATGAGAAAACTTTTCTACAACAATTTAAATTAATTGTTGTGTAAATTGTTTTCTTCCGATTGAATTATGATAAATTGTTGATTCGTGTGAGCATTTTAAACTCTGTTCATTTGTCAATGATAACAATTTAAATTGTTAACACATGAGATTCACAAATTTACATTGAATCGGTGATGAAGTTAATTTATTTTAATTGTTGACAGGATTTAGATTAGATTTACAAATATTATTATTAATACAATCGTAATCTAAATAATTGTTTTTGAGTAGAGATTGATTTTTGTAAAAGTTAAAAGATATTCATTTGATAATTAGTTTATTTACAGTTTGATTTGTTTTAATTGTGGATTAAGTGATTCAATTGAATTTAGTTAACCATTGTAATACTTTTGGTTATATTTCCTCCTGATTGGGGTAATTCAATTGTCTTAATTGTAACCGATGGAACTGAACCATTAGGAGAAGCTCTAATTATCACTGTTGGTTGATTTGATTTCTGTTGTTGTTGTTGTTGGTTTAATTGTGAAGGTAATAGTTGTTGTAATTGTAGAGTTGATTGTTGTTGATTAGGTAATTGTTGTTGTTGTTGCTGCTGATGTTGATGTTGTTGTTGATTCAAATTGTGATCTGATAATCTAGAGATTATCGGATTAAGTGTTGCGACCCCAGCGGGTTTACTTGAAGAAACATCAACATTCATTGTAGTTAAATGGTTATTATTAAACATCATTTGTTGATTGTTTTGATTATTTAATTGCGGTTGAAGTTGATGAGTAGTTAGTGGAGGATGAGAAGGAGACATTATATTATAAGGATGAGGTTGCGGTTCATGATGATGATGATAATTATGATTAGGGTGATGATGAACAAGCTGCTGATGCTGATTATGATTATGGTTATGATTATGATTAGGGTTATGATTATGATTAGGGTTAGGATTAAGATTAGGATTAAGATTAGGATTATGATGGTTTTGATGATGATGATGATGATGATATTTAGGTTTCTGTGGTTTAGTCTCAACTGGCATCGACGGAACTGACCCAATGGCCATCCCTTGGATCTGTGGCACCGGAACACCAACAATACTTTCAATTGGAAATCCTCTTATAACGGGAATCACTTGACCGACCAAATTTTTCATTCCTTTAGCATCGGCGGTCACTAAATTGTTAACTTTACCGGTCAACACATCCACCTTATTACCCAACACGGTCTCAAATTTAGCGTCACCATTGGCCACTGTTTTAGCGGTCAGTTGTAAATCGTTTTCATCATTATTTGCATGTTTAACCGTTAAAAGATTTGATGGTTTTTTATTTTTACCGTTTGATTTCATCATCATCATGATTAATTCACGATTATTGTTGTTATTAGCATTGGATGATTTACTTTCACTTGGAGCTTTCATTGAGTAAATTTTATTCATCTTTGAGTCAATCGTGTTGATCGGTGGCTGCGGCGACGGCGGTGTTAATATCGGACTATTGTTGATCTCAATTGGACCTTGGTCACTTGAGGTAAGTATCTCGTTCATTGTTAATGTTGGTTTATTTCCGATTCCGTCTAAAAAGTTAAACTTATTGGGAATTGACATACTTGTCTTATGTGCGACCAGGTCAGTTAATTGATTACCCACCGAGTTAATTATTGAAGCTTTGGTTCCAGCGATACCATTTAATTTACTCTGTACCATATTAACCTTTGACCCAACTAGTCCACCGAATTTATTGCCGACATTGGTCATCATGTTTTTCTTGCTGTTCCAAAGATTTTCAAATTTAGACTTTACCATGGTCACTTTTCCGTCTAACAGATTATCATCATATCCAAACTTTTTCCGACTGAAAACCGTTTCATCTTCAATCGGCGTTGGTTGACCTGATCCAAGGGGAGATAATAGTCCACATGAACGACCCCAACACTGATCCAGTCCACAGAAACATCCGTTCATTTGTGAACAGTTCGACCCTTTACAGCCCATTTGATCGCAATAACATCCATCCGTCAGGTCGGCCACGGAATCTTCAGCGATATTTTCACTTGGTAGGATTGTTTTGATTTCATCGGAAATTTTCATGGAACTTGAATTGTTTGCTAAATTGAATAAGTTAAAAAGCGGATCAACCAAAAGGCCATTTGACGGTGTTTCCACTGGCGTTATTGACGGTGGGGTGGCCATCAAATTTTCCATAATTCCAGTTTCAACGGGAGAATCCAAACTACGATCAGTGTTTACCGATCTACTCGCTGGACAATTGTTACCCCAACAGATCCCGTTATCATCGTTACAAACACAACCATTAAGTTGATTACAAGCGTTCCCCCGACACCCAAGTGAATCACAGAAACACCCACTTCGAATAGAAAGTGGCTTAGTTCTTACACCGCCATTTTTACCTCGAACTCGTTCACGATATCTGACAATTCGCTTCGTCGTTTGACTTCGAGTTGGATTCCTAATAGTCGCCTTTTTACCAGTCGAAGGTCGAGGGACCCGTCGAGGATTGATCATCATGTTCACTCGAGTTGTCGCACGGGAACAGTCACAATAAACACTCGAAGCAGGACAATAACAACCCGACACATGCCAACCCGATTTCTTACCAGCCGTAGGTTTCTGTTCAAAACGGAAAGTTGCGACAACCGCCGGTCGAATAGTCCGCTGTCGCTGTTGAATATTAGCCCGTCTAATTCCAGGTTGACTTCGAACTTTGGCCAAAGACCCATTAGAACCAAAAATCGAACCCGTTAAACCATTAGGATAAACATAATACTCATTAATACCATCGTAATACTCTTGATGATGATTAACAGAAGTTGAATTGATTACATGGAAATCCTTTAGTATCCAAAACAAGAAAAGACTCAAACTGATTAAAAACATTTCCAATCAACAATTAAAAGCTAATTGTTACCGTTAATCACTTTATAATCCATATAATAATCACCTTAAAAGCTGATCAATATTAATCAAAAAACGATTAAAATAATAAATCAAAGTTTCCATGATTTAAAATGATAAGACAATTTGGAAACTTTGAAACATCCTAATCAACTTTTTGATTGTTACTGTTAACAATTTCTAATCTTCTTAATTGTTAATCCTTAATCAGGATGTTTTCCTAATTGTCTCTCTTTCTCTTCATAATTTTTAAAATCATCACAATTTAATAATTGTATTGTTATTTAATTGTGAGTGTTTCAGTCAACTGATTTATTTTCAATTTCTCTAAATTTTTTTTTTGTAAGAAACAAAGTAAATCAAAATAAATTGTGAGTTCTAATTGTGATCAAATGAGCTTAATTGTTGTCGCAACGATGCTTTTCAAGTTCATCATCAAGATAATCAATTGATCAGAATAAAGGAGAAAAATTAATTTCCATTCATTTCATTTTCTACCATTTTAATTGTTGTTAATTCACCTTAAACGGACTTGTCTAAATTATTAACGATTCCTTTAAACAATTAACTTAAATCGAGATGCTTTCTGATGATTACAATTAAAAATCATCTCAACCATTAACAATTAATTTCCATCCATTAATTTTGTTAAATTTAAACATTTGAAATAAACTTTCACTTACAATTAATTAACTTTTCTCATCACTAATTTGTTTCTTAATCAACAATCTCAATTGTTTTACTCTGATTAATCTGATTGTCTTAACGAACCTAATTAACAATTAACAATTATGATTACTGATAGGTAACATTTAGCAAACTAAGGAAGTGATTAAATGAGAAAAAAAAGTCAATTCAGTTTCAGAACAATTAAAAAATTTTGTAACAATTTGATTGATTAAATTAATTTCTATTGATCAATTTTTTAATATAATTGTTTATTGGAATCACAATTAATTATTCAAGTATATAAATCAAATTGTTCATATAATTGTTGTGATTTTACAAAATTAATTTGCCAATTGATTGACAATTAAACTAATTTAATTACATATCTACATCAATATATATTTACAGTAATTGTAATTGTGGTTTAATTAAAAACAATTGATGACCAATTTGTCCAGTGTTTTTGATTGGATTGTCCAGTTGATCACAATTAGAAGATCAAAACAAATTAACTCAAGCAATTAATTTAATTTTCTCGGTATTAGTTTTTGGAGCTCTAATTAAATCCACCAGCATTTGATTTTAATACTATTAAAAGTATTAATTAACTTGTAGAAATGAATCAGTCAATTGTTTGGGTTTACAATTAAATCGTGATTAATTCAATTAATCATGGCAGTTACTCCGTAATTGTTTCCATAATTATATAAGACTAATTAGATTTGATCAGTAAAAATAGTTGGTTAATTATTGTTATACTTTGACTAGGATTGTGGCTCTGGTTTTATATTACAATTTACAAATTGTGACTTTAAGGATTCCACTTGTGATTAAATTAAAATCAGGTAGATTTATTAATCTAGTTGGTTAATCAGTGATTAATTCCTATGATGAAAGAGAAATAAAAGTTTACAATTAGTTAATTGATAACGAGAAATGTGTAATCAAATTAACAAACCTTTTCGTCTTAAAATATTGAAGATCAGTTTAATTTTTGACTAATTGTTGTCATCTTTTAGTAGTTGAAAATAATAACGATGATAACAATTTAAACAGGATCAACACCGTCTAATCAATCCTGTTAATCTGATTAAGATGTTAATCCAAATAAGCGATTGATTAAGATTAAAGGGATAATTAACCAAATCATCGGAACAATTGATGAACCAGAATTTCGTCTCATCTTTGTATGTCTGAATGGAATAACTGTAAATTATACAAGACAATTAGTTAATTGTTGTGACAATTTTTCCCAAAGAATAGGATTAAAACAGAGAGAGAGGGTAATCCCTCTCAATTCAACTTACTTGAAGCGGGTTTAGGATTTTTCTTAGCCGGTGTATCAGCTTGGTACCAGTGGGGATTAGTGTCACCGTAGCCCAACATGGCGGGTGAGGGACGAGGGATATATTGAGGTAGAGCGGAAATTGGTTTAGTTGATAAAGTTTTCACCACCGGTGGAATTGAAGGTTTGTGATAAACGGAAGGTGACAATTTATCAGGTCTCGATTGCCAAGTGGGTCTATTCACAATGTACGAAGGTACCTGAGGAACACCTCGAGGACAGGCAGCTAATTGTAACAATAAGAATAGAAAATCAACAAATTAATTAATCATAATAATAATTGCAATCAATTCCTAATTAACTTTAAAGACAAAAGGACAAGATAGATGGAGCTTGTTGTCCACAAAAGTTTCAATTGTTAAAAAGTTTGATGAATCAACTAAGAAGTTAAATTGTGAATAAACAATCAACTAATCAATTGATAAACTAATATGATAATAAAAGGGAAAAGATGATAATTCTGTCAACTGAATTAATGGTAAAGTTAATTTAGAATAGAAAAAGTTGATGACAATCAAACAAGTTGAATTTTAAAGGTTCCTCTTAATTGTTTTGCTCCTCAATCATTTGATTTAAAAATCTCATCAAGTGTAATAATAGTAATTGGAATAAGCCAAGCATCAATTTAAAGTCATTAAAGGTGAGTAATTAAGAAAGAAGAAATAACGAAAATGAAGCCAATCGAAGACAATTAAAGCTGATCAATAGCCGAACAATTAAATTACCTTGTTTGATTATTTTCATTCCAATGGTGGTTGGATCATCACCTCGAATACAATTTTCTCCGGCTTCCCTTATATAAGCAACTTCCCCATTGTCCATGATTTTACCAGCCTAGAAACAGAAGCAAAAAACAAACAGGAAAAGGAAATAAAGCAAAGAGAAAAGATAGAGAGAGAAAAAAAAATTAATGAAAACAATTAAAACTCTAAAAGTAACAATTAACTTACGAAACATTGATAACCAGTTGTATCTCTACGTTGAGTGAAGGTATAAAGGATTCCATCTTCTTCCCAATTACCAAGGCATCGATATTCACGTTCTGTAATTAAGAAAATGATGAGGACAACAACAAATTAGAACTTCATCTTTTTTTTTGTTCATTTAATGGAAAACAATAATGACGATGATAATAATAGTGTCATGATGATAATGTTAATGATTCCATTCAGGGGAGAGATAGACACACACATTCATTGAGAAAGATTGAGTTTAAGAATGGGATTTAAAGGTCAACTTCCGGAAACAAGTTTGAATAATATAAATAAATAAAAAAAGGTAACATTAAGATGACCGGAATTAGTTTGACTGGTTGGTTGGTTAAGGAACCAAGAATTAGCTGAATAGTTTAGTAAGGGAAAAAAATAATCAGATAGTTAACTGAATGTGAATGTGAATGTGTATGTGATTTAAAGGGATTGTTAAATCCAACGAACCATTCAATGTAATTAAGATTGAAATCTATCTTGTCAACAATCAACAAATGATCAAACTAAATTAACGTATTTGGTACGTTGATTAAACAAAAAAATATATCCAACACATACAGTAAATAATATGCTTGGATCGGTCAATGATTATGATGGAAACATTTATACAGATTAAGATTAAGAGATAATCATTTCCAAGAGAAACTAATCTTAATAATAATCATCAACATCAGAATAATGATAAGTAACAATCAAAATAATAACAATCGAAAAAGTTAATCAAGTTGAATAATGAAAACAACAAGAGGACGAAAAAGTTTCCAATCAGTTAGAACCGTTAGAACCACGAATCATATTAACTCGATTATAATGATAACAATTTAGAAAACTATTGATAAGATTAACTAATCAAGAAGAGAAAAAGTTGTTCTTTTTTTGTAAATTACGATTAGAAAATATAATTAGAACTATTAGTTTCGAATTGGAATCTCATTGATGAAGGAAATTCATTTTTTTCTCTCAGGAAATTTACTTGTTACATGTTAGTAAATTGACCAATATAATAATAGAACGAGAGAAATTCATCACTTTTTTACCTTTAATAGAAAAGAATCTTTGTTGTTTTTTTTCTGTAAATTCTATTCTATTCTATTCTATTTTATATTCTATTATCATCTTCATCTCCACCTTCACCTTTGTGCTGGTTGGTGATGAAGTTTTCTATTCTCTTCCTACTTCAATATCTTCATCTCTCATCTTTTCAAGTTTTTACTTTTTCTTTTTGATGGGAAATGTTTATGGTAAATGTTATTTACCTTCAAAAACATGAGATCGATTCTCACAGCTTGAAACTGAATGGAACATTATATCAGGATTATTACAATCAGATGAAACTTTGGCACAAAATCCAGATTCACCAGGAGATGCTACAGGAACAACACCAGTATAATCACCGGTAATTGGACATGGAGTTTGTGTGGAAACGATTTTACCTGTTGGTTGAAAGAGATGGAGAAAGATGTAGATAAATATATGACAATTAGTTGATTTAGATGTAGATTGACTAATTTTATTTCGTATCATCAACTTACGTCCTTGGGTAATCCAGTTCTTGGAAGTGAAATGTTGATCATCACATAAATTTCCCAAAAAGTTAGAACTTGATTTAGAACCAAATTGAAATTCGAGTATATTTGTTGATCGACGTTTCATCCAAACGCAGGTATAAAATGAATCACCACTGAAAACATTGTAACAATTAACAGATAATTAGATTTACATGATACATCATACAAAACTGATTGAGTTTAATTAAGACAAAAATTTGTATCAATCTTTTTTTTTATATTTCAAATCATTTCTATTATAAAAATAGTTAACTGTGAAAGTTAAATTGTATTAATATAGCAAATCAAATTAACTAAATAATGATCCATGTCCAATAAGCTAAAATGATTAAGATTAAGAAAAAAAAATTAACGGTTTTTGGAAAGTAATCAATGAAAAAGTGATTAAACTTTAATCTCTAATCAAGTCACTGACCGAGAAATCAATCCAAACAGTTAATAGCTAATAATTAATCTGATTAGTGATTAAAAAAAAATAAATACAATCATTTCTCTCTCTATGCACAATCAACTGATTGTTAAGCCAATTAAGATTGAAATATGAGTTGAATATGTTTATGGAAAACAAGTCAATTCAATTAACTTACCATTGGGAAGTTGAATGGACAATGAATCTATCGTTGGGTGTATTGGTTTGTCTCATGATACATTTAGATGCTAATGTCCGGTAATTGTTGACCACATCTTTGAATTTAAATTGATTGCCCTCAACACGAGCCCGTTCCCATTTACCTTGAGTCCACTCGGGAAAGCGGCATTTAACACTATCCGAGAGCAAATAAGATCGGCTATTAACTTTCTCAGGAATTACTGGTAATTAGAGATGAAGAAATAAATAAATAAATTAGTTAATGATTTAAAGGAATTTACTAATTACAAATTCAAAGTAATTCATCAACAAACAACAACCACAACAACAGAATCAACAATCAAATCAATCTCAAGTTGTTGTAATTAAAGAAATACAAAATTAAACATATCCTTTAACACTAATCTAAATATTTTCACAGTTGAAAGTTAATCAAATTAACCATGGTGATTGTTGGTAAATTGTTTATCTTTAATTATTTAAATCAATTACTTACTTGGAGTTAATGTAAATGTCTCGTAACCCGATTTAGCGTTAATTAGATTGGTAAGACAGGTTGAATCAGATGATAGAGAGACATAAACTTGACCAGTGGTCACATTTTCCCGATACAACTGGAATATAGAAATAGAAGACAATTAGTTAATCACTAATTAGTAAATCCAATTGATTGAAAATCAACAGTTGATTTGATAATCTGATCATTAGATTGATCAATTTGTCCCTTTCTCCATATTCAAACCAACACCCATGTTTATTTGCCCATAGAAACAAGTGATTAACAAATTTTCCCGCTAATCTAATTAATTGTTGTTAACCTTGTGAAAACACAATCAACAACAATAAGTCCAATTACCCAATATCAAACTGGTAATTGATTAACAACGGAAATGTCGTTAAATTGTTAATACTTTCAATTATGTTAACGGGTTAAAAAAGCAATAAGATTAATAGATTTGATCAAAATTAATGTTTCTCTTTAAGGAAAACAGAACTTTTTTTATCATGAAAATCATCATCATCATGATAAAGATATCAGAAGAAAAAAAAACAGCAAAAATGATGGAAACAAATTGATTCAAGTTAATAATCAAGATATACAGACATCACAATTTAATCATTTGACTGGAGATGGTTATATGTATGTGTCAACAATCAACTGGTAATAATAATCAAAGGCAATCAAGATGATGAGGCAAAAAGAAATCAAGATTAAGTAGATTGATAGAGCGAGTGAGAGAGTGAGAGAGTTGTTAATGGTCAACACAGCGGATTCAATGGTAGTAATAAATGGTAATAGATTTACAACTACTAAAGAAATCATTCAATCGATTAATTTGATGGAAAGAGAGATAAAATTCAGTGTAAATTGAGAAATTCCTAGTTACTACTCAACCGGTAAGTCAGCATCATCTCCATCCTCATCTTCACTCTAATCATTTTTTATTTCTCTCTCTCTCTCTCATCTACTAAATGATCAATTTGAAATTTCTCCTTGGTTAATCTGTACACAGAAAACAACATCAATTGAATTGATCAACATCACTTTTTACGAGTTGGTTAAAGTTTATTTGATAATCAGAGAGAGAGAGAGAGAAAGTATCTAAAAGGAAGATGCTGATTATCATGGCGAAAAAGGAAATTACTTCAAGACCTTCAAAACTCTGTAGAGTTTCAACTTTCAACCATAAAGAGCCCAAAGCAATAAAAGGAGGAAAGAATATACTTGTTATATGTAAGCCGAAATTGGGATAAAAGCGAAAAAAGAAAACAGGATTGGTCTATGAGAAAAGAATAAACCTGAAGAATGAGAGAGAGAGAAAGAGAGAAAAAAAGTTCTATTTCAATAGTTAACATTGTAGAAGAATTAAAATTACCAATAATTTATGATTAACTTTGATTATGGTGGAAAGAGCGAGGAAACGCCTTAGACGATAAACAATCTTGTTCCGATTTAGTTTCCAAATAAACACCAACACTCAAGAGATGGAAAATAAATCAACACCAATCGTTAATATTGACAATTAACTCGATATCCTTTTCCAATCAAGTATCATAATCAATTGAGTAACAATTTGACAATTTAACAATAACTTGTTAACAAACTAGAATCCTCATCAACAAATGAACAGTTAATAAAGTTGATCAACAGAATTGAAATCAAAAGAAATGAATCAACAAGTAAAAAAAAAACTCTGTATAATAATAAACACAATTAAAGTAATATAATTGATAAATTGACCATAAATTGATTGAAACTATAACTAAATTAAAAAGGAGGAGAGAAGGTGAAACAATTAAAGGTTGGAAGAGAGGAAATGAATTTACAATAAGACAATATAAGAATATGGTTATCATGGTTATATGAATATCAACACAATTAGATAACAATAAAGGTTAAATTGGGAATCATGGCTCATCATGATGCGGATGATAATGATAATGATGATGATGATGATGGTTGATTATCATCATCAATAATAATAATCGGCTTTTCTTTGTATAATATCAACTTAACAAAGTGTATAAACTTTTTTTTCTCAATAGAAAAGTTAATTTGAAAGAGAGAAGAAGAAGAAAAAAAAAATGAATATAAGTCTATCTGAATATCTCTCAGGGTGTTTCATGTTTATACGCATTTAAAGGTTAAAAAGCATAACCAAATCACAGAGAGGAAATAAGCATCTCAAGGAGTAAAATGTTATTTCACTCTCACTACGATAAAAACCATAATCAAGCTCATCATCATTCTCATCATCATAATCATCATCATTTACCTGGTTCCTTGATTGACAATAATGCACCATTCATATTTATTTTCAATCAATTATATGAATTATCTTATCATCTTCAAACAAGGTTAGAAGGTGTTCTCAGTGGGAGATGATAATTCATCTTGTTTATTGTATAATCTTTATCCATGATAATATCGCCTCATGATAACTTTTTAGTTATTTCAACGGAAATGCTCATGTTAATTAATATTCAACTATTTTTCGTATGTTATTTATATATGAAATACAAAATCAAGTAATTGAATATTAAATAACGAGAAAAAAAAGGCAAGGCCTCGAAATGCTGATGATGATGATGAAGATAATGATGAGGATGAGGATGAGGATGAAAGAGAGACTTATGATGATTGCAATTCTAACGAACCCTTAATGTTCATTTGGACTTTTTTTTTTCTTCTCTTCACTTTTTCTTCCTCCTCTTCCATAGAGATATTATTTAACCCTCGACATTGGATGAGGAGAGATGATGAAGTAAACTTCCTGTCTCCTTTTTCACCTTTGTCATTTTCCTCTTATTCTCATCATCATCATCGTCAACCCATTTCCGTTTGTTACAGTTGATGGAGATAAAGATGATGATAAAAAGGATGATGGAATAATAAACATGGAAACAATAATTTTCTCTTTTATCATTATCGATATTCTACTTACACCACATCGATATTTAGGTCGATTTTTGGGTTCTGAAAGGTCCATCAGAGCGATATAACGATCGCCTCCCACTATGGGATTGTCCCAATCGCCTAAGCATTGGAATTGTATTACTGTTGATGGAGAAAAAAAAGAAAAAGAAAAAAAAATTATCAATAACAGAAAAAGGAAATTGATTTATTATTATCAATGGAAAATTAATTGTTATTATCAACTGATCAGTTGATTTAATTGCTGGTTGATGCGTTCATTTGCTGATCTCTTATATCTTTGTTTTGGCTTTTAAATTGTTTCGAATCACAGTTAATTTAAATGATAATGGAAAAAGTTTAACTAAATTAAATTAACTATTGTTATTGTTAGTTAACTTACTTAATCATTTACATATTATCATCGTTAGGGAAGCAAACTAAAGGTAACTAACTAATCATTATTATTAATGATTAAGTTTCTTGGTTTGCTCAATGGAAATTAATTAACTTTTTTCTAACCTTTTTCTAAATATTAACAATTAAATTTAAACGAAAAGAAAACAAAATAATATCATAATTCACTGAATTAAGTTAACCAAGAAAATGGTGAATTCTAATCATTTGAAAAGTTATTTACTCTTTTCAGTTAATTATCATTTTCATGGTGATAGTTGGAAAGTAGTAAATTGTATTCTAAATGATTAATTGTTTCGATTAATGTTTTGATTGTTATTTCACTGGACTAACAGGTAGGTAAGTGAACCTTTTAGAGTAATAATCATGTTAATTGTTAATTACCTTGATCGGGAATAGATTGACATCTACGGAAATGGGCTGAGAGTATATTTCCTTTTGGACAATTAGATAAATCCGATGGTAATGAGTTACATTGATTTCGTCCATTGTTTGTTGTATAAGTGAATTTATATCGACCATTAATTGGACAGAAAACTTTATCAATCGATTGATTAATTGATTCATTCACTTCTTTACCTGTAATTACATAGACAGAGAGTAAGATGAGAGAGAGATAAGATGATGAATATATATTATGAGAAATTTAAAGTTACATCATCAATTGTGTGTAATAATTAATCTGATTTGATGAAGATAATTTTTTATAATCTAACTGTATAATTAGAAAGTTAATAGTTAATCAATTGCGAAACCTTAAAATGTCACCAATGAGAGAAAAGCTTTTGAATCCTTTTAAGATTAACTATTTACATTGGATTAACATTAATCAACGACAATAAATGATGAGGTAAATATTATCATTGGATGGAGAGAGAGAGAGAGAGATACGAATTCCTTATCAATTGTGTATCTACAGAAAACTATTTCTTTGTTGGAAATTGTTTGATAGTAAAGGTAAGTGATAGAGAGAAAAGGTAAAGTTGTAAGGTGCCAATAATGTTAGGGGACAATGAATACAAACAGGAAAAGGAGGGTTAGGTTTAGGGTTCCCTCTTTCCCATAGAGGCTTTCAAGTCACTTTTTTTGGCTTTTCTCTCTCCAGGTAAGGTGAATATATGAAGAAAAAGAAGAAAAAAAAAGCAAAAAATGTTCTAATACATAAATGGACAGGTTTTCATCGGTGAGAAAGATACCTGACATTGTGTTTATATGGAAAAAGGTGAAAATTTTTGACAACAATACGAGGAGATTATCATTTTATCAATGGTAGTTAATGATGAAGACAAGAGAGAGAGAGAGAGAGAGAGAGAGAGAGAGAGAGAGAGAGAGAGAGAGAGAGAGAAATGACAGTTAAGGTATTTTGCCCTTTTGTCTTTGAATGTTTATCTTCATTATCTTGCTGATTATTATCACTGATCAATTGATGATGAGATTGAAAAGATGATTGATTGTTAATTAGTTGATAACTTACGATATAAAACAAATTGATTTGTCGATTTATTTTCTTTAATTGTTTTATCGGTGGGACATGTTGCTCTTGCTGCTTCTTCGGTGGTGAAACACAATTCTAATCCAGCAGAATGGATTTGAAGGATATTCGATGTTTTCAGAGAAAAGTGAAAACATCTCATACAATTTTCAGTTCCATCTTTAAGGATAACATTGGCTCCTTCTCTTTTATGACATGATCCCCATGGTGGAATAGCGTCCGATTCAATGGTTAACTCGGAGTAAGTCACTTCTCCGAAAACTGAACCTGAGGAACTCGAGGTTGATCCTTGTTGTTGTTTTTGGGGCACAATTGATGGTAGAGATGAAGGTCGAGAAAGAGATGATGATGATGACGACGATGACGATGGAGATGTTGGTGAACCTGAAGATAATGCTGATGATGGCGATGGTTGCATCATAAATGTACCTTGATACTCTATGGGAAAGTAACAGGTACATGAATATCCAGTGATTTGATATGTCAGGTAGACAAGAAGAAATTTGTTGAGAAAAAGTAAAAAATGTCTAATTAATTCCATTGGTATTTGAACACAGGTAAATCACACACACAGAGAATAAACAAAATTTCAAACAGGTAAACAATTTACTAAGAAATGGAAAAAAGTAAAAAAAATCAAATGGTAAATCACTTTACTGTTGTACTTTATTTCGTTAGTGATGTTACCTTGCAAAGCTAAAGCTACTTTGATGATTGAGAGACTTTCAACTTTACGCTCTCTCTCTCTCTCTCTCTCTCTCTCTCTCTCTCACCTCTCTTCTTGCTCACTCACTCGCGCATTCTCATTCATATATAAATACGTCATATATGTGAATGTAAAAGAGAGAGAGAGAAAGAGGGAGAGAGTAAGAAAAGAAGGTGAAAAGAAAGAGAAGATAAAAAAGGAGAGAAAGAGAGAGAAAGAATTTTTTTTTTCTCTTTTTGCTCTTTGTTCGAGTGAGTCTAATCCCGTGCCAATGTATCGCTCCCCTTAGGCCAAGATGAAAGTACCAATGCCCTCACCCTCACCTCACAACCACCAAGATGATGAAACATCATCATAGTTAAAGCATGACACTTGGGTTGGAACCTCTTCAATGAGAGAGAAAGATGAAGAGGGAGCCCTAAAGGTGCACTACAGACTCACACCATCGTTTATATTAGACTTTTTTTCATCCTCATCTTTTCATATAAGAGACTGACAATAAATACGATATGTACTTATGTACGTACGCACACAATAAGCAGATGGATAAGGTCCTATTTTGACCTATCAACCGAATCCATCTGTACATATCCATCTGTAGATTAGCGTTTTTCATGAGGGTCATGAAGATAATCCTTTCAGTTCAATTTCAACTGCAAATCTCTTGAAAGATTATCCACTTTTCAGAATTTCCTTATTCTTATTTCATTTCAAAATCGCTCAAATTTATTACCAAGATTATTAAGTTTAGAACTTTTTTTTCTTCTCTTATCATTTGATCAGTTTTCACGATTTCAAGTTATTCCCAATAATCTATTGTTTATAATATACAATCAATCATTTGAATATTGAATATTATCATCGATAGACAATCAAAGTACATGAAAAAAGTTCAGAATTTGAGAGAAAAAAAAAAGTTTTTTTTTCTTCTTCTCAATGAAAAGTTTGATTTTCCATTGAACTTAAAATAATCTTTCATATTGATGATTATACATTTACCTTTAAGTTATTGTTATTATTATCATGATTATCATCATCATCATTATCAAAACTAGTTAATAATGTGTATTTGTTAAGGTTTATTACCAAAGATGTTCAGGTTGAAAGTTGAACTATTTCCTGTGAACTTGGATTCGCTTCACTGTAGCTCAATACAAGTTGTGTGATGATTATTATCATCAACATCCATGATTACTATTACTATTATCATTATCATCATCATCATCATCATTGTGAAGCCGATGATTGCCTTGAAACATTGCCAATTGACTGTAGATCCCTAAAAACATCATCAACAATTGTAAAAGGTGAGATGAAGATTGAAGATAGAGGGAGGAAGATGATGAAGATGATGTTGATGATGGTGAGAGGAGGAGGAAGATTTAACATCAATGGAAAAACTAAATTAGACTCATTCGAGAGATGATCAAGTTAACCTGATGCTTTCAATATATATTATCAAAGGTAAATCTCACGGTTAGGTTAATCCTAATAATCTTTGATATACTTGACTAATCATCATTATCATCCTTCAGTAAAACACCTTAACCAGGTAAGAGTTTCTCTCTCTCTCTCTCTCTTCCAAGATGAACTCATTCAACTTTCTTTACACATAAATGGTAATGATAATCATCTTACCTGAAGAAAATGAATTGAAGAGAATCAAAGAAAAATTTTCTAAGAGAAAGTTACCTGATTATCATGATGATCAAGTTTAAGATGAACATGAACATGATGATGATGATGAATATCTTCCTCTCTCTCTCACTTTCTTACATCATTTATTTACTAAGTTTTGTAACAATCAGGTAATCATAACAATTAATTGTTCTGCCGCATGTAATCATGGTTACTAGTTTCATCTTGTTACAATTGAAACAAATTTCAAATGAACGATTGTTGATTGTTTCAACTAATATAAATGATTAGATTTCTAATTGTTGGTGTTACCCCTTAGATTTTAATAATTATCATCATGATTATTATTAATTGACCATCATGATGATATATATGTTTAATGGTAACAATTAATTTTATTATAACTCTCAACAAACAATCAACAATTTACTTTACGATTATTATATTTCCTCAATCATTAGGAAAATGATTCAATACAAATATTGGAAAATTAAAATTAAACCAAACCTTTAAATCAAATGTCAAGTTAATTCATTTCATTATCAAGTTGATCATCATCTTAATTTAATATATTATTATTATGGATATACAATTAATTGCTGGGTATCATGAAAATAATAATATAATCAAATATTAATCATTAACCACAAGTTTATATTTAGATTTTAATATTTTACCATTGGATTAATAGGCTTGGTTAATTTGGTTTAGTTTACTGATTGTTATTAACTATTTATTTATTTTAGTTAATAAATATTATTATTAATGATGATTAACAATCAATATTGTAAAATTGTTACTTGATCATCATCATTAACCTTTAATTCATTAATAAATTTTCAATTCTAAATCATGAAGATCATTTATTTCCCAATAATCATCGCCTTATTCATGATTAGCTCTTGATTCAGTTTCTAATTTTGTAACAATTTACCTTTTACCATCTTAATCATAATCATGATTCTAATCATCATTAGCTTTAATTGTTGTACAATTGGCTATAAAATCACTAAATCATTTTGATAACAAAATGAAACCTCACCTTGATTTAGTTTCTTAATTGTGCTTAGTTGTTGGTCCCAATTATTTGGATTACTTTTGTTAAATTGTTCAACAATTAATAATATGAAACATTTGATTATTTCTCATGTTGTTTGAAGCTAAAAAAGATTCATCATTAATTAACTAACAACAACAATCAACAGACACAAATCAAATTGCGTGAGAGTAAATTGTTATCATTAACTAAAAAAATCATGATTTGTAATGACACAGAATTTAAATCTCAAATCAACAAGCAAAAAATTAAATTCTAATAGCTAACAATTAACATCCATAGGAACCAAATTACAATTAAAAACAATATGATTGTTTATTAAAGTCACGGATTAACTAACAAAAACATAATCAACATAAAAAATGATTAACTTAATTGTTACCAATGAAAATGAAGATGAAAAAAAACTAATTCAAAAAGTTTTTCATATTTTGTAACAATTTAACAATCAAATCAATATAATTGAGACAAATTCAGGTAAGAAAGTTGCTAATCAAATTCATAATCACGCTAGTAAATCACAATTACAAGTCTTAATCAACAATAAAATCATAATCAATCAACAATCAACATATTCAATTTATTTGTAGTCACATAACAAATTATATTGTAACCATGTGAATAAATTGTTTGCTTGATTGTAACTTGATTGTTGACTGATTTTTGTGGGAAAAAATTGAATAAAAGTAAACCAATTATCATTAGAACTATTTTAAGGTCAACAAAACATATTCGACCTCTTCAATGTTATCGAGCAAAGGTGAAAGTTGATCAACTTGAAAACTTTTTTTCTTGTTGATTTTTGTCTCAATCCAAATTAAATCAACATTCACTTACAATTTACTAATTAATTTGTGTATTAAAAACAATTAAATTAAATTGGCCACTCCCGAAGTTATCTAATTGTGATAATCAATGTGTTGTTTTCTTGTCCACAATCAACTCATGATGATGATTAAAGATTAACAATTAAACTTTCACTTTGGTTTAGGAAACTTTTTCATCTTCAAGTAAAGTTTTTCTTGTTACCTATTAATAGGTGAGGCTGTTAAATCATTATCCTGATTATGTTAATTGTTGTTAAATCAAAGTGAACCAAATTAATTCATCTCGGTGAGCCGAACCTACAGAACAATTTAAATCATCATTTTCTTCTTGGGTTAATTGTTAATGTAAACAATTAACTTTCACTAACTTTTTCATTGTGTTAACTCAATACTATTATTATTACAATTAACCAAGAAAAAACAAATCTTAGACATGGAAATATTTTCTATTAATTAAATTGACCATCAGATAACAAACAATTAGATTATCAGATTATTAATATACTAATTTAAAAGAGCATTTTTTTTTTGTTAATACCAATAACATTAGCTGATAGCAGCTTAGGGATACGATGCCCTGAGGCTGTGGTTAATATTCATAGCTACTGAAGGGTATTGAGTTGTCCGAGTTGAGACTTTTATCTGATCAATTCTGAAATCGTTACGATTGAGACAAAGATCATTGGTCAATCATCATCAACACCATCGACAATAAACAACAACGATTGACCAGTTTTCCAAATATCAGTCGTGCAATTGGCCGACAAGATTCAATGCTTGAGATGACAGGATTGACCAACTAATTTCGAACATGATCTGAATCGATGAATCAATCGTACTTTTGTCCATCTACCTAAGAAATGATCGGAAGATCAAAGTTCGAGAGAAAAAATTCAAATTAATCAGGTTCATTTGTGCAGTTCTATTGATATGAATTTCATGAAAATCAGAGAGAAAGTTCAACAGATAAATATGAATTTATATGTAGATGAATCAAGTTCTTGATAATCATCATGAAAAAGCAATTAGATTATCATTTATGTATTTGATTTGGATTATGAGAAAGTATTAATATGATCATTAAAAGTAATTGTGACAATCAAAACAGCAACAAAATGTCAAAATGAAAGGTTGAGCTTTTGTTTTACCAACAATCAATAATCAAAAGAGGAATAAAAAAGATGAAATAAAGAGAAGATGATAAAGTCTTTCTTTTCTTCATGGATGAGAAAAGATGATTTAACAACAAACATTTAAAAGTCTATGATGATGATCAATAGAAAAAGACCATGAGAGGGTTTGAAGAAAACAAAATTTCGAGTTACATTTTGCTCTCCTTCATCTCTTGGCTGTTTATCATCCATCTCATCATCATCATCATCCTTCCTCTTCCATAAGGAAAGCAGGTTAAATACACTTTTGTCATCTTTCATCTTCATCATCTTCACAAAGACATTTAAAAGTCTTAAGAACCTCTGGTTACCATGTGACGCTCGTGCTTCCAAATAGTAATCATTATCTTCCTTCCTCCTTCATCTTCCTCTCTCACCCATATGATAATTTTCCTCTCTTCATTCATCTTGAAGAAAACAAAGACAAAGAGAGATCATTGAAAGAGAAACAGAGAGTGAGAGAGCAAAAAGGATAAACAATTTCCAATCGAATCATAATATTAATATTTACCTGTTTTCTTTACATTTCATATAAGAATCAAGGTGTACCTTTAGATGATGATGATCATCATCAAAGGTATTAATCTTATGATGATGATCCCACGCGCCGAATGTACTTTTACCGTTGTTATTAAATATAAATGGGATTTATCATCTTCTTCTTACGGATATTGAGCCGGATACATGTTTATGTTACAACATAATCGTTTCTGTATAAAGGGCGGGGCAGAGAGGCTGTTAGAGATCCTCCTTTACCTGGGAAAGGTAAGAAGATGATGAATACAATCATCATCATCTCTTTGTATTATCTTTTCGTTTACCTTTCGTCATCTTTGTTGTTCTTTTCATCTTGATATTGATCTTAAAAGTTTCTCTCTTGCCATTGATTCAAATTCAATGTTTCAATTTCTCATCGTAATCACTTAATTATTGTTCTGTAATTGAATGATTATGATCATTTGAATAATCACAAATTCATGATCATCTTGATTAAGATAAAGTCATTAAATTATTTTGTTGTTGTTGTTTTTTTTTACTATTTGATTGTGATTTATATTAAGAGTTTTTAATTAAGTTGTTGTTGTTGATAATGATGATGATGATGATGATGATTTGATTATTATTGATTGTAAATTAGATATTGAAAAGTTTAATGAGTTGGGAAAATGATTGATGAGATGATTTGATTAGTTGATTAACTAACAACAGCAAATCCATCATTTATTGTTACCTTTTTTTTTTGTTGTTGATTAACTGAGTGTATGATCACAATTAGATGGATCGTAATTGATATAATCAATTTTTAATGATGACTAGTGGATAACAACAATTTAGTTAAATTTGGTTAAAAGAGTTTTAAAAAATTATTAATCCAATAGTGTTTGTAATAATTAGTTAATTGTTACATTGTAACTAATAAAAACATTCAAGTTAAACATCATCATGGTTGTGAATGTAAATTAAATTACTTTTGACCACCATTGTTGAAATGTAATTATCATCATCATCATATATTAACTATTATGATTACTAGCAAGTGATTGTCATTAAATAAACAAACACAATATGCCAGTAATACAATAATAGCAACAATTATTTAAATACAATCAGAAAAAAGTTAATCAACATAATAATAATAAAAAACAAAACCACAATCAAGAAAAAAAAACAACAACAACATTGTAAAGAGTAAACAAAATGGCTGAATAATAAGTATTGTTATCAAAACCAATGATGATGATGAAGATGATTATGTGATTATGATGAAGCCGGATGATGATAAGCTAAATGAATTAGTTTCAAGATTAAGATGATGATGAAGATGATGAGGCCATAAGGGATGATAGAGAAACATTTGAATGTAGATGAAGGTAAAAAAAAGATGATGACACATAAAGAAGATAAAAGATGAAGATAATAATGATGATGAGAAGACAGTGATTTGATTAAATGTCTATTGATGATGATGATGAACCTTATGCTTATCATAATCATCATTTTTCCTTCATCAGGTTAAGACCTTGAGGCCTAAGGTCGCTTCCAGGTCGACGTAGTTTTTTTTTACTCTGAAAGAAGAAGAAAAAAAAATGTAAACAACCTTCGCGTGTCTCTGTTTCTCTTTCTTTTCTCTCTTTCCTCCCAGTTTTTTTTTTCTTCTTCTTTATGTAAATGTATATGTAAATACACTCACATACAACATTTACACCATTGGAATGTACAGTCAGCACAATATGAATCCATTATACGGTTTGGTACCAGAGAGAGAGAGAGAAGAAGTAGCAATAAACAGCAGGAGAAACACAACAAAAGCCATTGAATCGCAATATAATATAAGGTGAATACAGAAAATATCCAGTCATCATTATTATCGGTAAATATTGTTGTCACCTAGAAGAGAGAGAGAGAGAGAGAGAGAGAGAGAGAGAGAGAGAGAGAGAGAGAGAGAGAGAGAGAGAGAGGGATGAAGAAGATAAGGATGATAATAAGATGAATTCTAATATTAATTCTCTATTTTATTCCTACATAAGCGTATTTACCTTTCACTTTAATCCTTCTTTGAATGTTTCTTTTTTTCTCTCTTCTTTTTTTCTGCTCCTTCTTGCACCTTGATTCTCATTCATCATTATTTCATTTAGATGAATGAACGATGGATGATAAAGATAATCAAATAGTAAATGAGAAGCATTACACATTTGACGTTAAGAAGTTAAATTATCGATTATTTTATCAGCATCATCATCACAGTTTCTCTTTTCATTGAGAATCCAAAAAAAAGGGATTGGTTAGGATGCTTTAAATCCGGACACTTGTTGATCTGATTTGCACTTTTCTTTATCCTTGTTGTTGATCCTTTACTTGGATTTTGGGGGATAATCTGATGACCGATGAGTTTATCGTTTTCCATGATTATAATCTTATAATAATCATCATCTCACATATCCAGTTATACCAAACTAACATATGACCTGACTGGTGATTAACCTTATCTAAATGAGCAGTTAAAAATGTCATTGGCCGTTGATTGTTAGTAGTTAATATTAATAGTTGTTAACTGTTGTATGAATATACAAATTAGATGGTTAATGAGATTAATGAGATTATCAACAAATTGTTGGGCTTAATCATAATCACCAGCGTTTGTCTTGTTGTTGTTGTTGTTTACATAATGAAGATATTAAAAAAAAAGGCTTGGGAAACAAATTGTCAACTTAATTGTTGTTAGTTAACCATCATTAGAGATTGACTTTCATTGCTGTTTATGTTGATGGTAATGAAGTTGTTGGTTTAATAAGTAGGAGGATGAAGCTTAATGTTGATGGTGATAATGGTGATGATGAAGACAGATTATGATGTAAACAATATAAAAAGCAACAGGTTAACTAACGGCAAGTTTTGACCGTTTTGTTTTTTTTTCCCAATGAAAACCATCATCGTCCAGGGTAATCATCATGTTGATGATGATTAAATGATGAAAATTACATGAAAGCACAATAACCACCACACATGAAGGTCTTGATACATTTTTCATTTTGTTTTTCTGTTGGAGACAAATTAACGTATGATTAATATGATTAAGAAAGAAAAACTTGGTTAACATGGTTACCCTAATTGTTGATATAAAACAACAATTACCATCAACAAGAATAGTAGTAGATGATGAGGAAGAGAAGTAAAAAATAAATCATTCATCTTTCCATTGTCACCAATTCAAAAAGAAAAGAATTAATAAAAAAAAAGATAAACAAGATTAGTGAAGAAAAAAATTTTCTATCAAAACGAAATCATATCAACAAGTTTGAAACTTAATCGAGAGAAGAAAATGAAAAGGAACCGGAAGGAAGAATGAACAAAAGAAAGATGAACTTATCAAGATGATTAATAGAATTTAGAATAAATTTGGAAACAATCAATTAAAAAATTAACGAATAAGAATTAAAATTAACAACAGAAAAACAAATCGAAATGTTTACATTTTTAATTAGAATAGAAAATTGAATCGATTGAATATTTTTCGATATATCGATTAATCTGTTTACTTGTTGATCTTTTAATCAGTTGGTGAGATAATAAATTATTTCACTTGAGTGCGAATTAATTAATTATGTGACAATTTTTATAAGCTTGACAACAAGAGGAACAGTTAACTAAATTGATTAGTTAATTAACTAAACTGTTAACTGTTGGGTTAGTATTTTGTGTCTTTTCATTAAGAGAGACACACATTTGAAATGATGATGTTGAGAGAGAGTCAAGTTAATGATGAACAGAAATAATTAATGGTTTATTTTTTGTTCTCTTCCTTAAATATTAACTCAACTCTCACCAACTAATCATCATCATCGTTGTCGTGATATTTGTGATCTAAAAATGATCTTTGATTGTTCAATCAATTCCATTTTCTTTTCATCTCCTATACACTTGTGTTGATAATTCCAAAGAGAAAATGTAACAGGTAATAATTTTTTTCTTCTGTGAAAACATTTTGACACTAATTCTAATCCACAGACTATTAATTGTGGTTCCTATTTGGGTTGTGATGACAATCAATTGGTCTTCTTTCTAACATCCGTTATTCTACCGTGAGTATATAGAATATCCCCCTTTAGACACCCATTGTTGGTGAGAAAAAATTACCGGAAGAGAAATGACGTTTTACTTTCTTACATTTTCTTTATTCTTTTTTTTGTTCTCTTCTCTTTTGGCTCTTTGTGTTATTGTTACAAGTGCCAAGGAAACGTGAAAGAAATGGAGAAACAAGTCTTAAGAAAGAAAATGCGAAACTCTTTCTTCTCTTACTACGAACTTACTATTTCTCTCTCTCTCTCTCTCTCTCTTCTTCCCATGTGATACTTTAGATCAGCTGATGTTCCAATAGACCGGATATTCCCATAGATGACTAGCAAGTGTTGTAAAGGGTCAGTCTAAACAGTTTTAAATGTAAAAGCAGAAATTTGAAAGGAGCCAATAGATAAACTTACGACAACAACAACAACAACACAACAGTAACACCAACAAGTCTTAAGGTCAACACTGGTCATCTTGTTTTTTTCGGAACATTCTGTGTATACAAAGATGAATACACTTAGTGAAAGGAAATATTGAAATATTTGTTACAGTTTTCATGGGAAAAGATCACTTGAAGTAGATTGGAGACCAAGTTGATTGTTTCATGGTGGAAGATGAAAGAATATGATGATCGACCATTTGGTAAATTATCTCTTTTTATATATTAATGAGAAATAAGTGAAAAGGATGATGAGAAAAATGGATGAAGAAAACAAAAAATAAGTGTATCCTTAATAAGAGATTAGCATCATCATCATTTTCGTGTGTTCGTATAGATACACGTTAACAGTTTTCACAACTAAATGATCATTGATAATCACTAATCAATAGGATAAAAGTTAAAGAGACATTAACATCATCTTTCCGTCATTATCTTTATAATCATCATCATCCATTGATGTGCATAAATCGTTGAAGTAATGATGATAATAATAATTTGACAAGTTGAAGGAAACCAGAGATGCAATTCATTTACAATCTTAATTCACTTTTACTAACAGATTTTTCCACTTTTCCTCTAAATTGTTTAGGATTAAGACTACACACAAGGACAGGATATCCAATGATGGAATATATTTCATCTTGTCTCTCATCATCATCATCATCATAATCATCATCAAATGTGAAAAGATAAAAGTAGTAATCGTATAAGAAGCATCATCATTATTATCATCTTCATCCGTATCACAATCTTATGTATGAATAGATATTCACAATTGAATATTTAACTTTACTCTGGCTTCATCATCTTCATCTTCATCTTCATCTTCATCATCATTATCTGTATTAGTATTAACATCTTCTTTCCTTTCTCTCTCCCTCCTCTATCTTCATCATCTAGTTACAGTTGATGTTAACTGTAATCACGGACAATTTACCGATGATCACAAGGAATGTGGTTCGTTAATAACATCATCATGAGGATGGATGAAACAACGAAAAAAAAGTGAACATAAATATGATGATGTCTTTGATTTGACGATAAAAATAAAATAGCGATTAATATTTGATCCACTGGAAACCATTAGGGTAACATATTACCTACACCAAGATTGACAAGAGACCAACATTTTTTTATATCATCAGTATCATCCCTGCATCTTTTATCATCTCGCCAACATCCCAATGGTTATGTTGATCATCTTCCTTATCTCCATCTTCTTAAGGAATTTGCGTGACTTTGGCCTTGTCTTATTTTCCTTTTGTAGGTTTAAATATGTTTTTTTTTCTTCATTTACTTTTCAAATAGTAATGAAGATGATGAAGATGAAGATGAAGATGATGAGCAAAGTAATAAGTTGTTATTGCTTTGTGTCTGTCTGTTTGTCTCTAATTCAATGTTTTCCTTATTCTCTGTCTTAATCTTCATCTTAGGACCTCAGGTCATCACAATGACGGAATATTTTTCTTCTAAGAAATCTGAGAAATTCTTCTCTTTCGACATGTTCGTCATTCTCATCTTTATGTTCATCATCATCATCATCAACCTCTTCCGATGGATTCTTATTACAACACTAACCGAATGATCAACAATCAACTAAGAAAAGGCAAATACAATTGATGCAAACAATTGGAGACAAATGATTAAATCAATTGTTCTGCTAATTGGTCTGTTGTATTTACTACTAAATATTTAAACTAATCAACAAAACGACAACAATCAAAGCGTCTAAAAGTTAATCAAGTTAATTTGATTCTTGTGGTTGTTGTTATTTGTTTATTCAATTGTTTAATTACTTTCAAAGTATTTACTCAAATGATTGAATTTTCAATTAGATGATTTTCCAGGAGAAAAAATTGTTTTACTGATAATTAAAACTAATTATTGGATAAACATACCAACTATTCAATTAACAGTTGATTAACTAATACCATTAACAATCTGATTAATGGTAAACTATTTATTATCATTATAATGCCACTTGATCTTGATTAGGTTTAATTAATCAGTGATCAATAATGTTAATAATAAGTATTGGTTGATTAATTGACAAGGAAATAAATTGCTTTTTATTTATCTTTTTGTAGGTTTATTTGGTATGTGTGTTACCTGATGACCTGCGGTCATCTTTGGATGAAAATTACTTAGAGAATCTGAGAAAATTTTTTTTCTTCCTCATCATCATTATCATCATCTGATGACCTTAACTATGAAATGATAACATTGTCATTAGTAAATTAACAGGAGTGGCAATAAGAAAAAGTTAACAATTTTTCAATCAATTCTTTAAGATGATTGCAATTAGTTGATTACTGTACTTAAATGACCTGAATTAAGTCAATTATCATCAATTTATAATTGTAATTATTTATGTAAATAGAGACAGTTACTGATTAGATCAATAAAACTTATCATCGACCAGTAAATAAGTTAATTTGATTTAATTGTAACCTCTTTTTTTTAGCATAATATCAAAAGTATTTATTATTTGATTGCTATCAATTTAGATTCTCTCTTAATCAAGATTACTGATTTAAAAGATACAATTGATAACAATTAAATATTACAATCCACTTGAATGATATTAATAACAGCTCAATATCATAAATAATCAATTTCAGCAGCAATTGATTGTTTATCTTGATAATATTTGTTGTTTCCTCGATAATTGATTGATTGTAAAACTAATTGTAATTAGGCAACTGACCATTAACTGACAGATTAGAACCAGAAACCTTATTAAATGACCAATGGTGACCAAATGAAAAGGGAAAATATTGAATTACTCTGATTGTCTCGATTCACCATTTAGTTTCCTCTGGATGTTTAGTCAACAATAAACAAGAAAATGATAACGACAATGACGATAAATTTAATCACAATTTGTCATCAACGATGATGATACTAATAGATGATAACAGAATAGCGAGTAAGTGAGAGAGAGAGAGACAGAATCATCCAAGAGGAATGAAACTGTAAATAAACAGAGAGAGAGAAAAAAAAATTCTTATCATTAGAAGTTGATCTGAAATATGAAAAATAATATGTCACATAAGATGAGGATGATGATGAAGATAAAAAGAAGACAAAATTTCATATGATTGAATATCACATATCATGTCAACAACAATTTCCTTCCGTAAATGATAAAAAAGATGATGATGATGATTACGTTGATTGTGATGATATTTAAAGTGTGACAATGTTGATGTAAAGTGACAAATGTAACGATATCTATTATCAAATTACAATTAATTGTTGATATCAATGGTTGGAGGAGGAAAAGGTGGATCAGTTGAATTACATCAACATTGTTGTTTTACTACAACAAAAAAATGTATCTACCCTAAGGGTGGAAATGTTTTCATCATCATCTTCATCTTCATCTTCATCCTCTTCCTCTGTGGGTTATTTAAACAGGTTTTTAATTACAAACTTGTATATTCACCAGATTGGATTCGGATTAAGTTAATAATAATCGGAAGTAAAACATGAAAAGTTAATTGTTGAGAAAAATGTATTATTAGGATTATAAGAGTAATAATAAAGTTTTGATTTAGTTGATTATCAATTGAATTGGATGTTGATTGTTTTCCATAAACAAAGATATTGTTCCTGTAAGAGAAAAGATATAACAAAAAAAAAGTTAAGAATAAGTAACAAAACTTCACATGGAAAATGATGATGATGATGATGATAAAGTTGTATATTATCATTAACATCATCGCAATCATCATCATCTTAATCATCGTAAATGGAGTATTAAGATGAGATAGCGTCAAAGTTACCGGCTAATTGAACATCTCGCATCTTTATCTGTTTGGCTAAATAGTTATGGTGGTGGAAGAGGGAGGAGATGGAGGAGGTGGAGGTGGATGAGATGGGGAGGAAGATGAGGAAGATGTTTGGATGATGATGATGGTGGTGGAAAAGTGAAGAGCAAGATAAAGGTCAATATAAGTTGTAGATGTTCATGGTTAATATATAATATTGATGGTAAGATGAGAGTCGAGGCCACCGACGTAACTATTTACTGTTGACCCTTGGAAACGAAATTGTAGTTAATGTTTTTAATACAATGTTTCATTGAGAAGATGATGATGATGATGTTGTTGTTTTGATGATGAGAAAGAGAGAGAGATATGATTGTAATAAGGTTTCAAGAATGAAAACTACAAGTTTCATTCACATTTTTCTTCATTTTCTCTCACTTATTTTTCTCGATAGTAAAGGGAGGCATTAAAAGGAAATGATGATAGAGGGAGAAAAAGAGAGAAAGAGAGTGTGAAAGCGGAAACGGACTTCCTACACCATCTGCAAGGAGAGATCCACCTTAGTCATTCACATTGCCCTTATTTCTTACTAATACCACAGTTACCTTCAATTTCATCACATCTCTCCCTCTCCCTCTCCCTCCCTCTCTCACTCTCTTAATGTATACAGGTAACAATTTACCGATGGACACACAAATTGAAGCTTTAAACTCCGACATTTGCTCTCTTATTTTGGTCTCTCTCTTTCGCTCAATTTTTCTTTTATCATCAATTTCGAGACTCTTTCTTTTTACTTACTTTTCTCTCTTGTTTCCACTGTGAGTGTGCCTCTTCCGTTGTCAATACAATCGTCTCACTCACTCTCTATTTCGCTTTCTATTTGTGTGTGAATCCATTTTGAGTGTACTTCGTTTCTTTAGATCACCTGTTCATGATAAGAAGGGTGATCGCCCCTTACGATCACCATTTCTTGTCATCTTCATATTTTCTCTTTCTCTCTCTTTTTTCTCTCTTTTCTTTCCTTTGATAATCTTTCATCTTCTTTAAAGATTCCTTGATTTTCTCTTCATCTTGTCAAATCGTTTGTTACTCTAGTTGTGACTATTTTTCATTCATAATCTTTTATATAGAAATAAATAATACTCTACACTCATGGTAACCAGCAAAGTTTTTCTTTCTTCTCTTTCTCTCTGCTTTTGTATCAATGAGAAGCGTAAAGTGAATTTCTAGTAGTAAACTTTTATAGAGAAAGAGACTAGTAAACAAGAGCTACTGAGCATTTTTCAAGATGAGAAAAGAGAGAGAGAGAGAGCCAAGTGAAAGGAAAGAAAAAGTCTATGGACTTTTCTTTCGCTTCTTTCATCATCTCCTTTTCTTTTGCTGTCTCTCACTCGATGTCTAGTTAACTATTTTCCTACGAGAAAAAAGAGGTTTGCATTCCAAAAGAAAATAAAGAGACAAAGAGAAGAGAAGGAGAAAAGAAACCTAATATTAAACCGAATGTTTTTCTTCGTTTTCGTTTCGAAATCAACCTTATCTTCAATTCGAACCTCCTACTCTCTTTCTCTCTCTCTCTTTCCTTCTTTCATTCAGCTGGTCTTTCCTTGGCCTTTGACCCACAAATACTGACCTTATGGGCCTTTTAATAATGACAACAACAACTGACCACAACTGATCCATCCACTTTGACCATATTCCCCTTGCCGTTCAACTCCTGTTATTATTATTCGACTACAGATGTTTCTCTCTCGTTTTTCATCAATAACTGGATGGAAAATTTTCTTCAAATCTTTTCCCTTTCTTTCCTTGACCATTCGATTATAATCTTGACCATCTATTGTGTCATTTTTAAATTGATATGTTACTTTGATTGAGAGTTAACTGGTCCATGATCAATATCCTCCTCGTGCGACAACTTCTGTCCATAAATGTCCACCTTTGGAAAAGGGTAAAAAAGAAATGATTAAGAGTCGTATGTTTTAATAATCTGATAGAGAAAAAGTAAATCAATTAGATGATGATAATTCATCTCCTGGTGAAAAGTAAATGGAAACAATTTAAGAGATGATTAAATCATCATCTGAGATAATCAAGGTTAATCGTTTAGTATAATCACTGTTTAAACATAATCATCAGATTATTTCAAATTCTTATGAGATAATCAACATGAGAATTTTTTTTTCCTCATTTTAATTACTACTCAACTTAATCAACAAGATGATAATGTTGATATTATTACCCCCTAACGAATATATAAGTTTTGGTGTGACAATTAAGAAGAAAAAGAAACTAAATGGACAATCAGTTAATTAACAACTATCTGGTCAACAATCATAATTAATTGCTTACAAGTTAATAATTATTCAATTACTTCAATTCATCAATATGAACTTACCTGTTAATCTATCAACGTTTTTATGAGAATCTCAAAAAATAATTAACAGGTAATATTTGGCCAAAGAACAACAAATTTCCCATAAGTTTATCAACTGTAAATTTGATAGAGTTAAAAATAGAAATTAAAATAACCATTTTGATTTGTGTTAACATCATTAACAGAATAACAATTTAACTTCTAAATACAGTTTGGTTAACATGATAATATTATTATGGTTTGATGATCATAAGCCACGAGAATGAAAAAAAAAGACTAACTCAATGAATTAGTGTTTCTGTTATGATTTTTGTTTTTTCACCTTGATTGTTGCTTATTAGCCTTCATCTTGAGGCTACTTTCTTGGTGATTGACCAGTAGAAAAGTAAGTTTTCACTGTTGTTGTTGTTGTTGTTTCGCTTCTTGGTGGACACTGTCCAGTGAATATATGATAATAGTTTGGCTGTTGACCTAATCTCTGGACCGTCAAATCCGTTTTTTCACTTGTTCAAGGGAACAAGAAAAAAACACCAACACAACCAAACATGATCTTCATCTTTCCTATCCAAGGTTTGGCCGCTAATTAGAATTCTTTCAATTATAATGAAATGGTATAACAAGGGAAAGAGAAAGAGAAAGAGCAATTAAGTAGCTATAGCGAATAAAGAAAAAATGTCTTCTCTTTCTCCTTCTGAGCTTTTATACCTTATGTATACTTGTTGTAGAACAATTTTTTTTTCTGATTGGGTGATGTAGTTGTTTCTTTTTCCTTGGCTTTTGTCGTGTTTTTATATTCCACTTTATATATTATTCACTGTGAGTACTTGTTCTCCTTCTTTTTCTCTCTCTCTCTCTCTCTCTCTCTCTCTCTCTCTTCTTTTTCGGAAGATATGCTTCGCTGGTAACATTTGACGATGATAAAATAGCATCATCATCATCAGGCCTTTTTTTTTTTTCTCTCTCCTTTGTCCTTTGCTATGGTTCACTTTAAAACTGCTTCTACCGGAGGGAGATAAAATAGCGAAATACTATTAGAAAGCAATAAACAATATTAGGTAAAACTCACCAGTCATTACATCATGTGCACCGGAATAAAGGGAGAGCCATTTTGTTTTGTTCCTTCGTTAGGCTTTTCCAAATTTCCATACAAAAAGGGGACATCATCTTTTACCACGATCACGGACAGATTATAATTGATTGGATTGTAGATAAAAACCAATTAACTCCTTGCTTCGTTAACTATCGATGTCTTTCAATTAATTACTATTAATATAAAAGAGAGAGAGGGAAAAATATATTATATTAGTTTCTGTCAACCCGATGTGTTTTTATGTAGATTTTGGTTATTAGAGGAAACCAATGAACCATCAATGTCCATCAAACCTTAAACAAAGAAGAGAATACTCAAGGTCATGGATGACTCAAGTATCTAAAAGACAGATGAAAACCTCATTAAACAATTTACGTGATTAAATTTAATCAAAAAGAGAGACTCATCAAATTAAATCAAACAAAACGAAAACAATTAACAATTTGAAAAGACAAAAAAAAATAGAAAAAGAAAATGACACATAACAAGTGACTCCATCTATCGGTTTAGAATGATTACTTTTAATTGTCACAATTAAAAGTAATCATTGAATGGAAAATAGTTTAGAATTGATTGTTTGAGTGGAAAGAAAATATATTCAGACTAATTGTTGAACGAACATTAACTAATTAACCAATCGTTCATTTGAATATATTTTTTTTCTTCCATTCAATTCGCCTGAAGGTTAATCAATGGGAAGAATATGTTAATTGTTAGGAATAAGAGAAAAGGAGGAAATGTTTCTTTCTCTTGTCAGGGTGATTAAATTACGATGGAGAATGTATAAAGTAACAACAATTAGTGAATAGAAATCAATTAATTGGAATTCAAGTTAATTGTTGTAACGAATGTAGAGTGAGCCACATAATGGAAACAAAATCCAATCACTTTGGTTGGTTCATCGTTGGTGATGAGATGAGTCAAACAATCAACTAATTGTGTTTAATTTTGTGTTGTTTTTTAATTAATTTTTCGTCGTCTTCGGTAATTGTTCACAAGGTAAGAATCTAAATTCACATTCTAATTAAAAGAAAAACAAAACTGATTAAATTAAGAGAGAGAGAAATTAAAATGAATAACAAGATGGCGACTTACCATTTTGGAGACAAAAGGTTATGGAGGGAAATTGGTTTCTCTTGATTGTCTCTCTTTCTTGTTATTCATTAATTGTGATTAAACGATTTATTAATTGTTTCCGTTTCCTCAGTTTTTTCGTTGTCAATTTGTTGATCATCTAACATTTGATATTTAACCTTTTTCTTCATCTTCTCTATGTTACTCATAATTTGTTATTCTTTTTCTCAAATTCTCTCCTGATCTTCGAGAGCAAACTCACCATGTTACTCACTTTTCTTCTTAAACATTTTTTGTTCTCTTCTCTTTTTCAACTTTTTTTTCTCTTCTCTTTCATTTCTCTTTTTTTCCTTCTTTACCCATTTGATTATTTCTTTTTTCTCTCTCATTTATGTCTACTCTTTAGATTCTTCATCTCCATGTCTAGATGGAACTGTGATAATATCTTCTATTCCAAATGATTATCAATACAATTTAATATCGGAAAAAAAGAGGAACACCAAAAACAATGGCCGATAATCAACAATCTTGTGTCCACCATTTATCTTGTCTTGGTCAATTTAATTTCTCTTCACTTACCAATCAGTGTTCTCACCTTCAATATATTAGTAAACCAGATAAGATAATCCAATCACCATCACCATCACCATCATCATCATCATCATCATCATCATCATCGTTATTAATTCTGTCATTGTTATTAACAAGCAATGTAAATATTGATATGATTTCTTTTTGTGTGTTTTAATTGTTTCCAAACTGTTTCTCAATAATTGAGTAAATTTATTGATTGTTTTACTCTTATAGTGCCTTAATTGTGATACTAGTAATCCATTATAATCTGTGTTCTAACAAATTACTAGAGATAATCTGAATTCTATTCTCTCTCTCTCTCTCTCTCTCTCTCCTGGTTTAAATTGTAATTTATCTCTATTTAGGTATAAATAACTCTTCCATTTAAGTTATGTGATCTTTGTTACCAAGGTAGTTATTAACTCGAAAGTTAATTCTGCTGATTAACTAAGAATTTTAAGAAAATTATTGACCAGAATCTTTAACGACACAATATATATTCAAGTGATTTACTCTCTTATGTTTATTATCTCATCTTGTTTAACATCATCTTAACATCAGACCTTTTGGCCTGGTGACACAAGGTCATGGGTCAAGGTCGAAATGGTTGTTGTACTCGACTTCATCTACGAGAAGAAAATGCCAGATTCTTACTATTGGCAATTGTTTTACTTATCTACATGGTTCTTGGTGCAACTTTATTCAATCTAATTGAAGGTGATGAAGAGATACGATTAAAGTTACGTTATATTGCTCATTATGATGAATTTGTGACTAAATATGCTTCCGTTATCAACATAACTGAATTTAATGCAATACTTCAACATTATGGTAATGTGACAACCTCAATTGGAATAATGGACAAACATGGACAGTGGGATTTTTCCGGTTCATTTTATTTCGTTGGAACTGTTATATCAACAATAGGTAATAAGTAATTCCTTTTTTTTCCAAGTATCACAATTTAGAACAAAAAAAAACATCATCTTAATCCCTACAATATTAACATAAACTTGGTTTCATTTATCCCTAACATAAACCTCAAAGTTAAACAACCTATTTCCTATTCCCTGTAATCATCATTTCATTTTCCGTTTCCTGTTTCCGTTTTTTGTTATATATTTACATACACGATGTACTTAACATTGAATTCCTAATGTTTTCATAATATTTCATTTTGATATCTTATCCATCATTTAAAAAAATACTATTGAAGGGATTGTGAACTCTTTTAACATCCGATTGATGATAATATTTGTTATCACCATAATGATGAAATTGAAACAAGGTTATACCAAATATCATCATCATCATCAACTTCATGTAGATGAAGATGGAAAAAGTAAAGAAACTGTCATTGATGAAGATTGATTTTTGCTCTTTCTCTCTGGTATCGACAGATGATGATGATGATGATGATGATGATGATATGAAGGGATGATGCTGATGATGAATCAAGGGAATGATGGTAATAATGATAGTGATGATAAAAGTAAATTGAGATGACATTTTATTTCTTGATTTTTGCTTCTTCTGGTTCTCCTCCTTCTTCAAGATCAACTTTGTTTTACTTGATTGATTTAAATTAATTGATTTGAAATACAGAAAATATTAATCTGAAATTAGTTTGTTATTAACATGAAATTATCATCAATATTATCACCTCTTAAATTACCACCAGAAACTTAATTTATCAAATACTTTCATTAATAACAATATGAAATATTCCAACTTATCAAATTGTCTATTCACTGATTATCTTGCATGTGAATTAACATTAACATAATCGATCTAATTGTGATTGATTTAACGTTCTGTCTATTGTTATTTACATTAATAATATACAACTTTTTCTTAAGCAATCATGATAATAATAATAACCGATAAAACTATTATCATGAATTGAATATACTCTGATAGATGAATTCCTTTGAGGCAAACCATATGAAAATGAAGAAGATAATTCTTCCTCTAGCTTCATGGATCTCTCTCTCTCTCTCTCTCCTTGCCTTTCATGATGATCTTAAATATTATATAACCAATAAGTATTGTAACTACTTGATGTTATTCATAAATGTATTAAAACATATGAGTAAGAAGAAAGGAAAAAGATATTCATCCTGAAATTGTGATAAATTCAGAATCGATATATTTTTTTAAACTGTTTCTATTTCCTTAGGATAATAAGTAAAACTTTTCCCATGAAAATGAGTGGAGACCTCGAACTCACCTGTAAATTGAGCCTCTTATACATATATGATGAGACTGATTCCAATTTCTGAATGAAATCAAATGAATATTACGATGAAACTCAATGTAACAGGGAAAATTTTACCATCGCCTAGAATAATTGAGTCGAAATGTTTTTGTTTTGTCAAATACAATCATCGATAATATTATTTAGTTGAATTCAACTCAATCGTTTCAATTTCTAATCGAATTGATTATTCATGTTTAAATTTCATCATCGATTTCACTTGATTTTGATTGATTTTCTAATTATTAACGTTTATAATTTATTCACAATATGAATTGAATTTAAATTGTAAATTGTTATGAATATGAATGGCAATTGATATCAATTTAAATAACTTTAATCAGGTAATCTGTCAATTCAGCAATTTAACCATCAAATCTAATATGCTATCGATACAATATCTTGTCTATGTGCTTTTTTTTATACGAGTATCAATTTTTTTCCGTCCTCACCTCATCTATAATTTACAATTCATGTTAACAATTTATAAATTGTTCTTTCAACATGATGTTTCAACAATCATGTAAATTGTTACAACCCAACATGTAAAGCATATTGATTAACATGATAATCAACCAACAATTTTCTTGTCCATATCTTGAAATTTTCATTGGCATGAAATTATCATGATTGGAAAAGAAAAGTTTCCTCATCATGTTTATCATTTAGGAAACTTTATTTTGATGATGATTATCATGATGATAATATAATGTTAATGATTAAAGAATTGACAATTTACATATAAAACATTTACCATGCAAATCACAATCTAATCATAACCATTTCCATTAACTAATATTATCATTAGATTGTTAAAGTTTGATTACCGGCACAATGAAAATGATGGTAACTATTTAAAAACAACTGAATCAAATTAAACCATTATTTAAGTAAATTTCTTATAATTCCAGTGTAACAATATTAACAAGAAACGTATACATATAAATACCCATGGCAAAAAGTATCCTGAAAAACAATCAGAATAGGATGAACTTTATTCAGGATGGAAAACATGATAAAAAGATTATCATTTAAATCTGATAAATACACAAATTCAGTTGAAAAGACTCAGTTTGAAATTCTGTGTGTTTCTCTATTCATATTGACTTTGTCTTAGGCTTATGGGTTGTGTTATATTAAAAGATAGTAAAAGATAAGCTTAACATTGAATTTAATCATGAAAATTGAGTTAATAGATGATGAGATGGATAAAGATGAGATAATGATGAAGATAAAGATGAAAAGTGTACTTAGAAAAACAATAGCAAGAGAAACGTTTAGATAACATGATGATGACTTTGATTCTGTTCATCATGTAAACCATGAGAATCCCTTTTAAATTCTGTGTCTTTTTTTCCATATCTTGTTATTGTTTTTCTTCAGATTCCCCATGTGAATGAGTTTTCACTGAGAGAGAGAGAGATAAAACTGAATCAAGAACTGAAATTTATCACATTTCCCTTTGATGGTGATAACTTTCAACTTTTCAACTCTCAATGGGAAATGATAGTTGTGAATAATGATAACATGAGTTGCTACGATGAATAGAAATGAAAAAGATAATAATAATCACCATGATATCTTAATATTGTTTAATCACATTAACCATGAGAGTTTTTTTTCCCTCTGAGTGGTTATGGTGATACCAACATGTTTAATATGATTGTTGTCACCATTATTTTTCATCATCAATTAATTGATTGACTCTTAATCATTTTCCTATGTTCATCCTTTTCTGAGTTATCCAAGCAAATCAGATTATCATCATTATCTTGATGATGATCATGGTCATGAAAAACTTTCATTCAGTTATCATTGATATTATGTTTTCATTTCTGATGCTCTTCTAATGCTACCAAACCGTTATCATCATTACATTTATCATTGTTTTCATCCTATTCTTTGTTATTGTTATTATATCTTTTGACTTTTTATCCTCATCATGTTTTCATCCTCATCTTTTAGTCCTTTTCCAATGCCTTCGATGTGTCTCATCTTAGTTTTGTCCTCTCTCTCTCTCCTTTTCATCTTGTTGAGTTTATCTTCATTTCTCTTCATCATTATCATCTATTTTTCTTGTTGCCTTCTATTAAATTCAATTCAGTTCATCCTCTTTTTTTAATATACTAATCATTTTTCATCCATTCATCATGATGATGATCACAATGCCTGTGGTAGAGATGAAAAAAAGTATATCATTCATGAACAATTGACTGATTCAATTCATCATCACCATTGATTAAAAAAAGAACCATTTTAATCATGATGATCTCTGAACTTTTTTTTTCTTTTTTAATTTCTCTTGAAATCTTAATCATGCTCTTTTCAGTATAATCACAATTATATGCACACATTTATATACATATAATTAACAAAGGTGTAGGTTAATTGTTGGTTGAAATATTTGACAAATAACAATTGACACACAACAATTTGATTTGATTATAATTATTTTTCATTTGAATAACTGTAAATATGTAACAATGAGTAAAAATTGATTGAAATACATTTTCCCATGTAAATATTAACTCACTTTCTTTCATGTTAATATTTTGGCTCAACAATCAAATATTTGATCAATACAATTATTATTCACCTTTTTTTTCATTCATCACTTTATCTTCATCCTTTTTTTTCAAGTGCATCTTAAACATTGTCCTCCAATACATCATCATTGTACTTGTCATCCTTTTATCATCATCTTTCCCATTGGAAGATAATATTTATCTGTTATCCAATGATTGGATGATTAATATCATGAATATATTGAAATTGTATTGATCAACTACTACTACTAAAGTTTATGATGACCTATTGGTGATGAAAATGATGATAATGAATCTAATTACTATTTAGAAACAAATGTAAATATAATCAACTTGATTATCATTCCCTAAATCAAGAAATTGTGAAGATGATTATGATTACTGTCACTTTTATCATAACTTATGATTATGATTAACTTTCAGTGAAACAATTTAATTTAATCATAAATTGATATTGATTTTTGATTATTATTATTCTTGAATCATTATCTGAACGTGACTTAAGTAATCAAGTTGATCGTTAACTATTATTAATGATTGTTTATCGTTGATCGTTGATTTAATTTAATCATCATGATTAATATCAGAATCAATTTGTTACAATTTACTTTAATACAAAAGGTTAATCTAAGGTTAGACTCTAATCTATTAACTAAAGATAAGTATTAACTTGTTTCTTCATGGATTAGATTAAGATAATTTAAATTATCTGATTGTTGTTAATCAATCAACTGATTGTTTAGGTGATAATCCTTTGGTTAATCATTACAACCATTTTAATTGTAACGATTTTCATGTCTCTCTTGTCTACTCGGTGTAATTTAATTGTCAATTCAATCATCACTTAAATTGAAATACAAGACAATTTGCAATTGAACAGTTTAATTGTCCCATTAATCAATTGCACTAATTATTGTTACCTATTGATAGTAAATATCAGGAAGAATAGATAATTTAGTTTTTTTGTTAACAATTGATTCCGTTAATTATTTCCTAAATATCTAATTTCCCTTAAGGTTAATCAACCTGTTCCATGTATAATTAACTAATTAATCAATTATTCATACTAACAGTAATCACGATAAAAAGTTAATTTACCAAAGTTAAACCGTTGATTTGTTTTACCAATGATGAAACCACATCTATGGTTACAATGATTAACCTAATTTTTTGTAACAATTTAACTTTTATTGTTATTAAATCAATGAATCAAATTCATGAATTGTAGTTAAATGTTGAATTGGATTGGTCATTTTTACGATTTTGTGTTCGATAAATTTATGATTGTCCAGTTAAATTTATCGCAATTGAATTGATGATGATTTTGATCATGATTTTAAATCTTGACCATTAAGCTTAATTGTATTGTTTAGTTAACTGAAAAAAATGAATCCATTCCAATGTTAATGTATATGAATGGGTTTAAATTGTTTCTCTTTCACATAATTAAATCATGGTAGGAATTGATTGTCAAGGATTCTAACCATTAACTGATTTAGATTTACAATTGTTAACCTAATAGTTTAGCAAACAAATCATCCATTGATATGTTTATAACAATTTAATCTAATTGTTGATTTTTCTGAATTTGTTTTGATCCATATTGAATCGAGTTGTAAACAGTTTGTTAATTGTTGTCTAATTGGTAGTTTCAATCATCAAAATATCGTTGATTGTTTATCATTTTGGTTAATTGTTGTTGATTTCAAAAGTCTGGGAATTTAATTTTTTGCAAATAAACATGTTAATTGTTCACCATTAAGGGATAACTATTAATAAATTGCTAGGGTTTATAACCAAAGTTTAATTATCATATCATCCCAGTCTATTAGCAAATGCAATTAGTGATTTAATTGTTTGACATTAACCTAAAAATCTTAGAAAATATTCACAATTAATTAACCACAATTAATGGGATAAATTAATGATAAGTTTCATACAGTTTAACGAATTAAACTTTTACAAACAATTTGATTTAATTACAGTTTAAATTGTCTTCAAGTTTTAATCAGTTGACAATTAAATTACTTTGCAACTTTTTCAATGATTGATTAACATTTTGTATAGTTGAATCGTGTCCATAGTCTGATGGTCAAATTTAATTAATTTGATTTCAATTGATTACATTTCTCTTGTCAAATTAAATGGCTAATTGATGGATTACTTAATTAAACCATTGATCAACTTACAATTGTAACCAACCCTTTACAGAATTGATTAACAATCAATTAACTGGTAATCAAGAAGAAGATCAAATGAGTTGACAATTACAATTAAGAATCGACAATTTAATCTGATGGTCAACACGAAGATAGATTCTTATGTGAAAAGAATAATTGAAAAAACTGATTTATCTCCATTGATTCAGTTTCATGATTCCAATGTTGATATTTCATGATAATTATAAGGTTGAAATAACAGGAAAAATCTAATCAACTGATGATAACTTTGTCCATGGTGAAAATTTTGATTGTTTGTTTATTTTTTATTCGGATGAAACATTTTCTTCATCAAGTAATTCATCATTTCTACCATGATGATGATGAGGATGCTGACAATAGATTTTTATTGTTATCTTTTTCTTTCCACTCTCTCTCTCTCATTTTTCATGATGATTTCTCATTGAAAATTGTTTACAGTTATCAATTTTTCATCAGAATCAATGATTGATACTTTTTCTTGTTTTTTTCTCCTCCTTTAGAATCCATCATGAAACATTCTGAGTATTCTTAGTTTATCTCTCAATTATTTACAGAATTTTCTTTAATCTTCAAATTTGATTGTTTACTTTTGGTTTAGAGAGAAGGAAACAAAAAAAACTTTTCTCGAACTTTTTGTTAACTTAATTGTTGTCGAAAAACAAAATTAACCATCAATGATATAAGAAGAATGATTAAAATAAGTTTTCCAAAGACAATTAGATCTTCTCACTAATAGAAATTAACTTAGATTTAATTTCATCAACTCTCAGGGTGGGTTTAGGAATGAGAAAGCTCTGGGTGAGGGTGGGAGGTGGGAAAAGATTCGTGAAAATGATAAACTTGCCAATCACTTAAAAAGTAAACTGTCATCAGCAGATAAATTAATCACTTGAATGTAAACTGTTTTTGGTTGATTTTCTTGTTCCAATTCAATCTAATCATGAACATCATCTTCATGAAGGTTTATATTGAACTTTTGATTCTTCTCATGATCGGTGATAATAATAATTTTTTCTCCCTTTTTCCTTTTTGACACTGATTGAAAATCTCCTTTTGATGTTTTTCCAAGCAAACATTGATTCCTGATTCTCTGGTAATTAACAGTTAATTAACTAACCTTTTATTTTGTTTCTTTCTCATCTTCTCTCTCCTTTAGGTTTTGGTATGTCTTCACCAAAGACACTGATTGGTAGGATTTTGTTAATTATCTATGGTTATTTTGGCTGCTCTGGGGGCATTTTATTTTTCAATCTATTCTTGGAACGGATAATAACCATGTTGGCCTCATTGATGCGTTTCTGGCATGAACGAGAGCAACGTCGTGCTCTTGCTGCATCGGGAATGCGTCGGGATTCAACCGTCTCTTTGGACGATGGACTTGAAGATTGGAAACCCTCCGTTTATTGGGTCATGGTTGCGCTTTTAACTGGCACGCTAACGGTTGCATTGATCGCGTCAGGAGTTTATAGTTCACTTGAAGATTGGACATTCACCGAGTCGATATATTTTTGTTTCGTAGCCTTTTCAACAATAGGTTTTGGTGATTTTGTCCCAAATCAGAAATCTGATTATCCTAATCCATTGGCTTATCGAGTGGCTAATTTTTTCTTCATCGTTTTTGGTTGCTGTTGCATTTACAGTCTATTCAATGTTACGTCAATTGTGATTAAACAATTTTTAAACTGGATAATTAAACAATTAGATTGTCAGTGTAGATGTGGCCGGTCAAAGAAACGATCACCAATATTTACACAGGTAACAAGGATGAGGAGAAATGCAATCACACCAAATCATTTACGATCAATACGAACTGGAGGAGGACCAGGATCGGGATCGGGTGGTGTTGGTCCGAGTTCCAAGTCTACAAGTGAACAGGTATCATGTTCCAGTTGTACAGTTAGTGGATCAGGTTTACCATCGGTAGGAGGTGGTGGTCAAAGGAAATCAATTGTTACAGTACGAACAAGTTCAGCTGATATTCAATCTGATCTTGATTCTAATTATGATTCTGATGGTGAGAAAGATTTTACCATGAGAGATTTACTCAAATCAAATAAGGTTTCATTGGCTATTCTTCAAAAAGAGCTCTATGAATCAGCTCAAAGGTCAAGATATCGGAGTCCACCGATCTTATTACCATCTCGAATCCATGAGGAATCAGATGATTTCAAGAGAGGAGCAGTTGGTCCACTGGCCATTGTCCGTAAAACTTTGGGTGATGATGAAACCTGAGATGCAAATATAATAGAAATTAATAGAATCTCAATAATAATATTAAATTGTGATGATGATTATCTGTCAACCATAATAATTAGTAAATACAAACATTCACCTCAAAGATGAAACAATTAGGAATCAGATCAACTGTTCAGCTGAAAAGTTTATTAACTATTGAAGATAAAATCATACGAACAACAATCAATCTTGTTAACTGATCGCAAACAATTTATATTGGATTAATTTCTGATTTATTTATCCTTTTAATCAGAAAATGATTTAAAAAAATCAATTCAGTTTTCGTTCAAGAGTTTCTCAAGTAAGTTTTTTTATTTGTTTTCATTTTCATTTCCATTCAATATTTTTGATTGTTATCAAATGATTTTCTTTATGATTTTGATTAACTTTTACTATTATATGGTTACCATTATAATCTGATAACTTTTTAATGATTACAATTAAATTGTGTAATAATAAAACGTTATACGATCGTATTGATTAAAATGATTTATCAATTGTGTTAATACAATTGTAATCAATCAAATGACCATTGATGATTAACATTTCCTCAATTCGTATAGTGAATAATTGTAACAATTAGGTTTCATCTGAACGTAACAATTAACAAAAAAAACTAAATACCAACATGTGAAAATTTGAATACGCATTTGAGTGTGAAACAATTTAACAATTAGTATTACAATTTAATACAAGACAATTAACCAAGATGGATTTACTAATTGTTAAAATGTTCATTTTTCTTCAGTTAATTATGATGATTAGTCAACAATCAAGAGCAGATCAACGGAATCTTGGTTTATCAGCTTTAACAGGTAAGTTTACAATTAATTAAATTAACAAGAACATTTTTCCTCGTAATTAACTGATTGCTCTTTGTATTCCTGATTGCTAACCGTTTCAGGAGGATTAGATCCAGTTGGTTTACTCAAAGCGGTTAAATTTGCAAATGTAAGTTTTAAATTGTTGCCTTAACCCTTAATTGTAATCAATTCTTAATTATGATTAGACTGCAAGTCAATTGCTTCCCGTTGATCCGAAAACTATGGTTGATACAACGTTAAAAACAATGGAAGATTATTCACCAATTACTCTTCCCCAATCATCCTCATCATCAGGAGATTCAACTGTCGACGAAACAATTAAATTAACTTCGAGTCAACTTAAATTATATTTAACTCAAGAACAAGTTAATCGTCTAATTGAAAGTGCTGGTCTTGCCTCAAGTAATTAACAATTTGTTACTTTCCATTTACCATTTTATGTGTTGATTGTGTTAATTTGGATTCTTTTCTTTTTTTCCTCTCTAATGATTAACCAACCTGATGATTGACTGATTGTGGATCAATGTTTCTTTGGTTATTTTCCTGGTTCATTTATTGTCGGTGTTACATGATGATGGAAACTTTGATTCTGTAACATTACGATTGTTAATATGATAGAAACCATTGATTGGAAGATCTATCGATTTCCATTGCCACTTGATAAAATGGAGTCAATGCTAAGAGCTAAGCAGGGATCATCATCATCATCATCATCGCGACTTTCAATTATGTCAATTGATTCTTACATTCCCAAGTTGATGTCCAGTCTTGATGGCTTACAGGTTAATAATTATCGATTACTTCTGAAAAATATTGAAACTGATATGGATTATGATGAGTTTTTGGAATATTATGACCAATTAGATGATGTTGATGAGGGAATGACCATCCTGCCGATAGGAATGAAAACTGGAACAATTGAAAAACCTCCTGGGGCAATTATGCTCATTGGATTGGCTAAATTTTCCGCTGATCGTAAACAACATGACCCACCAAGTATCGTCCCGACAATTTTGATCGGACAAGTTGGTCAAGTTTCACCTCTTCAATCTAAATCAGAGCCAATCGTTGAGGAATCCAAAACGTCCACTTCAACCCCTGAAACGTAAGTAAAGATGGTCAATTTTTCGAGGAAAATTTCATCATTTATTTTCCTTTTAACTTCTTTCCATCAACAGGGTGGTTGAAACTCCCAAGAATGATCCAGAAGCTGCAACAATCTTAGAAGCGAATGAATCGCCTCTCCCTGAACCAAATGTTCCAATCGCAGCTCCTCCCCCAATGACCAGTGGAGGTGGTGGACCAACAACTCAGCCTCAGGCAACATTTTTCCCCCCACAACCCTCAATGAACCATCAACCTCAACCTCAACCACAACCTCGACCCATGCAACGTCCTCCACAGCCTCAACAACCAAGGCCAAATTTGCGACCTCCACCGCCATCATTTGACGGTAGACCTTCATCTCAACAACAATTTCAACCAAATTCAAGGCCAATCCCTAGACCAAGAATGGACAATCAAGGTTAATCAACTGGACATGGAGTTTTTTTATTTCACAATTTTGGTGTTAAATCTCAAGACCATTTAACCCAATTTACTGTCAATCATTTCACTTTAAAACTAAACCAGAGAATCTATTATTTCAAAACAAAATGATAACAATAATAAAAAAACAAAACAAATCCACTGATACAACAATTTGATTGTGGATCAAATCAAATTAATTATTCTAATAAAAGAATAAAAAAAAACATTCCAACTAATTAGTAGCACATTACCCATGGTAGAACAATTATTATACTTTAAATGTGTAGAATATACAAGAACAGATAATTAAAACAATAGAAAAAGACTAAAAAGATAAAAGAAAAGTATTTAGCATAAGTAACTCCACCTTCTGTTTGTTTGAGCAAACTCAAAGCTCTCTTGTTGGTAAACAAAAGTGTCTTTTTGTTTAATCATTGATCAGTTTTTCTTGTTGATTGTTACAATCAATTTTTCCCACCGGTAACCAATCAATTCTAAATCGACTACTATTAACATTAATTAGTTAATTAAATTCTACTCTCTAATACTTGTGTTCTTTTTGTTTGTAAAATCTTTGATTACTTTTCTTTGTTCATTTACCATCACAATGGTTAACCTAAAGAGTAACAATAATTATTTAATTCCGTTGATTGTGTTGATTAACTTGTCTTTTAATTTAGCCCTTAAAGGAATTGTTCCTCTTGATTCTCTTACATTCGATAAGGTTTGTTAAATTTAATTGTCTAATTAGTAACATTCACAATCCATTTTTGAAAATGGAAAATCTCATTTACCGGTTTACACTTTTTCCTTTGTCATTTCAACCTCTATATTAGTTGATTTGATTTATTTCTCTCTTCTAATTATTTATTCTGTTCATCATTCACTTTAATACACGTCATCATTAATTTGATCTAAAGCGATTTAGTGACTGTAATTAATTACTAACAAGTGGTTGAATTTGTTCTCTTATATTTTGTTCATTCTTTTCCAATTTTTGTTCAGGTTGTCAAGAAATTCCGAGCGACTGTTGTTAAATTTGATATTCAATATCCTTATGGTGAGAAACACGATGAATTTGGTTCACTCGCCGCTTCTTTGAAAAATAACGACGATATTTTGGTCGGTGAAGTTGGAATCCAAGACTATGGAGAGAACGAGAATCAAGACTTAGCTGATAAATTCAACGTTAAAAAAGACGATTTTCCTGTTGTGAAAATCTTTCTCTCCGATGATCTTGATCATCCAATTGATTTCCCAGCAACTGAGGATTTCAAAGCAGATAATTTGAAAAACTTTGTCAGGTAAATTGTTGATTGTTAATTATCCTCCATGATTATTAGAAACTATCCATCTTTAAGCTTCTTCTAGTGACGTGTCTTAATCCCAGAAAATATCCAAATAAGATGATATAAGGATGTGTAAAGAGAATGGATTATGCTAATTCTAATTCTATTCTATTTTTTTCTCTTTTGTTGATCAATAGGAAAAATACTGGTATTCGAATTCTCCTTGATAAATGTTTAGGTGATTTCGATGCTATTGCAGAGAAACTGATGCGACCTGAGACAAGTAAAGACGAACAATCTAAATTGTTGGAAGAAGCTCAATCTAAAGCTAGTAAATTATCCAAAGATGATGATAAAAATCTGCAGATGTTTATATCAAAGTGATGCAGAAAGTTATCGAACGTGGACCAAAATTCGTGGAAAGTGAAAAGGTTCGAGTTAAAAACATTATGGACGGTAAAATATCCACGACCAAGAAGAATGAGTTACAAGCTCGACTCAATATTCTAACCAGTTTCCTCGAATCCAGTGACAAATCCAAAGCCAAGAAAGAAGACCTTTAATATCGAATTCTAATCAAAAACTTCTTATGCAAGTTGGAAATGAATTAATTTCCAATCTAATTACCTCTATAATCACCCAAGATTATTTCACTTTTTGATACGAAAATTCAATGATAAGCATTGAAAATCTCTCCTCTCTCGCCATCTATTCCTTACAATTAAGGAAAAACATTCCCTTAAACATAAAATCAATTCTAGTGTCAAAAAAATTCAAACATTCCCAAAGTCTTGAAACAAAATCTATTGATACTTTTCCAGAAAATTATCAATCATCACAACAATTAAATTGAAAAGAGTAACAATTATTGTTATTGTTTCCCAATTTCCAGTTGCAATGATAATAAAATACAATTAAAATGAAACTCCAAGTTTACCTTTTAAAGTTCATTTCAAAAGAAAAAAAGAGAGAAAAAAGTTAAACAATTAAAAAGTTGATTAACTAAATCAAATTGAGGAAAAAAAAATTCGCGAGTTACTTTTGTCTCCACCAGAGTTCACCCAAACACCGAAACAAACATGTGACATTTTTGTTTTGAAAATCTTAAAGTTGTTATTGGAAAATTAAATTGTTCCAACTAATTGTGATTTCTAATTGTTCACTTAGGATTATGATTCCCTTTATTCTTGCTGCTGCGAGGAGTTATGCTCCATATATCACCTTTCCTGCTGCTCTGGTTGTCGGTGTAATTGGTTATAATTTGGAAGGTTATTTATGGCACAGAGAAACTCCTTCTACTCCAAGTGTTGAATCAAATCGAATCCAGAGATTAATTAGTGAATTAGATTCGACTGATCCACTGAATGTTCAACCATTAAAGTCTAATAAATATGTGCCCGAAGCAGTTATCAATCGACAATTGTCTCCATCTCTTAAAACCAGCAATTAACATCTTTAAATTGGTTGGCCTTTGATTCTGAAATCACAAAGAAATATTGATTTGAATTAATCTTCTCTTGATTATTTTCATTTCTAACCGTTGATAGTTAATTATAGTTGATTGCAATGACTTGTAAAGATAAAAATCATCTGACACAATTTTGTTGTTGATTGTTGTAATATTTTCAACTACATTTACATGATGATAAAAGTGTTATTGTGAATTGGTTCATCTCTTACAAATGATTTAATTATTTGGACACGATAAAACAATTAACCAATTTATATGTTTCCATCAGTTAGTAAACTTATCAAATTGTCATCATCATTTAATCACCAAAAAAAAAAATAAAAACAACATAAAAGACAATTAGATAATCAGTGTTTACATTTATTAATCATGTTATCAAATTTTTGTTATAATTAACAAGTTAATTGTCGTTTTATAAATGGACGGGATTTCGTCAACAATTAGCATCATCTCAATTTCGAGCCATCAAATTTACTGATCATCCAAGTTGATTAGCTGCTTTCGTTATTTGTACCTTCATTGTCTGCGGATTGGCCTTCACAATCAACCGATCACATGGATTAAATACTAAATAGAGAGAGAAACAATTTAATCTCAACGAAATTAAGAGACAATCAACTAATTGTACTTACTAAATTGGAACCGGCATATACACTGGTTGTTGTTGGGCTCGATTTTGACTTCCAAGTAATAGTCCCAATAGAATGGCCTGTTTGTATTTACGGTTCGCGATCGCGATCGTGATTGTGTACAACAAGAAGACACAGAGGAAGAAGAAGAAATTTAATTTACTCATATTCGATTGTTACAATTAACTTCCAACGTGAACACACAATAAAAGATCGAGAAAACAATTGATTTGAGTAGTTGACACTTTGCTGACGATTTAGTGAATAACTAAATTAAAATGATCAGTTGAACAATTTATCTTACAATAAACTTTTAAAACTATCAACTGTTGATTAAATTGTTTAAACTCTCCCGATGTCAGGTCATTTAATTGTTGGGTAATTTGTAATGATTAACACCTTCGTTTTCACCAACTATTATCATCTTAATTTCCTTCCAACTCAATTAAATTTCATCTGATTAACAATTTAAGGTAATCAAAATAATAATAGAGTTAATATAATAATAATAACAATCTATCATCATGATTAAAATTAAATTTGAACAACATCAATTAAGAGAGAAACAATTAACTTTCTATTTTATTCTATTTCTAATTATATTAGTTAATCGATAACGGAACAATTTAACTGATTCACTTTAAATTATATTTTAAAAAAAGTTAGAAAAACATGAACATTATCATTAAGAGATAATTTTTTTAGTAACAAAATGTTGAATATTGATCCGTGAACAGTTAAATTGTTGTTAATCACTGACACCAACAATTTGGTTAACCATTAATGTAATTAAAGTTACGTTTTCTCAACCACAAAAAATCACCTTTCAAGTGCTCAACTGTCAACTCATTTAAATACATTCAATTGTTTCCGTTTCATTTATTCATAAATGATTAACCACAATTAAATTATTCACCGACCGATCATCAAAAGCTACAATCAACTAATCTCGAGATCAGAATCTAGCTAATTAACAAGATTAATTTAAGATCAGTGCAATTGATTTTTGATACAAAGAAATTGATGAAACTCAATTTGAATTCATGTTGATTTGGTTTTATTTCAGCTTAAACCGTTGATTGTTGACATGATTAGTAATTCTTGTTGATCATTTGATTATAGTTACAAAGGTTTGTTTTTCATTGTTGTTCGCGAAATCTGGACACTTGACAGAGAGAGAGAGAGAGACAGACAGATAAAGAGATAGAGATAGAGAGAAAGAGAGAGAGAGAGAGAGACACAGATATTGTGAGATATAAAGAGATGATGATAATGATGATGGTGAGAGAAGAAAAGAGATGATGAGGTTCAAAATTAGAACAGAGAAGGTGATGAAAATGTAGCAAAAAATAACTAACAGTGTAGGCTTGGTTCTCATTTAGTCTTGGTTCTAATCTTGCATTTCCTCAGGTAGTTCATGAGGATTGATGATTCCTGGTACTGTCATTTGAAGTTTTCGTTTCTCGGCTTCTGTTACTCTCATGGCTTCTTCTCTTTCTTCGAGGTATAAGTCACTATCATCTTCACCCGCGAATTCCTGGAATACAAATAAAAGAAAAATAAATCAATTAGTTAAACAGTGAATAGAATGAAAAATAAACAAGTTATCAACTAAGCAAACATAAAATGATACTAATATAATCATCAGTATCATTGGTTTGAGAGAGAAAAAAATGATTGCTCATTTTAGACTGTTAGAGTGAAAGAATTAGCAGATCAAAAGATCATTGTATTGTTTTTAGTGAGCATAACAGTGCAAAGATACTGGATGAACTTTTTTCTTTTGAAGGAAAAATTGAACTGGAAAAGAGAAAACATTGAGGCGTATCCAAAGAATGGGAGAGGTAGGAAAAAATTCAATTTCTAAGAATTAGACTGAGCTGATTGACCTTGAATGGAAAAGAAGTTAAATTTAAGAAATACTAAAATGGAAAGTGTTTACTAGCACAAAACACTGTAAGATTAGAAAAGAGAGAGAGAGAAGGAAAAAAGAAATAGAAAATTTCAAATCATTTGATATGGATTAGAAAAGATGAACTTACCCGAATCCGAACTAAAAAGTCTCTTAGACTCTCTTTGAAACCTGCTATGTCTCGATCTAATTTGAAAAATCCTCGAACTGTTAACTGTATTTGTGGATCTGTGAGATGTGGGAAGGCGGCTTTGAGGAGATTGGCCACAAAATCTTGTACATATTGCTCATTGGTTTGGTTTGTTTGGGCTTGAACAACAGGATTAAGTGGTACTGTTATTTTACCCGATTCAACGATGAAAAACATGTAAGCCAAGATGGTGGCCTGAAGTGTTAAACCAGCCACGTGAGAGGTGTCGGTGACCACTGAGAAAACGTGTTGAAGAATATCAGTGTAATAAGTTTGATAGAAACTTTGCATTGCTGCAGGTTCTCGACCAATGTCTTCTAATAATTCAAGTAGAATATGTAAACCCGTGTCAGCCACATTTCTCATGGTATGTTTAAATGCCCATATAATGGAGTCAAGAACAAGTTTAAATTGATTAGGTGGGATCATTAACAATGCTTTGAAACAATGATTCACGACTTCTTGTAACATTAGATAGAAATTGGTACGATATTCTGGAAATTCTTGGAAATCTTTGTTTATCATATCAAGCGTACACTCAAAAACTGCATCAAAAATTTTGGGAATCTCTGAAGCAATTTCACCCTAAAGAGAAAATGGAAAATCGCATGAAAACAAACATTAATTATAGTTTCAACATTTCGCTTGAACATTAGGCTGTGCTAAGTGAATACACACTCGGGTTACTTACTTGCATTTGATTGACTATTGTTGCCATGGTTGAAAGTACCTCTGGTTCTCTAGCACAAGGCACTGCACATCTCTGGTAATCCAGAAGTACGGCATCGAGAAGAGGTGGAATAAAGTTTTCTAATACCATCTTAGAATCTGCTGATTTCTCAATCCATCCAGAGATAAGTTTTAATGTTTCTTTTTTAACAGTTCTCATGCTCCTGATTAAAGGCTGTTTGGTAACCGATTCACCGTTTAATGCGATGGCTGCACTTATATTTTCACTCATAACTTTATAAACATTTAACATGTCCAGGTAAATCCGACCAAGTTGGGCTACATAAGGATGTCCCAATGCTTTACAAGCGCGCACATTGGTCTTTAAAATGTTACCCAATTGTTTAACTGCATCTGGATCTTTGAGCACATCCACATTTTTAAATGCTTGATTGATTATATCGTCCCACACTTGATTCGGAAGGAACATGTACTTTTTGATCAAAGCGTTAGCAGCCGGCACATCGGATTGAGCGGATATCATATGGCCTACAGCTTCATAAAAAGTATGTACCTGATGCGTAAAAAAATAGAAATATTAATCAAAATTTTAGGCGTTGTAACTGTTTTATCAACTGTAAAGTAAAACTATCTGTTGATTCATCTGATGAAATTCTTGTTGAAAATTACCTGTTGAGGTTGTAAATCACAAATAATGGAGTTGATGTTGCTCAATATTTCTTCAATGAAAGGTTGAACTTCACCAATCTGGACTTGAACAAAATGACGGCGACATTTTTGCGCAATTTTAATGAATGTATCACAAGCCATATCCTGTACACCTTCATGTGTCTCTGTTGGAATAGAAAGTTAATAGATAACAATAAAGATTAAAGTAAAAGTTACGAATTTCTGGTCACTAACAAAACGAATTAAATAAGATGATTCACTTACCGTGCATGAATTCGAAAAGTTTGTTTACAACAGTCTTGAGAAATTTCCAATGGGCGCGCAAAAACCTAGGATATTGACCAACAACATACATAATGTTCGAGGCAATAATAGCTTTATTATCCTTCCCTCTTTTTTGTTCACAGAGACCAAGTAAATCTTTAATTACTGTGACTAGAAACCTGCGCTCGTCTTCCTCACTCATGGCTCCACTAATCGAGCCGATCGCCCAACACAACTAAAAGAGAAAAGATGAAAACTCAGTTAGTTATACGATAAAAATGATTCACTAAGTTCAATTTAAAAGTGACCACTTACCGTGTTGAGATTTTTCCAAGACCATTCTGATCCATTAACTTGATTTTGCAATTTCTCAGTCATAATCCTTTCAGTATCTTGACCATCAAGATTTGTTAAATAAATAAGTGTCTCTCTCATATTCTTATATAACTGTATTGAATCTGTGTCTTTCATAAACTCTCTGACAACTTCCCCTTGTTCATTTTCAACAACCAATACTTCCTCTGGCTTAGCCATTCTACCGATAATGATATAACGAAGTTTAGACAAAATGGGTCTGTACAATTCACGGCGATAACTGGTAACTGAAGTTGGAGGCATGACAGCACCTCGTTGAGTTGAAGGTGGAAAGTCATGGTACAGATCGGTGGCAAGTGTATTCCAATATTCTAAACAGATCTTAAAAATCTCCACCTCATTAACTTCCGAAATCATAAGAAGACCGTTTAACGCCCCCATAAGAATCTCTCGGAACTGTGGTTTCTCTATTAAAGTTCCATGCTCTTTTAAAAAAGTGCACAAAAATAAACTCAAATTTTGAACAAATTTTTGTTCTTCATCAGTTCCAATCGCATAAGCCTCTCGAATATCAGTATCAGCTGGAAGCATCTAAAGAGACGGCAAAAAAAAATATAGAGAAAGAGAGAGAATATATTAAATTTAAATGAAAAAAAAATGAATGAAAAAATTATAAATACCACAGAACTTACATTCTCAAGTTGTTGGCCTGTTTGAGTGAATAAATTGACAAACATTTCTTCGTAGTGAATGGCATTAATAGCCGCAATCTCGGTGAGACATTTAAGCGTAACATTTCGGAACATAGGAACGATGAAAAACTGTTAAAGAAAAAGAATAAAAAAAACGTTCGTTAGAATGATAAAATATATTCACCATAGGATACAAAAAAAATGAAAACAAAGAGAAAACAAAACATGAAACTAGACCACCAGCTAAGTTAAGTAATTAAGGGAATTTACCAATGTGTGTTACAAAGATAAGAGATGTACGAGAATTGAATTGATAAGATGATCGACCAAAATCCGGTCAATTAATATTCAAAAAGGTAAATGATTAAAAAGATGAAAAAGGGAGAACTGATTGACTGTCGCTAACTTGTTAACCAGGAAAAGTAACAAAATAATGAGAATGTTACTTTTTATAAGAGTTAAAAGAAGAAAAATAAGCCTGAAGAAAGGACAAAAGTCGAAAAAAGATAAATTCGTTTATCTGAAACGGAAAGAGAAATGAATATTTGTAAACTTGGGATGAATTTGGGAAAAATTCTCTCCAAGATAACTGAGGTATCGTGAACCGGTATGAAGCGGCAAAAACAGATGAAAATAATTGTTTACTGATTGTCCATTCTAATGGAATATTTCCTTAATAATATGAGAAAAGTTGTTTACTAAACAAGGTGGAAAAAGAAAAGATTGAATCAAATAGTATCAAATGGAAGCAACAAGTTTCTGCTAAAAGCTGAATAGATTAAGGTGATATTTTAGTTCACTTATTTTTTTTCCAAATCTTCTTGATAAATTGTTACGTTGGTTGTGAGCAACAACAAACATTTTACCTTAACAATGCGTGAAGGTAAAAGGCTCATCATCTTATTGGATAAACTGACTATTCTTGATTTGTATTAATAAGTGAGAGAGAGAGAGAGAGAAATGTTCGAATCAAATTGAGTGACAATGTGTGAGTGGGTTTAGTACAAATTAGGTCTATTATGAGAGACAAATGCTTACTTTAAAAATGAGAGTGCTGATAAGTTTTGTCTCGAAAATGTATCCAAGAGGAATCCAATTGAGAAAACGTAAAAGTGTTTCCAGTGTACAGAGAATTAAATTGGGATTTTGAGAATTTTCCAAAACAAATTGACACAGCTGAAAAATTTGTGAGAATTCTGAGCACATGGTGTCCTTGAGATGCTTAGCTTTGGCTTGTGTCATTTGACCGGTAGAAAAATCGAAAACTTCTTCACTATAATTCATATACGTAAAATTGAGAGGAGAGAAAGCGAAGAGAAAGAGACAAGGAAAGATTAAAATTTAAAGAAAATGGAATGGTAACAATATCACGAGCTGAAAGAGAGAGAGAGAGAGATAGATAGATTTTGATGACAATTTACCTGAGAAGTTTAAGAATAATCATGTTGTTCTGACACAAACTTTCATTGGTTTTACTTGCTCCCACAATATCACTGATAAAGGTGGGCCATTTCTTTGGCCATTCTCTTTTCAAAATCTGTTAGCGTGAAGAGGATAAAAAGAAAGAAAAAAAAAGGAACAAGATAATTAGTAACTAAGATCAAATAATAAAATGTTAAAGATCGTGATGCTATTAAAGCGTCACATATATAAAATTTACGATTCAAATATCATAATCATACAAATAAATGTATCTACATACCTGAACTAATATCATATTGAGTTTATTGAGATAAACTTTTTCTTTAACAAGAGACTCAGGGTCGGATGATGTCTTAATGATAAGACCAACTATATATTTTTTAATTCCTTCGCATTGGTTACGGGGCAAGACTTTCCACCTTGTTTTGATGACATTTTCCAATATTTGTAAAGCATAATACTTGGTTTGTTGGTTTTTTGAAAATTCAAGAATGGTGTCAACACGAGTCCAAGCATCTGGATGCTCTTTCAGTGTTGTTAATATTTCTTGTGCTAAACGTTGGTTAGATCCTTCACCATTATACATATAATTGACTATGGAATCCAACAAGTTAATATCAAGCTTCTGGTTGAAATCCAACAGACTTGAAGCCGCATCGGTAGGAAATGCTCCCAATCTCCCCATAGTTTTAAGTCTTTGAGTCAAGCAAGGTGTGGTCAGCGTCTGAGAAATCATAATGATATTAAATGTGGTGGTGGTTGTTTCACACAAGATGAGAGAGAAAAATCTATTGATTAATAATTAGCAAGAAAAACCCACAGAGGTAACTTCATCTAAGAAAACATGTTTTCTTTTTGATACAATACATACCTGATTTATATTTGGTTAATTTCAATTCAATATTTGGACTGATAAAGATGAATAAAAACAGGAAGGAAAAACAAAAATAATTAAGGTATTGTAAGGTGGTTGTTACAAAAGCTCAACAAAAAAGACATGTAACCACACATACACACATACACACACACTCACTCTATCTCTCTCTCTCACACACACAAACACACCACAGGTAAAAGACACACTCAGGTTGTTGGTTTTGTAGCTTGCTGATGATGTTGTTGATGATGATGATGATGATTAGTAGTAGTAGTAGTAGTAGTTTTTGTTGTTATTGTAGGAAAAATAGAAAAGGAACAAAAAAGAAAGAGAAAAGAGGGAAAAATAGGAAAGAGAGAGAAAGAGAAGGGGGAAAAGAGAGGGAATAGAAATGATCCTGATCCTACTTGTTTTGACTGGAACAAACCGGATTTTGGTTGAGTTAAATGAGCAAAGGAAAAGGTTGTTTTTCTGTTGATTGTCTATCGACCAAATAAATAAGAATCTTGAAAAAACACTCACCTTTGTTAATTAATCATATCAGGAGAAGACTTTAGATTTAATAATTATTGGTGACAAACGATTAATGTCCGTGGTTAATTTGCTTTAATTACTCCCAAATTAACACAAGTTCAACTTCATGTGTTCACTTTAAGAGATGAAGAGAAACAGTTGGTTAAAGTAAAAGAAATAAACTCCACGTCCAATGAGAGAGAAACAAAAAGAAAAGCGGTTAATTCGAATATCGCATTTTTTTTAATTTTTTTTTCTTTTTTCATTTATTACAATTAATTAACGAAAAACAACCTGTTGATTGTTATTCCTCTGGAAGTGGATTCACAAAATATGACACACATGAAGATATTAATAAGATTTATTTAATCTAACCATTTTCTCGGCTTAATTGTTAGTCCTTTTAATTTGAAGATTGATTGTTGATCAAATTTTTCAGTTTTCGTTAAAATTTTTCGCTAATTTAATTCAATAATTTAAACTCGAGTCCCAAAAGGTTGGAATCTCTTCCCAGAGGTGAAAATGTTGCAATGTATTGAAATTAAATTCCGAATGTGAGTTGACGGCAAAAATTGGAGTCGATTCGTTACAGTTTTCATCCAGAGAAATTAATTCTTGGATCATCGGAGTAAATTGTTCATTAGTGATGATTAAACAATTGTCTGGTTTAGTTGAATTGAAATTTTTAACATTTCCCATGAAAACTTGATAATTTATCTCAAGCTTGCATTTAGATGATGGTAACAGTTGATGAAGATTTTGCTCTTGAGGTCCGGCGATTTTAATTATCTCATGTAACTTATTAATGTCGATAATTTTTGTCTGATCAATTAGCGGTTTAAGGCCATTGTTGTGGTCGATTAAACTTGAATTCGGTAATTGGTCCAAGATATTTTCCTTAGAACGAAGGTCATCATTAAGCTCTAATACGGTTGATTCTTCATCGAATATGATTGATGAATTTTCTCTCGGTTCCATTAATCGTTTGTACTCTGACCAATTTGCCGTTTTAGCGAAACTTGTCCCATTTAGAAACATTGGCCTTCGAAGTGGAGTAACGACCACTTGTAGATTGTTAAAATTTGATCTGCAACTTGGTTTGTATGTAAGTCGATTGATCTTTTCATTCAAATGATCTGTGATTGTCTTAACATCAAGACTAGAATTGGATTGATCCTTTGTAAGTGATTTTTTATCATCACATTTAAATGATTTAAGTTTGAATCCTAAACGAGTTAAATAAGAGTAAATTTGGTAATTTCTTCCAAGTTGATTGTTCGATAAAATTAATTGGTATGCACTTTGAAGGCTTAATTGAGCTCCCATGTAGTTAACTAGAATAGATTCACATTCCATCAGGAAAATTGTCTCTTCAGGTGAATACATTAGTTGATTGTTTTCCATAAATCCCATCCATGGAGATCGTTTCTTTGTACTAATCACTTTACTTGATTTACTTTCGGGAATCCATTCAGCTAATCCCATTTCATTAGAAGATCTCACTCGATCTCTTCCAAGTAATTCAAATCGATCTTCAAGTTGCCGATTAACTTCCTGTTCAATTGTCACCATTACACCAGGAGATGGAATCTCTTCTCGTTTGATTGACAAATTACTCGAATTGAACCTTTGCCGTTTCCGTCTCATCTTTTTCTCCTCTTGATAGAGACACTTTAATTCCAATAATTGTTCACCACTAATCAGAAGAAGAAACAGAAAAGAATTGGAAATAAACAACTAAATATAAACACAAAAGAAAACAAAAAGAAAACCAAAAATATCCTTATCCATATTCTTACCTTAACAATAAAGATTTATCCATTTCTTTATCTATCCAAAAACCACTATAACTGTATCAGAATGTGGATGATTAGTAAACTAAATTAGATTTACAATTAAGAAAATGAGAGATGAAAAAGTAAATAAGATTCGCAATTATAATAATAACATTAAAATGAGAATCAAATGAATCAGAAAAAAAAACTAAACAGAAAACAGCTGATTGATTATGAATGAAAAGAGGTTAAATCAACAAGTAATTATTACCAAAGTAAATCAAGTCATCGCAACTAATTAATTTCTTTTGATAGTCAAGATACTAATTAATGAGAATATTAACAATTGGAGATAATTTTATCATTAGAAAATCAATAGAATCTAATTGGAAATGATTAACCACCTGTGAAGATGTGAAAGTAAACCAAAGGAAAAGATTTACCCGCGTAAACAAATGAAACATTTTGATGGAAAAAATTTATCATTTTAATCAATTGATTTGAATAAATGTTCATTCCGACAATTAAAAGTTAATTGTGAAATTATAAGTTGAAGGAGAAAGAGAATCAACTAATCCGATGATATTGTGCCACTCATCAAATGTGTCATTATTATCCTTTGGATTGATTTTGTAGTGTTGAAAATTATCAACAACGATCATCCGATGAATTTAGTTAATTGTTTGGTTGCATCTTAATTATGATTAAATCATTATGGAAATACACAGAACATATAGTGAAAGTTCATTGCCAAGTTTATTTTCCAATCTATTGTCCAAACGATCGGCACCATCGAACCTTAAATTACAACATCGACAAAAGGTCCAACCTTCAATTCTCAACCACAAAAAATCACCTTTCAAGTGCTCAACTCATTTAAATACATTCAATTGTTTCCGTTTCATTTATTCATAAATGATTAACCACAATTAAATTATTCACCGACCGATCATCAAAAGCTACAATCAACTAATCTCGAGATCAGAATCTAGCTAATTAACAAGATTAATTTAAGATCAGTGCAATTGATTTTTGATACAAAGAAATTGATGAAACTCAATTTGAATTCATGTTGATTTGGTTTTATTTCAGCTTAAACCGTTGATTGTTGACATGATTAGTAATTCTTGTTGATCATTTGATTATAGTTACAAAGGTTTGTTTTTCATTGTTGTTCGCGAAATCTGGACACTTGAGAGAGAGAGAGAGAGAGAGAGAGAGAGAGAGAGAGAGAGAGAGAGAGAGAGAGAGAGAGAGAGAGAGAGAGAGAGAGAGAGAGAGAGAGAGAGAGAGAGAGAGAGAGAGAGAGAGAGAGAGAGAGAGAGAGAGAGAGAGAGAGAGAGAGAGACAGAGAGAGAGAGAGAGAGACAGACAGACAGATAAAGAGATAGAGATAGAGAGAAAGAGAGAGAGAGAGACACAGATATTGTGAGATATAAAGAGATGATGATAATGATGATGGTGAGAGAAGAAAAGAGATGATGAGGTTCAAAATTAGAACAGAGAAGGTGATGAAATGTAGCAAAAATAACTAACAGTGTAGGCTTGGTTCTCATTTAGTCTTGGTTCTAATCTTGCATTTCTCAGGTAGTTCATGAGGATTGATGATTCCTGGTACTGTCATTTGAAGTTTTCGTTTCTCGGCTTCTGTTACTCATGGCTTCTTCTCTTTCTTCGAGGTATAAGTCACTATCATCTTCACCCGCGAATTCCTGGAATACAAATAAAAGAAAAATAAATCAATTAGTTAAACAGTGAATAGAAAAACAATACAAGAAATACTACGTGGCATTTCGCCGAGCTTCGACCGAGTTTTCTCTCGAATAACTTTTACTTTATAGTATTCAGGCCTCAGACTCAAGGTGGAAGTTTGAGCGATATTCAACTGTCATATTTCAATATCAAGGTTCTGGTCATTCTGTTGTTACGGTTTCAAGGTCACTTCATGGGCAGAATCTACAGGGCATTTCACCAAGTTTCCAACAAGTTTTCTCGAATAACTATTTTGTTTTTGAGTGTTGAGACCCCATACTCGAGTTATGGTAGTTTAAATATACTCAATTGTCATATTAAAATATCGAGGTCATTTTGGTCATTCTGTTAGGATACTGTTTCAAGGTCACTATGGGCAGAATCTATTCGAATTGAAAAAATTATATTCAAAACATAAAGGTTTCTCGACTTTCACTCTTGTGTTACAATAAAATTAATGAAAATTGAATGCCAAGGTATCCAAATAAAAAATGCTATATCTCTGCAACTAAACCTGTCCTGAAGTTGTTACCCGAAACCATTCAGTCAGCTTTTGATGAATTGACTATGTTCATGAATTCGCATAACCAGGACCGTTTGATAGTTGTGCTGCAAGTCAGTTTATTATCCTAATGGAACATGATTTCAATTCTCATTAACCTCTGTTAAAAAAACATGAAAACCTCTCAATAAGATCAAAAGCTCAATCGATTGGAAAAAAAATTCTGAATCACAGTAAATAACTCTATTGATTGTGAGAATACAATAAAGCTAATCTATCGAAATATGATCATTAATCAGTGTTTTTTTCTTTTGAATAGTAAACATGACTATAGTAAAATTAATGAAAATTGAATCTGCTATTTCTCTGCAACTAAACATGTCCTAAAGTAATCACCATGTCTGAAGCTCCAACATTGAGTCTTAATTTGATTCTGGTCATGAAGTGACCTTGAAACCGTAACTTAACAGAATGACCAGAATGACCTTGATAATGGAATATGACCGTTGAATATCGCTCAAACTTCCATAACCTTGGTCTTTCGAAAATATATCTATTTCCCAATTGATTTTACGATTACACTTTCGTGTGTAGAAAGAGATGACAAGATTGACTAGTAGAACGTTGTACCGGTCTGCCATTTTGTTAAGTTAGGTTAGGTTAGTCTTTCTGAATAGAGCTGAGACATTTAATGTTTGAAGGAAACTCGTGCCGTACATTTATACAATCTAAAGAATGAGATGTTTTGTGCTGTGGTTGTTACAAAATATAAATAAAAAAGCAAAAAGAGAAAGAGGAAGAGAGTCAAAGAAATAAACTAATTTTATTAAACTACGCGTCAAATGAGAGAGAAACAAAAAGTAAAAGCGGTTAATTCCTTTTCCGTCTCATCTTTTTCTCCCCTTGATAGAGACACTTTAATTCCAATAATTGTCATGTGCTAATCTTATGATAACCGCATTAGCAGGTTTCGGATTAAATTTGGCAACTAATCAATGGATTATCTTGGTTTGTTTCATCATATTGGGTTTTACCAATGCTTTTCTTGAGATTGGTGAGTTTGGACAATTTAAATTGTTGGTGTACCAATTTAGCCGATTCACTTTTCTTTTCCTTTGTTGTTCACTAATTAGTTATGGAGGTCTGGATAATCAATCTATGGGCTGGTTATGGTGGCAAAATAACTCACATGGCTTATTTTTTTTACGGATTAGGAACAATAGTTAGCCCACTTTTGGTTTCTCCTTTATTGATCAACCACCGACCAATGGAACAACAATTAGCCATCCACAATTAACTCGAGCCTTCATTCCGTATAAAATAGTCGCTTTCTATTGTCTTTTCTTGTCCATTTTCTTGGGTGCAATTAGTTTCACCGAAGATGTGAATATTGATCAATCTGGAGTCAAGATAAGGTCAAAACCCGAGAAGGTCAAGGTTAATCTTGAAATTATGATTTTCTTTTTCCTATTAACTCAATCAATCTCTGGACTTGATTCTTCATTCGGTTTACTATTGATGAACTTTGCTGTTTCCTCTGGAAATGGATTCACAAAATATGAAGGTGACACACAAAGATTATTATTAAAATATAAAGATTTTTTTAGTAAAATGATGAATATTGATCCGTGAACAGTTAAATTGTTGTTAATCACTGACACCAACAATTTGGTTAACCATTAATGTAATTAAAGTTACGTTTTCTCAACCACAAAAAATCACCTTTCAAGTGTTCAACTGTCAACTCATTTAAATACATTCAATTGTTTCCGTTTCATTTATTCATAAATGATTAACCACAATTAAATTATTCACCGACCGATCATCAAAAGCTACGATCAACTAATCTCGAGATCAGAATCTGACTAATAAAATAGAATTAATTTAAGATCAGTACAATTGATTTTTGATACGAAGAAATTGATGAAACTCAATTTGAATTCATGTTGATTTGGTTTTATTTCAGCTTAAACCGTTGATTGTTGACATAATTAGCAATTCTTGGAGATCATCTGATGATAGTTACAAAGATTTGTTTTTCATTGTTGTTCTTGAAACTATTGGACACTTGACAGAGAGAGAGAGAGAGAGAGAGAGAGAGAGAGAGAGAGAGAGAGAGAGAGAGAGAGAGAGAGAGAGAGAGAGAGAGAGAGAGAGACACAGATATTGTGAGATATAAAGAGATGATGATAATGATGATGGTGAGAGAAGAGATGATGAGGTTCAAAATTAGAACAGAGAAGGTGATGAAAATGTAGCAAAAAATAACTAACAGTGTAGGCTTGGTTCTCATTTAGTCTTGGTTCTAATCTTGCATTTCCTCAGGTAGTTCATGAGGATTGATGATTCCTGGTACTGTCATTTGAAGTTTTCGTTTCTCGGCTTCTGTTACTCTCATGGCTTCTTCTCTTTCTTCGAGGTATAAGTCACTATCATCTTCACCCGCGAATTCCTGGAAAACAAATAAAAGAAATATAAATCAATTAGTTAAACAGTGAATGGAATGAAAAATAAACAAGTTATCAGCTGAACAATTATAAAATGAAACTTACCTTATTGTTGGCCAGCGGGAGGAGCGAGATCCAATCTCTTATTTTCCTCCCAGTCATCCAAATCAGGATGATTTAGAGCCCGAGCCGCTAGACCATAGGATTTCGATACAAGATCGTAAAAATTACGAGCTGATTGGAGATTCCAATCTTGCCCTTCATCAGCGAATCGTTTGAATGTGGGAAGAATATCTATTTCCCAATTGATTCGTCGATTACACTTACGTGTGTAGAAAGAGATGACAAGATTAACTTGCAAATCATTAAATTGATAGTCCATACTTGGTAAGTAAGTCTTTCTGAATAACGCTGAGACGTTCAATGTTGGAAGGAAACTTGTATCATACATTTTATACTAAGAGATAGGGAGAGAAAACAGAGATAAAAGTGAGAAAGAGGGAAAGGAAATATTCACAACCCTAAAGAATGAGATGAATAAAATAAGAAAAACAAAAATAATTAAGGTATTGTAAGGTGGTTGTTACAAAAGCTCAACAAAAAAGACATGTAACCACACATACACACACACACTCTCACTCTATCTCTCTCTCTCACACACACACAAACACACCACAGGTAAAAGACACACTCAGGTTGTTGGTTTTGTAGCTTGTTGATGATGATGATGATGATGATGATGATGATGATGATGATGATGATTAGTAGTAGTAGTAGTAGTTTTTGTTGTTATTGTAGGAAAAATAGAAAAGGAACAAAAAAGAAAGAGAAAAGAGGGAAAAATAGGAGAGAGAGAGGGAAAATAGGAGAGAGAGAGGGAAAATAGGAGAGAGACAAAAAGTGAGGGAAAAGAAATGATCCTTACCTCTTTGTTTTGATTGGAACAAACCGAATTTTGATTGAGTTAAATGAACAAAGGGAAAGGTTTTTTTTTAATCGAGTCTGTGAAAAATTAGAAAAAAATAAGCAAAAAAAATATTCACCTTTGATAAGTAATCATATCAGAAAATTGGGTAAAGAAAAAAAAGGAGAAAAGGAGAGAAGAACAAAGGGAAAAAAGAAAAAAATTTCTAAGATTGCAACATAAGGAATGTAAAAAAAACAAACAAACCTGAAAATGTGATTTCCTTTTTTAATTAACCTTATCAGCTAAACGATTAAATTATTGATGATAAACGATTAATGTCCGTGGTTAATTTGCTTTAATTACTCCCAAATTAACACAAGTTCAACTTCATGTGTTCACGTTAAGAGATGAAGAGAAACAGTTGGTTAAAGTAAAAGAAATAAACTCCACGTCCAATGAGAGAGATACAAAAAGAAAAGCGGTTAATTCGAATATCGCATTTTTTTTAATTTTTTTCTTTTTTCATTTATTACAATTAATTAACGAAAAACAGCCTGTTGATTGTTACTCCTATGGAAGTGGATTCACAAAATATGACACACATGAAGATATTAATAAGATTTATTTATTCTACCATTTTCTCGGCTTAATTGTTAGTCCTTTTAATTTGAAGATTGATTGTTGATCAAATTTTTCAGTTTTCGTTAAAATTTTTCGCTAACTTAATTCAATGATTTAAACTCGAATCCCAAAAGGTTGGAATCTCTTCCCAGAGGTGAAAATGTTGCAATGTATTGAAATTAAATTCCGAATGTGAGTTGACGGCAAAAATTGGAGTCGATTCGTTACAGTTTTCATCCAGAGAAATTAATTCTTGGATCATCGGAGTAAATTGTTCATTAGTGATGATTAAACAATTGTCTGGTTTAGTTGAATTGAAATTTTTAACATTTCCCATGAAAACTTGATAATTTATCTCAAGTTTGCATTTAGATGATGGTAACAGTTGATGAAGATTTTGCTCTTGAGGTCCGGCGATTTTAATTATCTCATGTAACTTATTAATGTCGATAATTTTTGTCTGATCAATTAGCGGTTTAAGGCCATTGTTGTGGTCGATTAAACTTGAATTCGGTAATTGGTCCAAGATATTTTCCTTAGAACGAAGGTCATCATTAAGCTCTAATACGGTTGATTCTTCATCGAATATGATTGATGAATTTTCTCTCGGTTCCATTAATCGTTTGTACTCTGACCAATTTGCCGTTTTAGCGAAACTTGTCCCATTTAGAAACATTGGCCTTCGAAGTGGAGTAACGACCACTTGTAGATTGTTAAAATTTGATCTGCAACTTGGTTTGTATGTAAGTCGATTGATCTTTTCATTCAAATGATCTGTGATTGTCTTAACATCAAGACTAGAATTGGATTGATCCTTTGTAAGTGATTTTTTATCATCACATTTAAATGATTTAAGTTTGAATCCTAAACGAGTTAAATAAGAGTAAATTTGGTAATTTCTTCCAAGTTGATTGTTCGATAAAATTAATTGGTATGCACTTTGAAGGCTTAATTGAGCTCCCATGTAGTTAACTAGAATAGATTCACATTCCATCAGGAAAATTGTCTCTTCAGGTGAATACATTAGTTGATTGTTTTCCATAAATCCCATCCATGGAGATCGTTTCTTTGTACTAATCACTTTACTTGATTTACTTTCGGGAATCCATTCAGCTAATCCCATTTCATTAGAAGATCTCACTCGATCTCTTCCAAGTAATTCAAACCGATCTTCAAGTTGCCGATTAACTTCCTGTTCAATTGTCACCATTACACCAGGAGATGGAATCTCTTCTCGTTTGATTGACAAATTACTCGAGTTGAACCTTTGATGGAAAAAATTTCTCAATTTAATCAATTGATTTGAATAAATGTTCATTCCAACAATTAAAAGTTAATTGTGAAATTATAAGTTGAAGAAGAAAGAGAATCAACTAATCCGATGATATTGTGCCACTCATCAAATGTGTCATTATTATCCTTTGGATTGATTTTGTAGTGTTGAAAATTATCAACAACTATCATCCGATGAATTTAGTTAATTGTTTGGTTGCATCTTAATTATGATTAAATCATTATGGAAATACACAGAACATATAGTGAAAGTTCATTGCCAAGTTTATTTTCCAATCTATTGTCCAAACGATCGGCACCATCGAACCTTAAATTACAACATCGACAAAAGGTCCAACCTTCAATTCTCAACCACAAAAAATCACCTTTCAAGTGCTCAACTCATTTAAATACATTCAATTGTTTCCGTTTCATTTATTCATAAATGATTAACCACAATTAAATTATTCACCGACCGATCATCAAAAGCTACAATCAACTAATCTCGAGATCAGAATCTAGCTAATTAACAAGATTAATTTAAGATCAGTGCAATTGATTTTTGAACAAAGAAATTGATGAAACTCAATTTGAATTCATGTTGATTTGGTTTTATTTCAGCTTAAACCGTTGATTGTTGACATGATTAGTAATTCTTGTTGATCATTTGATTATAGTTACAAAGGTTTGTTTTTCATTGTTGTTCGCGAAATCTGGACACTTGACAGAGAGAGAGAGAGAGAGAGAGAGAGACAGACAGATAAAGAGATAGAGATAGAGAGAGAGAGAGAGAGAGACACAGATATTGTGAGATATAAAGAGATGATGATAATGATGATGGTGAGAGAAGAAAAGAGATGATGAGGTTCAAAATTAGAACAGAGAAGGTGATGAAAATGTAGCAAAAAATAACTAACAGTGTAGGCTTGGTTCTCATTTAGTCTTGGTTCTAATCTTGCATTTCCTCAGGTAGTTCATGAGGATTGATGATTCCTGGTACTGTCATTTGAAGTTTTCGTTTCTCGGCTTCTGTTACTCTCATGGCTTCTTCTCTTTCTTCGAGGTATAAGTCACTATCATCTTCACCCGCGAATTCCTGGAATACAAATAAAAGAAAAATAAATCAATTAGTTAAACAGTGAATAGAAAAAAAGGCCAAAACAAGAAATACTACGTGGCATTTCGCCGAGCTTCGACCGAGTTTTTCTCGAATAACTTTTACTTTTATAGTATTCAGGCCTCAGACTCAAGTTATGGAAGTTTGAGCGATATTCAACTGTCATATTTCAATATCAAGGTCATTCTGGTCATTCTGTTAAGTTACGGTTTCAAGGTCACTTCATGGGCAGAATCTACAGGGCATTTCACCAAGTTTCCAACAAGTTTTTCTCGAATAACTATTTTGTTTTTGAGTGTTGAGACCCCATACTCGAGTTATGGTAGTTTGGGCCATACTCAATTGTCATATTAAAATATCGAGGTCATTTTGGTCATTCTGTTAGGATACTGTTTCAAGGTCACTTCATGGGCAGAATCTATTCGAATTGAAAAAAAAATTATATGCTCAAAACATAAAGGTTTCTCGACTTTCACTCTTTGTGTTACAATAAAATTAATGAAAATTGAATGCCAAGGTATCCAAATAAAAAATGCTATATCTCTGCAACTAAACCTGTCCTGAAGTTGTCACCCGAAACCATTCAGTCAGCACTTGATGAATTGAACTATGTTCATGAATTCGCATAACCAGGACCGTTTGATAGTTGTGCTGTAAGTCAGTTTATTATCCTAATGGAACATGATTTCAATTCTCATTAACCTCTGTTAAAAAAACATCAAAACCTTTCAATACGATCAAAAGCTCAATCGATTGGGAAAAATTTCTGAATCACAGTAAATTACTCTATTGATTATGAGAATACAATAAAGCTTATCTATCGAAATATGGTCATTAATCAGTGTTTTTTTCTTTTGAATAGTAAACATGACTATAGTAAAATTAATGAAAATTGAATCTGCTATTTCTCTGCAACTAAACATGTCCTAAAGTAATCACCATGTCTGAAGCTCCAACATTGAGTCTTAATTTGATTCTGGTCATGAAGTGACCTTGAAACCGTAACTTAACAGAATGACCAGAATGACCTTGATAATGGGATATGACCGTTGAATATCGCTCAAACTTCCATAACCTTGGTCTTTCGAAAATATATCTATTTCCCAATTGATTTTACGATTACACTTTCGTGTGTAGAAAGAGATGACAAGATTGACTAGTAGAACGTTGTACCGGTCTGCCATTTTGTTAAGTTAGGTTAGGTTAGTCTTTCTGAATAGAGCTGAGACATTTAATGTTTGAAGGAAACTCGTGCCGTACATTTATACGATCTAAAGAATGAGATGTTTTGTGCTGTGGTTGTTACAAAATATAAATAAAAAAGCAAAAAGAGAAAGAGGAAGAGAGTCAAAGAAATAAACTAATTTTATTAAACTACGCGTCAAATGAGAGAGAAACAAAAAGTAAAAGCGGTTAATTCCTTTTCCGTCTCATCTTTTTCTCCCTTGATAGAGACACTTTAATTCCAATAATTGTTCACCACTAATCAGAAGAAGAAACAGAAAAGAATTGGAAATAAACAACTAAATATAAACACAAAAGAAAACAAAAAGAAAACCAAAAATATCCTTATCCATATTCTTACCTTAACAATAAAGATTTATCCATTTCTTTATCTATCCAAAAACCACTATAACTGCATCAGAATGTGGATAATTAGTAAACTAAATTAGATTTACAATTAAGAAAATGAGAGATGAAAAAGTAAATAAGATTCGCAATTATAATAATAACATAACATTAAAATGAGAATCAAATGAATCAGAAAAAAAACTAAACAGAAAACAGCTGATCGATTATGAATGAAAAGAGGTTAAATCAACATGTAATTATTACCAAAGTAAATCAAGTCATCGCAACTAATTAATTTCTTTTGATAGTCAAGATACTAATTAATGAGAATATTAACAATTGGAGATAATTTTATCATTAGAAAATCAATAGAATCTAATTGGAAATGATTAACCACCTGTGAAGATGTGAAAGTAAACCAAAGGAAAAGATTTACCCGCGTAAACAATTGAAACATTTTGATGGAAAAAATTTCTCAATTTAATCAATTGATTTGAATAAATGTTCATTCCAACAATTAAAAGTTAATTGTGAAATTATAAGTTGAAGGAGAAAGAGAATCAACTAATCCGATGATATTGTGCCACTCATCAAATGTGTCATTATTATCCTTTGGATTGATTTTGTAGTGTTGAAAATTATCAACAACGATCATCCGATGAATTTAGTTAATTGTTTGGTTGCATCTTAATTATGATTAAATCATTATGGAAATACACAGAACATATAGTGAAAGTTCATTGCCAAGTTTATTTTCCAATCTATTGTCCAAACGATCGGCACCATCGAACCTTAAATTACAACATCGACAAAAGGTCCAACCTTCAATCGCCACATTACCAAGGATAATTAGGTTAATTGTTACATTTGCTTGTTTCATTGAAATTGGTATAACAACATCATTAACTGGTGTCTTATTACTTGACCTGAAAGAAGCTCTTGAATTTTTACGTGAAAATAAATCATTAATTATAATCAACATATCGGCTGGGGATGTTGTTGGAACCTTAATTGGTTAGAGCAATTTGGGTTTTCTTTTTCTTGTTAACAATTAATTGATTATTATCTTTGTCTTTAGGTGGATATTTGGCTGATCGAGTTAGAGCAGAAAAATTGTCATGTGCTAATCTTATGATAACCGCATTAGCAGGTTTCGGATTAAATTTGGCAACTAATCAATGGATTATCTTGGTTTGTTTCATCATATTGGGTTTTACCAATGCTTTTCTTGAGATTGGTGAGTTTGGACAATTTAAATTGTTGGTGTACCAATTTAGCCGATTCACTTTTCTTTTCCTTTGTTGTTCACTAATTAGTTATGGAGGTTTGATAATCAATCTATGGGCTGGTTATGGTGGCAAAATAACTCACATGGCTTATTTTTTTTACGGATTAGGAACAATAGTTAGCCCACTTTTGGTTTCTCCTTTTATTGATCAACAACCACCGACCAATGGAACAACAATTAGCCATCCACAATTAACTCGAGCCTTCATTCCGTATAAAATAGTCGCTTTCTATTGTCTTTTCTTGTCCATTTTCTTGGGTGCAATTAGTTTCACCGAAGATGTGAATATTGATCAATCTGGAGTCAAGATAAGGTCAAAACCCGACAAGGTCAAGGTTAATCTTGAAATTATGATTTTCTTTTTCCTATTAACTCAATCAATCTCTGGACTTGATTCTTCATTCGGTTTACTATTGATGAACTTTGCTGTTTCCTCTGGAAATGGATTCACAAAATATGAAGGTGACACACAAAGATTATTAAAACCTTAATTCTCATCGTAATTGTTAATCCTTTTAATCCGAAAATTGATTGTCTTTGTTTTTCCAATCATTCAAGGTATCCAATTATCGGCTGCTTATTGGATCATCTATACATTCACACGGATCATCACAATGCTCTTGATGAGTTATGTTCATGATCGTGAATTGATGTTCCTTCATTTGGGTATCACCGGTACAGGAATTATCCTCCTTTGGATTAATTATTCAAAAAAATCGTTCCTTTGGATCAGCACCATCATCATCGGGGCCGGAGTTTCACCAACATCTCCACTGGTCCTTTCGTATTTCAATTCGTACATTAAAGTGACCGGTAAAATTGCGACAATTTTCATGCTCGCCGATTGTTTTGGTGAATTTTTCTATCCAACTTTGATTGATTACACACTTAATCACAATCCATTATCCTTTGTCCATGGAATCATTTTAACTGTTTTCTCCTCGATTATTTATCTTGTCTGTATCAATTATCTTCTCAAATTGCGTGAAAAAAAGCTTGTTGTTGCAGTTGAAGAAGTTGATTAACCTAAGAAAAAAGGAAATTATTTCCAAGCAATTAATGTGAATAAATTGATTGGATTACATTTTTGTTTTGCTCATGCGAATAGAAAATACATTTTGTTTATCGATCATCAGGGTTGACACTTTTGAACTGTTCACATAAGTAAAAAGTTCATTTTGACATTACATTCGTGTATAAATATTACATCATGTTAAAATACATCAAGTTGTACATTTAGTGTCTTTTGATGGAGATAATTAGCCTTGGATCGCAATTAAATAATCTCAGGTGTGTAAATGATAATCAGTCTTTTGTTTTTTCAGAGAAATAAGTTTGATTTAGCAGAAAAGTTAATTGGATCTGCATTAATAAGATTAGCTATGATTGTACTATTGTTTGGACTTAAAGGTGGAGAAGAGAAAAAGAGATTAATTCTATTCTATCCACTTTGAGGTTTGAAAAAAAACGGAAGTTGTTTCAGCGATTATAATTTCAGCTGCTCTTCTGTTCCTATAGGTAATATTAGGGTAAACTTATATCAATAAGGATATTTTCATTAAGAAATGTCAACGAAATTGGTATGAAAATTTTGGGATCGAAACTAGAGAGAGACGGAGAGACTTAAACTAAACGTTAAAAATATAGTACAAATTGTTGGGTGTATCGCCTAATGAGAGGAAAAATTATTGTAAAGATTTTTTTTCTCCTTTTGCATGTTGTGATAACATGATCTTTTTGAACTCTGGTTTCTTCCAATTATTGGCCGCGTCAATATCCAATGGATCATCGAGATTGGGTTCGTTGAGAAGAGATTGGATTGATAATAATACCGATCTTATGTCATATGATGCAGTCCATTTGTCCTGAAAAAGAAAACATAAAATAATGAAACCAATAAGAACACGTTAGGAAAAATAAGCGAGCAACAAAAAGACTAGTAATTTAAGGTGATAAATGACACTAACCTTAAGGATGTCCAGACAAATTGCTCCAGAAGAATCAATATTTGGATGATAGCAATGACTGATGAATCTGATGACAGGTGGGACATAAGGATATTCATTTGTGAATCTAAGATTCAACTTGAATTTCAGATTCTCATAGACAGTGTCTTTGGGTCCTTCAATAGTGGCAACCCACCTAGAGGAGGAAAATTAAGAACGGAGTTTTATAATTATGAATACAGAGTAACAAGTAGACAGCTTGTGTCATCAAAACCAAGATTAAGATTCTCCCAAATAACCACTTACTTGAATAGATTATCTTCCTGAGGAAAGGCAGAAATACCTTTATCACTGCTCATTACAAGATCCATCAATTCCTTCCGTAAACGGTTAGATGCATGAGATTTAACATCTCGAGTTGAGTTGGTGGGACGATTTTCACCGGAAGCAGAAGACATTATGAGTAAATGAAAGATCTAACAGTGATAGAGATAAGTAAAAGATGAGAAATTAATTAGATGATTAACAAGAAGAAGAAATGAAAATTCTATTCCAAACAAGGTGTCAATAGAAAATAGATGGTTAGAAGAAGAGAGAAAAAAACAATATAGAGAAGAAAAGGGAGAGAGAGAGAAAGAGAGAGAAAGAGAACAATTAATCCAAAGTGATTAACCTTTTCCAAGGAGTTCAAATGATCAAAAGAATCAACTTAATGATGACGAAGATTTTAAAATGAGACAATTTAAACTGATTTAAGTTGCTTTTGGTGACGATTTATTATTAATAATTACCAAAGAGATGAGATAATTAGATTTAAATTCTCACTTCTTCAATCTGATTGGTCGAAATTCTTCGACAGTTGTGCCACCTGCCAGGTGCTTTTCTCATTAGTCTTTTTCTTTTTTTGAATCGACAATTTGTTTCTTTGTGAACAATTTTAAATTCAATTGAATTGATTCAAATTCACAATTAGATTGTTTCTGAATAGAATTGACTGAATTAAGAAAATAACACTTGTTGACTCTCTGCAACGAGAATTTTGATTTTTTGTTGCAATCCGATAAATTGTTTCTCTTTCTTGTTCTTTTTATTTGAAAGAAATTAACAAATATTTTGATTTTTGTTTTTTTCTCTCGTTAGTTGAACATTTAAACTTAAATTGTATTTTCTAATTAAATAGTTTTGTGTTGATGTAGAGCAAAGTCAAACATTTTTGATGAAAAAACAACGGGAAAGGTATTAATAAAAGTGTCCGTTTTGTTGCTCAATGTTTACTTCAAGGGAGAATGATATTTTTGTTGTTTAATTAGTCAACTTATTGGATAAGTTAATTAATATTAGTTAGCATCATTATAATTGATTTTTTTGCGTGATTCGAGTGGTTTTCAGCGGGGAAAGGGTGATGAATATCTGCATTATATGATACACAAAGAAGTTGCTGGATACAAAATAACATATAAGCAGTTATACCAAAAAAGAAAACAAAAAAAATACATGTAATAATTATTGGCCAATTTTTTTTCCTGGGAGACAAAAGAGAGAGAGAGAGAGAGAAAGGGAGAAACTTGTTCATCATCTTGTTTATATCATGCGATTCCTTTTCATCCGTTCATTTGTGAAATTTTATCATCTCATTGAACATCATTCCCTATTTGAGTGAGCTTTTCTTCCGTTGAAGATTCAAACGTGTTCCTGTAATAATAAGAAGTGAGGAAAAACAAATTATATTAGTAAAAGATTCAAATCATCAATGGAAATTGAGAATTGAAATAAAAAAATTTGGTCAATGGTAAAGAAGAAAATTTCAACATTATCCTGATAATCGTAAGAATAGTTTGTAACTAATAAAGGGAACTTTTAGTTGATATAATGTGTTAATATGGTCTTCTTTTTCCGTGGATCAAATTTCTACTTAATCATTATCATCAACTTCTTAGTTATCTAATCAGTATTTAGACGATAAAGATGAACCTTTTTTATTTTCATCACACGAATCAGATGTATCGATACCCGAATCAGATTCAATTAGATTATCACTTTTCTCTGGGGATGCTTGTTTTTTGGATCGAACCATACTTGACACCATTTCTGCTATTAAATCAATATGATTGGTGACACCATCATAGCCTGAAGGGTACGAAAGAGAGAGAGAGAGAGAAAGTTAAATAATTAATTAGTTGAAAGTGTAAAAGAAATGAAGAAAGGAAAACAAACCTGGAAATATATTCATGTCTATTATCAAATATCGATCTGTCTCATTTTCAATAATGAGATCAATGCCAAACAAATTTAAACCAAGAATAGTTCGTAGGATATTTACAAGCTTGGAGACAATTTCATCATTAACTATTGGAGTTGGTCCTCCTTCATCATCTTCATCTAATTCAGTTAATCTAGAAGATGAGTTAGCTTTAGATACATCAGGACTGTCAAAATGGAGCGTTGGAAAATCTAAGGAGAGAAAAGAAATCAAGTGAAAAACAATTTAAATGTTATTTTTAAAATGATTTATCCAAATAGTGGTAAATTTTGGAGGTTGAAATGATAAATTAGATTTAAATAGACAACTTAAATATCAATAGATTGAATATTAGGAGGATAGATTAAGTTGGTAATCAGTTCACAAGCAAAAAGAGTAAATAATTTAAAGTTAATCAGTTAAATTGCTGAATATTATAATAACAGTAAATCTGAATAATCTCTAAATTATCTCAAAGTAAAAACTAAACTTTTTCATTCCATTAGTGGCCATACTTAGAAGTAAACAAGAAACTATGAAAACAAAATCATAAATTAACTTGTAAACAAGATGATAACAATTAGAACGAAAAATATATTAATTACTGACGAAGCTCATAAATCAAAGTCGAGGTTGTGTATTGGTGAGAATGGAATATCTTTACTGACAAGGTCATGATTAATTCATGTTTTTATCTGAAACGACATTTCAATTAATCAGTTGTTGATTATGACTGGAAATAAATTGTTATATTGTTGAGAAAAAATTAAAGAGTAAAATAATCTTTTCATTGAGCTAATCTGTGATTCTTTCACTAACTACAAATGGTGATTTATCAAGTTTTAATGAAGATTATTAATTTTTTGATGGATTATCATTATTTTTACCAACCTCCAGCCTTGAAATTTTTTAAAGATGGTCGATCAACAACAAAATATTTCTCATGGATCACAAAAATTTTGAATAACTTTGCATTATGGTTGATAAATGTTTGGGCAACACAAGGTGGGTTAATATCCTTCAATCCCTTTTCATTGAAGATCAAAGACATCTAAAAGAAATTAGAATTAAACAAATAATAACATGATTAGAATGATGATGATAGAAGATGAAAAGAGAGAATGGGATTCTGATAATAAGTTATCGAGAGGATAAAAAGTTTGGCATAAAGACAAGGTTTTCTTTCATCAATAGAATTGATCTAGACATGTAATTGTGAAACAATTTGAGAAACTGTTTACATAATTTACAGTTAATTCGTTGATTATTTAATTAGAGAGGATTTGGTAGTTCTGTTGAATTAGTAATGAGTAGTTCATTAGTGTAACGGATGAAACGTTGACATTTCTCTAGGAGTAATTAAATATTCATTAATTGGTTAGAAATAGAGAAAGAGGGATAAAGAGAGAGAGAGAGAGAGATTGGGAAAGTTAATTGTTTGGTTTTTTAGGAATTGTTATCAATTAGTTATTGGTGAAAATAATGAGAAAAAAATGGGCACCTGATGAGCAAAAGAGCCTCCATGTGCTTCCAACGGCTTGCAAACTACAAACAAAATACGACGAGGAGAAAGTACAATATAGAAAATGTCACCCTCCCGGTAAAATGTTTCATCTTCTTGGTAACTCACCAAATGGAAATTTAACACCATTAGCAATCAATTTTTGTCGATTAATTTCACTATCTTTACTGGTGAGTTCCACAAATGTAGGAGTGAAAAATCCCTCTGTCAGAATAGGAAAAAAAGAGAGAAAATTATTAGAGAAAATTGTAATGATGAATGATGAAAATTCATGTAATTTGTTACAATGAAAATCATTTAGAAAATACGTATAACATTTGATATCTTTTTATTTCCTAATGACGTTCACGGATTCAGGTGAAAAATATAATTTCTTTATCAATGGAAATGATTTATCTATTAGCCATAACGATGTTATGAAAATACAAATACGTTTCTTCATATAACGTGAGTGAATATAAATCTATATATAAAATTGATAGTAATTTATCAAAGTGATTTCATTCAATTGTTTATCAATAACAGAGAAACAAACCTTTAGAGGCTAATGGACAGTCCTTGATTATTCTGTATTGTTCATAACGATTTAGAAGAGTCCAAAGATTGGGCAAAGGGTCAATAATAACAACTTGTGGATTTAATTTAACATAATTCTGCATAAATTTGACAAGAGAGAGAGAGAGAGATTATGAGAAGGAGGTAGAGAGAAAGAAAAAAAATACAAGAAAAAGTGTTACCTGAAAAGCATTGATAATTTGGGAAGCTTTCTCATCACCAGAATCAGCTTTAATCAAAATATCTGATAGTTTATGGATTATAGCAACAAAAGGACCTTGAACGGTCAAATCTTCATCAAGATCAAGTCTAACTAGATTGAAACCAATGGCAGACAATTTAAGCTCCAATTCTTGTTGATTAAATCGTTGGGTTTTCTTTTCACTCCACCAGTAGCCAACTTTAGCCATTGATACTGATGTAGTGTTGATTTGGTAACTGTTCAGGTTGAAATTGGTAATGTTGAGTTGTTGTTGTTGGTGGTGATGATGGGCAGATTTGTTGAATGATGTCGTAATTGGATTAAGATGATAATAAAGAATTGGAGAAAAAAAAATATAAGAATGAGATTAACGTTTGACAGAAAGGTATTAAAATTGTAAGTGTAAACAAGAGGGAAAACAGAGGAAAATAATAATCAAGATAAAATTATTACTAATCACAGAAACAAAGATAATCAAAATGACATGGTGATAATAGTAATTGTGAGTGAGTGTGTAAATGTTGGTTTCAAGGAGGGAACAATAATAATCAAATCAAGTGGAAAAACAAAAATAAAGCCAACCCAACACACTAACACAGACACGGTTTGGAATATGAGAAAATGAGAAAAGAGGCAGAAAGAGAGAAAAGGAAAGAGAAAGAGAAATTGGTAAGAAAATATGTGAATGTGAAGTTCACATTGTGAACAAGTAAAGAAAAAGAGAGAGAAAGAGAGAGGGAAAGAGGGAAAAAGCAAGAGAAAAAGTAGAAAATTCTTGATGAATTATTGAAAGAGACACATACCAAGCTGAAAAGAGAAAGAGACAGAGATGATGATGATGATGATGGGTAGAGAGAGAAAGAGAAAAGAAAAAGAGAAGAGAAGAGAAAAAAAATAGAATAGAATATGAGTGAAAAAGAATATAAATTAAACACTGGTTTTCTTTTTCCTTTTATTCTATCACTGGAAACTGAATTAATTACTTTATGATGGAATGTTGAAGTTACACTATAAGAACAATTAACTTAATCACTATTAACAAGTGAACATCAAGTTAATTGTTAACGTTGATCTTCATTGTTGATTCTTCCATAAGCCAACACACATTTTCAATTCTCTCTGGAGACTCGAATGTGGGGACATCTGTTGATAGAATCTCAATAATCTCATTGGAAACTTTTTCTTTTTTCTTTTAATGTTATTGTTTCAATTTCTTCGGTTCTTTTATTTTAAATTGTTCACTAATTCTACTTTTAATTAGTCTAATTAGTTATAGAGGGGAACAAAAAAGAAAGATGAAAAGTGTCCATTCCAAACGAAATGATTCAAATCATAGGAAGAAAACAGGTTTAGCTTTTTTCTCTATGAAACTTGGACTGTTTTGTTTACTTCTCATAAGTAGTACTAATTGTGGTTAATTGTGTTGTAATACTGTGGAAACAAATTTAAATTATAGGTAAGTTGTTGATTGTTCACTTTAATTTGCGTTTATTTATTGTTGAAAAGTATCACTTGGTTTACTTTCATGTGTTGAGAGAAACTTGGTCATCAGTCTATTGGGTCAACATTTAGTTTGTTTTCATTTTGTGACTTGTGTTTCTAAATCAGTTTATAATTAGTGTTTCAACCTTCAGCCAATTTAAATCCTCTTATTATCCGTTTTCAGGACGTTGATTGCGTCGTTGGTCACGTGGTGAGAGAGAAAAAAATCTCCTTTTTGTTAATGAGGAAATGAAATAATTCAAAATTTCCCGAAAGAGCAACAACAATAATGGAAGTAAACATTTTCTCTCCATCATTATGATTCCATTATTATGGTTACCATTTTCTTTTTTTCTTCAACTCAACTGATTTACTAATTAGTTACATTTAATGTGGATCCATGTGATTGTTGATTAACTGTTCCAATTTATTAGTACCCGTTTCTTTTCAATCTAAATGTGAACCAAGAATATTGTTGTTGATACTTATTGTTTAGTCTCTTGTTTTTGAGACTTGGAGACAATTTTAGTGTTAATCATATTTTTTTTTCTGTTTTTCAATTGTCTCAATTAACGTGATGAATTCAACTGTTTGTAACCATTCACATAATTTTAACAACTCATTAAGTCAACGATGTTCAACCTGTGGATTCACAAAGGGAGCTCAAAATGATAATCAAAGGATCGTTGGATCTTCATCTAATTCATTAGGAGTTTGTTTATTATCACCATCAACAGTTAACGAAGTGTCTACTGATTTAATAATATTATCATCTGAATCTTCATCATCATCTCCATCAACAGCTTCAACAACCAAGGCATCAATCAATACGGTTGTTAACAAAATGGCCGTTGCTAAATCGGCCTCAAATTCATCGATAATCAAATACATTTACGATCTTCCATATCATGTTCGTAAATCTCTATGTGATTTATTGGATGCTGATGGAAGTTGGCGCCAATTGGGTGGTCAGTATATGGAAATTAATGACACACAATTAACTTTAATCTCTCATGCAATCTTACGAAATGGATCACCAACTAATGACCTACTGGTTCGTTGGGAACAAACTAATGGTCAAGTACGAAATTTATTCAAATACCTTCATGATATGGGTCATAGGAGAGCGATGATAATCTTGGCTCCTCATGTTGACCTTAAACTGCGACAAATTTGCTTAGGATCATCTGATGCTGATGATGAAGATGATTTAACTTTTTATGGTAAAAATATTTTACCAATTGGTGTCAATAGTGTAAATGATAATCAATTACAATCGATAAACAATGATATTGATAATATGGGTAATAATTATATCGGTGCTGTTAGAAGTGCAACTAATCAATCCAGAGGATTAATTAACAATGACAATGAGATTAATGAAAATAACACTAATGGTCCTTTGGTAACTCATCGTTATAATCCACCAGGTAAATCAAAAGGTATTGCAATTGAATCAAATTATCGTGATGGTGAAAAAAGTCATCAACAAATTGCTGGAAATGTTGGTATTGTTGATAATGATAAAAGGATTCATCATCTTCACCATCATCATCATCCAACAGCACCAACACCAAGCTATTCAATGGAGCAGAAAATTGTCAATCAAGGTCGTTGGAATGACCTGAGCGTTGAAAGTGCCGCAATCGCCGCTGTACCAGTTAATCCAGTGAGAGAAGAACCATCAAAACAAATTAATTTACCAGCGAACGCAAAAAGATCAAATTATCGAGACAAAAGTATCTCCGTTACACCTTCGGTGACCTCGAACTCCGAAGACGATTTTTTGGAAGGACTCGAAATACCTTACAAGGAACTACTGATTTCTACCGACGATTTCAGTAAAGATCGGATAATTGGTCGAGGTGGATTCGGTGTCGTTTACAAGGGAATCTGGAAAGGAACCGAAGTGGCCATTAAAAAGCTAAAGAGCGTTAATAGCATGTAAGCATTTGATTACAAGCGAATCAATCAAGAGTGTTAATTGTACCCATTTCTTATCAATCAGGCATCAGGCAAAGATTGAACTTCGAGCTTTGAATCAGTACAGAATCGACAATATTTTACCGCTTTATGGGATAAGCTTAGATGGACCCGAAGCTTGTCTACTGTACCAATATATGCCGAATGGTTCACTCGAAGATAGGTAAGAATAGGTTCGAAAATTTTGTTCAAATTTACTGAATTTTATTTTCTTATTATCAGATTACTTTGTAAGGGAAATACTTTCCCATTAACATGGGACCAACGAGCGTCCATTGGTGAAGGTCTCGCTAAAGCGTTGAATTTTTTACACACACTTCGAGGTAAACCATTGGTCCATGGGGATGTGAAAAGTGCTAATGTGCTACTCGATTCTCAATATCAATGTAAACTTGGTGATTTTGGACTCGCTCGACAAATTATGTCCTCTAAAAGTGGAGGTAATTATACTCATCTAACGGTGACCTCTGTTCACGGTACTTGTGTTTATTTGCCTCCGGAGTATTTGAGAAACAAAATGTTGAGTCCCGCAGTCGATGTGTTCAGTTATGGTATCGTTATGCTGGAAATGGCAACTGGTCGAAGGGCTTATGATGGTAAACGATTACTTCTTGAATTGGTCCAGGAAGAATTCGCAGCTTCGCAATTAGATGAATCAAGGAAAGATTGTATTCGATTGAAAGATCCTCGAATGGGTTTGACTGTTGAAGAAAACCATTGGTTCACTAATTTAATTAGATTGGGTCTCGATTGTGCCAATAAGATGATCAAAAAACGTCCACTTATGGGTCAAGTCTTGGAATATTATGATCAGACTAAAACTCGTGAAAGAATCCGAAGGTTAAGCGCTGGATCGGCCAATGGTGGTTCCTCCATAATCTCTGAGTTGAAAACTCCTCTTGAATTGAAACTTTATTACGAAATGACTCGAGAAACTAATCAACAATTAGAGGAAAATAATCATCAACAACCAACCGGATCAACTGTTTATCCAATTGAAAATTCAACTGATAGATCAACAGTTTTTTCATCCGTTCGCCAAACCGTTTCATCAGTTGGTTATAATGGTAAGTTGGTGATTAGTTTGATTTCAAAGAATAAATAATTATTCAGTTTTTGAGAAAATAAGGATCACACATTTGGATAACCTTTTGTTTTAAATAATCGATTTAATCAACAATCAATGTGAAGTTTAAAAAGATGATTAACTTAAAGTGTTTCCAATTTGATTGTTTCAGATTTGGCTCAAGAAGACGTTTCAATCCAACATCATGACACTGGAAACGAGATAATACCTTTACTTACTGAGTTAGGTATTGGTGATGAAAATACAATCAATGCATCTTCAGAAAATTATTAAGATTTAATTTGAATGTTTGGGTAATTGTACACACAATACACCACAAATTAATCGTAAAAACAAAAATTTTCTCAAGCAAAAGCAAAAAAAGCTCACACTTGTTTCTTTTAACCAAAAAAAAAGAGATGATGAGATGATGAAAATTGGACAATTGATATTGTATCAATGATCATAATTTATATATAACAGTATTATTTTTTTTTGGAAAAGTGATTCTGTTTGATTTACCAAATATACTTATCCATCCACAATATTCATTCTCATTTTTGTAAGTGGAGAGAATAAATCGGAAGCGGATGTCGTCTTGGATGGATTACTATTGCTAGAATTATTTTGTACATTTTCACGGGACAAGCCGCTATTTAAAGATTCGTTGATTGTACCAGAAACTGCAACATTACTATTTAAAGTTTCAGGTCCATTATTTGGTGACGATAATGAAGTTAAATTATTAGTGGCGGTGGAGGTGGTAGTGGTAGTGGTTGATGCTGATGAAGATGTAGATGATAAAGTTGATGATGATGTTGTTGTTGATGTTGGTGCTGTTGTATTAGTAGTTGAAGTACTACAATTGCTGGATTTTCCCGCGTTACTACTTCCAATAGGACTTCCATTTGTTTGATGAAGTCCAGAAGAATCGGTTAAAACGTCAGAAGAGACAGTTTCTTTAGTTGATGTTGCAATTGTCGCATTAGAAGACTGTTGACCTCCACTAACGTTTCCACCGGATGAATTATGATTATAATGAATAATGGAATATGATCCATGGGATTGATTTCGAGTGTAATTTGATGTGGACATGTTCATGGAATGAGCCTGGAGAGCTAAATTTTCTTGTTCGTCAATGAACCTATCCATATAATCACTGATGGTTGAAAAAAGGAAAGAGTAACAATTAGAAAAAATTTTCAATGTTATTTGGAATTTTAACTTACGTTGTTCCTGGATGCAGAGAATACTTTTTCTTTTCGACTCGCCATTTACTGGCATACATATCATGTCTTTCCGTTTTTTTCCATAGATAATAAAACTGTACTAACTCTCCAACCGATCTCGTTGATACCTGATCATAACGAAAGTGTTAAAATAAAACAATCAATGAATATTGTAGAGAAGAAAAATTTATGATGAAAATGGAAAAACGATTTACCTTATTTTTCTGAATTTGATGAAAATCTTTACCATAAACTCTTATTCCATCTTCAAAATTGATACACTCTTCTTCTGACCATGGACTCATAGTCTCAAATGGATTATTTTGTTGCATTTTTTTCCTCCTCAAAGCTTCATCAACATTGTGACCACACTGATGGAGTAAATAGAGAGCTACTTCATCATCTCTTATACTATTGGTCATGGGTAAATTTGTAGTTTCCCTTAAAGGAGTTGGTTGATTTAATGAGGATGTTGATAAAGGAGCACTTGCTGGATCACAACTTTTATTATTTCCACTGGATGAACTCAATGTTTCTAAATTTTCCGCAGTATCGAAGGAAGAAATTTGTCTCAGAAAATTTACCACGATATCTTCGGTTAAAACGTATGCATCCCAAAGAAGTTTATCCTCATTCTCATAAGGTGGAACATTTCCATAACCATTCAATCCTTCAGGAATCACAGCTTGATAATCTGAACCAACTTGAATGGTCCTCCTCCAATCACCTTCACCTTCTTCATCGTCTCCATCTTCTTCTTCATCGTCGTCATCATCATCCTCTTCATCATCTTCCATATCTGAACATTCTTGATCAATTAATAAATTAGTGTTAGTCAAACCAACAGCGGTTGAAGGAAGTGACCACTGAGAAGACAATTCTTCCAATTGTTTTGATGAACGAGTTGTTGTAGTCGTAGTTGTGGTAGTAGTAGTAGTTGTTGTTGTTGTTCCGACCTGATCGGTAGAGGATTGATTGACTTGTGAGTCGTGACTAGCATTTGCTGTGGCATCCTCAGCGTAGCTACAATTACTTTCTTTACCATTATCATTATCACCATGATTAGTAGATGCTCGTTGAGTTGATTCTTGAGAAGATTTATCCGCCTTGTTATTAGATTGTTGATAACCATAAAGTGCAAGAAGCTCTTCGATTGGCATCTCACCTTCCTATTAAAACGTTTAAAAATCCACAGAAAACCATTTGATTACAATGAGATGAATGGAATAAGATTTCCAATACAATTAATTGAAATAAACTTACCTTTTTCAGATCACTAATCTCGTTTGTTATATTACTACAATCGTCATTTGCCTCCTCTTCTTCGAGCGTATGTTCGTCGTCAAAATCGTTAATCAACATCTCAGCTGAAGGATCAAAATCTTGATCACTGTCATTGGCTAATGAAAAGAAAACAGAAAAATATAAGTAAATGATAATAACCTAACAACATAATAAAAGATTTAATTAAAATCACTTGAGAATAAAAATCTTTCTCAGAATTGGATTACTTCATTATCATTAAGATTATGTATTCTGAAACCTCCAATACAAAGGAAAAGTATATATTGATTGTTAATAATGATTAGAGAAATTTAATCCAAAGAAAACAACTCAAAGAAAGATATAAATGAGAGAAAATTAAAATAAACAATGAAATGTGAGTAATTTAAATCATCTTCTCAAATATTGTTCGGAAAATAGCTAAACTATAACTGATTAATTGACAGAAGAGACGGAATATTATCTCAAAAGAAAAACTACAGTAGATTAACTAAAGACAAGTAATTCAAATAGTAATTAAATTCGCTTTTAAAGCAAAAACTTGAAAGATAATTAAAAGAAACGATCAACTCACCTGATGGAGTGTTACTCCCCGATGTTGGCGAGGGCTTATTCATCCCATCAACATTAGCATTCATCGGTGAAGATAAACCAAAAACAATCAAACTTGGATAAGAATTAAATTGTCAAAACTGTAAAAGAGAATAGAAAATAATAGAAAAAAGAAAACGAAAACGAGTTGGTTAAAAGAAGCGCAGATTTGTTATCATCGTATCCTCTCCCTCTTTTCTACATTTATCTTTCTTCATCCCAAATGAGAGAGAGAGAGAGAGAGAAAGAGAAGAAAAAAGAAAACAAAACAAAAAAAAAGAGAAAGGAAGGAAAATAAAAAAAAGAAAGAGAATAAAAATTCTACAGACAGAGAAAAAGAAAGAGGATAAAAAAATAGAAAGAGAAAAACGTACCAGAGATTATAGAAAAGAGTAAAGATGAAAAATGCACAGAGAGAATAAATTAATTTCTAAATTATTTGTAACCAATTATTATTTGAAACTAAGTGAGAGAGATGTTTAGAATTGTTAGATTAGAATAATTTAGTTAATTTCATCAACAATTAAAAGAATATTTTGTTAATGTCTAATCAATGGAAACAAACAAAATGAACTTGGGCCTAGAAAATTGAAAAGAAAGAAAATTTTTTGACAGAAATGATCAGGTAGCTCCATCTAAGGATTAACCATAAGACCATCAATCTGTTTACTCTGGAAATTAATTATTCTTTCAATTAATTAACCTTCTTTTTCCTTAAATTTCTTTAAATTGTTCACAATTAATTCATCAACTTACCTCGATTAACCTTCGATCTTCATCCAACACTCCAATCCAACGATGGAAATCCAATGGTTTCAAAGAATAGAAATTGTTACTTTTCTTTTCGTTTCATTTTCTCTCTTCAAGATGACGAATTTATTCAAATTCTTTTCCATGGTCATTTTCTATTCTATCAACCCCACCGATAGAATAATCATTTTCGACCTCATGAAATTGTCATGAGATTAAAAGTAACGTTTTAACATTTAGATTAAAGGTAAGATTTAACTTTGCGAGTTGTCGCTCTCTTCGTATATTCCGCTATCAATGAGTTGCCATTCGTTTCCCTGACAACCACCACCAGGCAGCTCTTTAGGAAAATAGGTTTTCCGTTTCCGAGTGAAGAAAACATTTAGAATTAGTTTTTGTCTTAATTAATTTAATTGTCTTTTTCTCTCGCAATCTAAATTGATTGTTGTTTTTTCTTATTCTCATTTTAGTTGTAAAGACCATATTAACTATTAGAAATCATGTCTGTCGAAGTTGGGTAAGTAGCTAATTTTTAATTCTAAAAAGTGATGACTTAGCTTCTTAATTCAACATGTTCTCTTCTCGGTTAATATTGATGATATTTTAACCGGTCAGTTAATTGTTTTACTATGCTAATTGTAACCGTTTCCATGATTTTCTTTTCTTTTTTATTTCTAGGCCTGATGGACAAATGGATATCCATGTTGCTCTTCAACAAGTTCTTAAAACTTCACTAATTCACAATGGTTTGGCCAGAGGTTTACATGAGGCTGCTAAAGCTTTAGACAAGTGAGTAAACCTAATTGATCACTTGCTATGACTAAAAGGATCCCAAATTGAACTATTAATTATTATTAGTCTTAATGATGACTATGCTTTCTAAGGCTCTCTCTTCCTAATTGGAGAAAAGGTCTTGCTCCTCGTGAGGAATCATGTATTATCTGATGATGACTATAATAATTATAAGATTCACTTAAATCCATCTAATTATGTTGAATTATTCAATTCTAATCTTATTTCCATTTTTCTCTTCCACTTATAACAGGAGACAAGCTCAACTATGTATTTTGGCAACAGATTGCGATGAACCCATGTACCTTAAATTGGTCGAAGCCTTGTGTAAGGAACATCAAATTTCTCTAATCAAATTAGATGACAATAAAAAATTAGGTGAATGGGCTGGTTTATGTAAAATCGACAAAGATGGAAAAGCAAGAAAAGTTGTTGGATGCAAATGTGTAGTGGTTAAAGATTTTGGAAAAGAAACAACTGCCCAAGATGTAATTACAGAATATTTAAAAACAAGAGCAACTGCTTAAATAAATGTTCTCTAATATCTCAAACATCAACAATTGATTTGTTTAAATTAAAGATTGTATCAAAAGAAAATTTATAAATTGTTATTCTAATTTTTAAACCGACAAATAACTCAATTAACGTAACCATGTTTATAATCGATGAGAAGAAAAATCGAAAAACAGTCAATCGATTTCTCTCTTTCTTTTCTCTTACTTTTTCCTTTGAAAAATCGATAATCGATTTAAATCGATCCACTCGACATTCTATAGAAGTTTTTTTTTATTCCAATGAGTTTGTTTTTCTTTTTGATTAGTGACTTGAAATCGTTTATTATTTAATTTCTTTCATTGGATTGGTTTTAATTTAGTTGTTGTTTGATGTGTTTAAGTGTTTGCGGTTATATTGTTTCACTTGTGTTCTTCATTTGTTCAAATTAAAAGTGTTTCTGTTGACTTGTTAAAATGGAAATTGAAGATTTGGAAAAGCTTGAATATTTATCTCTCGTTTCAAAGGTTTGCTCTGAATTAGAGAATCATTTAGGAATAAATGATAAAGATTTAGCCGAATATATAATACATTTGGCTGACGAAAATGATACATTTGACAAATTTAAAAAGGTTCTCATTGAAAATGATCCTGATTTAACTGATTCTCTCATTGCCAATCTATTGAGAATCATCACTCGGATGAGACCAAAGAAATCAGCTGTTGAAGATAAGCCTGTTATTCAAGCAACTTCTAAAGACGATTTAGCTATTAAGAGGATTCTTTATCCAGGCCTTGCCATTCCTAATGATTTTGCTGCCAGTAGAAAATTATTAAAAGACTCAGATGATGATGAAGATGATAAGAAAGAAATTGTCAATTCAAAAGCTTTTTTTGAGCAGATGGAATCTTCTAAAAAGATTGATGCTGATATCGATGACACTATGGCCTTACTGGAGTCTCTTGCTCCTAGTGAAGATAATAAGGAACTGGCCTCATCAAATAAGCATTCAAGAAGTCACAGAAAAAGGAGTCGAAGTAGAAGTCAATCAAGAGAAAGAGATTCACGTCATCATCGATCATCTAGACATAGAGATCGGTCAAGATCTCGATCACATGATAGATCAAGGAGATATGAATCAAAGCGGCATAGGAGTCGATCAAGAGATGGTTCAGGTCGCCATCGTAGAAGTAGATCAAAGGAATCATCCAATCGCCATCGTAGAAGTGATAGTGATGAAAGAAGATCTCATTCAAATCGATATGCTGATAAAAAACCGGCAAGAGAGCAGAAACAATTACCTCTTGAACCAGAAGTTGGGGCTATTTATGATGGAAAGGTTTCCAATATTATGAAGTTTGGTTGTTTTGTACAATTGGAAGGACTTAAGAAACGATGGGAAGGATTGGTTCATATATCACAACTTCGACGTGAAGGTCGAGTTAATGATGTCTGTGATGTTGTTTCTCGTGGACAGAAAGTCAAAGTAAAAGTAATTTCTTTTAATGGACAAAAAACAAGCCTTTCAATGAGTGATGTTAATCAAGAAACTGGTGAAGATTTAGGAAATCGTAATAGTTTTGGTAAAAAGCCATTAGACATCGATCAAGCTGATGATTCAATCACTCGTAATCCTGATCGACCTGCTATGTTACCCCTCGAAGATACTCGAGCCAATGATGAAGATATTGACAATAGACGAAGAATAATCCAAAGAATATCATCTCCAGAGAAATGGGAATTAACTCAAATGTTACACGCAAATGCGATTGATAAATCAGCTCTTCCCGAATTTGATGAAACCACCGGCTTATTACCAAAGCCGGATGAAGATGATAACGAAGATATTGAAGTAGAAACCATTGAAGATCCAACACCATTCCGTCGAGGTCATGGACGTTCAGCTCAAGAATTAAGTCCAGTTAGAATAGTAAAAAATCCCGATGGTTCTCTGGCACAATCAGCCATGATGCAATCAGCTTTAGCCAAAGAGCGGCGAGAGTTGAAACAACAGGCAAGAGACGCTGAGATAGAAGGAGCTCCTTCAGGCTTGAATAAAAATTGGATCGACCCAATGGCAGAAAATGAAAGTCGTGGACTAGCAGCAAACGCCAGGTCATCAAACAGTGTCCCTGAATTACCTGAATGGAAAAAGCATATAAGCGGTGGGACGAAAGCATCGTACGGTAAAAAGACTCAATTGTCCATAATCGAGCAGAGAGAAAGTCTTCCCATCTTCAAGTTGAAAGATGAACTGATCAAGGCAGTTGCAGATAATCAAATCTTAATTGTTATCGGTGAAACGGGTTCAGGTAAAACGACACAGATCACTCAGTATCTCGCCGATGCAGGTTATATTTCTCGAGGTAAAATTGGCTGTACTCAACCAAGAAGAGTGGCTGCAATGTCGGTTGCCAAACGTGTCGCTGAAGAGTTTGGTTGTCGATTGGGACAAGAAGTTGGTTATACTATTCGTTTCGAGGATTGTACAAGCCCAGAGACTTTAATTAAATACATGACAGACGGAATGTTACTTCGTGAATGTTTAATTGACTCCGATTTAAATGGTTATTCAATTATCATGTTGGACGAGGCTCATGAACGGACAATTCATACCGATGTTTTATTTGGATTATTGAAACAGGCGGTTAAAAAAAGACCAGAACTTAAATTGATTGTCACTTCTGCTACTTTGGATGCAGTTAAATTTTCATCATACTTTTTTGAAGCTCCCATTTTCACTATTCCCGGAAGGAGTTATCCTGTTGAAATTTTATATACAAAAGAACCGGAAACTGATTATTTAGACGCATCTTTGATCACCGTAATGCAAATTCATTTGACCGAAGCACCAGGCGATGTATTACTTTTCTTAACTGGTCAAGAAGAGATCGATTCGGCTTGTGAAACTTTATACGAACGAATGAAGTCCCTTGGACCTGAAGTTCCCGAATTATTGATTCTCCCCGTTTACTCAGCTTTACCCAGTGAGATGCAAAGTCGCATTTTCGAACCTGCCCCGCCAGGATCTCGAAAAGTTATTATCGCGACCAATATCGCTGAAACGTCTCTTACAATTGATGGAATTTTTTCGTCATTGATCCAGGATTCGTGAAGCAAAATGTTTACAACCCAAAGACCGGAATGGACGCACTTGTAGTCACTCCGATCAGTCAAGCGCAAGCTAAACAAAGAGCTGGACGTGCAGGTAGAACTGGACCTGGAAAATGTTATCGACTTTACACCGAAAGAGCTTACAGAGACGAAATGTTAACTACACCAGTTCCTGAAATTCAACGAACAAATTTAGCCTCAACTGTACTTCAATTAAAAGCCATGGGAATCAATGATTTAATCTCTTTCGATTTCATGGACGCTCCACCAACCGAATCTCTAATCATCGCGATGGAACAACTTTACTCACTTTCCGCTCTCGATGAAGAAGGTCTTCTCACTCGACTCGGCCGTCGAATGGCTGAATTTCCTCTTGAACCCATGTTATCAAAAATTTTAATCATGTCCGTGAATTTAGGCTGTTCTGATGAAATTTTAACGATCGTCTCCATGTTATCAGTGCAAAATGTTTTCTACCGACCGAAGGATAAACAAGCTCTTGCAGACGCTAAAAAGGCCAAATTCAACCAAATGGAAGGTGATCATTGTACTTTACTCGCAGTTTTTAATTCTTGGAAATTGAATAAATTTGCAAGCATTTGGTGTCACGAGAATTTTGTCCAAGCTCGAACACTTAAACGAGCCCAAGATGTAAGGAAACAATTACTTGGAATTATGGATCGACATAAATTAGATGTTGTCTCGTGTGGTCGAAACACGGCAAGAGTTCAGAAAGCGATTTGTTCCGGATTTTTCAGAAATGCAGCGAAAAAAGATCCACAAGAAGGATATCGAACTCTCGTCGACAATCAAGTGGTCTACATTCACCCGTCAAGTTCATTATTTAATCGACAACCTGAATGGGTAATTTACCACGAATTAGTTTTAACAACCAAAGAATATATGAGAGAAGTGACAACAATCGACCCAAAATGGCTCGTTGAATTTGCACCATCATTTTTCAAGTTCTCTGATCCAACCAAATTAAGTAAGAACAAGAAACAACAGCGATTAGAACCTTTGTACAATAAATACGAGGAACCAAATTCTTGGAGAATATCCAAAGTTCGTAGAAGAAGAAATTAGTTTCAATAATCAAATGTGAATAATTGTAAACAAAAGAGAAACAACTAATTTATATTTAAAAAAATGGATCAATAAGATTAGGTGATTGTTCAGCTGATCAATTAACGCATAATTTGACATAAATAAAGTTATGCAAATGATTAAAAACAAATTTTCTTGTTTCCATTTAACTGACGATTTATTTTATTCAATTGTTCACAAGTTATAAGATTGTAATTGTAATAATATCAAAGAGTCACATTATGACCTCGGTATGGTTTGAATAATGTTGAGTCAAGGTCAAGGTCAGTGTTTGCAAGGTCAAGTTCCCTCCTTTTTATCCAAATTGCAAGATATTCATCACCTTTCAGTTCATCGAATGTTTCAAAACCCGAAGTTAAGATGAGATAATGAGATTTTACCTCTTCCACCGACCATAAGTGATTTTGGCTTGGATCTTCGCGAAATTGGACACCACGTTGTAGGTATTTCCAGTTCAATATATAACGAGTTTGTCTAATAAATAGAACGGCCAAATAAAATTGCTGGTCCACATTCAACACTGGAAACTTATTCAAAGTATTCTTGTGATAATGGTCGGCAACACATTTATTTAGAGCAACATCCAGAGATCTCCTTCGATAGAACTTTTTATAATCCGCTAACGTGAAAGTAAATTCAGGATCCATTTTAAATTAGAATTGAAAACTTACAATCAAAATCAACTGATTTAAAAGTTATTGAGAAAAAGGATATAGAGAAAACAAAAAAGTAACTTAAGACAAACTGAATATCAGTAACTGAAATGATCGATTGAGAATCAGACTGTTGAGAATAAGAATCGATCCAAAAATTCAAAAATTTGGACCAAAGTTGTAATAAGTAAACGAAAATCAAGAAACTGGTGAAGATCTAGGAAATCGTAATAGTTTCAGTATGAACGAATGAAAAACGTATGAAGAAGAAGTCAATCAAGAGAAAGAGATTCACGTCATCATCGATCATCTAGACATAGAGATCGGTCAAGATCTCGATCACCTGATAGATCAAGGAGACATGAATCAAAGCGGCATAGGAGTCGATCAAGAGATGGTTCAGGTCGCCATCGTAGAAGTAGATCAAAGGAATCATCCAATCGCCATCGTAGAAGTGATAGTGATGAAAGAAGATCTCATTCAAATCGATATGCTGATAAAAAACCGGCAAGAGAGCAGAAACAATTACCTCTTGAACCAGAAGTTGGGGCTATTTATGATGGAAAGGTTTCCAATATTATGAAGTTTGGTTGTTTTGTACAATTGGAAGGACTTAAGAAACGATGGGAAGGATTGGTTCATATATCACAACTTCGACGTGAAGGTCGAGTTAATGATGTTTGTGACCATACCGTGGTTACCATATAACTGGTGATTGATTTTAATCATCGGCCATGATGCAGTTACTTAATTATCATGTTGAACGAGTCCCATGAACGAACAATTCATTGCGATGTTTTATTTGGATTATTGAACAGGTGGTTAAGAAAAGATCAGATCAAAAGAGAAACAATTAATTTATATTCCTCCAGCGTAAATCAATCAAACATGAAGAGAAAACAAAAAGAGTAATCAAAGCTCATTTAATCAATAACTTTTATTGTAATGAAGATTTAATTCAATTATCGATATCGAAGCAAAAAAATAGCATCGATTGGTGAAAGAAATGGTGAACAAGGAGTTGACTTTCATTGATTTAGACCAGAATTAAAGCAAATCAATTGAGGTGAGAAGCAATTGTTTGTTTTTGTTTTCATTGTTTTCAATGAGATTCAATCAACTTAATTAAAAAAAACAAAGCTTTTTGGTTTGTATTATCCTGGGAAAAAAAGGGAGCGAGAAAAAAACCCTTTTTTAGCAAAGATTTGATTGTTAGTTGATTATATTATTAATCGATTGGTATTTAGATCATTTCTTGGCTTGGGAGATAATTGATCAGGTTAGAATTTGCTGATTACCATGAAATGATGTACTGATTTCAAGTTAATCATATTGGTCACAGAATCATTTTCACTCATCACGAGTTGGGGACCACAAGAATCATTGCAAATCTCCTGATTTGTTGGTATTTAGAGTTGAGAGAGAGAGAGAGAGAGGAAAAACTAGAATTTTGTTAATTTCGTTGAATTAACGACCAGATAGAATCAAATTGTTTCGCTGAGCAATCATAAATCACGATGGAATTGGCCACTTTCTCTTGGAAATTTCTTTCATTCAATTGAGAGCAGAACAGAAATTGAGGATTGTCAACCAAATCGATGCCAATTTCACGAGCTAATAGAGTAATGTAAACATCCTCCAGAAAATAAATATCCTTCCGAGAAGTTAATTTAGCATGATTAACTAATAGTATCACAGCGGCTCGAGTCAGTACGTACATGGGACCTGCAGGGTAGGGCGGATAATAATCGAGGTAATTTAACTTATGATGATCCTCGAAAGGCATACAATGTCTCTGTTTCCACCAAACGAAACAAGGACCATTAGATTTGAGAAGATGGCCAATGATTGCATGAGAATTTGAAAAAGTGGCTAAATTGGTAACCAAATTGTCCACATTAATGACCGCATCATCGTCCACTTTAATAAAATATTTCGCCTGAGAACAGTGGCTTTTGTACCATGAGAGAGAGGCGATTGTTTTGAGAGTCAAGTTCCTCCAATCATCGACAAGGTTGAATTGCAGAATATCTTGATTAATTTCATCTTCCATTAGAATTTCTGTTGAATCCTCATGGAAAACGGAAGATCCCAGTGAGAAGAGAACCTTCATTCCAACTGAGAGAGCATCTTTCATCCATGTTGCTCTTATTTGATCTCGTCGCTCTTTTGATCGGATACTGGAAATTATCATGATGAACGCTAAAGGTTCAGAATTTTTACACAAATTTGGTTTGGAGATTACGTAAGATTCAGTTGAGTTGATCAGTTGACGGTCGATAAATGCTTTCGGTGAACATCGAGGGCACCAACGCCCTGTCCGAGAATAAATAAATGTCTCTTTGAATGCGGTTTCAAACCAGGTTAAATTGGCCATCAAAAAGAAAACAATTGTTAGAGTGAAACATGTTTGGTAATATTTCAATCTCGGTGGTGAAGCTTTCAAGCTCTTCACATATCGCAACAGTACAAACATTGTTTCCAATCCGATGTTTTCATGAGACAACAGATTTTCCGGTTAATTTTGTTAGATTCGTGTTCCAAGTCAGTGATAGATTTGCATATAAATATGTCACCAGTCAAATGGTTTTCATATTATGCTGGTGGATTATCATGTTCCAAATGTTAAAGAACAACAAGAAAATTATGATGGCGCGTTAATTAGACGATTGGTGAGGGGGAAAATCGTGAGATGTGAGATTATTATGATCCAAAGGAGATTCCAGAGAATTGAGAAAACAAAAGGATGTAGAAGACAAAGAAAGAGACAAAGAGAGGCAGAAAAAAGAGATTATTTGAAAAAATTCTCTGTAAACTTGAAGACACTAATGGAGATTCATGAAAACCACTGGAACCACTGATTAGAAATTGGGTGAATTTTTTTCTCTATCTTGGTAAGACATTTTTTTTTGAACACTTGTTAAATGGAATTGAGGTTAAAGGAGAGAGGAGAAGAAGGATAAACACAAAACATTGAGAATAGAAAACATAGAAAATGAAAGATGAGGATGAGGATGAGGAAAAAGATCAAAGAACAGAGGGAAAAATAGTTGATTGCTCTATAGATGTTTATGATTTTCACCAAAAAATTTTTGGGTGAGAATTTATTGTTTTAATGCCAATCATGGTGACAATTTTACATTTTACGTTTGGTGACAATAATTAGTGGAAATGAAAAGAAATGCTAACCAGGGGGAAATGGAAGAGAAAAAGAGTTGAGGAAAACGTTGCTTATTCTCTGCCAGTCAAACCACTTCTGTTTTCAGAAAAAGAGGAAAATGAGAGAGAAAGAGGAAAAAAAGAAAGAGAGAGAAAGGGAGAAAGTAAATAGAAAGAGAAAAATGAAAATGAAAATATGTTTGGTTTGATGATGAGGATTATGATCACTGATGTTGATCGTTAATTGACAATGTAATTAGTTTTGACAGTTGATTGACCTTCAACTGAGAAACACTCGTTTCATGACGAGTTTTTTATCTGTTTTCGTAACAAAATCTAAATCTTTTTGGTCAAAAATCACATTGGTGCCAAGAGTTAATTGATATTCACCTCGAAAGAAACAATTATCTATTTGCAACATTGGCTCGTTTGTTTCAATGCCGATGAATTTTGCTGAGGTGAGTTTGTCCTTCATAGCAAGACGGTCAATTAAACCAGAAAATTCAACGACAAAATATTTCTCCTTCTCACTTTCACCATTCGTATTACAATCATTACAATTATTAGAATCACTATTTGTATTGTTGTTGTTACCATCACCAGAGTTTAAGCCACTTGATCCACTTGGTTCACTTTCCATTATAATGATAAAGATTGTCCAAGATGAGAGAGATGCGAGAATTGTAATTTAATCAACAAGTGTTTTAAAAACGAGACACGAGAATTAAAAATCAAATGAAATTGAAAGTTACAGCATAAACATATGAGAAAATAACAAGTATAGAGAGCGATAGAGAAAGAGAAAGAGAGAGAGAGAGAAAGAGAAAGAGAGAGAGAGAGAGAGAGAGAGAGAGAGAGAGAGAGAGAGAAAAGGTAAACACAAATGGCGGTTGATTAAATTTTCATCTTTTGAGTAAAATATGTATAAAAATAATTTTATCATTTCTTTAATTTTCTCTCCTTTGGTTTTTGGGTAATAATTTAATCCATCTGGTGATTTAATTGATTGTTGTTACTAATTGTGGTGTTGCTTGACCACCTGTACCATCACTTTCTGCTTGGCGAGTGGCCACCCAATTGGTAAATGCAGTCTTGCAATGTTCAACTGCACAAATTGCTGAACAATATTCATAATCCCAATCAGAATTTTCAACTGCTAAATTACAACAACCAATTCTTATACATTTAGGCTCGTTGTTTTCTCCTTGTTTAAATCCATTAAAATAGGGATTGGAAATCTTTCCACAATCTGGTAATCGCCATAATTTGTTTACCATTCTGTTGTTATTATCACTCATTTCCATTGGTCTCATCTCTGAATCATCACCTTCACCGTCGGTACCATTTAAACCATCAACATTTGTACTCTCAGTACCATTTTCATCTATTGTAATTGGCTCAGTGGTTGATCCAGAAATGTCACTCTCCATGATTAAACTAAGAATTAAATAAATCAAAAAGGTTTTACTATTTAAAATAATTATCAACAAAGAAAAACATAAACAACATCAACAAACAGGTTGAAAGCTAATGAACCAAAGGGAAAAAAAGAGAAAAAGAAAAAAAATTTCTACCATTTTAGTTGCTTTTTCTCTCACCAGGTAGAGACACAGTTCGTTCTTTCAAATTTTCTTTTCTCGAATTGTCAAAAACTTTGACAATTTGAGATGAAAATTTAACCATGAAAATTAACATTTCTAATTAGGAATCAACCATGAGATCCACGGTGAATAAATTTGCTTCATGGACTCATAATTTCAGGGAGAATTATGAATCATAGATTTTGACCTTAGAAAAGGTCAAAAATCGATAAGGATTGTTGATCGAGTTGAGAAAACAAAAAGTAAACAAAAAGTGAACGTAAAGTTTGATACTCGAAAAGAGATACAATGAATGTTAATTGTAATTCTAAATCAACATTGATAAGTGGTTTAAATGAAAATCTCTCAGATGATCAACAATCAGCTGAATCAATAGCTTTTTTAAAATGTTTATTTCGTTTAAATTGTTCACAAAAAAATTGTACTTTTTAATCACTTGTTCAAATTGGGACAACAATTAAGAGTTAGAGATGAAGATTGATAACAATTAATTACTTTCTTACTAATTAAACCCTTTAAGTAACTAATGATGTAACCCAGTTGATTGTCTCTTAATCATCATAAACATTAACTAATAAAGAGAGAGTACAATTTAGGTTTAATTGATTGACAATTAACTTAATCATCTCGTAAATTTGATCATTAATGATTTTTTTTCTTCTTATTATTAATCAAATAAATTATTCATTAATTAATATTAAATTCAATGAGTGATGAAGATAACGAGATTGTTAATGATTAACCAAAATCAACAAGTCAAATTGGGACCTTTCTTACGTTTGAATAACGAGGAGTTAAGCAGGTCAAGGTAAGTGTTTTCAAGGTTAAGATCTCTATTTCTTATCCAAAGAGCAAGATATTCATCACCTTTCAGTCCTTCGAATGTTTCAAAACCCGAAGTTAAGATGAGATAATGAGATTTTACCTCTTCCACCGACCATAAGTGCCTTTGGCTTGGATCTCCGCGAGATTGGACAAGGTATTGCAAGTCTTCCCAATTCATTAGAAAACTACTACGCTGGCAAGTAAATATGGACGCCAAATTCCTTTGCTGGAGCACATTCAACACTGGAACCTTATTCAAAGTATTCTTGATATAATGGTCACTAACCCATTCAGATAGAGCATCTTTCAGCTCTTGAGAGTACTTTTTGTAAGCATATAGTTTAATTTCAAGTTTATCCATGTTTAATTGAAAACTAGCAAACAAAATCAACTGATTTAAAGTTATTGAGACAAAAGGATATAGAAAACAAAAAATTAACTCAATATAAACTGAATATCAGTAACTGAAATGATCGATTGAGAATCGGACCGTTGAAGATAAGAATCGATCCAATTGTTCAAAATTGTAATAAGTAAACGGAGATCTTAGAAAATCAAGAAACTGGTGAAGATTTAGGAAATCGTAATAGTTTTGGTAAAAAGCCATTAGACATCGATCAAGCTGATGATTCAATCACTCGTAATCCTGATCGACCTGCTATGTTACCCCTCGAAGATACTCGAGCCAATGATGAAGATATTGACAATAGACGAAGAATAATCCAAAGAATATCATCTCCAGAGAAATGGAATTAACTCAAATGTTACACGCAAATGCGATTGATAAATCAGCTCTTCCGAATTTGATGAAACCACCGGCTTATTACCAAAGCCGGATGAAGATGATAACGAAGATATTGAAGTAGAAACCATTGAAGATCCAACACCATTCCGTCGAGGTCATGGACGTTCAGCTCAAGAATTAAGTCCAGTTAGAATAGTAAAAAATCCCGATGGTTCTCTGGCACAATCAGCCATGATGCAATCAGCTTTAGCCAAAGAGCGGCGAGAGTTGAAACAACAGGCAAGAGACGCTGAGATAGAAGGAGCTCCTTCAGGCTTGAATAAAAATTGGATCGACCCAATGGAAGAAAATGAAAGTCGTGGACTAGCAGCAAATGCTAGATCATCAAACAGTGTCCCTGAATTACCTGAATGGAAAAAGCATATAAGCGGTGGGACGAAAGCATCGTATGGTAAAAAGACTCAATTGTCCATAATCGAGCAGAGAGAAAGTCTTCCCATCTTCAAGTTGAAAGATGAACTGATCAAGGCAGTTGCAGATAATCAAATCTTAATTGTTATCGGTGAAACGGGTTCAGGTAAAACGACACAGATCACTCAGTATCTCGCCGATGCAGGTTATATTTCTCGAGGTAAAATTGGCTGTACTCAACCAAGAAGAGTGGCTGCAATGTCGGTTGCCAAACGTGTCGCTGAAGAGTTTGGTTGTCGATTGGGACAAGAAGTTGGTTATACTATTCGTTTCGAGGATTGTACAAGCCCAGAGACTTTAATTAAATACATGACAGACGGAATGTTACTTCGTGAATGTTTAATTGACTCCGATTTAAATGGTTATTCAATTATCATGTTGGACGAGGCTCATGAACGGACAATTCATACCGATGTTTTATTTGGATTATTGAAACAGGCGGTTAAAAAAAGATAAGAACAAAAGAGAAACAATTAATTTATATTCCTCCAGCGTAAATCATCAATCAAACATGAAGAGAAAACAAAGAGAGTAATCAAAACTCATTTAATCAAAAACCATTTTTTAGCAAAGATTGTTAGTTGATAATATTATTAATCGATTAGTATTTAGATCATTTCTTGGCTTGGGAGATAATTGATCAGGTTAGAATTTGCTGATTACCATGAAATGATGTACTGATTTCAAGTTAATCATATTGGTCACAGAATCATTTTCACTCATCACGAGTTGGGGACCACAAGAATCATTGCAAATCTCCTGATTTGTTGGTATTTAGAGTTGAGAGAGAGAGAGAGAGAGAGAGGAAAAACTAGAATTTTGTTAATTTCGTTGAATTAACGACCAGATAGAATCAAATTGTTTCGCTGAGCAATCATAAATCACGACGGAATTGGCCACTTTCTCTTGGAAATTTCTTTCATTCAATTGAGAGCAGAACAGAAATTGAGAATTGTCAACCAAATCGATGCCAATTTCACGAGCTAATAGAGTAATGTAAACATCCTCCAGAAAATAAATATCCTTCCGAGAAGTTAATTTAGCATGATTAACTAATAGTATCACAGCGGCTCGAGTCAGTACGTACATGGGACCTGCAGGGTAGGGCGGATAATAATCGAGGTAATTTAACTTATGATGATCCTCGAAAGGCATACAATGTCTCTGTTTCCACCAAACGAAACAAGGACCATTAGATTTGAGAAGATGGCCAATGATTGCATGAGAATTTGAAAAAGTGGCTAAATTGGTAACCAAATTGTCCACATTAATGACCGCATCATCGTCCACTTTAATAAAATATTTCGCCTGAGAGCAGTGGCTTTTGTACCATGAGAGAGAGGCGATTGTTTTGAGAGTTAAGTTCCTCCAATCATCGAAAAGATTAAATTGTAGAATATCTTGATTAATTTCATTTTCTATCAGAATTTCTGTTGAATCCTCATGGAAAACGGAAAATCCCCGTGAGAAGAGAATCTTCAATCCAACTGAGAGAGCATCTTTCATCCATGTTGCCCTTATTTGATCTCGTCGCTCTTTTGATCGGATACTGGAAATTGTAATGATGAACGCTAAAGGTTCAGAATTTTTACACAAATTTCTTTTGGAGATTACGTAAGATTCAGTTGAGTTGATCAGTTGACGGTCGATAAATGCTTCAGGTGTTTACCATTCTGTTGTTATTATCACTCATTTCCATTGGTCTCATCTCTGAATCATCACCTTCACCGTCGGTACCATTTAAACCATCAACATTTGTACTCTCAGTACCATTTTCATCTATTGTAATTGGCTCAGTGGTTGATCCAGAAATGTCACTCTCCATGATTAAACTAAGAATTAAATAAATCAAAAAGGTTTTACTATTTAAAATAATTATCAACAAAGAAAAACATAAACAACATCAACAAACAGGTTGAAAGCTAATGAACCAAAGGGAAAAAAAGAGAAAAAGAAAAAAAATTTCTACCATTTTAGTTGCTTTTTCTCTCACCAGGTAGAGACACAGTTCGTTCTTTCAAATTTTCTTTTCTCGAATTGTCAAAACTTTGACAATTTGAGATGAAAATTAACCATGAAAATTAACATTTCTAATTAGGAATCAACCATGAGATCCACGGTGAATAAATTTGCTTCATGGACTCATAATTTCAGGAGAATTATGAATCATAGATTTTGACCTTAGAAAGGTCAAAATCGATAAGGATTGTTGATCGAGTTGAGAAAACAAAAAGTAAACAAAAAGTGAACGTAAAGTTTGATACTCGAAAAGAGATACAATGAATGTTAATTGTAATTCTAAATCAACATTGATAAGTGGTTTAAATGAAAATCTCTCAGATGATCAACAATCAGCTGAATCAATAGCTTTTTTAAATGTTTATTTCGTTCAAATTTTTCACAAAAAAAGTTGTACTTTTTTATCACTTGTTCAAATTGGGACAACAATTAAGAGTTAGAGAGGAAGATTGATAACAATTAATTACTTTCTTACTAATTAAACCCTTTAAGTAACTAATGATGTAACCCAGTTGATTGTCTCTTAATCATCATAAACATTAACTAATAAAGAGAGAGTACAATTTAGGTTTAATTGATTGACAATTAACTTAATCATCTCGTAAATTTGATCATTAATGATTTTTTTTCTTCTTATTATTAATCAAATAAATTATTCATTAATTAATATTAAATTCAATGAGTGATGAAGATAACGAGATTGTTAATGATTAACCAAAATCAATTCACCTTGATTTATGTAATCATTTATTAACCATTTTCACAATTAATTGTGATGATGATTAACACAAACGAATCAAGAGAAACAAAAATTAATACACTTACAAATTTAACTATTTGATGGTTGATTAAATTGTTGTTTGATGTCTAACAATCAAAGTCATCCAATTCACCCGAAACACAATTAAAGCTAATTTTAGGCACAACTAATCAACTAATTGTTGCCAAATACTAAGATACTTATCAAAATCATCATCATTTTGATGATCAATATTTGTTTCCCCTTGAAATTAATTGTTATAACAATCAGTTATTATCAATAACAATTAACATTTACAGGGCATTTTTTTATCCACTGGGCTATTTCCCTAAATATCTCTCGAGCTAAAAGTCATATGAATGTCAAACTTGGCCAGAGGACTGAACGGAATTGAAGCCCTTGACCCTACGATTTTCAAGGTCATTGAGGTCATTCCCCGAAGGATGCGTTGAAAGGTCATTTCAAGGGAAATGGCCTTAGTGGATAAGAAAATGCCCTGTACATATCTTTGTTTGAATGTTTGTCTTAATTGTTGATTCCTTTTAAATTGTTAACTCCATGTAGTTTATCTGATTATCAATTCATAACAAAATCAATTCAATCAACCAAACACAAAAAAGTCATTGAAATTTCAATCAATAATCAATTAAGCAATTTAATTGTCACAATTAAAGATGAAACATAATTTCATATTCAATAGTCATTCTTAATTGTGACAGTTAATCAATTGTTATTTCGCAAGAATAAATTAACTAGATTAGTTGATTAGTGATGACGATGATCATTTCTCATAAATTAAGATGTGATAATTTGTCCTTGATTCAACAATAATCAAACTAATTAAAATTAATTGTTAATGATCTTGAACTGTCACCATTAAGTTATCCTCTAACTACAATCAAAGTTAATCAACAAGTGCAACAGTAATCAAACATGAATAAACGGAAGTTAATTGTGACAATTAACTCTTTCAATCCAAAAGTTAATTGTTAAATTGATTCGTTGGGGGGAAAACAATCAAACTATTTTTAGTTGTTAGTTAATTGTTGAGAATTAACTTTGTTTTGTTTCGTAGACTAGAGATTTAATTTAATTAACTTAATGTGTATTTGTGTGTCTGCATAGTTGATTAATTGTGATTAAAGTTTTTGTGTAACAATCAGTTAATTAACCAACCAGATTTAACCAGAAGAAAATGATTATCAATGTTAATGAACCAATTAACAAGGTTAAGGTGATGATTAATTACTAGGAATTTTCATTTCTTTAATTGTCTCTGATTAGTATTGATTAGTAATGATGAGTTGATTAACTTCATCGGAAGTAATCAATCAACACTAATTAATGGCAAAATCATGTAAATAATCAACGATTAATTAATGAAAACGAGAAAAAAAATTTCTTGTCATCACTTTGACTTGTGAAAAAAATTGATTATTTCCCATCCTTTAATCACAACAATTAACATCTCATTTAAGTTAATTGTTACGATCATTGGTTAATCTAATTTCCGTTTAATAGTACGTAACCTTAATTGTTGTGTGAATAAACTTCCGTCTAAGTTAATCAATTAAATTTACTTTTCCTTCCCTTATAATCAAAGAAAATGTGATCAACAACAATTTAATTTTTGTCTATCAAGGGTTGATAATTGTTGCAAATTAATATGATCGTTAATTTGTTCAAACAATTTAATTATAATACCAATTAGACTATAATTAAATAGATGCATTTAATTGTTCAAATTTGATAAAAACTTTTCAACACTTAATTTCCTATTGTTTTAATTATTGACTTGAACAAATTGCTGCTAAATTGTTAATGTAATTGTAATTACAAGGTCATCTTGTTATTTAATTAACGGTGTTAATTAATAGTGTTACAATGATCAAGGTTAATCAATGATGTATATTTTTAATCATCAGCTTGTTAAATTGTGTTGAAAGTTGATTAAGATTAACACTTTGATTGCTGTGACAATTTAGAGAGCTAAAAATGATCAAACAGTAATTAGGAAAATTGTAATTGCAATTAACTAATTGAAATGCAAATTAAATTTCTCATATGGTTTATACACATTGCAAATATAATTTACAATAATTAAATCTTAATTTACTTATTATTACATCTGATTACCTTAATTAGTTAAATTAGTCCAGGTAAAAGCAATAATAACAAATTTCCAATCAATGGTTACAATTAAAATTAAACCAATGGTTGGTAAAAGTAAACAAATGATTAAATTGTTAAAGTTTACAATCAACTTGTTAGTATATAAACAAGGTCAATCTAATGATAACAATTAAGATACAATTACAATTACAATGTTAATAATTATCGTAAGAAAATCCCGTAAGCTTAATTGTTTCTGGTTAATTTGATTGCATAACTCAATTTAACAATCATAACATTTACAATTAAATAATTTAAGGTTTACATGGGGATGATTAATCTTGATTGTGATGAAAGAGTTGATCCATTGATGCTATTTTAAAGTTGATTGTCTCGAGTAAACAATTTACTAATTGTTGGTTACCAATCAGTCATCCTTGTTTCCTTCATGATTAAAATTCAAGATTAAATTGTAACCATTGTGAACAATTTAAATTGTGAACAAGTTAACAAAATTAACTCTTCTCGGTTATTTAAATCAATCTTGTTGTGAAGATTTTTAATTGTAAACGGGAAATCCTTTGATTTTTTTTCGCAGTTTGACAATTTAGTTAATTGTAATCAATTCACCTAATGAATGGCCAATGTTTTCAGGGTTTTTTTTCACAAATCATTAACAATCAACTGGTTAATTATCAATTAACCTTTATCGTTATGCTTTGATTCCTTTCTTGATTGTTAATATATTGATACCATTTATCTTTCACATTGTATATCGACCCAAGACAATTAAGACAAATCAAGACAATTAACATTATGAGATCTCATCTTCGTCCAAAAGTAAATTACCAGCCGATTCTATTTCTATCCTTCTCTTGATTGTGAACCCAATTGGAAAAATATCTTTGTCAATCAACCTTGGAATTAAAGAAATATATTGAGAAGACAAATAATCATTAGAATACCTAGTTAGTTAATTACGATTGGAAATAGTGATTAACAAGCAACAACAAGTAACAAATGAATACACTTACCTTTCTCTCCCCAGACAGAATCAATCATCATGATTATCAGAATTGATATGGAATTTCAAGTTTTACAATAAGAACCTTTGATTGATAAGTTAAATCGTTAATTGTTATTTACACCAAAAGAAACAACAAAAACCAAACCATCGGCAATTAAACAAACCTTTGGGGTTGAGCGTTTAATGATCATCCAGATTTAATGATTAACTTTATTTTCCTGCAACAAATTTCAAATACAACCATTAGAAATCAACTAACCATCCACAGGTACACAAAGACAATGAAATAAATAAATTGCCAATGGAAACAATTAACCATCAATTTAATCACAAAGAAAAAAAAACAATTCAATTTGAGAAAATGAAAAACATAAACACTCACCTGATAATCGGACATTTTCATATACACAATAATCATCTCCCATTGACCAGAATACCATAAGTCACTTAATTGTCCAATTAAATTTACACACAAATTAATAAACAATAGAAATTAAATTAAATTAAATGACAATTAAGAAAATTGGAAAAGAAAAACAAAATTGGAGGGAAGAAAAAAAAAAGAATAGAAAACCGATCATATGTTTTATGCTCTATTCTTTTTATGCTTTTTCCAAATTAATTTTCTTTCGGCTGATTAATCGTTTCCTTCCAAATTTGAACCAAGTTAATTTCTCTCAATTGCAAATGAAATAAACTCTCAGCAATTAGAATAATTAATTTAAATACTTTGTTAATTGTGAATTTAATCCTTCCTCTTTTAACTCGTATATTTGATTACCAGCATTTAATTAACCACCTTTATGCTTTTTCCATCTCTCTCTCTCGATATTTACTCTCACTTAATTGACTCTCTCTTTCAAGGTGATTACATTGATCATCTTGTTGTTCAATTGTTTCACCAACAATTAAATGTTTTTTTCTTATCAATTGTTAACACAACGTCATCATTATCATCTCCATCTCCATCACCAGAATCAACAACAATTAACTAAAACACCAACAAACAAACACTAAATTGTTTACACTTTTGTCAACCCTTTTTTCATTCATCTCACCCAAATGTTACTCTCACCCAATAGGTTAATTGTTAAATTGTTTATCATCCAATTAACACCACTAATTAATAATAAGGTAATTATATTAACTGTAATTACAATTTTTCCATCTTTTCATTCAATTGGTTTAGTTTAATTGTTGTTTACTGATTTTCTTGTTTTGGTCATTTTTGTTTACTTTCACATTTTCATCTGTGATTGTTAATTGTTTCATCATCATCTCTTTGATTGTGTTTACAATTAACTCACTCTAATCAATATCAGCTGAATTTGATTAGCCTAATTAGTTTAATGTGTATTTGGATCAGTTGATTACTCTTACATTATCTAATTATTACCACCACTAAAGATATATAGATATTCAATAATTTACTAATTATCAAGTGTATCTTTAATTGTGATCAAATTTAATTTTCTCGTTTTGTTTATTCTGTTGAAAAATTAACTATTTCACAATCAAATTAAATAACAACTCTAATTGTTACCATTGAAAATCTATGCTGGTTATCAGTGGTAACAATTAAATCTGGATCAACATGTAGATTAATTTGTCATCAATCAATAACAAACAATCAAATGATAAACATTAGTTAAAATCAAATTAATTGACAGTTAATTGTTATTGAAAAATTCACAGAAAACAATTAACCTCCAACCAAATCAAATTGTACAATTAAATTGTTGATTCTCGTATATATAAAATCAAGAAATTGAGACTAATTGTTTTCCATTAAATGAAATCACAATTAAATTGTTATCAAATTTTGAATCAAAAATCTATCAAAATTTGTTAATTGTATCAATGAACTTGTCACTAATAATAATCAATCTGTTAACCATGAAAGTCTATTATTAACAATTAAATGTCTCACACAATTAGATTGACTTTTAGGTGAAACTTTTTTAATTTCTAATCAAAAATCAAATGTTTAACAATTATCATTATTATTGTCACACTTTGTCATCTTAATTGTTCACTAATCATGGTTTTATCAACCACAACAATTAACTGAACAAGTGAAAAACATAATAATAAACAAATTTCATTTCGCTTTCATCTTTCAACTTAATCAACTAATCTGATGTAATCAAATAATAACAATTAATTCATATTATGTGTTCAATTAAGTTGTAAATTGTTAACATAGTGATCAACGATAGTACAACAATCAACCAAATACAATAATCAACAATCAATTGTAATTACCAGAATTAATTAACTATGACAATATCAAAGATGCGAACCAAAAAAACAGCAAAGTTTAGTTAATCAATTATCTAATGATTTACCTGAACAATTTGTGTGACAATTAATTTAATCAATTGGGGTGACAATTTAAATTGTTATTTTACAACAATTAGTTAACAAATTTACTGAATTAATTGAGAAAAATATGAAAAAAAAACTAGGAAGTCTTTGTACCTTGAACCTTAATGAGATTGTTAATCAACACGACGACGACAACAACAATTAACTAATTTACTTTTACTCTCACATAGATTTGTTAATCAAGATAAACAAGGTCGTTTAATTATCAATCTATTATTGATCATCATCATTATCGTTTATTGTTAATTGTCAATGTGACTAAATTGCCTTGGTTAATCATCTTTTCGGATTTAATTATGTTATTTTTCACGTAATTGATTTCTCTTTATCAATTTAATTTCCAACAATTTAATATTATCATTGTCTTGCCTAATCATAATCAAAAAGAAACTAAATTAACGTCATCATTATGTTGTTAGAACCGTGATTATATCGTGTTTGATTTGATTGTAAACACTAATTCCCAGTAATCAAAGTAACTCATTTAAATTAACTTACTAACCAAAGTGAATTAAAATTAATTGCGATACTCTGATTAGTGATAATTGTTTAAATTATGTACATGGCAATGATAATTTTTGTAGTGATTTGTTTTCATGGTGACAAAATAATACTCACATTGTCAAATAATGATAATAATACGGGTTAATTGTTATATATTAAAATCCTAATCAATGACAATTAACAATTAAAACTATTGTTTACAAGTAAAAGTGAAAACCTTACATCTACTCTGGTCTAATTGTATCATCATCAAGAATAACAATTAACGAAACATGAACAATCAATGATTCCTCCAATGGTATTGTACAAATTTAGTGTTAATTAAAGAGGAGAAATTAACAAATCAACTTTAATTGTCGCATTTTTTGATTCCTCAATCAATTGAAAACTTTGTTTACCTTTTTGAGACATATCGATGGCAATGACTGATTAATCAAAAATGATAAATCATCTCTTTTATAAATATACCTGAAGAATGAGAGAGAGAGAGAGAGAGAGAGATGATGATGATGATGAAGGTGGGAATTGGGGGGATAAAGGGTAGAGATGATAACTAATCAATCATCTAACATTCATTTATCATCTTTTTCTCATTCTAATTATGAAAAAACTCCCATTTGAATCTTGGTTGCAACCTCATAATTATCATGTATGAATACAACTCAGTGTATCATGATGATAATGATAATTATCATGATTCCTTATTACAATTAACTAGAAAAAGTGAAATATGTTATTGTGACGTTGGAGTCCACTCAGCAATTAGTAAATAACAACATTGTTTGAAAACAATTTAGAAAGAGAGAGAGAGAGAGAGAGAGAGAATATTATTCGGAAATGATTAGTAAATTGGTTGATGACAATTAGTTGATTAGTTGCTCAAGAAAAAAACACCACACAGTGTGTGACAATCTGATGAGATGATGATGATGATAATAGTGAACCCAAATGATCAGTATATATAAATTGTTTTTCCCTCGTAAACCTCAGTTCCAACATATGAGTGCCTAGAAGAGCATCAACAATTAACTTAACAATAGTAAACAATTAATATCGTCGTAACAATTTACTAAAAATCTCTGTTATTCTGTTGATTAATCCAATTTGAAATATTTCATCAATTCTTATCCTCAGGGTGAACCAAATGTTATTTGTATCTACCTGTTGCTTTTATCCTCGTTTTTATAATCATCCTCATCCATAGTGATCATCATCATCATCACCATCTAATGCCGCATCTTCATTCAACAATTAATGATTTACTTTACCAAAACAATCAAGTTCACTTTCAATTAACTGTCTGTCAAACGATTTAAACAATAACAACAAGAGACAAACTGATCACTTTTCGTCACTTCGTCTTTTTTATTGTTCGTTTCAATTTTTTTCTCTCTCTTCTTCGTTAACGTTTCCACCTTCAACATTTTCCACCTCCCTCCCTGGTTAAAAGTCTCCCTTTGTCTCTCTCTCTCACTCATCGTTAATTGTTAACGTCGTTTATGTTAATCAATTGAACTAAAACTCCATTTGGTGGATAACGAACTGAAACATCCCTGAACAAATTTCAGAACTTATTGTGACGTATGTCGACCGTTTTGTCTCATTCGCTATTCGTTATTGTAATTATCCTTTTCCATTGATTCATCTAATTTACTTTTCACTTCATTCAAGTTTCTCTCTCTCTCTCTCTCACTTGCCCACCCTTATCTCTCACTAACTCACTCATTTACTCACTCACTCACACACACACACTCTCTCTCTCAAACCATTTCACCTCCTTCTCTATCCCAATCGGGATAATCTTACAAGTGTTAAACTACAAAGTCTCAATTATTGTCCAAAGACCTAAATCATCAATCGTTTTAATTAATTAACAGTGAAAAGTAAAACGTGAACCGAATCGGAATCAACAATTACAATCACAATTATCCAAATATCAACATCATCAAATTAATCGATAAAAAGTTCAATCGTTTCTCATCCTGAAACTTTTTCTCTCTTTCTCTGTCTTTTCCTGTTCCTTGGTGCCTTCGAACAGATCAAATTGAACTATTCTCTCGTTTCTTAAATCAATCGGGATCCAATTAAAGAGTGACCATTGTCAAGATCGTTCTAAATTGTTCTCTACCCCAAATCGAAAGCCAAATTCAACAAGATGACCGACATCATTGGACAAGCGGAATCAGCGACCATCCACAAACCCGTCAAGAAAAAAGGACGAATCAATCGGATGCGACAAGTCCCTTGTTTGGGAATATTTTTTGCTATTCTTTATGCTTTCTTCATGTCATCAGCCGTCACCGCAGTTAAACTAATCACACTTCATCCAATCGAGGTTCTTGTCTTCAGGTGAGTCGATTATCATGATTACTTGATTGTCTTCATCATCTTTATTATCATCATCATCAACGATTAAACTGTTTCCTTGCTTTTTTTACACCAACAATTGAAAAGTTACTATTGTGTTCAAACAAGTTCAATTGTTTGTCCAACTTTTTCACTCGAAAAACTTTTTATTTTCAATTTGATTCTCGAATCGATTGTTGTTATTGTCTTATTATCATTATCGATCCCATTAAGATGTTAGAGAGTTAATTAGATTAATTAATCAATGCTAATTCCTCAATCTTTGTCTTTAATTTTGTCTACAGAACGAGAAAGTTAAATTGTTTTATTAATTGTCAAGGTTAATGATTAGATTGTTGTGTTTGTCAATATAATTTACCCATCTGAGTAAATTGGACTATGAAACCAATCATTTGTTTCCATACTAAATTGTTGATTTAAAATGATTAACTTTTGATGGTTTTGATTAAATTGTTTAACTTTTTCTAAACTAATGACAATTGTGACTGATTGTTGATCAAGATCATCATTCAATGATTATCAAATTGTTAGACACTTTTTACTTGAAAATTAACAGAAAAAAGTTTCACAACTTAATATGAATACTTGAGTTTAATTTCAACATCAATCATAATTGTTAATTGTTGATTAGTTTTTGTTTGATTTAAAAAAATCAATGTTTAAATTAACTGATTAGATCCGAGTACTTGATTTTAATTTCAATATTTGATTTAGATATCGATCTAATCTTATCATTTAATTTTCAATGGCAATTTAAATTTAAATCACTTGATAATCTTAATTGTAACCATATAATAAACTTAATTATAAATTGTATCTTCAAATAATTGGTTAAACTTGTCAAATGATAATGAACAATTAAACAGAATTACAATTAAGTAATTAACTGATTACCTACAATAAGATCATAAAAAGTTAATTCATAAGAAAGTGATGATTAGATGATGAGAGTGAGAGAGGTAATTAACTTTCATCACTCAGCTGATGTAACTAAATAATGATAAAGACAATCAAGACAATTAGACAACAATTATATTGATTTACCTTTGTAATTCAAATGAAAATGTTAATCATGATTGGATTAAATCAATAAACCAGTTAACGAAAAAAAAAACTTTTTTTTCCTTTCTCAGGTCAATCATTCAAACGATAGTTTTTGGACTGATCGCTCTTTATAATAAAAGGTCACCTTGGGGCTTACCTCAGGAGCGATGGTCACTAGTCGGTCGAGCGGTAACTGGTGCTATCAATCAGGGATGTTGGTACATTTCTGTTCGTAAAATTTCATTGACCGATTCATCGGCTGTCTATTACAGTGCCCCCGTTTACGTGGCGCTTTTGGCCTACGTTTTCCTTAAAGAACCTTTCGGCATGTTCGAAGGTGTCTCAATAATCGTTACCGTTATCGGTGTGATAACGATATCGAAGCCCTCATTTATTCCCATATTTGGTAATGATTCTGAATCTCTATCCGGTGAACATTTGGAAGGCCTTTTATTTGCCCTTGGCGGTGCTTTAACTTTCGCATGTTCAAACATTTTTGTTCGTAAATTACAAAAAACGTCAACCGAAATCACGACAAGTTGGTTTTCCATTGCCTGTGTTGTCCTTGGTTCCATAGTGGTTGCTTATTATAAAGCATTTCGCTTTCCAACTGACCCATTTGAATGGTTCATCATTACCGCTTCCGGAATATCGGGTGTTCTTGGTAACATTTGCTTTGTCACCGCTCTTAAAATTGAGAAAGCGGGTCCCGTCTCAGTGGCACAAACATGTAACATCGTCATCGTCCTTATTTATCAGATCGCTTTCTTCAACGAACCTCTATCAATATTCACATTGATTGGTGCCTTTCTCATCGCCTCATCAGTAGCATTAACAGGTAACTCAATCAATTTCTCTCTCTCACTCGATCAACTCACCTACGAACAATTAACCAAACAAAAATTGAGATTGTGTTTGTTAAATCAGTTGATCAACTTTTCTTCACCATTATTTGGACTGTTTTACTTTTAATTAACAATAATTAATCATAGAAATATATTTGTTCAGGTAAATAATATGAATTTGTTTTCTTTGATTAATTCAATTTGAAGGCCAAGGTTAATTTTTGTTGATTTAGATTTTGTTGACTTTTTGTTTATATGATTAGTTTATGAATGTTAATTAACTAATTTAGTAGCTTGATGAACAGAAAAATGATTAATCACATTGACAATTAATCATTAACATTTTCAATGATAGTAATTTTTGTTTACCATTTTGATTGAGGTTTTTTGTTTCTCAATACAAATCAAATTAAAGTTAATCAATCCAGTTGATCAGTCTATGAATTTGTTTATTGAGAAGTTTAAATTGTTACAATGATGATGATTAAGTTGTTTTAATCACCACTCGAATTGTTATAATTATATTTATTACCCAATAGGTGTTAATAACAATTAAGAAAAGGATTAGAGTCGGAACAATCAAGTCTAATTAAGTTTAATTTGGTTTCTCTCTTTCTCTATCTGGTTAATTGTTTGAAGGAAAATCTAAAATCTAAAACATTCACTTGGAATCATTTAATTACCTAATCATGATTGTAAATGTTATCGTCTCAAATCAAGAGGTTGTTAATTAACAGTTATTACTAATTATTATCTAACAATTACCAAAGTTAGGTAAACAATTAAATCACCACTACGAACCTCATCTTACATAATAATCAATCATCACCTCATTGTTTAAATTGTGAACAAATCAACAAGTAAATCACAATTAATCTTGATGATTAAAAAACAAAAGGTAGGAGTTGAAAGTATATAGAAAATTTAATTGATTATAATAAATGATTAGTGATAATTAAACAGTTAATTGTTTCTAACAATCAAATTGACTCAGTGAAACCTTTGATCTGAAATTGATTTGAATAAACTTCAACCTATTAAAGGTAAATTAACAATAACAATTAGCTAATCATTAGTAATAACAATTTAATGATTAACTATCTACAATTAACTGATTGATTTTGAGGTTAAATTGGATAATATTAATCAACAATTAAACAGAAAAATTTAATCTAATTGTTGGTGAGTTTGTTATTTTTTTTTCTCATCTTCATTCACTCTGATGATCATGATGCGACAGATACACTTTTAATTGTATACGATTAATTTAATTGTTGTAAATGTGAGTGCAAAATGATAAAACAATTAAAGGTAAAAATAAATGGAGGAAAATAACTGATTGATTAATTAAAATAAAACAAGGTGATTAACGGGCTAAGACCGGATTTACCTCGACCTCTTGGTGATTATTGTTTTGCAACATTGATTAACCAACTCAATCAACTTGTGGATAAACAATTAATTATTAGTTAATTGTTAATTGACTAGGAAATGATTTCACCTTGGGTGATATTATTATTAGCTGATATCTCTTTACCTGTATTTGTTAATTGTTTACCTTAATTGGTGTTGATTGTTAAGGTAAAATATGATTTTATCAATTACTATCATTGATTAACAGTAATTGTCACTTAATAATTAACTTGATTAACACTTTAATTAAGCACAATACTCAATGGAACATGAAAATTGATATCAACTTGAAATCTTAAAATGGTTAATTGTTATTCATTTACCATCTCACCTAATCAATAATTTTGCTTTATAATTAAACTAATCAACTAATTGTTTTCTTTTTCCATCTCTTAATTGTCCAGGATTGAAAGACGTTTTCAAAGAGACTCAATTCTTGACCAATTTGAAAAATTTTGCCTCCAATACGGTTTCCTATCAAGTGGACAGTAAATTGTCAACAGTTAAACCATCAACACAATCAGTGGCTGGTAAATACATCCCATATAATAAGGACGACATGTGATTGACCATCGCTGACCAGTCCACTTGATGTTAATCAATACTAACTGTAAATCTAACGCTGCTTATCACAATTGCCATCATCATAATCATCGTAATCATCACAATCACCACTGGTCATCGCAATTTTTTTCCTCATCTATGTCAACACAATTATCTTACCCACACTTTGCCATCATGGTCTTAATTGTTCACACCATAAACTAAATCAATGAATAAGATGAAAGTGAAAGAGAGAGAGAGAGCAAATTTTAAATTGTTCAACTACTACGAAAAGATGGACAAACAATTAGAAAGAAATTTAATTTTTTTTCCTTTTAATTTTGTAGTTAAATTTATATACAAATTAATAATTATTCATATTTATATACATAGTATTTAGTATTGGAAACACTTAAACATGATTATAAGCATCTTGATTAAAAAGTCGTAACAATCAATTTAATAATAGTAACAACTCACAATCAGTGGCTTATTTTTAATCCTGGACAATTAATTAATTGTCAGTTGTTTCTATTATTGTTTACTGATTGTCATCATTTCTACACAAAATGTTCATCTATTTTCACAACTAAATCATCATCATCATCACCTCCAACTCTCCACCAAAACAATATCATCATCCTCATCATCATAAACAACAGCATCATCATTGTGATTATTTTGCTCTTGGTTAATTTTTGTCATGTTCATCATAACAATCAATTCACTCATTAATACAACTCTCTCTCTTTCCATCCACAAACGGAACAATTAACAAAAACAACAACAATTAGCAACAATTTCTTATTCAATCATCATCGTACACCAAAAATAATAATAATTTTCCATTAATTATTGTTCTCATTTGATTATCAGTTCTTACAGATTCCACAGCAATTAAGGAGACGCACACGACTGTTGTTCAATTTTAACAATTAATTTGCATCCAACATTATAAATACACATCAATCAATATAAAAACCCATCAAAAAAACCAAATGACAGCAAGCAAATCACAATCAAAATCAACGAGCAACTAAATAATTTGTTTCTTTACCAATCTAAATTATTATAAGCTGTGTAAATCATGATTAAACTACCACATAGACAATTATAATATATATTTAATAACAACTGATAGATTCAATTTAGTGTGATAACAATTAAATGTAAATTGATGATTAACTTTGATAAAAATCAATTCTAAAATGTTGATAAGTCTCGCAATTTACAATAATGTTATTAATTTTAATTGTTGACTAATCTTTAATATCATATCACTATGATGGACCTTTCAGAACCCGAAAATTGACCGAAATATCGATGTGGTATAATTAGAATATCGATAATGATAAAAGAGAAAATTATTGTTTTAGTTTTGTTTATTATTCCAACCTTTTTATCAACTGTAATAATTATTGATTACAAATTGTAAATTCGTAAAAAAAACATAATTATTTTCATACATCGTGTGTTGGCTTACGTCTGATAAATGAGGATTCAAGGTCAGTGTTAGCGAGATCAAAATCTCTATTTCTTATCCAAATTGCAAGATATTCATCACCTTTCAGTTCATCGAACTTTTCAAAACCCGAAGTTAAGATGAGATAATGAGATTTTACCTCTTCCACCGTCCATAAGGGACTTTCGCTTGTATTTCTAAGCATGTTGACAAAGGCTTGCGCGACTTTCCAATTCACAAGATAATAACTTTTTGAGGTGAAAACATTGATCAAATTTCCTTGCTGAGCCACATTCAACACTTTAACCTCATCCAAAGTTTTCTGGTGATAATGATCAGCAACACATTTACTTAGAGAAACTTCCAAGTTTCGAGAGAACTTCCAACAATCTAAACTAATATGAAGTTTAATATTCATTTTAAATTAGAATTGAAAACTAATTTAAAAGTTATTGAAAGACGGAAGGAAATAAAGAAAACAAAAAATTAACCAAAATAAACTGAATTTCAGTAACTGAAATTACCGATTAAGAATCGGACTGTTGAGAAAAAAAATCGATCCCAAAAATTTCGCCTCACCAAAATTTTGGCGCTGCGATACGATTGTATGTCAGGTCACTTTTCTTGCCTTAAGCCAACATCTGGTTCGGCTCGAGACTAATCTTCAGCTTAAATATTTCGCCTTAAACTTTAATAACTCAATTAATTAATTGTCTGATTTCTACACAAAATCATCATCAATTTTTTTACTTCTTCATTCATAAATAAACTGTTATGTTTATTAATACAAACTTTAATGATTTTTTTCCTGAATGAAATAGTAAATGATTACATTTTGATCGTATATTAAATTTTATAATCTACAGTTTATTGTACAAAGGGGTGGTGATTTAAGATTGTTTTACAAGGTACATATTAAGAATTTGTCATTTTTTATCAAAATGTGATTTTTCTGTGTGTTGATTTTTTACATTGTGATTATGATGGAGATGATGATGATGGTTGTTTAAAAAGTCAATGAAAAATTAATCCAATTGATTCACGATTGTGTTTACATAAGAAATTGGTATTGTAGCAATTAAAGAGGGAAAAGTATTGGTTGGTGAAATTAAATTCACCTTACAGAGCTAACATTAAACTGATTAAAAACAATTAACAAATTTTCTTTCAACCATTTGACTGAAGACGATTTTAATCAATTTTTCAGGTTTCACAAGTTATAATCGTAATAATAATCAACAAGTCGAATTGGGACCTTTCTTACGTTTGAATAACGAGGAGTTAAGCAGGTCAAGGTAAGTGTTTTCAAGGTTAAGATCTCTATTTCTTATCCAAAGTGCAAGATATTCATCACCTTTCAGTCCTTCGAATGTTTCAAAACCCGAAGTTAAGATGAGATAATGAGATTTTACCTCTTCCACCGACCATAAGTGCCTTTGGCTTGGATCTCCGCGAGATTGGACAAGGTATTGCAAGTCTTCCCAATTCATTAGAAAACTACTACGCTGGCTAACAAATATACGGGCCAAAGTCCTTTGCTGGAGCACATTCAACACTGGAACCTTATTCAAAGTATTCTTGATATAATGGTCACTAACCCGTTCAGATAGAGCATCTTTCAGCTCTTGAGAGTACTTTTTGTAAGCATATAGTTTAATTTCAAGTTTATCCATGTTTAATTTGAATTGAAAACTTACAAACAAAATCAACTGATTTAAAAGTTATTAGTAGAGATAAAAGGATATAAAAAACAAAAAAGTAACTCAATATAAACTGAATATCAGTAACTGAAATGATCGATTGAGAATCGGACCGTTGAAGATAAGAATCGATCCAAATGTTCAAAAACTTTGAAATCAACTTGATCAATTCTTCCCGTTTCGGGAACAAATCCAATCAAAAAAATCAAATGACAGCAATCAAATCACAATCACAATCAACGAGCAACTAAATAATTAAGTTGTTGGTTTTTTATTTCTTCATTCATAAATAAACTTATGTTTACAAACATTAATGATTTTTTTCCTGAATGAAAATAGTAAATGATACATTACATTTTGATTGTGCAGGGCTATTCAGCTATTTTCACCGATGTTTCCAGATTTTCTCATCAACTAAGAATCAAAGAGACTCGAGACTTGAGTGGTATAAGTTTGAGCGATACTCAATTCTCATATTAAAAGATGTAGGTCATTCAGGTCGTTGTTGAAAGAAAGCGTTTCAAGGTCATCTCAAGGTGATATAGTTATTCTCCACATTTTTTAGCCCTGGAAAATGAGTTTAGAGATTGTTGTTGTCGCAAATCTTGAGATATTTTAGTTTAATTGAATAACTATTACAAATCTTCTATCCAACTTAACGCGCACAGCAAAGCTCATGGAAACCAAAAAACTTGCCATGGTACCTTCCGGAGCAACAGAGGTCGAAATGGTGGTCATCCGGTGATTAAGATGGTGATGATAGTCAACTGATTCCATGTTGAGAGAAGAAGAGATCAGGGAAAAATGGAACACAAATCACGAAAAGAAACAATAATGGAAATACACAATAGAACAATAATTGCCTTGTTCATCAGAATCAGAGAATCACTTGGAATCAATTTGGTGGAAAGAGGAACATGAAAATAGAGATTGAATAAAAGTAGTCCAATTAAAAGAGTCTCTTGTAAAGATCAACTAGAATTTAATCAATTCTATTAACCTAAATCATTCTCACCGATTGATTGTTGACTCAGATTAACCCAATACACGTGAAGATCGTCTAATGATGTAAATCGAGAAACAAATTTAACCCAAATTTAGAATTCAAATCCAATTTAATCGCAAGTTTAATCCACCATGTATCTCTGAACATTGTTGAACATTTTTTGTTGAATTACCTTCAGGTGACCTTGAAACGCTTGCTTTCTACAATGACCTGACAATGACAATTAGTCTCTTTGACTTTTAGTTGCTAAGAAAATCGCAAAAACATCGGTGAAAATAGCTGAATAGCCCTGTATTTTAATTTTTATAATCTACAGTTTATTGTACAAAGGGGGTGATGATTTAAGATTGTTTTACAAGGTACATATTAAGAATTTGTCATTTTTTATCAAAATGTGATTTTTTCTGTGTGTTGATTGTTTACATTGTGATTATGATGATAAATAATGAAAGATACAATTTAAAAAAAAGCACACACCAACCAAAATTATTAATCAATATTAATTAGGTGGTAATGAGATCACATTGATTTCCATATAATATTTTTCATAATAATAATATTTACATTTTGTTATATTAGTTATCATGGATTAATTAATTAACAACATTTAATTAGCTTTAATTTTCCTTAGAATATCGATAATGATAAAAGAGAAAATTATTTTAATTCTGTTTATTATTCAAACTTTTTATCAACTGTAAAAATTATTGATTACAAATTGTAAATTCGTGAAAAAAACATAATTATTTTCATACATCGTGTGTTGGCTTACGTCTGATAAATGAGGATTCAAGGTCAGTGTTAGCGAGATCAAAATCTCTATTTCTTATCCAAATTGCAAGATATTCATCACCTTTCAGTTCATCGAACTTTTCAAAACCCGAAGTTAAGATGAGATAATGAGATTTTACCTCTTCCACCGTCCATAAGGGGCTTTCGCTTGTATTTCTAAGAATGTTGGTAAAGTTTCGCTTCGATTTCCAGTGTATACGATATTTATTTTGTCTAGTGAACGTATCGATCAAATGCTTTGCTGGGTCACATTCAACACTTTAACCATACCCAAAGTTTTCTGGCGATAATGATCAGCAACACATTTACTTAGAGAAACTTCCAAGTTTCGAGAGAACTTCGAACAATCTAAACTAATATCAAGTTTATTACCCATTTTAAATTAGAATTGAAAACTAGTTTAAAAGTTATTGAAAGACAAAAGGAAATAAATAAAACAAAGAAAATAAAAAAGTAACCAAAATAAACTGAATTTCAGTAACTGAAATTATCGATTAAGAATCGAACTGTTGAGAAAAAGAATCGATCCCAAATATTCAAAAAAACTTTCGACCAAAATTGACATAAGTAAATAAAGATCTCAGAAGATGATGAGCCATCTTCATCCGCTCTTCCCGTTTCGGGAACAAATCCAATAAAAAAACCAAATGACAGCAATCAAATCACAATCACAATCAACGAGCAACTAAATAATTAAGTTGTTGGTTTTTTTACTTCTTCATTCATAAATAAACTGTTATGTTTACAAACTTTAATGATTTTTTTCCTCAATTAAAATAGTAAATGATTACATTTGATTGTATATTAATTTTTATAATCTACAGTTAATTGTACAAAGGGGGTGGTGATTTAAGATTGTTTTACAAGGTACATATTAAGAATTTGTCATTTTTTATCAAAATGTGATTTTTTCTGTGTTGATTGTTTACATTGTGATTATGATGGAGATGATGATGATGATTGTTTAAAAAGTCAATGAAAAATTAATCCAATTGATTAACGATTGTGTTTACATAAGAAATTGGTATTGTATCAATTAAAGAGGGAAAATTATTGGCAGTAGGTGAAAGATGTGTGATAATTGTGAATGATAGTTAAATTATTCAGTACACTAATTAGCTGTGTTTCAAATGTAAGGCCAAGTATCCGGTGATTTAGTAACTTTTGATATTAATTTACATAAATAGAAATGCTAAAGATTTTAATTGTTGGCTCATTTCGTTGGTGACAATTGTTTCCTTATTCAGTCCATCAGATTGATTGTTCTCATGCGTAAAATAGATGATTTAACTTTGTTATTGTTGATCGATGAAAATAGTTAGTATAATAGGATGGCCACAAAAAATATCACGAATAATTAATTGTTGCTTTTGACTATGATTGTTAATATTGACTATGAAGATGATGATGATGATGAGGTGCTTCAGATCATTTATTAAATAATTGTCGAGGCACTGATATAATTGCTGTGTTGATGTTTCTTTTTGTGACTTATTGTTTGTGTGTGATGGGTAAAGTTGCATAGCACTTTTGTTGAAATTAGTTGATTGTTTGGCATCAATTAAAAATAGGAATTATCGATTATCTAAAACAATTTCAAAGTTCTTCGAAAAAGGCAACTCGAGCTTTCGTTGATCCAGATTTGGTTCGTTTTAATGTTGAATATTTATTATCACCACGAGTTGTATTTTCCTCATGAATTCTGTCCATGGTTGTTAATCGATCTTCAACTTTAAGAACTTCAATCTCCGATTTAAGATCTCTTAATTGTTCCTGAAGGTGTCGACTTTTCTTTAAATATTCCATCCTTTCCTTTTCGATTTCTAGAACCAACTTTTCTACATCAGTGTCACTAATAAGGTCACAAGAGGTTGGACTGGTAAGTTTACTATTTACACTCTCAGGTCGGGTTGTTATTCCAACTCCTATTCCAAGAGGTGGTGAAATTGTTGTCGTTGTGTTGATTGTAGGATTGTTGTTGTTGGTTAAGGTGAATGTTTGAAAAGAGCTGTTTGTACATGGTGGTGATAAATTGGTTGGACTTACAATAATAGGATAAGTATCGTTAACCGCAACATCGCTAATGGTCAATTCCTTCAATTTACTAAGACACACTTGATGATGGTCAAAGGTATCTAGATTATTGGTTATATACAGAGAATCTGAATTGATTAAACCGGAACCACCGTTGATTATTGGTGATTTGGGACATTTTGTATCATTCAACTGATGAGATCCGTTAATGTAAATTGTCGTTGAATCGAGAGATGGACTTTGCGAAGGTACCCTTAGAATTTCAAACAATTTTTCTTTAGCCTCTCGTTCCGATAATTTAGCTTTCAGCAATTCTTCTCTTAATTGTTCCGCTTCTTTGGCTCTTCTTTCACTTTCCTCAACCATTGTGGTTGCCAAAAGTTCAGCTTCAGCGGCTTTTCTTACCATCAGCATCTTCTCCTCTTCTGTTTTAATAACATTTAATTTCACCCTTTGAATTTCGGCCTCGGTTTCTGCTGCTTTTTGTGATAAAATGATAGCATCTTCTTCAGCCAGGCGAGCCTTTTCCGCCAAAAGTTCAACAGTTTCTTCCGATCTTCTTAATGCTTCCTGAGCAACCCGAGCTTCTTCCTGATATTGGAATAACCTTTGCTGTAGATCACGTTTCTCCCTTTCAGCTTCTTCTCTTAATTGTTTTTCCCTAATAAATTTTGACCTTTCAGCTTGACGGCGTAACTTTTCCTCCTTGGCTTGAGCTTTCATCTGTTGCATTTCCATGGTATCAGGACGGCGTCTTTTCATATAGAGATCATGATTTCCAATACACAAATCCAAGATTAACTTGTTCATCCGAGTCTTGGAAGAGTAAAAATGAAAAGGTGGAGCATTTTTGTCCACAGGTTTAATGGTAAACTTTTTATCATCATATGAAATATTACGAATCTCATTCCATGGAAATGTAATCTTAGGTGATAGTTTATTGTCCTTCTCATAAATGTTCAATCCCATGGCGGTAACACCTAACCAAAGTTCAGATTCTTTCTTATTACTTATTGGGAAATAATTAACACCATACATGTCAAGATCTTGAGCTATTTTCAAATATTCCATTTCCGCTTCATCTCTGGCCATTCCTCTATGATCAGCATACCAAACTCTGATTCTTTCCTCCCACATTTCTGGTGTCATCTGATATTGATCAATAACCCGCTGAGGTAATAAATCTTCAGCATCAGCTAACGTACCAGGCTTGTAAGTAGCCTCATCATAATCACCATATTTGGCCTGAACAGCGTAACTGGCCAATAAAACGGAAGCTTCTGGTGGACAGTAAATATCCTCATTGAGAATTGCTTGTTTAACTTGTAGAAAGAAAAGATGTTGAGTAATTTCTTGAATCAATTCTTCAGCAACATCTTCAGGATAGAATTTGGCAAGAAAAAGAAATGACATTTGAGGCACTGGTTTGTTTTTGTTTGACGATGAAAGACTGGATGAAGATGAATTCGATGAGTTACATGGTTTGTAGGTTAATCTAACTTCTTGATCACAGATTCGTTTATCCATTTTTAACCAAGCAATATAACCTGTTGATTGGGACAATAGAAACAAATTAGGATCTTCAAAACAAACACCTCCAAACAGAGTATTCTAAGTATATATGTAAATTACCTTTCACGTCGACATATTGAAGACCAAAGAAACACGTTTCTCGCAAGCCTAAGGTACGAGTGACCAGTTCAAAGAGATCACCTCCTGTTGCCTTATGTAATATATCAAAATCCAATTGAGCGTCCATGGTGATCACCTCAACGGACATCATTTTGCTTTTAGATGCTCGTAATAGACTTTTCATGGTGACAAATGGTTGCCGATGATCCAAAATATATTGCAAATAAGAACCGATAAAGATGATGAGTGGTTGTTGTTTTCTTCTTAAATGATGAGACCCAAATTGTAATCCAAGATAACCAGGTCAGTATTGTCAAGAGAATATTGTTTTAAGTAGCTTTGGATGGAAAAAGAATAGAAAAAGAGATGAATGAGCAACAAGTTTCCATTGTAAACATGACAGTAAATGGATAGAGAGAATGGAAATGGAAAAAAACATTAGAATTAAACAAATTAACTTACCTTAATACTCCATTCATGGTAAATTGGTTTTCTTTTTTGTTTCAAATCGATTGAATAGTTGAAGATTATTAGAAATTGGGTATTAAGGTGAAACAAAACATTCCAAAGGCATTAAAAAAAATACAGAAAATAGAAAGAGAGTGAAAGTGAGAGGGAGAAAGAAAAGAAAGAGATGCTATGTCAGTGGTTATATATAAATTACAGAGAAATTCAGCTCAAGAATTTAAGCTCACATTTGAAAGAATCTCTTGAAGAATATGATTCTCCTTGATGATGATGATAGATAAAAGCTTTTAACACACCGATAGGATGGCCTCAAATGATCAATTCTTGCTGGAGAGAGAGAGAGAAGTTGTTTGACCAGGGAAAGGCTAGAATAGAAGGTAAGAGAAAGAGAGAGAGAAAGAGAAAGAAAGAAAGAAAGAAAAAGAGAGAGAGAGAGAGATAAAGTATCGGTTGATTTGACGAGCTCTTAATTGAATTTCCTAATCAATTTGTATCACTTTTGGTATTTAATCTTCCAATCTCTCTGTCTCTCCCTCTTCAAATAGATAAATTCAATGAATGAGATGAGAAAACACCAGAGGAATGTAATTGAGAATAACAATGGAAACTTTCACACAAAGAATATTGAAGAAGAAGAAAAGAAGAAAATTCCGGTCAACAAATTCAACAAGTGTCTCTATTTCCATGGAACACAAAACGATAATAACAAAACTCTTCCAAAAGATTATAATAGTCTATTCGCGAGATGGAGACACTGCAGGGAAGAGAAAACCATTGAGATCAATTGAAACTTTTTCGTTTCAATTTGATGTTTCGTTAGCCGATAATCGATTTATTAATTAATTATTTCCTTTGATTGCAATCGGTAAATTTTGATAAATCCAAAAGTGACAAATTGTTGAAATGTAATTTTATTAAATCAAATGTAACAATAACTTTTTTTTTCTTAGAAATACCTGATTGTTTATTCATCTGAGAAAAAAACTCTTTATAAAATCATAATAACAAAAAATTGATAAATATTAACTTCCTTTAGAATCAAATAATTAGATGATTACTTTTTTGTTTGTTCATTTTGGACAAAAGTTGTTTCCTTAGGAGATCACACAATTTTTTTGATGACAATCAACGTTAGTTGAACTACTACATGAAGAGTGATGGTGTTGAGCTTGTTGTTGTTGTTGTTGTTGTTGTTGTTCTTGTTGGGGATTAGGGTGACGGTAAATGTACTGATGTTGATGATGATTGTGATGGTTATTATGATGACCGATACCTCGTACATTATGAAGTCTATTAGATGAATGAGATTTATTTGTATCACATGAAAAAAGTGCCTTAGCTTTTCGTCGTAAGGTATTGTTAAGATCTTTATATTTGTGGGATGAGGATGAAGTCGATGAATGGGAGTGGTGTGTATGAGATCGAGCCGATCTCATAGTGTAACTGGTCAATGATGAATAAGACTTGAGGTAACATTTTAGTTTCGGTGGTAAAGGTAACTGTTCAACTCCATAGACGGTGGTACAAGCGACAATGGATCGACAGCAAATTTCCCGTAATGAAAGAACTGTAAACAAGAAAAAAAAGTAAACAGAAAAGAAAAAAATCATTAGAAAATAAAATAAAATATCGAAAAAAAATTCGAAGGTTATAAAAGTTATTAGAATCGTTTGAACAATTAAGTTTAAATTACTAACTATCAAATAACAACAAAGTGAATATTAAATATTGTGATTCATGATTTAAGTAAATGATAATCAAAACTATTCCAAAGTAATTGAGATTAGAGTTTAAATTAAAGATTAAGGACAAGGTTAAGATCAAATGGATAAATCGTAACAATTTTCATGTTGATTTGGTTTAAATTGTTATTTAGAAAAATCATTTAATTCTCTCGCTTAATTGTGAAAGAAGGACAAAAGACTATTATAATCAGTAAACAAGGAGACTTGATTAACTTTGATTACTTGAGGTTTTTTTTTCACTTCGTCATCTTCATCATCATCGTTTTGATTATCATTTCAATCATTGGCCTTGGTAAAGTTCAGTTATCTGGATTATTATTATTATTTCAACTACAAACATTTAGATTTTATGAATTAAATGATGTTGATTGTTTTAGCTATTAAGTGAATTAGTGGAAATATGATGAAAATCTTCAGAAAATGAAATGAGGATAAAAAGGTAAGAAGGGAAAGAGGATTAAGAATCAACAGGATTTGATGATGTTCAACTACTTTAGTTACAGATCAAGCAAGTATAGTGATAGAAATTAGATATCAATTAAGTAACAAGATTATTTGATTTACTAACCAGTATTACGCCTCCAAACGTTTTCCATTCCATTGCGAAGTAAAACCATTCGGGAAAGTTCAGCAAAAGATTCACGAATGTTATAATTACAGAGAGGACTCACCTCAAAGAATGACATATTATACCTATTTGCGTAATTTTCAGCTGAATGTTCATTGACTTGACGTTGGAATGCTAGATGAAGTCGATTACCAACCAGAATTTTGGGTACTCCGGGTGCATGCTTTGGATAGATGAGAAGGCCAATCAATCAATTCATGTTGATATTCATTAAATCCAGAGTTTCAAGTCATCATTATTTATGTGTGTGGGATAAACAGATAGAAAAAGGAAAAAATTTATCAGATTGAAATGGAGGAACAACAATTTACTAGGAATTTTCAGTGAGTTCCATTTAGAGTATTTGATTTACCTCTTCGACTTCACGAAGCCATCGTTTGAGACCAGAGAATGACCACTTGTTGGTTATATCATACACTAAAAGAATACCTTGAGCCCCTCGAGAATATGAGCGAATTATTGTGGAGAATCGCCCTTGTCCAGAAGCATCCCTATTGATTTTAGAATAGAGATAGAGAATGGAGAAAGAAATGTGAATGTGACAAGTTTTAAATTTAGATATTAAATTGATGCGGAATCGGATGGAAAAAAGGTAAAGAGAAAGAGAAGATGTGATAGATAGAGAAGAAAAATGAGGAAGAAAAAAAAAGCAAGATTCAGATACATAGTGGATAGAAAAAGGAAAAAAAGTTGCTTAATGATGAGGATGAAGTTTGTTGAAGATGGAGACAAGTGAGAGACAATCTTTGATGCGGGAAGGGAAGAGAAGGAGAAAAAGGAAGGCAGAACGATACAAGAGAGATAAATGGTGAGGCCAGAGAGAGAGAGAGAGAGTAAAGTAGGTTGATAAGAATTAAAGGTACTGATGACTTAATGAGAATCATTTTTGATGAGGGCAAATAGGAAAATGAAACAGTAAAAAGTGTAAAAAGGAAACACTTAGAGGGTAAAGAGAAAGATGACAAAAGCAACGAAGAATAAAGAGAAAAAGGTGGTTATAGACATGGAATAGAAGAAAAGAGCAATAAATACCATAATTGAAGTCTAATTCTTTTACCATCAAGTAGAATTTGTGTTGATTTAAAGGCAACACCAGGAGATCCAGAGAAATGTTGTTCATAATTAGAAAAGGACGAGGAAGATGTTGATACATCCGAATCTAAACTGTTCATTATTTCATCTTTGCCAACATCCGGATCACCGACGAGTAAAAATTTAAGCAAATAATCATAACCTTTCAGTTGATGATCTCGTGTTGTTTCGAAATTACCTTGGTAAGAAATACTAGAATCTTGATCACTAATCATATCATAAATCACAATAAAAAAATCACTAAAAGTAACAACAATTTAAAGTCACAAAACATAAACAACAGTTGGAATGAAATAAAAAACCAGAAAATCCAATCAACAAAAAAAAAAGAAAAACAAAAACGAGCGCCATCAACAGGTGGAAAAAACAACTAAACGGAGAAATTAAATTTTAGAAATAATTTTTATTAATGAAACTTATTCTTTGATAATGTTTTTCTTTCATCTTTTAATTAGATAAAATTTTAATTGCTTGGCCCAAATTAGTAGATAATGAGGATTATCAAAATAAAAAAGAAGCAAACATTGAATGAGAGAGAGAGAGAGAGAGAGGAGAGATGATGATGATGAAACGCCGATGAAACAATTTTGTCATTTGTTAGAATAACTTTTTGATTGTTTACAATTAAAATGAGATTTTGTTTCTTCGTTAAATTGTTGAGTAATTGTAATTATTATATATTATTGAAGAGATAATAATAATAATTAAAAACCAATACGATTGATTGGTGATTGATGATTAGTCTTTTGTTTGATTTTTCCTCATTTTTGATGTAGTAGTATAAAAGATTGCAATTGGTTAATTGCTAGACAATCGGAGTTAATTGTTGTCTTCATGGTGATGATGATGATAAATAATGAAAGATACAATTTAAAAAAAAGCACACACCAACCAAAATTATTAATCAATATTAATTAGGTGGTAATGAGATCACATTGATTTCCATATAATATTTTTCATAATAATAATATTTACATTTTGTTATATTAGTTATCATGAATTAACTAATTAACAAGGGAAATTGATAATGAGTTGATATAACAAATTTAAGAAGATAATTGTTATATCATCATGAGATGATTAAAATAGTCAATTTGTCGTGATGATGATGATTATTGTGGTTGTTGATTGGTTGGTAAAATTAAATTTTCCTTACAGAGCTAACATTAAACTCCTCTACTTCAGATTCACTGTGAATTTCACCATTAATTAATTCAGTTTCATTATCACTATCATCCATGGCCAATTTATTGAATCCTGATCGTTTAGGATCGTTAAGAATACGACCAAGATTTAATTCATTTTTAGTTGATCGATAACCAGTAACCCAGCCTTTAATTTCTTGTAATGGTGAATAACTGTTAGGCCGATAATCTCGACGTCGATTGATTAAAAAGGCGATTAAAATGATTAATATAATCGTCGAGAGGATTAATATAATAATCACTGAATTACTTGATGAAAAAGACGTTGGAATGAGCGGTAATTTTGGAAGAAAAAATTTTCTACTTTTGTTTGTTGACAAGGCATCAGTTGAATCTTTTAATGGTGAAGCTAATTTAGTTGATTTATCGTCGATATTAATTTGATTATCTGAAGATTGAAGCGTATTAGTTAAATCTATTGGCACTTCTATTGTATATTGAAAGAGAAAGAGAGAAAAACAAATAAAAAACAATTAGTCAATCTGATTGATTGGTAGACTTAAATGAAGAAAAAGTAAATTAATGTTTCAATGATATTAATCAATAATAATCTTTGAATATTATTGGTTAATTGTTCATTTCCTGAGTTACAATTTACCTTTATCAAATCTCCAAAGGTAATTTGGTCCAATTTCAACTACATAGACATTTTTTGCATCCGCAGTGGAAACAATATCATGAGGCTGTGAGAAATTCTGAAAGAAAATCGAAAAAAAAATCAGATAACAATTAGTTAATTGCTAGAAGGATAAGAATTAGGTATGATTAGTATTCTCAGATTAAAGATAATTGTTACACACAAAGGAAACTATTGGTATTAATTAGATGTAAATGTAGATTGACGTGCAATTGTTAATTGATAGCAGATTGTTGGTTAATCATTAACAATTAGCAATTCATATGGCAAGAGCATGTTGGTTAGTAATTAAAGATTATTTAAAAGGTGTAAAAATTGATCATAAATTGTGATTACTTTTTTTCTAATGAAAATTAACAACAATTAGAAGAAAAAATTACTAGTAACTGTAATTGTTTTTCAAAGTCTCTCAACTTAATCATACAAATCTTTTTAAATGTTTTCAATGGGAAAGATTAAGATGAGATTGAGAAAATTTAAGTCAACTAATGTGAACAAGGTAATGATTAAGAAGACAATTAGTTGGATGGAAAGAAAAGAAATCTCAATTGTTACATAGTATGGAGATGATAAAAAAATTCTGTTCTCTTTATCATCTCTATACTAGAATCTTTTCTTGCCAGCATTTGATAGCTCAGGTGAGACGAAGTGTTTAAATATAAAAGGTTAGAATGAAAAAAGTACAGGTAACATAAAAAATCAACAATCAAGATAGAGATGAGGATGAGAAGGTATTAGAATGAATTGGATTTAGAAACAGAGAGAGAGGATAAAGTTAATGGTTATGTTGATTATCCAAGGTTTTGATTAAATCACTTACTCCAAATGAAGTTAATAGTTCACGGGTTGTTAGGTTGAAGAGAAATCCTTTCACTGGATCTTTAATTGTGAAGGCTCCATTGACGGCGAAAAGGACTCCACCTTGATAAGGTGAATACGAAATTGAGAAAAGTCTACCAGCGAATTCATTGTGAGTTATAGAGAAAGCGAATTGGCCATTAGGTGGAGTGAAACATTGAATTCTCCCGTGTTCTCGATCAGCGACACAGACTAAATTCAATTCCTCGGCCAGGATAACTTTATGAGGAATACTGAAAAAATTGGGCAAAAGTTGACTGGAAGCTGCGAATTTGGAAATTTGGAAAAGAATAATATATTTTTAGAATTTCGGATAATTTTTATATAAATATACTCGATAAAAAGACTTACTTGTATCAGCTTGTCCCCATTGATTAAGAAAAACACCCGCAGAATTAAACCTTGCAATTCGAGAGTTACAATATCCATCGGCTACATAGAAATCACCGTTTCGAGAGTCAATCGCGACACTTGTTGGTTTACAGAAATGTTTCTCATCGTTTCCGGGAACAAATCGCTCTCCTAATACCAATGTTGGCTTGTCACTTCCCTCAGCAGGAAATTTGAATATCTGATGAAGGGCAACATCGGTTAGCCAAACATTTCCTTTAGTGTCAAAGGTTAATCCATGAGGTAGAAAGAAAAAATCAGCACCCCAACCATTAACACTTTGCATTGTTTTAGGCTCAATTACAAGAACAGTACTAATATTAATCGGTCCATCTTCAATTGGTTGATATTTATTGGTGAATATATTGAAACTCCTAATAGAATAAAGAAGAAACGGAAACAGTCAGCAAATATACATACATAGAAAAGAACATTTTTCCAAATAGAATAAGAATTAAAAAGAATAGAACAAACTTTTCATTCCATACGTGTGATCCTCGGTGAAAAATAACAATATTGCCCTTTGAATCAATGGAAACAGCGGATATTTGACCCAACTGATGATCTGTGACCGGCCATTTTGGAGTCACCGAATATTTGAAAGAATTAAGATTCTTCTTAACAGATTTAGTTAATCTAGACTCTCTAGAATTTGATAATATAACTGAATTAACGCCATCACCACCTTTACCACCTCCACCATGACCAGCAACATAATTCAGTTGATTAACCGATGATGATGATGGTTGATCCAAGTCATTCAATAATCTTGGACTAGAATCACATTTACATATTACCACAATTAGAATTAAAATTTGTTTCACAATTGAACACATATTTAATTCGATAAATAAAAACAATTAACAGTTAAAACTAAATTAAAATCATGATAAAAAAACACAGAATGAAACAATTATGATGATGATGTTGGTTAAAAAAAAGGTGATGATGTTACAAGATTAAGACTTGAACAGATGGAACCTTAATTATAATCGAAATGTAATCACAATAATTTAATTAATTGTTCCAATATGATCTACATTAAGTACTTAATTACATTGTATAATTAACAGGGTTTAAAGATGATTAAGTACAACTGTAACCATCAATTTGTTGATTGTTACTAAGTGTCAACAAAAAAATGAATTCATTTCTTTTCAAAATGAAAATAAACTAAAGGGGAGATCTCATTTTCTTTTCTAAATTAGGAGACGGTCCCTTCGCTCAGCTGAAATTTTGGCTTTTTCATTTTCAAATTTTCCATTCAATTAATTTAATTGTTTGATTACGTTTTTCGATAAGTTAATTACTTTGATTGTTATTTTATTGATTAACAAATTGTTGTGGAAGCTCTAAAGAGTAAGTTGATTTGTTTTTTTGAATTTAATTTTTGTTCAATCAATGAGAATATGATTGATTTATGTTAATTGGTTTTTCCATGTGTTTGTTTTTTTGTTTTTCTATTTTTTAATTGATTTTGTGGTTTAATTTTTTTTCTCTTTTGTTTAGATTGATCAAGATGCCGTATGCTAACCAGCCTAATATTACGATCACTGAGTCTAATCGGGAGAATATTAAATTTTCTATTGAAGATACAAGTTTAAGTGTTGCTAATGCTTTAAGACGTACATTTATCTCGGAGGTTCCTACTTTGGCTATTGATTGGGTTCAATTGGAAGCCAATTCAACTGTACTTTTTGATGAATTTATCGCCTCAAGATTGGGTCTTATTCCTTTAACCAGTGATGAAGTCGTCGATAAAATGGCTTATTCACGGGATTGTGTTTGTACCGATTTCTGTCAAGATTGTTCAGTTGAGTTTACCCTTCACTGTAAATGCAATGAAGATGCGACAAAAAATGTTACTTCAGCTGATCTAAAGAGTAAAAATACTTATGTTGTACCTGCAACCAAGAAAACCGATGACGAAGATGCTGATTATGGAGTTGAAAATGAAGATATTCTAATTGTCAAACTTAGAAAAGGTCAAGAATTACGAATTCGAGCCTATGCAAAGAAAGGTTTCGGTAAAGAACATGCCAAATGGAATCCGACCTCAAGTGTATCATTCGAATACGATCCAGATAATGCTTTTAGACACACAACCTTCCCAATACCAGAAGAATGGCCGAAAAGTGAATATTCCGAACTCGATGAAACAAAATCCGAAGCCGATTACTTACGCGATCAACATCCATCTAAATTCTACTTCAACTTAGAATCTTCTGGAGCCCTAAAGCCCGTCAACATTGTTCTAAGTGGTCTTAACGTACTTAAAAAGAAACTCACAGATCTACAAACCCAATTAAACCACGAAATCGAAAACGATGCTCTCGCCATCATGTAGACAATTAACTCCATCAAATCGATTCATTTTAACTTTTAATTTCGATCTCTTCTTTCAAATTTCACCTTCAAATTACTCATTAATTGTCATTGAATAGATTCAAATTCCAGATCATCTTAAATTTGTGAGACGTTCAATCAAATCTTTCTGTTCGGCCTCATCTCTAATCAACGATTGCTCCAAACTGTTCAATCTTTCCAGTTCTTGTCGTTTCTCGTTAATCAACACAATTAACTGTTGTCGATTAGATTCCTTTTGCATACCAACAGATTTAAGTGAATTACGTGATCCCAATGCCTGAATTTATACAAAACAGAAACAATCAAAGGGTTACAATTAATTCTTTCACGTTCGAATTGTTCAAATTTACTTTGATTTTCTCCTTTTCAACTTTCTCCTTAAGATTGGCAACAATTTGGATAAAATCATCAACAATTTCTTGAAATTCCAGTGTACCTATTGAAGGAACAGAACAATCAACAATAATTAATCAAATTCAAATTCAAATTAACTTCTTACTTTGAATAAATTCTGAACATTCTGAAGTTAATTCAGTTGTAGTTTGATTGGCATTTGGATCAAGAATTCGGATCCGATTTTGATCATCAAAATATAAACCAAGTCGACTTAAATTATAATCAGACATTTTCGATAAGTTAATCGAAAATATAATGTTTATGATTAATTAATTACCGTTACCTTAGTTACCTTCAAATGAAAACAATAACAAAAAGATTATCGGGTTACTATGATTACAATTGGATCAACAAAATAAATTGTTTTTTTTGTTTTAAATTGTGGAAATTATTTCTCTTTAATTTGAATTACATTAATTGTACATATAAATTTAATGACCATTGGTTTAGTTTTGATTACAATTATGTGCAATTAATTAATCTCTATTATTATTAACAGAAAAATGTTGATAATATTAGTTGATTTATCTTGTGATGAAACTTTGGACGAGTTGATGATTTGGTTATTGTAACTAATTGTTTTGTAGTAAAAACAAAACAATTATCTTGATGACATTTAAATCCAATGTTGATGAATTAATTGGTTAAACTTTGTATAGCAAAATCAATTAATGAAATTTCATTGATGATGTTAATTGGATGGATAAATGCAAAGATGATTTTTACTAATACATAATAATGATAAAAAATAATACTAATAATATAATCAAGGAATAAGAAAAATACTAACTACTAATGCTAATACAATATAAATATAATCACTGATGAAATAATCAACGATGATAATATTATTAATAATAATAATCATAATAACAATAAATATAATCAAAATAAAGATAATGATGATAAATAATAATAATAACTGACCTCTAATGATATTGGTTGATGAAGATAAGGGATGAAAGATGATGATGACAAAACTCATGTGTATTATTTATATAATGTGAATATCTATTGGTAATTGTAACTGATTAACTCATTGATGATTTGGGCTTTTAATCAATTTAATTTGTCACCGCAACACTTTGATTGTTTACTATTAGTTTAGCTTATTGGTAATGTAATATTGATGATGATTTGCTTTTGGTTGTTGATTTAATTCATGTTACGATTTTGTTTTTGGTTTTAAGTTAATTGTCAACTAATTTTCGTGTTCATTGATTAGATGATTAGGTTTGTGTTTGTAAGTTGTAGTGATTAGTTGATTTGAATGAATGAACTTTTTTTTCTGGTGAGTATTATTTTCCCATCATCATTGGCATTGGTGATCCTGACCACATCATCTTGGGCATCATCATTGACGATGGACCGGTCATCATCATTGATGATGGCATCATCATCGGTGTTGGCATCATCATTGGTGATGGACTTCCCATCATCATACCACCAGAAGTGGGCCAGGTCATTCCAGGTGACATCATCATCCCTCCGCTCATCATTTTTTTACTTCCATCCATCATTTGATTACTATTCATTTCCGTTGACATGGTCATCGGCATTGTCATGGACATTGAGACAGGCATCATCATGGACATGGGAGATGAGGCTGGAGATGGAACCGGAATAGGAATTGGTATCGGCATTGGCATCGGCATCGGCATCGGCATTGATGACGGCATAGACATGGGCATGGACATTTGTCTAATATTCATAAAATCAATCAATAATCAAAAATCAATTCTATTGTAATATTAACTTGCTCAATAAAGAAACTGATTGTCAACAGGTAATCACATTTACCTTGACAATTTATGAATAAAATGAAAAGGAGATGAAAATGAAACTTTCTAATTATTGATCTACTTACGGTAACATCATGACCTGGACGCTGGGAGACTGAGGAGCCGGTGGTTGAGCCATTTGAGCCATCGAGGGCGATTTCTCGGCTGAATAGACTTGCATTACTGGACAACAACCCCTCCCTCCACCTCCTCCATCGCCATCGCCTCCTCCACCCATTGATTTTTTCATCATCATCATCTCACCTCCATCATCCATATCCATCATTGGCATCATCATTGACTGACTGCTCATTAAATCAGCCATTTTATCATCTTTGTCACATTCTGTTAAAAGTAAAACAAAAACAAATTGATTTACAATCAGATTACATCACAATTAGAGTTAATTAATTGCTCTGATTACTTTAGCTTGATAAGTTGTCAGGGTTGATAGACAAAAACAAAAGACAATTTTAGCTTATGATTAAACAGTGAATATTACATTTAATGGACAGAAAAAGAAAAGGAAAACAATTAAAAAAAGAATACAATTAAAATTAATGAATTAACTGTCGTTATTTAAGTTAATTGACATCATTCTCGTTCTGATTAAAGTTAATCATAAACACTGAGAGTTTTTTTAAATTATTATGACAACATAACGATTACATTTATTTAAATTGTCAACTCAAGTTATCATTCAATTAATTTAGTTTTGTTTCTCTCTCTGTCTGGATAGTTAATTAACTAATTGCTATTAACAAATGAATCAAAAATGATGAAATAATTATGATAATCGAATAGAATTACGATTAAAAGAAGATGAGAATAGAAAATTATAACTGTTCTTATGAAGAGAAAAAAATCTTTTCTTCTGATCGAGATTAATTGAACTCAGAATAACTAGATTAAGGAATTGTTGGAACGATAATTTACTAATCACTGAATCAGATTAAATTTCTTTTCTCAGGAATAATTGGAAGTTCATTAGTTATGATTAGTTGATTCACTTTGGATAATTTTGCCGATTGTTGAGTTGAAGTCGATGAATGATTTTTCCTTGATTATTATTGATCGATTTTCTTAGTTGTTGTGTTAATTTGGTTAAGGTAATCAGAGGAACAATTAGTTAATCACTTACCCATCTTCTCGAGCATCTTTGAAGCCATTGTTTTACCATTAAGAGGATGAATAAATATAATTGATGTAATAGAAGCGAGGAAAACTGTAAACACAATCATCGTAATTAAAACGATCCAGACAATTAATAACTGAGGAAAACAATCATAGGACAATTAAGAAGTTAATTGTGACCCGAGTTTTGACTAGAGGTTTGTTAATCTGATCGCTCGGTGATTTGTTCTTGAAAGAATTTGAAGAAAATGATCTTAAATTGAGTGAGTGAGAATATCGACTCACTAATTAGGACAAATCTTCCAAATTGTTTTCACACATCATGATTTCGATTCCATGAATATGAATAAGATGAAAAGAGTTGTTTTCATGAAACAATAGATTCGTTGGCAGACTAATAGACTAAAGCATTTGAGCCTGATAATCAATCGGCGACAATTAATTCATTTTATCAATTCGAAAGTGTCACATTTATGATAAACTTTCGATCAATTTAATAATCGAAACAATAAATCAAAGGCTTAACTCAATCTCGCCACAAATACTCAATGAACTTTCTCAATCTTCAGTTCGTCAATTTCTTTTAGGGTGAAAAATTTTCTCTTTCAGTCAAATAAACAGAATAAAAAATCGAAATTCAAAGCTGCAAAAACAAAAATTCTTTTTTTCGAAGTTTCGAATTTAATCGTTTGAATTTCCCTCATTTTCATTTATTCTCTTTCGTTGATTAGGTTAACCAGAAGGTGTCACCAGTTTCCATTAGAAGAAAATTGAAAAACGATTGATAATCAAACTTTGTCAAAGTTACTTTGATTCAATTTCTATTGGAGAAATTTTTTTGTTTACTAATTAACTAATTGTTTTTCTTAATTTAATCGTTTACTTGATTAACTTTTCAACGATTTAATAATTGTACAACTGTTTGTTTGTTCATCTTGAGGGTTTATTCGGGTGTTTTGGTTCTTTTTTGCTTTTGAAATGTTTTCTGTCCCATCAAAAATTATCAATCGATATTCAACATTATCTCTGTTTAAAAGATGTTTGAATGATCACAAATTACCTTATCCAAAATTGTCCAAGGAGGAAAGAGAAGCTCTAACTAGTCTATCGTTGACCGAAAACCTTCACATTCAGCTCGAAGGGATGCCTGCTAAAGAATTCGCTGATGTTGATCCAGATTCGGAGCCATTTAATCACATCTATCAAGGAGTCGATGATAAAGGTTTTTTCACGAAAGTTGAAAATGTTACCGATAAAGATCCTGATCGATGGTTTTGGGTTGAAAGGTTATTGGTTAAAAAGAACATCTCATCTTATCCAACATTAACTTCAAAGGATAATAATCAAAGTAAATCATTTCCTTCAGGTTATCAACCAGTTAATCAAATTATACCCGATTTACCTTATTTTATTGGACGAACAAGAAATGGCCTTTATCCCGTTTTCAAGATCGTTCATTTCAATCAGAACGTATCAACAGTTGTAAGCCATATCGAAGGTGATGTTTGGTTTGCTCGAAAACAAATAGTCCAACATTTGAAAGGGAAACTTAAACCCGAAAATCTAGTTACTGTTAATGAAGTACATGGATCATTAAGCATAAGGGGTGATCACGTTCTCGATGTAATTAATTTTCTAAAGGAAACTGGTTTCTAATTGTCTTTTCTTTTTTGTAGAATAAAATAATAGTTAATTAAAGCTTAATTTGATTTAATCCTTTTTGCTCTGTAAGTGATTGAGAGAGAGAGACAAAGTTGATAGTTGAATGAGCCTTAGCTTTTATTCTAAATCATGAACCATTGAATTAAATGAAAATGTTTTTTCTTCTTTAAAGTTGTTGGAACAAATTAAATGAGGTCATGTAGCTTTGACAAAAAAGGAGATTTTGGATAATGTTGAGGTTAGTTACCACCACGAAGACGGAGGACCAAATGAAGAGTTGATTCTTTTTGGATGTTGTAGTCTGAGAGGGTTCGACCATCTTCAAGTTGTTTACCAGCGAAGATTAAACGTTGTTGGTCAGGGGGAATACCTTCCTTGTCTTGGATTTTAGCCTTGACATTTTCGATTGTGTCAGAAGGCTCGACCTCAAGGGTGATGGTTTTACCAGTTAAAGTTTTCACGAAAATTTGCATACCACCACGGAGACGAAGGACCAAGTGAAGAGTAGATTCTAGAAAAAGTAAAAAAGGGTGAGGCAAAAAAGAAAGATGAGAAATGAGAACAAAAGGGGGTTGCGTAGGAGAAAATCTCTAAGGTTAAACCATTAGAAAAACGCTAATTAAAGAGAACACAAACCTTTTTGAATGTTGTAGTCAGAGAGGGTTCGACCATCTTCGAGTTGTTTACCAGCGAAGATCAAACGTTGTTGGTCGGGTGGGATACCTTCCTTATCTTGGATTTTAGCTTTTACATTTTCAATGGTGTCAGAAGGCTCAACTTCAAGGGTAATTGTTTTTCCAGTTAAGGTCTTGACGAAGATTTGCATACCACCACGAAGTCGGAGGACCAAGTGAAGGGTAGACTCTAGAAAAGATAAGCAATAAAAGAGGGTGAGTCCAAAAAGAAATGAGAAAAAAAAGTAGGGCGTAAGATGGAAGGTGAATTTCAACAAGACCAAAGGAGAAAATCACTAAATAGAAAAAAAAAATAACCAACCTTTTTGGATATTGTAATCCGAAAGAGTTCGTCCATCTTCCAATTGTTTACCAGCGAAGATCAAACGTTGTTGATCGGGTGGGATACCTTCTTTATCTTGGATTTTGGCTTTAACATTTTCAATAGTATCAGAAGGTTCAACCTCAAGGGTGATAGTTTTTCCTGTTAAAGTTTTCACGAAAATTTGCATGATGATTGCGAGAAAGTTGAGACGTAGAAATAAATTTCAAGAAGAACAAAGAGAAAATTGGAAAGAATTAACTGTTAATTGATGTAACTCGAAGTAAACACAAAGAATGAATAATTGGTTTAGTGTTGCCGTGAGAATTTAGAGAAACTGAGAATTCTCGATATATTGTCATCGATTTCTCATCGATATAAAATTCAATTTATCGAGAACCAAACGATTGTCTTTTGTTTACATCTTATGCTCTTCAGTTGAGTGATAAGTATGGTGAAAATGTTAATGTATAATTGTGAACTTTGTTTTAAATTGTGGAAATTATTTCTCTTTAATTTGGATTACATTAATTGTATATATAAATTTAGTGACCATTGGTTTAGTTTTGATTACAATTAAATTGTGAAAAGATATTTCACAAAGTCAATAGAACTAGAATTTAAACAGGCTAATAGTTGAACTACATTTCGAATTGATTGAATTGATTTACAATCGTTAGATTCGGTGAGGGTTAATCTTAATAACTAATTAAGAAAATAGGTCACAAAATTTAGAACTACAAATGAATGATATGTGCAAAAATTAATCTCTATTATTATTAACAGAAAAATGTTGATAATATTAGTTGATTTATCTTGTGATGAAACTTTGGACGAGTTGATGATTTGGTTATTGTAACTAATTGTTTTGTAGTAAAACAAAACAATTATCTTGATGACATTTAAATCCAATGTTGATGAATTAATTGGTTAAACTTTGTATAGCAAAATCAATTGATTGTTGTTGTTGTTGATAACCATAATGAAGGCATGATTCAGAAGACAATTTGGTTAATCGTTTTTGATGGAATAGATTTTTTTCTCCTTGTATTTAATCAAATATAACTTCAATTAATGAAATTTCATTGATGATGTTAATTGGATGGATAAATGCAAAGATGACTAATTTCTCCAAGGTTGTAGTAGAATAGATTAAATTGTCGACATTTGATTAGGGTTGTTGATGATTTATATTCACAATTATATGAAGAAAAAAGTTGAAGTAGAATAAAAATTTAAGCAGGTTCATGATCAACTTCAAAAGTTGCGAAATTATTTCCTCTTTGTTTAAGATCTTCACTGACTGATGCATTTTCCACTGCCACCGCCGATAAACCAGAAGCTGAAATTGTGAATCTAAATAGATTGGCCACAAATCGAGTGGTTAAAATTGCAACCAAGGCTCCCTGAAATAATCCAACAAGGACATCAGACCAATGGTGTTTATAATCAGAGATACGAGTGAAACCAGTGTAAATAGATAAATAGATTACGAGGACTTGAAGGAAAGCTCTGGGTAGAGCAAGTTTTTGATGTTTAACACGATTTTGGAGGTAAATCTAATATCAAATTAAGAGAAAACGAAAAAAATAGAGTAAATTAAGAGCAATCAATCAATGACAGAAGAAGAAAAATAACAAAATTTCCTTTGTCATCATGGTTACATTTTTTTTTCTTCTTCTATGAAGGCAAAAGTGTCATGTACTTACAGCAATATAAACAGCACAATAAGCAGAGAAAGATGAATGTCCCGACATGAAGGATAAACGGGAATCTCTTAATCGATCACTAGTAAGGCAACTGTAATCTTCAATGTATCTATACTTGTTTCGAGGTTCATCACAATTAACATTTGGATCGCAAACACTGATAAAATGAGGTCTTAATCGACCAATAGAATATTTTGCAATGTCGGTTAATGTTTGTGAGGCTAATGCACCAAAAGCGAAGACAATTAATTGATGGTACAAAGTCCAGATAAATTGGATAATCGGTTGGCCGCCATTGTTTCCACTTCCTCTTTTCATAATATTCATACCAGGTAAGGACATAAACTCAGTGGTCATTATCTGTAGTCAAAATAAAAGAAAAAGTCAAACGATAATTAGGTGAATTATTCTGATAGAAAGAAGGTCAACATAATAAAAAAAAGAAAATCTATAATTCTAAATATACGAAGCTATAAAAAGCTTCTTTTTTGTTGACTTAAAGTCGAAAAAGAAAAGAAAGAAGATAATAAAGATGGAAGAAGAAGGTGAAAAGTAATTAACACTCTATTTCATCTCCCTCTCTTTCTTGTGATTGGCACAAAAGTCACCAAAAAGAGTAGAAAAAATTAGAAAAGGTTGACAACAACAATTATCGAGAAAAGGGCGAAGATGAAATTCAAAATGGTGGATCAGGTAAAGAGAGAGTGAGAGAGAGAAAGAGAAAAAGATTTTTCTACTGACCACCAAAAGTGATGTAATAATTGACACTGAGAAAAGTAATCCAGAGGAAATGGTTGATTCTTTGAAAGGATAGCGAATTGATTCATCGTCACAATAGAAGCCACGTACATAAGGATCACCAATAAAATAGAAGAGAAAAAATGGAAGACCAACTAAGAATATGGAAGAGAAAATAGAATAGAATAAAATTAATCAGAAGATAATGTAAGAAGAAAACATGGCTGATAAAGAGAAGAGAAAGTTTTTCTTTCAAGAGAAACAAAAAGGAAAATTAAACACCAAAGATTTTAAAAAAAAGAATTGACAATTTACCTAATAGAGTGGCCAGTAAATCTAGTCCCAATTTAGCGATTAACTTTTTGTTGTCCGGCATGATGATGATGGAATAATAATTAGTTGATTGTTATTGCTGAGAATTAGAGTTAATCACAGGAAAAGAAAACAGGGAACAGTTGAGAATGGAAGAGATAAAGTCAATTATGAAATCATATCTTAAACCAATTGCATGTTTAAAGGTGGAGTTGAAGGAAGAGAGAGAAGATGAGAAGAAGAGAAAGAGAAAAGTAGAAAGAGAAGATAAATGAAGAAACACAAAGAAGAAAGAGAGGGAAATGGAAGACAGATGATGAGAAGGAGGAAAAGTTGATTGTGAAAATTGTTCGTTTTATGGACAAAATTTGGATGATTAAAGTAAATTAACTCTGAACATGGAACCATTTTCATGACAGGAAACAGTTTTTTTATAGAAGAAATTAATTCTTTCCTTTGGTTAATTTCACCTTCACTTTAATTGTTTCCAAGATTTTCCTTTCCTTGGATGTTAATTAAACATTAATTGTCTCCAATTCTTTGATTAGACATCAAATGTTGGTAGAATTAAATCTTGAGGTAAAGCGGAGTCCAAACGCAGGTCACTTTGAATAGAATTTATAATGTTGTTAAAAGCTTCTTTCCATTGATAATCTCCACGGGAATTTATGGCGGAATAAAAATCTTGTATGACTGAGGCGAGAAAAATATAATTTCTCTCCTCAATTAGATCGTAGAAAAATTTTAAAATATAAGCGACATCTTCGTCAATCAGGTCAAGTTCCGTTTCTACCCATTCACGGACGATTGATGTTACATCGGAAAGTCCAGTTTCCCCACAAACATTAGCATATTTGGTGCGAAAATTTTTATTCCGATTAGTATGTGACCGAGTTGATGATGAAACATTAGAAACTGTTGCTGATTCGGTGACTGTTGTTGTCGTTGTCGTCGTTGTTGTAGTTGATGATAATGATGTAGGTGATGATGAAGATGAAGAGGATGATGGTGGTGGAGGAGGAGATGATGGATTTGTTGAAGTTTCAGTCCGTTTAACATAAAAATCCATCGGTCCCAAAACTGTGTTTGATTTTGAGCTTTTAGAATTTGATTTTTTCATCTTCACACTTTGGGTTGATTTTTTACTCTTATTACCAGTAGATGAATTCGATCTCACCATTTTTAACCTTCTTCACACCTTTAACCCAACAATTGATGGATAAAAAAATGATTAAAATATTTAAAACAATTGGAAATTAAATTAAAAAACATTTTCGCTGATGAAAACAATTCCATTTACCTAACATCAGCTGAGGGAATTTACAATTCTAAATGTGTTAACTTTCCCTTTTGTTACTTTGTTTTTTCTTCTTCTGGTGATCACGTTTTTGATCGTTCTTTTTCGGTCAAATTGGTGCTAATTAACACGATAAACGGCAAGTAGAAGGACAACCAACTCATCAGTAAACCGTTTAGAGGACCAGACGACAGATTTGACTGACGAGAACTAAGGCTACCAATGAAACTGCTGATACCAAGATCACAAGAATATTGATAATTAACCTGACTAATGGTAAGTGCCTAATTAACGTCCACAATTGTTCTAACAAAGATCTATGAACTATCATAGAGACAATTTGAAAATCCGATAAAATTCATAATGAAACAAACGGAAATAGATCAAGATCCCAAGGGAGACAAGTATAAGGATATCCGTTATTGATAACGGTCTTATCAAAAGATATTTAAATCAAATCAATTGAGTAACTAACTCATTTGAATATAATCAAGTGAACCTAGTACAACAATTAGTATTAACTTCATAACCTCACACCTTATTATTATTTTTTTTACTCCTATTATTCTTCATTACTAGTATAATCAATAGTGAATCTCAAACAATAATAATAAAAATGACTGGAAAAAACCAAAAGAAAAACGAATGGAATGAAAAAATAGATCTAATCCAAAACCTAATGGAAAGTGATATTAACCCATTTTGTGAAATAACACCAATCGAGGAACTACAAGAACTTCAAAAAGACATCAAAACACTTCTCAAAAACAAAAAATTACTCGAAAAATTTGGAAATACACCGGAAAAAGTAACTAAACTACAATCACTAGGAACAAGCCTAGCCCAAGCAACCAGATCTAAGGAATCATCACAAATGATAGCTGAAATATTGAATATCAACCCAACAACAACTGAAGACACCCAAATAAACAAAAGAAAAAACAACGAAGACAATGAACTGATTCCAAACAAGATCAGGAAAACTGATGATCCAATACCATCAAGCTGGATAAAATGGGAAATGAGAACACTATCACCAAGTGCACTAATTAAACACTCTAACAAAACTCCAAATGAAATCTTCGAACTCATATCAGCCTGTAAAAGAGAAGATAAAATGGAAATTGAACAAACCCACTCGTTCTTCATAAACAACAACAATGTGAAAATAAAAGCAAAAGACGAGGAAACTCTGAACAAAATCATTAATATTATAAATAATAATATTGATGGATGTGAAATCGATGTCATGAAAATGAAACCACCTAAAATCAAGATTCTCAATGTACCAGGACTTCACAGAAATGAACAAACATTTGAATTGAACTTCATGAAATATAACAAAAAACTGGATATGGCTAACTTCAAGATACTAAAAGTCATGAAAAAAAATAATGGAAATAATAATGACATCATTGCAAAAGTCAGTCCAGCCCTTAGATCGGACATTCAATTAGCAAATGGAATAATATCGAGTGGTATGCGGACACATAAAGTGATCGATATTTTCGATATCACATATTGCTCACGCTGTCACTCACTACAACACTTCCGCAAAAATTGTAAGAACCAAGATATTTGTGCCTTCTGTGCTGGTGCACATAATCAATTCTTCTGTGTTGACCAAAATGAACAAAAAATCAAATGCGCAACCTGCAATCGAAAAGGTCACAGACCAGGTACTATCACCTGCCCAGATTACAAACAAAAATTAATAATCGAAACCGGAAGAACAGCTTTCGAATATCAATATTTAATGATGTAAACAAAAAAAAAAAAGTGTTACTGAAAACAACTAAATATTCCGGCCAATTAAAGATAATATAAAATCGCATTTCAACTGCAAGTAATAATCGAAACTACACCTCAATGAATTAAATTGTATTTCAAAAAATTTAAAAATTACATTTCAATAATTAAAACTGCATTTCAGTAGTCAAAACGTGCCTTTCAATAATAGAAACCACATTTCAATGAATAAAACTGCATTCCAATAAATAAACTGCATTTCAATGATTAAAACTGCATTTCAGTAGTCAAAACTGCATTTCAACAACTGAAACTACATTTCAATGAATAAAACTGCATTTATTGAAACTGCATTTCAATAACAAAATTGCATTTCATCAATTGAAATCGCATTTCAATGATTTAAACTTACATACATATACAAATACAATTAATTAAAAATTAATTTTCGATGAAAATTAATTGTGATTAAACAAATTGCACGTTAATGTAACATTGACGCGATTACGAAAATAATATTAGTTTAATTGTTCAGAATCAATTGATGAATGATTTATCCTTCTGCCCCCAATTAATCTAATTTGTAATTTGCATTTCAATAAATAAAATTGCATTTCAATGAATAAAATTGCATTTCAACATAAGAAATTGCATTTCAATAAATGAAATTGCATTTCAATATAAGAAATTGCATTTCAATGAATAAAATTGCATTTCAATAAATAAAAATGCATTTCAATGAATAAAATTGCATTTCAACATAAGAAATTGCATTTCAATAAATGAAATTGCATTTCAATATAAGAAATTGCATTTCAATAAATGAAATTGCATTTCAATGAATAAAATTGCATTTCAATAAATAAAAATGCATCACAATATAAGAAATTGCATTTCGATACATGAATTTGCATTACAATAAACAACTATTATCTAAATATTGCAAATTAACTAATCAAATCTAAATCTAAGTTTCTATTAATATCTATTAATATTAATCAATTATTAAACTCACCCAAATCTTAAGCATGAACACTTACATCCGAATGAAAGGGTAAAAATAGTTAATAGATCATAACAATGGTTAAGAAATCCCTTTATAAATCAACAACAATTTATAATCAACATTATCATTAACAATAAATTCAATCTTATCAATGATTGCAATGGTGCCTCGACTGTCCAAACGACTAATGTAACAAATTGCATAAAGTGAATTGTCAATTGTGAATTGATGAACAATTAATGAAATATTAGTGAAATTTAATAATTTTGTTTGTTGATAAATCTTATCATACTCCAAGGTTACTATTAATTGTTGATTAATTGTAGCGTAATTTAGTTTTCGGCGATGATTCTCTCTCTGGTTGTCCTTCAAGAGCCTCTTTCTCTAGGAAACTAAATTACAATAGAAAAGATTATAAAAGGAAATGTATGCTTAGCTAATTAATGGAAAAAAGTAATCTTTCAATTGTAAGTGATTAGTTAATTTACCTAAACCATAAACATGGTAGACGAATTGTTTCAAAATGCCAAACTGAATGAACATCCAAAATAAAATAGATTGGAGGGAAATCGTTAATCTCAAAAATGAGAAGACAATTAACTAGTAGAATCAATTCATATTCGGATTCAATCCAAATTATAACCCCAGATGGCACTAGTCAATGAAGATAAAGGAAGGAAATTAACCAAAATAAGTAAATCACACCAATTAACACGTGCAACCAACGTTAATCTAAGTAAACAATTAAAATATTATTAACTTTGTGAATTATGCTAAATTGGTTAATAACAACGATTAATGACAACAAAAAATATGTTGATTATTCATCTATAATACCAATTATTGAAGCAATACAAAAAGATCAACATAACGAATACAGAATCGACCAATTAATCCAATTATTGAACTTAATCACTTGCCAATGGTTAGAAGACCCAACAAAAGTAAGAAACGATATTTTCGCCGTGGAAAAAATAATAAAAATAATAAAAGAAAAAACGAACCAATCATCATCAGTGGAAAAAGACAACTCTAACAACCCAGTAATCATCGCATTCAAAGGACTACTACAACAAGAGAAGATTAAAGAAATAATCACTGAAAAGTACTTGACGGAAATTCGAGGTGAGAAAAGTCAAAGGAAACAATTTACCCTTTCAATAGACACACCTGAAAACATCATTCACGAGATAATATCACTAGAAGATATAAATATAACGGTGATACATATAAAGTGGAGATACTACGAGATAATCTGTAACGACAAAGCCGAGGCAAATAAAGTAAAAAAGCTATTCCAGGACCAGTGTGATCAACAATCTATCACCATACAGATTAAAAAGAAGAATGAACAATTTCTAACGATCATACAGACCAACAACGTGAATATAATCGATAAAATAAAAAAGGAAAAGAATATTATTATTATCAACAACAAGCAGCTCAGAATATCACCAAAAGCAACATACCTACAATGCAACAAATGCCTACTGATCCACACCGGATACCATATCCAATGCTCGAACACATGAATGTGGGGAAACGTCGCCAAATAACAAGAACAATAATCGAAGGAATAAACAAATCGACAAGAAGAATCATTTCAATCAACGAACCAAATACATCACAAATATTTACAGCGAATGAGAAAATCAAAGTTAATAATGCAACGACCATCATAATATCTAATGACATTAAAATTGAAAAAACTTATTATCCACAGAATGATATTATTATTATTGATCTGGGGAACCCATTCAATGGTTTACGAATAATTGGCTCATATATACGAACGAATGAACTGCAAAAATGGCAAGATATATCTGCTTTTATAAATGACTTAACAATAATAATAGGAGACGTAAATTACCAACACCAACTATGGTCACCAAAGCCGCAAAATAACTTCATGGTAGATCAAATAATAATTAACAATAATATTGAAAGTGTCTTTTCACCTCAATCAGAAGAAACATTCAACCGAAATGACTGTAAATCATGGATAGATGTTATCCTAATCAATGGTGGCATAAAAGCAACGAGAAAAGAGATAATTGATGTGAAAACAAACGACCACAAGTTATTAAAATGTGAACTAATAATACCAACAATAAGTAAACCAAAAACCTTCAAAAAATTACATCTAAATAACTGGCACCTTAAAATAAAACCAATGGATCTTAGACCATTCAATAAAAATCATTTCTTGATAGAAAACTGTCAAAGGATAATCAACTTCCCGGACAAACATGGTCGATGGCGAATCACGAAAAATACAACAAAAATCGACTGAAAATGGAAAACTAAATTACAATAAACTAATGGAAATGGATGCAAAGAAAAAATGGAAAATAATAAGAAAAACAATAATATATAAAGAAAATCAGTTCATGTTAAATAATGATCAGAGATACGAAGAATCATTGAAAAAAATAATGGAAACAATGTCGACATCTAAACCTAAATTCACTGAAACCGAAGAAAAAACATTCAAATTCAACGGATTAAACACTAAAGAAAAACAGATGATATTCGATATGAAAATGCAAAAATCATCGTTAAGTGGAGATAAATATACAATACCAATGTGGAATGAGTTCTTCAGACGGAATAAGTTAAGAATAATCAAAATAATAGACATGATTATGATGATGGGATATGTTCCCAAATGTATCAGAATCTACGGAATTGGCCTGATCAAAAAACCCGATGGAATGAATTTAAGAACAGTGAAATCACCAAATTATCTACTCAGAATAATAGATAAAATATGTGCGAATAGACTACAAGATATGATACCATTAATCATTGACAATGAATCACAATTTGCTTTTATAAGAAAAAAATGCAGAGAACATCTACTATTTGAATTATTATTGAAGAAAAACATGAAAAACCGATGGATGGTACAACTAGACATCTCAAAAGCATTCGACGAAGTTAACATTGAATCTACAATAACAATAATAAAACAAAAAGACGAACAACTGGGCAACTTACTTGAATCAATGAATACAATAAGATGGACGAAAATGATATGGAAAAATCAAATATGGTGGGAAAAAATGAACAAAGGTACAAGTCAAGGATCATCATGTGGACCATTACTCTTTATACTGGCAATTGATCAAGTGATAAGAGCTATGAAACAAGAAACAATCGAGATACTTGCATTCGCTGATGACATTGTTATTATTGTTGATTCTGAAATCGAAGCTAAAAATGCATTAAAACTCATGGAAGAAAAACTGGAAAAGATAAACCTGAAAATAAACAAAGAAAAAACAAAAATTATAAAAGGTTCGGAATGCTCAAAGGTGATGGGATGTTACAACATCAATAAACAAAGTGGGAAAAAACGGAAAGAAGTGATAAATGAAATAATGGTAAAAGCGATTTCTCCATTATCACATGTAACGAAGTTCATAAAAAGGATGCCGAAAAAACTACAACAACTTCTGATGAATACATATGTCAACTCAGTAATGAAAAACTACGATTATTCATGGATAATAAGTAAAAAATACCTGAAAATAGGTAATAATATACAAGGAATAATCCAATGTAATTTAGCACCAATAATTGGAACTAAGTTCATGGAAAGATGGTCACAAGAAATGCTACTGGAAATTCCATCAATCATAAGAATACAACTAAAAACAATCATCAAATGGGACATCTACGAAAATGAATGTAAATTACTAATTAATCACTTCAAACTCACCAAAAACCAATACATCCCGATAAAACCAACAAGAACAATAACCGAAAACGAAATCGCCAACATAAAAACGACATGTGAATGCGAATTTCCAAGAATAACGATATTCAGAAATGATACCACGTTAATCATCTCGATAAAATTACAAGAACAAATTATTAATATTAATATTAATAATAGTAACAATAGAAGTGAATTTGAATCATGGATAATTACATTTGCTGTTGTAATTGAAATTACCAAAAAGAAAGGATTCAAACACGTACCTATTAGTAAAAAACTACTCAAAACAATTTACTCCAAATCGCCAACAGGCAATGATCTAAGAGGACTAATATCACTAATGGATCACAATGAATGGACATGGTGTGTGAGTGAATGGGAAATCACGAAAGAAAAACCAAAAATATCAATAAATTGGGACATCAAATGGACACACGAATCGGGAATAAACAAAATAGTGGACAAACTGGTTAATAATATTATTATTAAAATACGAAAAGAACACCAAACAATCGATACAATATTGAACCCAAACATGAAGATAAAACCCTTATGGTACCAACCGTTAACACCGAGACAATGGTTTAGCCTATGGAAAAGATTCGAAATAAAAAGAAAAATTAATTGCTGTGGAATAAAAGAAAAAGTAAATATAATCACTCACACATTAAAGGAACCAAAACACATCGAAGAAATTATCGGCCGAAAACAGAATTGGAATTGGTCACTAGACGAAGTAGATATAATATCAAGAAGGAAAAAAATAGAATTTGTTATTAATATTATTAATATTATCACCGAAAATGAACAAATGTTAAAAACAACAAACATCATCTTCATGTAAAAAGAATAGAATTTATTCTATTCTTTAGCACATGAGCAACGACTCATGTGCATGATCACCTGTATCGCCATCAATCTTGGTAAATAAAATTTCTTTCACTTGGTTTGGTTTATTTTTCTGGTGGAAATTAATTGTTCACATTAATTAGGATTAATTATTCTTCTTAATTTGATTTTCGACTGTTTAACCTTCTAGAATGGCTCGTAAGTGTTGATTTGTTTTTCTATGTCCCATTTCAATGGAATCAAAGTTGTTGATTAGATTGTTGTTTATGTTTTGTGATGAAAATTGGATTGTGATTGGTTTTTGTTATCCTTTTTGTTGTTGGTTTGTTTCTTTTGGTAATTAATTTTTTTTTCTTTAATTGTTTGCAGGTGGAAATCAAAGGGATTTAGCTCGTCAGAAGAATCAGAAGAAACAACAAGATCAGAAAAAGAGCGCTGGTGCTGGTGCCAAGGATGGAAATAAAGGGTTAACGTTGGAGGAACGGAAACATAGGTTAGCTTAAGGAATTTGTGATCATTTGATTTTCCAATTTATTTTCACTTAAATTGATTGTCATCTAATCATCTGTAGATTGGTCTACACAGTGAGACGATTAGATGCTGGTGATTTGGGTAATTTAATTGGTCTATCAAGGGATAACCTTTGATACTAAATGAAAATCTTACCTTTTTGGTTTTGTGAACAATAACAAATGATTTATGATTTAATTGTTGCAACTTGTTTTCTTAATTGTGTTTGATTTTTTTCTTCTTATTTTTGTGTAGAGATGCCGAGATGATGAGGCTTAAGCAACAAAAAGCTTTGGAAAAAAAGGAAACTCAAGCATCATGACGATCTAATTTCTACTTCGATCTATTGTCTTCTCGACTTAATTGATTTACTGTGGAATGTGAATATTATTAAAACAATCAAATATCCAGAATATGAAATGTTATCCAGTTCGAAGACAATATTCAGTTCTTTATTATTGATCATCATCATGAGTGTTTTTCTTCTTCTTCTTCTTCTTCTACTTGAAAACTAATCATCATCATCCGATTACAATCAACACCAGAGAATTTAATTATACACCTGAAAATTGACTTGAGCAAAGAACAAAAGGAAAAAAAATGATAATAATACATCTAATTAACTTGATAACATCTAAACACTAACAATCAGTTGAAAACAATGTGGCTTGCATTTAATCAAGTGGAAATATATATAAATACATAGAAATATGTATTGTGTTACAATCAAAAAGAGATTTTTAAAATCCTTGGAAGAATAAATTTGATATTAATAATTATTCAATTAATGATGATCATTTAATTGTCACGGTTATCTAAATCATTGTATTCAGCCAATTTCATCTCAATTGATGATTTAATTCGGTCAATATTGGCTAATCGATTCATTCTATCATCTGAATCATCTGCAAGATTATTAATCTCTTCCTTAATAGAAACGAAATCATCTTTAAATTCCTTGGCTTGATCACTTAAAACTTCAATGTCTCGATTTAATTTAGGTAAATTACTGATAACACTAAGAGCGGTTTCCTCCAGTGATTGATTGATTTCCTGGATAAACAATTGTAGTTTAAAGACAATATTAGAAGCATAACTTTCTTTATCCTCCTCTTTTGGTACCGAATTAAGAGTATCGTTAATCCAATCAACTGAATCAAAATTTTCCTCTGTAAAAGCTTTAAAATCCTAGAAAAGAAAAAAAAATCCAACCGTTAAACATAAGCATAAACTTAACCACAAAAGAAATCAACTAACTTACCATAATAACCAAAACCTAACACACCATCCGAAAATGAAACACGTAATTAACAAATTAACCTAAAAAGACACAAGACAATCAACTAAATTATCAACAAAAAAAATCACAAAACCAAATCAAAAGATTGACAATCAAATCACCAAGGGGAAGGCAGAGAAAAAGAACCAAAAACAACAGTTAACCATCCAAACAAATCACCACAATCGGAACAGGAACAATCAGATAAACAGAATCTAATATTCAACAAGATTAAAATTTAATTCCAAGTAAACGAAGAAGAAAAAGTTAATCAGTAACAATTAATAAGTAAAAAAGGTAAATGAGAATTAAATTAAATTAAAAGAAAAAAAGTAAACAAGAAAAGTGGTGACACCTTTTGGAGAAAAAAAGAAAAAAGGTAAACACGCCTTGGAAAAAAAAGATTTTCGTTCGTTAGGAAATCCAATAGTTTGAAGTGAAGTTGCTGTTGATCAGTAACTCTAATTTTCTAAGTTGATTGAATATGTTTTTCTTTCTAGTTAATTGTAAGTTAACTAATTACAATTGGATTAAATCTCTGCCTTGTTAATCTTATGTGAATAATTAATTGTCTTTATAAAAAATTCTATCCAAAGAGAGAGAGAGAGAAGGAGAGAGAAAAAGAACAAAATTTTTCTTCTCTTCTTTTTTTCCTCCATCTTTTGTGTTGGTGTTTTCTCTTTTTTTTCATATTCTGTGAATTCTATTCTCTTTTTTATACCTTTTCTTTTTCTCCTCTACAATTTGTAATCTATAATTAACATTACATACAATATATTCTTATTGCTGGTGTGGTTTTCTCTTCATTTTTGATAATTTATTGTCTTCTCCAAGGAACCGGTAACATTTAAACGAACAAAAAAAAAGAATAGAATATTTGACTTGAAGATGGTTCAGGCCAGCGTATCAACGCCTGGTCTTATCAAACATGATAAGAAACACCGATTGAAACAAAGATTTGAAGTTAAACACAAATTGGGCCAAGGAACTTATGGTAAAGTTCAATTGGCCATAAATAAAGAGACTGGACAAGAGGTAAGAAACCAAATCATCGTTGATTTATTTTCACTGATTAACAATTCCAATGATTGTACAACCGTTTCCTATGTTTAACCTGTTGTGTTTCTTTTCCTTCCTTTTTATTTTCTCTTTTCCATTAATCTTTAATTTCTTCATCTCATTCACTCTCTTAGGTTGCAATTAAGACAATTAAAAAGTCAAAGATTCAAAGTGAACAAGATCTGGTACGAATACGTCGAGAAATTCAAATAATGTCATCAATACAACATCCACATATCATCCATATTTATGAAGGTGAGGCAAATCAGTTCAATTAGTTCAAGGTAATCTAATCAATCTGTTTAATCTTACAATTTTCTCTCCTTCTCCCTCTCCCTCTCCATCTCTCTCTCTCAATCTCTCCTTTCTCATGTTCTTCTTATTCTCTCTCTCTCTCTCTCACTTTGCCCAACTATTAATCATCTATCAATTTCATATAATTTTCATCTCTTTTACAACTTACACACTAACTAAACTCAATTTTCTTCCCTTCGTTACCATTCATATCTATCCATCTTATTTGTCTTCATCATCATCATCATCTTCGTCCTCTTTTCTCTTTTTTGGTTTTTAAACTTTGGGATGAACGATAATGATGATAATTATTTTCTTCTCTCTATTTCTGACTCTTTAACCTACTAAAACCACCATCCCAACCATATGATCACACGAATACTCGATCACATCTCTGCCCACATGGTTTAAATATTCATCATCAATGATAACAAATTGATGAATAAAACAACAACAAAAAAACTCTCAAAATGATTCAGTTTTTGAAAATAAGGAGAAAATCGTCCTGGTCATGCAATATGCCAGTGGAGGTGAACTTTATGAATACGTTTCAGACCGGAAAGTGCTTTCAGATAATGAGGCAAGACGATTATTTAGACAAATAGCAACAGCGGTTTATTATTGTCATAAGGTTTGTAATCCTTTTAATTATTACAAAACATAATCATATAATCATCATTCCCAAATCCACAAATAGCAACAGTTTTAAAAATTGTTCACTTTTCCTCAAGAGTCTGATAGCTTTTGATGATGTTGCTGTTTAATCTCATTTGTTAATTGTAAATAAGTAACTTTTACTCTCTATGTGTTTTCCAAATGATCTGTTGATAAACATTCCCATCCCTCCATCTTCATCACCATCAGTATCTAATCATATTATTGATGTCGTTAAACTTATATCTTGAGAATTAAGTATCACTCTTTCTCTCTCTCTTTTTTTCTCTGTCTTGATCTTAACACACAACCGGAAGCAAAGTTTTTTTCTGCTTTTCTCTGATTTCATTGCATATATTACATTGCATTTAGTGAAAATTTTCCTAAGAAAGATCAAATAGAAAGAGAGAGAGAAAACTGATGATGAGGATGACGATAAATACGAAGATGATGAGGTTATGAATGTACAGTTAAAAACTAACTTTTTCTAAAAATAAGGTTCCTCAAGAGCAAAATATCAGAGAAAGAGAGAAAGAGAGTGATAATAAGTATATTTATTTGAAAACATAGGCAGAAAGGGATGAAGATGAGAGGATGACGAAGAAGATGATAAGGAAGCAGAAATTTTTCTTGTCTTGTTCATATCCAATGTAAACGGATGTAACCAGATGATGGCGATCATCCAAAATGATGAGAGAGCTTCCAAATTGATGGTGTTTGTGTTTTCTCCCTTCTCTCTCTCTCTTTTTTTCTCTCTTCATCTTTCTTTGTTTCTAATGTTTTCAATTAAACAAAAGAAAAAAATTACTCTTTTCATTTCCATCATCATCATTATCTTCATGCTTATTATTTAACTTGGATAACAAAAAAAAATCATCAATAGAGGAAACATTTTCCCATTTGATACAATGTTGGCTAACAAACGCAATTGGTTTTAGCAAACATTATCATCATCATCATCATCATCATTCAACTCTCATCATGTTTACTCCATCTCTAAATGTTCATTTTTCTGGATTAGAATTAGTCTGACAATTTGCCTATTATTTAATATTATGTTTAACTGATTATGACTAATTACTTAATTTATGAAAGAAAAACTTTCTATTTAATTACTCAAACAGATCATCACAATCACCATCTCTTAATCTTCATGATGGTGATAATTTTTACCAAAGTTTACTGAAAGTTACTGTTTCTATCATGAGTCTTAATTATCTTAATCATGTTTGATTTATTTTCTCAATCCAAGTCCAAGGATGATAATGATACCAGTCTACAAGTAGGAGCACAACAATAATTCACAACATTACCACCGAGAACAACAAAGATCATGAAATTGATTACGTTTACTATTACAAAATAGTGAATATTATAAAGAAGATGCTGATTAGGATAGAAAAAGAAATAAACCACAAAGATGAGGATAAAATTTTCGATGCGTAGAATTTATCAAAAATTCTGGTGTTATCGTCATAGGAAGAGAAATTTCTTGGAACCAGATCAAGAAAACTGTTGAATCCAACGAGCTATCCATCATCTGTAGGCTTTATCATATCAACCATGATGTTCAAGATTCCATTGGGATTTCTAATGATGAATCCTACCGGAACAAACCTAAAGAGAGAAAGAATCAAAAATGAACCTTTTACCTTCCTTATTGCAATTTTAATTATCCTACTATCACATCATCAGAATCGCTTTAACCCTTTCAGATTGTTGCTCATTCTTATGCTAACATGATAATCAAATGTCTATGAGATTTTTGATAGAATTCAAGTTTATCATGTTGGTAAATCGAGACAGAATTCTTGTTTTAATCTCAGATTTTCTTTCTCCTAATTCTTTGATGATCATCTTCTGAACTTCGTCACAGAATCTCATGAAAATATTCACTTTCTTTCCACTAATCTCTCTTTCTTTCTTTTTCAGAGTATTCCATAAATAGCTGAGTTACCATCATCATCTTTCATTAGAACCTTGTGAACATTTATCCCTCTTTGTCTTCCCTTTCCTTCTTTCCCCTTTTTCTTCTCATCATCATCATCATCATCTCTCTCTCTCTCCATCGTCTCTATCAATAATATTATGATTATCTTTACTAATTTGAAGTTCGATTCTAAAGATATTAGGGCGTTTTCTTAACCTTAAATTTTTTATACATTCGAATGTCTCTTCAGGTATTCATTATCTTCTCTATCTTCAGATTATCTTCATTATTATTCACTGTCTCTTTCTTTATCTTCTTCGTCCTTCTCTAATTGTCAAATTTCATTGAGAGATTATGATAACTTGACATCGAAAGTTATGTTATTACATTTTCTGCTTACTTCACTCCTCGAAAATTTCGAGTGACGTTTGATTTTCGAGGAAATATTTTTAGTTCTTAAAAAAGATTTCTAAACTTTCTTTGTCTCTCTTTCGGTCTTTTTCATCATCATCATTCCCCACCCTCAGAATTCTGGTAATCACCATGATGATGATGTTATTTTGATTTCAAGTTCTCTCCCCAATCACCATCATCATAATTACTCATATTCTCAAATGATTATGTTTAGATATTAAAGAAAAAAAAAGCTCACAAACTTAACCAGTTTTCTCAATTATAATTAACGAGTAAAATTATGCACAATCTTCACATTACAATTAACTAAATTTCCACAATTTGATTTACACTTTTCACATTCTGTTGCTATTCCAAAGATAATTAACAATATTGACTATCAACTAATTGATTTATTCTTTTTCTCTAATCATCAATTTAACAATAATTAACTAATTATCCAGAACAAGGTTTGCCATAGAGATCTGAAGTTGGAAAATATTTTATTAGATCATAATGGAAATGCAAAGGTAAGTTAAACTTTTAATTGCTGATGAAATTATGTTATAATTAGTATTGTGATGTAACGTTAAATCACTTGAAAAGGTTCAAAATTACGTCAAGCAATCAATTTGATTGTTCTCAATCAAAGACTAACGTTTTCATTTCTTTTCCTCATTCAGATCGCTGATTTTGGTCTTTCAAATGTTTTCGATGAGAAACATTTTCTTAATACATTCTGTGGTAGTCCTTTGTATGCATCACCCGAAATCGTCAAGGGAATACCTTATTATGGTGCCGAAGTTGATTGTTGGTCTCTGGGTGTTTTACTTTACACCCTCGTCTATGGAGCGATGCCTTTTGATGGAAGTAATTTCAAACGATTGGTTAAACAAATCTCTGAATCAAGTTACTTTGAACCTAAACAGAAATCAGGTAAATGATTAGATTTGATTATAAGCTTTTCAGTTGTAGTATTTTATTCATTGATTGCTTTTACTTTGTTACAGAGGCATCTGGATTAATTAGACGATTATTGGCCGTTGATCCAACTAAACGAGCAACAATCATCGATATTTGTACCGATTGGTGGGTCAATAAAGGTTATGAACATTCATTACTTCAGGTAGCTGAAGATTTAGCTAATCTTACACCGGTTCGTTTGGATGTACTATTGGCTTTGGCTCCGATTTCACCTCCAGTTGAAAGTGGTAATGGTCAAAATCCATTATCAGGTCAAGAAGGTGATCTATCCGTTGTTAGTAGCGGTGGTAAACCTAAGCGAGTTAAGAGTAAATCTTCCCGTTCAGATGAAAATCTTTATCCGTCATCAACTGCGGCCATAGATTATCAAGCTGATACTTCTGAGCTTTCCAATGATATTCCAACTTATCCTGAAGAAGAGGAAGAAGAGCTTATTGATGCAAGTGAAAATGTCGACGATGGCGATGAATTTTTACCTTCAGCAGTGGCCGCTGCTCTACAAGATGAATGTCAAGAGAGTGTTAAACAACAACAACCATTACAAGATAATATGGTTACTGGTGCTCAAGATTTATCGATGGATTTACCAGAGGAAAATAGCTCAGAACCTGGTAAATCAAGTAAAAGAATTGCTGGTTCATCGATTGATTCTAATAGTGTAAGTCGAGTTTCAAGTCATGTGATGAAACATAAAAAGCCAAAAAAAGGTTCTGAAGATGCGATTGTTACTCAATCTGAAGATCATCAAGTGACCTCTTCGGGTTATATAAGTGATGGTACCTCAGTGACCGGAGGTACTTTTCCACCGAGTCAAATTGTCACTGATGATTTAACTCAACCAATTATGTTAACAGAGGATAATGAAAGTGTTACTTTAAGAGGTGAAGACGATGATACAACGATGCTCAATAAAACATCAACAGTACCTTACGATTCCTTACCTGATGAAAATGTTTCCATATCATCACAAATTTCATCTTTACCAGAAACCGGAAGAGATTCTAGAAATGCTAAATTAGAATCTGTTAGCGGAATAACAACTTCAAAGACTCAATCAAGTGCCTCCATTGAAACATTAACAGCTAAAGATGATGAATCAACCCCATCATCTCAAATTGAAATGAATTCATCTTCAAGTACCTTAATCGATGATCAGCAAAAATTAACTCGACAAAATTCAATTTCAAGATCAAGTGTAAAGAGTAAAAGTAAAAGTGCAAGTCCTAAACGTCCAACGCCTTCGAAAACTTCATCATCCTCTTTTACCTCTACTTCGTCCTCCTCAACGATAATCTCAGGTAAACAACCTCGTCCATCATCTTCATCATCACCATCATCATCTACCACAGTTTCCAATAGTAGTAGTACCATAAACTCCTCGAAATGCCGAATAAAATCAGGAGATAAAATTGTTAATCGTAAAAGTGCCAAAGAATCACCGCCTAAAGGTATTAAGGGAAAACTTGAAGGTTCGACAACAACTTCACCATCAACATCAACAGTTACCACAACCGAAACATCATCAACACTCAAAGAATCACCATCAACATCAGCACCAGGATCGGAGGCCAGTGAATCGGTGCCCACAACTCCCGATGCAGATAAAACTAAACCTTGGCTAGAAAGGCGGGCAAGTGTTGATCGTAAAGTTGGTAAAATATCATATCCAAAGTTTCTTGAAAATAAATCGGCACCGGAAAAGAAACCCGTTCCAACGTATGGTAAAATTTCAACGGCCAAAAAGCTATTTGAAACACGTCGATCAAGTGTAGATAAAGACAAGGAAAGAGTCATTCCCATGGTAAAAGTTTCCGATGCTAAAAGAGCGTTTGAAAGACGAGCATCAATGCCAGCAAGTCAATCGACCTTATTGAGAAACGCTTCTGAAAGAAAGGCCAGTTTAATTCAACAATCATCGCTCGATGAAACATCATCAGCAATTAACAGTGAACGTAATCAAAATCTATCTAAAGATAAATCATCAAGTGTGGAAAATAATAACAACTCTAAACCTTTAAGCTCTCGACCCAGAAAATCACCTTCATCTCCAATTAAAAGTAGATCACCAAATAAATCACCAGTGAAAACAATCACAGGTAAACAATCAACTGATTCTAAAACTGATCAAGTGAACAAATCAATCGAATCAAAACAATCTGAAACAATAAAAGATTCACAAGTTAAACCTAAAGTTAAAAGCACAAGTTCAATAGTAATTGATAATGGTACTAAAAAGATTGGAACAAGTTCCGAAGTGAAAAAGGAAATTAAATCAATCGATAATCAGTCAAGTGAAATGAGGCCAAATGAAAGTGTTTCTGAACTAATTGAATCTCCGTCTATTCTGGATAATAAAGAGGAGCGAAAATCTCTTGCCAAAGATGTAATTAAGAAGCAAATTGCCAAAGCTAAACTACAAGAATTAAGACAATCATCAATAGAATCACATGAATCTAATTTATCGGTTTCATCTGATCAACATCATGGAACTAAATTAACTTGCCAATCAGGATCAGAAGAGAAACCAAAATCCTACGTAAAGTCACCAAAACCATTTATCAAGGAGGAAATTAAACCCACTCCGGTTCGTAGTGTGGCTGAAATTAAATTATCCTCAAAACCTAAATTGGGACTGGACATTGAAGCGGCTCATCGAGGTCAACAAAAGCATCAACAGTTAAAACATCAAGAGGAAATTGAAGAGATCACACCAACCAATATAATTGAACCTCCATCAACGGCAGGAACTGTTCAGAATCAAGAATCTAATCCAGGAACACCATCAACCGCAGCTACAACTGTTACTACTCAAAGTAAAGCCGCTCCGATCACACGAAGTTATAAAAAGGTCACTTTTACCAAGGACGGAGCTTGTATCACGGAAACGGGGAAAATAATCTCAGAGGAAAGTGCTGATGGTTCATTTAGCCGAATCGAGAAGAAGAGTAAAGTTACTCATTACCCGGTGGCCTCTGGTAGCGGTGCTCCAACCACCCGATCAGAGTCAAGTGAGGAAACTCGGACTATTAAAAATTTCGGCGGAAGTGTAAAGAGTAGTAGTGGTGGTGTTGGTGATGGCGATTCTTTTGATGAATCTCGAAATGGTTCAGTTTCACCATCGCCTGTTTTATCTTCGACTTCTGGACTATGTCGGTCGGAAAGTGCATCTTCTTCTGGGTCAACTGATATTTTCGATGATATATTTGACACTTGGAGCGGTGATCCAGTTTTCGGTAATATAAGTGGTCGAATGAGATCAATGTTATCTTCAAGTCGATCTCCTTTTACCAGTTTATGGGGAACAGGTCGAAATAAGAAGGGAAAGAAAAAATCTCGAGCCGAAAGTGCTGAAAGAAAACCAACAACGGAAACTTTAACCGGTGGATCAAATCGACGTCGAGTCGCAGGTCATGGTACCGATCAAGAGTTTAGTGACACTGATACAGATACTGAACCATCGATGGGCTTTGGAAGTACCGGTTCAGGAGGTGGACTTTGGAAATTTCTTGGACCCACTGCTCCATCTTCAAGTAATCTAATCGATCGTCATAGATCATTGTTATCACGACACTTTGGCTCAGATGATTTTTTCTCTGATGCTGAACCTTTCGGATCGTCTTTCCGACGCTCACTTTCACGTGATCGAGGTTCAACATCCTTCGGTACAACTCGTAATTCATCGGCTGCAGGTACACCCACCATGCGAATGGTAGTAAATCCACTTCGCAATCCGAGATCATCAATTAATCGGATGACAAGTACAACCACGAAACAAGATAGCCTTGATTCTAATGAAAGCGGGGGCAGTAATACTCAACATGTGCCAACTCCATTCAGTTCTCAGCCAGTTACCGGAAGACCATATTCTCGAACCATATCACGGGAAAGTCAACGGCAACGCGTAGGAGGAATTGATGAGAAATCAACTGGAGGTGGTAACTCATTTGATCTGGATGACGGTTCAGTTGGACCTTCATCCCGTGGTCGAGTTGAACAATGGTTGGATATGAATCGTGATGATGAAGAGATTGGCACTAATCATCCAATAAGTATGTACACAACTATCCGTCCACGTTCAGCTAATCGTTATGGTAGATCAGTTTCATCTCGATTTGGTTTTGACCTTGGATCAGTTGACTCACCACGAGACACATTTCAAGGTCCATCAGGAGGATCTAATTTATCTTTCAGTACAACACAAGAGATACAAATTGGATCTCCAAGCAGCAGTAGCCGACCAGAAACACCAACACGAACCTCAACCAACACCACCACAGGTAAACCAAGAGCAGAGGTGATTATACCTGTTGGTCGTAGTAATGTTTCATCACCTTCAATGGCCACAAGCTCACAAGGTAAACCATTAATCACCATGAAATTATCACTTGGAGGTGGAAATGAACCACGGGAGGTACGAACTTTTATTTCAAGTGGCTCAGGAGGAGGATTAGGAGGAGGAGGATTAACTGGGTCAACATCAACAACGGGAATCGTAGAAACCCCAGGAACAGCTGATTCATTCGGTGGTGATTGGTCAAGTTCTATCTTATTACCTGAAAGCTCATCTCTTTTAGATCAACTTCGTACCCATGGTTATCGTAATTTGGTCTCACAGCGTTTATCCGGTCTCAGTGGACCCACAGTCGAATCCAGGTACGATAATCGCGACAATAGTTGTGTTTCTTCTTCTTCTACTACTACTACTACTTCCACCACCACAACTCCAACCACAAACACCACCGTCAACCTTCCTCCTCAACAAATGAAAAGAGGTAAGAGTTTAACGGGAGACTCTTCCTCAATCCGGAATCTTGAGAATCTAATTGTTAAGAATGGTCAAAATTACATCGCATGGTCAAATCCTGTTAATGGTCAATCAAGTACAATAATTAAATCAACTAATAATAATCGCATGCCCAACAAAACAATGGATCAGTCAATCACCACTAACCCTGATAGTGATAATATTATTACCGTTAATCATAATGATAAACAATTAAATAGTTGTAATCGGGTTGTTAAAGTTGTCTCAAAACCTGTTGTTGTTAATGATGATGATCAAAGTGTTGGTGTTAAAAATAGTAACAATCAAATCAATTGGATTGATAAAAATGATCAAATCAATCAAAATTATGATAATATTCAATTTATTGATGAAGGTAATGGTGATGATGGTGATGATATAAATAATATCAGATTTAAATCTACAATTAATTTTAATCCAATCAATTGTGAGACTGGAAAATTAATCAAAGACAATGATGAAGATAATTTTGAAATAATGAATAACAAAACTAATATCAAATCAAAATTTGATACAAAAAATGATCAGAAAGAAACTACAACAATTAACATACCAATTAACATAATTAGTAGTAGTCAAAATAACGGTAAAAGTTGTACAAGTTATTTTTCATCTTCCATCACAAAAGTAACATCCTCTTTACCACCTAAACCTAAATCATTCAATACAAAGCATGATCTGGATGCTAAATCATTGATTGACGAAAGCCAATTAAATCATCATCACCATCACCCCAAACTAAATCGTAAACATAATCAGGTTCACCCTTTTAACTTTGCTAAAGGTGAACCCTTAACACCATCACCACCACCACCACCACCACCACAACCAACCACAACCAGTAAAACCTTCAACAGGGAGGGAAACCATCAACATCATCATCATCAACAACAAGAGCATCAACAACAACCTGAACAAAATGAGCACCAAAACCGCAAGAAACAATTTAACGATATTAAAACTTGTAATAACAATAATCTGTTATCGAAAGATGAAAACGATGAAACAATTAATAGGAAAAATGTTAATAATAATGATGATAATTCCCACAGATCGTTAAGCAATTCAACCAACACCAACACCACCACCACCAATGACCCACATCACAAAGAGACTCTTGCGGAAAGGATACTACGAAAATCATATTATTCGCGATTTAATCACCCACTCGAAAGGAGAGCGTCTTCAGTTCGTAGACGAACCTCAATGATTGAAAATGGTGATCGATTGATGGACTTTTCTTTATTCGATAATTTCTCTCGTCCTCATTATCCATCATCAACGCCCGTAACTCCAGCAGCCACATCAGGAACATCTCCTAACCATTCATCGCCATTTGATAATCATCATCATCATCATAATTATTCATCTTCTAATCATCAAATGAAACCACCAATTTATCTAACAAATGATCAGTTTATCGAGAGAGTTCAAATTCGAGCTCAACAGCTTATTGAAGAAGCTCGAGAGCGACACTCACGAATTAATTCACAATTAATGTCTTCTTTCCGACCAATTACTTTGGATTTTAATGGCGATTCAATTGGTCATCAACATCTTCGTAATCATTCATCACCAACACCTAATTCATTTCATGTTTCCTCTTCCCATCGATCCCGTGAACCCTCACCGATGACTTTCCTACGTCGAACAAGTTCATTCTCAGATTCAGATGAATTCTACCTGAGTAATAAGTTTCGTCGACCCTCATCATCATCAACCACAACTACACCAACGACATCAACAACCAACCGATCATCGGCTATCGGTACAATTTTCAATGGATCTACACCGACAAGTACTAGAAGCTCAGCCAATAGCTATAAATCAGCTCGAACATGTTCAACACGACTCACTAATGGAAATAGTCAAGAATTAGATGATGACGAAGATGAAGATGATTTTGATTACAATAATACACTCAGGAAGATTAACGGTGAAAAAGACGATAATCTTGGCGATGATTTAACTTCCCGTGCCCAAGTTGTTTCGGAGGCCTTACAAAAACTCAAAGAACGTGCCTTACGAGAAGATTAATTAATTTCTCTCTCTCTCTCTCTCTCTCTCTCTCTCTCACTCCCAAATCTTTTCATTTGTGATACAATTTTACGCTTTACATATTAATTAATTTAAAATCCAATTACAATCAAGAAGGAAACGAGAAAACGTCCGCTGAACCAGTCAAAGGAAAACAATTAATGCAATCAACAAATTACTCAACTTATATATCTCAACAGTATAATTCAACAAAAAGAACAATTAACTAAATTATGATTAATGAAAAAGGTTTTCTTGTTTAAAACAAGAATCAAATCAAATTTAAATGATTAATTGATATTTTATGATGTGAATCTGATTACGAGAAAATCATAACAATAAGTTAATTGTTTATCTTACATAAGAAAATGAACAAACTATGTATTAATTTCTAGTCTATTGTTGAAAATCAATTGAAATCAATCAATTAAATAACTTTAAACAATCTTGTCTATTAAAATAATTTTACTTTGGGCAGTGTTTACAAAAGTTTTTCAACTAAAGTTTAGAGACTTGGACACCCAATTTATCACGAACTGCAATCAAGATGTAATTTTGTCTTTGATTAAACCATGAACAATATTAGCTGGTTCGATGACCAAAGTTGACCAAGTCTCCGAGGTTAGGTCACTTTCTACCTGTTTAAGCCATCGGTCAACATTGGTAAGGTTTGAAAGGTCAATTCCAACAGCGGAAGCCAAGGTGATATTAACACTGATTGTGAGATCGGCTAAAGTTAACGAATCACCAGCAACATATTTAGTACTTTCTAATGATTTATCAAGATCTTTAGCTTTTGTTTTGAACAGTTCAGCAGCTTCAGGAACTGGGGAATTTCCCCTGAAAATAGTTTCCAAATGAGTAACTAACAAAGTAAACAAAGTACCAGCGTCCCAATATAACCACCTGTTGATCGTGGCTCGAGCCTTGAGATCAGCTGGATAGAGTGAATTACCTGGGGCGAGTTTATCAACGAGGTAGGTCAGAATAGCTCGACTATCAACAGACGAGGAATAAGAATAAGAATCAAAATCAAAATCACATTCGAAATCAACAAATAATCAGCTGATTGTTTACCTTTCCCAAAGAGTGAAATCGCCATCAACAAGAGTTGGAACCACATGGAATGGATTGATCTAAATTAAAACAGAAAAATCAAACCAATATAAAAGGAAATAACAATTAAGAGCCTTTACTGAAATAATAAGATCGATAATGAATTTACAAATCGAAAACTCAAAGGATTCGAAAAATGTTCTTTTATCAAAAAGTTTAGCTAAAATTCGTATGAAACGAATAAAATCGAGCCTCATGAGAAATTCTGGAGTTGAGATTTCAAACTACGCGGAAAAAATTTCTTGAGAACCGAGATTCTAAAGGAAAGGGAAGATCAACAGAATCTCTGAGCGATTCTCTGCCCACAGTTTACCAGAATAATGTTTTCGATCTCGATAAGTTTTGCCTTTGCGATCTTGCGGCAGATCTCTGCTTATCTCTATCGTTAACGAAAATGAAATTTTCACCTATAAGCTGCTCATTGATTTCTGCTTGTTGGCACTTACCGAGGTAAATTCTGGCTTGAGGTTGTCACCAGCAAATACATCAATCTCCTTTTCTTCAACTTTTACACCGATAAGTTTAATTAAAACTCGAACTGACCGAGAAGGTCCAGATATTTTACTATGGTACAATTGGATAACCATTGTGGAGATTTATCAAAGAAAATAATTTTAACTTGGACATCAAATTAGAAAAAAATTCTTCATAATTTCGAGTGGAAAAAGTGATAATGAAGAGACTTTGATCCTCTATTGGAGATTATCTGATGTTATTGAATCGATTTATCCGATCAATTGATGTCGAGAAATCAATCGATAAAATTGAAAATTTTCGCGGAAGAAATGAAGCAGAAATTTCAAATTTCTCTTTCTTTTTCACTCTTTCTGTTTTTCTCAATTCGTAGACGATTTTAATCTTTCAAAATTTAAACTAAATTGTTTCGAGAATTAAAACTTGGACATACAATTAATTGCGAACCTTTGATTTAACAAACTGACCGAGATCTTTATTAGGTTCAACTAGTAAACTGAACCAAACTGATTGTGGTAAATCATTTTCTAATTGTTTCAACCATCGATTAACATTAGTTAAATTGTCTAAGTCAATTCCAACAGCAGAAGCTAAGGTAATTGTAACACCGATTGAAATGTCAGCGACTGTCAATGAATCACCAGCGATATATTTTGTCGCTTCCAGTGCAATGTCCAAATCTTTGGCTTTCACCTTAAATGCTTCGGCAACTTCAGGGACCAGGGAACCACCATGGAAAATGGGTCCATAATAAGCACCCAAAGTCGCATATAAAGTACCAGCGTCCCAATATAACCACCTGTTGATCGTGGCTCGAGCCTTGAGATCAGCTGGATAAAGTAAACTCCCTGGGGCGAGTTTATCAACGAGGTAGGTCAGAATAGCTCGACTATCAACAGACGAGGAATAAGAACAAGAATCAAAATCACAATCACGATCGAAAGCAACAAATAATCAGCTGATTGTTTACCTTTCCCAAAGAGTGAAATCGCCATCAACAAGAGTTGGAACCACATGGAAAGGATTGATCTATTAATAGTATAAACCATAATTAGAAATGAGAGTTAATCATTTGCTTCAATTTTGTGAAAATTTGATCAGTTGATTGTTGATGAACTTTAAATTGTACTTACGGAGATAAATTCTGGCTTAAGATGTTCACCAGTTGATAAATTAATCTCAATTTCGTCAACATCCAGATTAAGAAGCTTAATTATGATCCGAATAACTCGAGCGGGTCCAGATAGTTTATTATGATACAATTTGATGGACATTTCGAGGAATCGGTCGATCGAGAAAATTGTTTAAAACTTTGATGTAGATTGAAACTTTTCAATTTGTTGATTGTTGATCAACTGGTAAATTGATTGAGTATTTATATTAGATTTTAATTGTTTAATCACTTTCTGGGACCAGAGTCTGGGAGTGTTTAATTGTTAATCAATGCTCAGGTTCATCAGATTAATTGTATCAAAATGATCTTAAAGATTTGTTGTTCACTTTAATTGTTAATATTTATGATGTAATCTAGTTGATTCTTCATAATATCATATTAATCAAGAATCAGAAATACCATTAATTTGATTAAATCCAATAACAATCAGAAAATTGTAACTAGTAGCTTATGTAATGATTAACCTAAAAATAAACAATGTAATCAACTGAGATCAACATTCTTGAATTGATCACAATCATGATCTTAATCAAATTGATCAACAATCAGTTGGCTAATTAAGTATATAAATAATAGATTATGTTAATTTCAAATGAATTTTTTTGAGGCACAAACCATTGATTGGAAAAGTTTGTTATTTAATTGATTTACAATTCATTGATTGATCATGATTATCTAATTATGAGCAATAATTGTGATTCATTTCAAGTGTCATTCGTGTCATCAATGTTTCTCATTCATACTTGATAAGTGATTGATTTCATCTGATCATTAACAATTTGCTAACTACTTTTATATTGTAAATCAAAATCATGATGAATTTGTCATGAGCACAACAATCATTTCAACGATTAATGTTGAAACATTGATTGAGAAAAACTTTGCTAATTACCTAATGATAAAAAGTCTCGATTTGTACTAAGAATGGCAATTCAGAAGTCAAAATATATTATCAAAACGTTGGAATCTCAATATCGACACAAATTTGCGGTAAATTGAAATGAACGAGAAGTTTTTTATTAAGATTGAAACTTGAAACTTTTTAATAACAATCACAATTAAGAAGATGCGATTTTGGCTTTGATAAAACCACCAAGAGCATTAGCTGGTTCGATGACCAAAGTTGACCAAGTCTCCGAGGTTAGGTCACTTTCTACCTGTTTAAGCCATCGGTCAACATTGGTAAGGTTTGAGAGGTCAATTCCAACAGCGGAAGCCAAGGTGATATTAACACTGATTGTGAGATCGGCTAAAGTTAACGAATCACCAGCAACATATTTAGTATTTTCTAATGATTTATCAAGATCTTTAGCTTTTGTTTTGAACAGTTCAGCAGCTTCAGGAACTGGGGAACCGCCTCTGAAAATGGGTCCGAAATGAGCAGCCAAAGAAGCAAACAAAGTACCAGCGTCCCAATATAACCATCGGTTGATCGTGGCTCGAGTTTGTAAATCAGTTGGATAAAGTGAGTTTCCTGATGAATGTTTATCAACAAGATAAGTCAAAATAGCTCGACTATGAATGAGAATAGAAAAATCGACAATTAAACACCCGAAAAACAATTCGAAATGTAAACATTAATTCGTTACCTTTCCCAAAGTCCAAAATCACCATCAACCAAAGTTGGAACCACATGGAAAGGGTTAATCTAAATCAAAGAATAAAAGAAAATCAAAGAGACAATTAACAATAGAATCGAAATTGACAATCAAGAGCTTAACCAAATCGGATCGTTAATAAGTTTGCATCGTTAACTTTGAGGTATTTTCATCGATCAATATGATTAGCTGATCATTTTGGTTAATTGTTGTGATACTTACAGAGGTGAATTCGGGTTTGAGATGTTCACCAGCCATTAGATTGATCTCTTTTCTTCAACCTTTAAACCGAGAAGTTTAATTAGAATCCGAACAACTCGAGATGGTGGAGATAAATTAGCGTGAAACAATTGGATGGACATTGTTAATTATTGGGAGAAATTAACTAATTACGAACAATTGAAATGTTTACTGTTTGTGAGAATAAAGAAATTGATTGGTGACAGTTTACTAATTGAAAGGAATCAATGGAAATCAATTTGTATTTATTTCCATTATGGGAACAAAAATTTAATCATTTTCGGGCGTTTAATTGCTGGTGGAAAAAGAAAATCTAAATCAAGATAATTAAACAATCATTAACAATTTACTCTCATAAGGACAATTAATCTTCATCTTATCTAATGTACTCAACAATTATCCAATTGCTGGTTTACACGGATACGATGGTTAACTAATCATCTCCCAATATACACTTATTAATAGTAAATCAAATTCAATTCTGGTCAATTTAGTACATCTGATAAATTGTCCTCATAATAATAATCATCACAATTAAATTGCTCATTAATTTGATATTCTGGTTGTGATATTAATCTTCTAACCGATAGTTAAATTTTGCACTTAATTGGCTCAATATTGTCCAGAAATCAAGTTATCTTTTCATAGATTCAATCGTAATGATAATTACAATTAGTCCTTATTGTTGGTTATGATTAAGTTAACTATCCACACTAATAGTCCTAATTAAGGAATTGATTGTAATAAATTTCTGGTTTTAATTGTTTCCTCAATTTGATTATCATTGTAATATTATTGAGAGTGATTAATATTTAGGTTGAATAGATTATTATTTCAACCAGAATGATAAAAATAAACAGTAATTAATTTAATCTTACCTGGAAATTGCTGGCAATTTAATCAATTATTTGATTGCTAGTACTATCTCAGTCTAATCAACAGAAATTTTTGATATATTTTTGTGACAATCAAATTGAACAGTAATAATCAAGGTGACAATTTATATTGGAATCAGTGATCACCGATTAATTTGGCTACGAATTTATTTCATTCATTATCAATTGAAAACATAGTCAACTGTTGATAATTTAGGTTATCATTACATCAAGAGATTAGTTGATCATTAATTAGTGAGATGAAAAGATTGATCTTATTTTGAAGCTTTGGATTTAATAAAACCAGCAAGAGCGTTATTTGGTTGATCGACCAAACTTGACCAAGTGTCGGCCTTTAGGTCACTTTCTAACTGTTTGATCCACCGATTAACATTGGAAAGATTTGACAAATCGATCCCAAGATCGGATGCAAAGTTAATTGTGACTCCAATTGAAAGATCAGCGACTGACAATTTATCACCAGCAACATATTTGGTCTTCTCCAATGAACTGTCCAAATCTTTGACCTTATTCTTGAACACTTCACTGATTTCAGGGACCAGGGAACCGCCATGGAAAACGGGAATATAATAAGCACTCAATGTAGCATATAAAGTACCAGCGTCCCAATATAACCATCGGTTGATCGTGGCTCGAGCCTTGAGATCAGCTGGGTAGAGTGAATTACCTGGGGCGAGTTTATCAACAAGGTAGGTCAAAATAGCTCGACTAGAAGAGGAATAAGAAACAAAAATCACAATCGAAATCAACAAATAATCAGCTGATTGTTTACCTTTCCCAAAGAGCAAAATCACCATCAACAAGAGTTGGAACAACATGGAAAGGGTTGATCTAAATTCAGTAATGACGAGATTAAATCATTTGGAAATACCAATTGAGAATAAGAAGTTAATTGTTGTGATACTTACTGAGGTGAATTCGGGCTTAAGATGTTCACCAGCCATGAGATTGATCTCCTTTTCTTCAACTTTCAGTCCAAGATGTTTGACCAAAACTCGAGCGACTCGAGATGGTGGAGATAAACTAGTGTGAAACAATTGGATGGACATTTTTGAGTTCGAAAAAGAATCGAAAGTGGAAATCAAAAGGGAATATTAACCACAACGTTTATTAACGAAAGATCTTAGGTTCAACTTGGTTTTCTATCGAAATCTCTGACTATTTATATACTGAACAATTCTAATCTAATCTTGACGGAGTTTCACTTTAATTAGTAATTCTAATTCACCCAAATCTAGAATCTTCATAATTCTGAAATCATCTTGTGTGAATTTCAGGTACATCAAGATTAAATGTTCCAAGTTGAACTTGTAAGAAATTAGTTACAACATATCATTTGAAGATTAATTATCCTTGCGTTCAATTTAATAACAATTTATCACTATTATTGTGAGTTGTTTACATCTTATCACAAAATATTAATAATAAACCGATAATCATGGTAAAGATGTCAGAATCAATATTGATACTTTTGTAACGAGTTTATTTACATAAATTATTATGAAAATGAACAATTTTGATAACTTAAGCTATCGAAATCTAATCAATTGATTAGATTTTCACAATAACAGTTGATAAATTTGCTCTCTAAATTTGTAAAGCCTTTAGGTTGAACTAAACTCGACCAAGTTTAGAACGTTAGGCCACTTTTTAATTGGAATAATGAAAAAAAGCTATGAGTGAATGAATAAACTCTCACCGAACGTCACCAAAACTGTAAAAAGGTCACTTTTACCAAGGAAAAGGCTTGTACACGGAATCAGAAAATGATAATCTCAGAGAAAAGTGCTAATGGTTCATTTAGTAGATTCGAGAAGAAGAGTAAAGTTACTCATTACCCGGTGGCTTCTGGTAGCGATGCTCCAATCACCCGATCAGATTCAAATGATGAAACTCGAGCCGAAAGTGCTGAAAGAAAACCAACAACGTAAACTTTAACCAGTGAATCGAGTTGCTGGTCATGGTACCGATCAAAAGTTTAGTGACACTGATACAGATACTGAACCGTCGATGGGCTTTGGAAGTACCGGTTCAGGAGGTGGACTTTGGAAATTTCTTGGACCCACTGCTCCATCTTCAAGTAATCTAATCGATCGTCATAGATCATTGTTATCACGACACTTTGCTCAGATGATTTTTTCTCTGATGCTGAACCTTTCCGAACAATCTTCCACCCCTCAGCTGAACTCTCCCTGATAACAGATTCTCTTTCATATTAACAGATGACACCAGTGTTATTAATGAAAATTGTTCCAATAATATGAATAGTTGGATAATCATCTAGTAGATGGAAACTCTGGTTTACACGCAGAATCAATTGAATAGGGAAAAATATTCTCTGACTTGGAATTAAAATTCTGATCTAAAACTGTTACTGATTCATTGACAATCGACATCATCAGCAACTTCTCAAACTCCATCCTAATTGCAATATATAATTTCTGCGAAAAGTAATCAACAAATTAACAATTTTCTGTGCAATGGATATCGATTTAACTGATCCTGAATTGGAAAAAGCTGCAACCAGAATTCAAGCAACATTCAAAGGATACAAGGTTAGGAAGGAAGTTAAGGAAAAGACTCCTGAAAATGAGGAACAACCCAAAGAAATCCAGCGAAGTGATTCAGTAAGTTGTTAATTGTTCTATTATAAAAAATTCCAAATTCAATAGAAGAAAATTTATTCCATAAATGACTAGAAGATTTCGCTTTCCAACTAATTGGTTTGGAAAAGAAGAAAACAAATTCGAACATGAAAATGATCCCTAGTTACCTTTCACATTTAGAATTTTGTTTTTCTCTTTCATTTCATCTTTTTTTTTCTTCTCTTTTCTTTCACCAAAGAAAGAGAAAAAGAAAGGATCATGAATTCACATGAAACTCGAAGAAAAAATCTATTATTCGAAAACATATATTAATGATAATACTATTATTCTTTCTGCTTTGGTGGATCGATATTTTCTCTCTCTACTTCCCATGTAACTATCCTTTTCTATTACGATGTTACCTTTGTGAAAATATCAACATCCCAACAATGATGATGATGATTTATTAATATTAATCATCAGAATTAATCTTTAGGTAGTAAAAGAGATACATGGTTATCATGAATCTCTTTTTCTCTCTCATACTATTAACCAGAATTTTCATTTCGAAATTTTTTTCCTCCTCTCTTCCTATTCCCAAGAAAATTCTGGTTCAGGTCAGAGTTTTTGGTGAACTTCCCATGGAACATGATAACTTTATTTTCTGCCAATTCTTCAAAATTTTCAATTAGTATTCTCATAATGATGATAATCATCATCATCATCATCAGATGAAGATAATCACCATCAATTGATTGATTGATTGTTGGTCAATTAGTGGATTCGTGACTGACTTGATTCATTTTCATTAACCAATATCGTAAATGAATAAACAATCAACAAATTGATTAGATAAACAATTCTCAAGGATTAACAATTAAGAATCATTTCTTTCATTTCATTTTCAATTTGTTTATTACCATCAGATGATTAACCTTAATTGTAATCATTTAATTTAGTTAATTGTTGTTTTCCATTTTCTCTCCCTATTCCTTAATTGCTCAATATTTACCTCTAATTTTAATGCAATAATTTGATTATCAACATACAAATTGTTATGTGACTATCACAGTTAACCAATTGCTTCCGAATTTGATTAATCATATCAACATGCTAACAATTTAATCAGTCAGCATCATATGATCAACACAATCAGCTAATTTCATATCTATCCATTAATAACAAATAATCAAATTAATTATAATCTTAACTTGATTCTTAAATCAAGGTAATAATTTAGTTAATCATTATTAATGCAAACTTATGAAAAGCTAATCATTAAATTGTTTCATCGTTTATTAGTTAATATAAACAAATTCAGCAACAATTAAACATTGACATTTACCTGCAATTAACTAATAGCATTAACATACATACATATATGCCTGATGATTACAATTAATCATCAACAATTTAATATCTTATGAGTCTTACTTTTAATTGATCAAAACAACAAACACAATCACAATTACAATGAGTATAAAATTAAAATTATCCTTATCAAATGGATTATAACAATTAACTCTAATTGTAATTAGTTGATATTGTTTTTCAATGTTCTCATTAACAATTTCATCCCTTCATTTAACAACAATTAAAAATCAACCGGAGACAATATGATTTAGATGAATTAATAATTTTTCCTTAGTACCAGTTAATTGAGTTGTGTTTGTTTTTATTCATGATCATAATCAGCTGATTATCAAATTGTTGTTAATCACAATTAAACAACATAAACAAGTGAAACAATTTGTTGCCATGTGAACAATTAACCTTATTTCAGATTTTGACATTAACCATTGTAACTGAAACTTTTTCTGCTTCATTATAATTAAATTAATCTAATACATTAACAATTGTAATTGTTGTAATTATCCCTTCATGGTAATAACAACAACAACTCAAGACTCAATTTATGTTTTAATTAATTAAATTTAATCAACAAAAACAACAACAAGAAGAGCAAAAAAAAACTGGTCAAGTTGTCACATAGAAAAAGTTTTTCTTCATTCTTTTGCTTTTCCAAGTTGACAATTTTTCCCTGATTGTTAATGGTTTTTAATGATTACGATTATTATTGTTTCTGACAATCAACTAGACTATGATGATTAGTTGATTGTTAAATTAAATCAACTCCACCCAAACATCATTGAGAATATGAAAATTTGTTTTTTTCACCCACAGACTAAATAATAGTAACATACAAATATGATATATGTTCATACAACTAGGCGGAAACTATTCAGATTCATACACTTGATAGTATTTAAATTGTTCATTATCATGATGATGATCATGATGATGATTATCATCATCATTGAGTAAAGTAGGTTATTGTTATTATTGGATGATAGTACAACAATAAGATGTCAAATGCAAGGTAAAAAGTTGTATCAAAAGATGATAACTTTTGGGTGTTATCATTGATCACTATCAAGGTAATGATAATAAGATGAGCAAATTGACAATTAACTGTTACACGATAATAATCAATCTGTATGCAAACAATTAAAGTTAATCAGGTAAAAGTGGAGACTAAATATTTTTACTCTACTTTTTGTTTAGTTAATAGTGATGATAATTGATTCTGATTAAGCTTCATGTCGATGGATAATTGTATTCAAGACATGATGATGATGATGATGATGATTTTGATCATCATCATGATGAACCTTAAAACTAAATTGGTTGATTGTTTGCTTGTTAATTCAAATTAGTTGAAATACAATTAGGGTTAGGCAAATACTACAAGGCTACTTGGATTTGAATGGAAACTGTTAATGAGTGTTTACTGAGAATTACATGAAATGGAAACTGAATCAATGTTTAGAATACCTGAGAAAAAAAATCTCATGGTTACACTGATTTCTCATCAGTTTTCATCATGAAACATTTCGTGATGATAAAATTGATGAGAAAATGGGAAGATGCTAAAAAAAGAGGATAAAATCAAAATCTAAAATGAGAAACTTATTCATCCATTGATTCCCAATTTAATGTAATTTTATTCAGATTAAATGTTCACAATTCACAATCAAACATTTACCTTTATTGCATTTATTTTATCAGGTGATTATCATCATGATCACATAATCATCATTATCTTATTGAATTTCTCACTCTCACTCACTCACTTTCTCTCTGTCTGTCTCTCCCTTTACTTTTCAGATCGATATCGATTTAAATGATCCTGATGTTGAAAAAGCAGCGACCAAGATTCAGGCCACTTTTCGAGGATACAAATCACGTCGAGAAGTAAAAAAGGATTGATACCAATTCCAGTTAATTAATCATAATAACAAAAAAGGTAATTAAACTAATTATCTTCACTTATAATTACATATCAATTGTAGATGATCATCTTGCTCATCATCCTCGTGATAATTATTATCCATCTTGGTTAATGTTTATTATTTTTTTCTGTTAATATTGTTTTGCTTTTTACCTTGAACTGAATTTCATTTCCTCATTCTGATCATGATTATCATGATATTACATCAAAATCCTGTCATCTTTATCTTCATCTTCATCCTTTTTTTTTCCTCCCTGGTAATTATCAAAATCTACATCTTCCTTTCATCTATTCACCTTATAACCTCTTCACATTTCTGCTCCATGATTTATCCCCTTCTGTTCATCAGAATCAGAATCATGATAATCTTGAATCAGTCAAGGCTCTACTTTTTTTATCATCTTCTTTCATCATCTTCTTTTTTTTTCAATTAAATATCAAAGTCTAAAGATGCTGAGAACATGTTAGTCTATCGTTATTTCATTTTTACTCATTCGTGATGCTCACAAAATCTTTTGCATCCTCATCACTTTTACCACAATTACCATTACCTTTTCCACCTCCACCATTATTATCATTTCAAATTCTCAATTCCCTCCCATTTGATTATGAATTAACTGGAAATTTCCTAAATTCTCACAATTCAAATTCTCAATTGTGATCGAAAAACTTTTCGTTCACAATTGAGAATAAAAGAGAAAGAAATTTGTTCCAGTTCCAATTCTCATTGAAAGGAAGAAATATTTTCCACCGTTGATTAGTTGATCGAAATTACTTTTAATTATTGATTTAATTAAGAGAAAAGAACAAAAAAATCACCATTAGAATAACTCAGAATAATCTAATAATAACTGAACAGGAAGAGAAAGTTCAACAGATTGAGATTCATGGTGATTCTGAATAAGAGATAAATACAAACATTAGTTACTATTAACCTTTCATATCTCCTAACACATTGGCAATTAATTTAACCAGAACTTTTTTTTTCCTCTTCCATTATCATAGTTTAATCATTAACTTGATCAATATTGAATTATTCAATTACCCATGACTATCATGATGATTATCACGATTACCTTTACAAATTAGAGTAATATAATCAATAAATTTCTGTTACTCTTTTCTTACTGATTATCTTGATTACTTAAAATAATCATCAACAATATTATCATTAATGTTTACTATTATTTTATAAGATTAACGGTTAATTATCATTACATTTATAACAATTTTTATCTTGGTAACATTTAGTTATTATTACACTTGGATTTCAATGATATCTCATCATGAAATCATCTCATGATTATTGAATAAATTTCACCAATGGTTAAATATTAATATTAATTGTTCAACGTTACAATTTATTGTAATAAATATCTAGAGATGAGCAATTAGTTTGATTATTATCTAGTGTTTGTTATTGTTGTTGTTGTTGTTGTGATTAACAATATAACAGATCAATGGTTGTGAGATAGTTAATTGTTGTTGATAATGTGAAAGTTGATCAACTAAAATTCATTGGACCAAAACTGATTATCACTGTTTGGATATTGTATTGATACATGTGTAAGGTTATTAGGTCAATAGGTTAATCATTAATCATTGATTTAATTGTTGAAAAATTAGTTAATTTCTATGGTTAGTAAATCAATTTTCTTTACATCAACTTCAATGAAAAGGAAAAGCAAAAAAAAAACCAGAAACTTTAATCCAACTCGGTAAATCTATTGGTTGATTGTGTTTTGATTATCATCAAGTAAATTTGATCAACCGATTTTGATTGATGTTGATAAAGTTCAATTAATTATCCATTGATTTTCATGATGGTAGTTTTATCGGTGAAGGTGTAGATGATTGTTGTAAACTTTTGACTATCGATTAGTTTTATCATGATAATAATGATGATGATGTTCAAAAGGTAGAATCAGTTGAGTGAGATGAAACTGAAATGAAGGAGAGTGAGAGAGATGAAGATAAATTATCATCTCTCTCTCTCTTCTTTGATTATCTCTTGATTCCAACTCAGATTTGGGTGATTTTCATGTCATTCCAGGTAGGAACAGGATTGAGGATGGAAAAGTAAACCTCAGATTAATTTCAATTTGTATCCCCTGTCATTCACAACTGAATGTCCACCTTGATGTAACATCTCAAAGATAAATAACTGTCAACCTTATCCATCTCTCTCTCTCCTCCTCCTCCCATTCACTCACCATCATGATGATGGTCATCATGGTGCTCGAAACAATTTGATAACAATTTAATTGTAGTTAAAATTGTAACATTACGTTGTAGTATCATTATCTAAAGGTAATAATGATAATGTAACAATAATAATAATAAAAAAACAAATACAATAATAACCATGATAAATTGCGATAGGAATGATTATGTTGATGGTCAATAAAGGATAAAGTGACCAATGCATTAAGAAAACCATTTCAATCCAATGGTCATTTTCCCATTGGATAACAATTTCATCATAATATTATCATCATTGATTGTTGATTTCTTATTAAAAGCTACGTTTAAATTTGTTTTTCCCTCTATGATTTTGTTTGTTATTTTACTTTTTTTTTTGATTGATCGATAATCTCATTGATTGAAACTTGTCATCATCATGTAATATTATCATGATTGTTATGATTAAGATCATTATGATTGTTGTTACTTTTATTGTCTTTGCTTATTTATACATCTTCATGTTATTATCTGATTCTGGCATTTCCTCTGAATCTTGAGCAACTTTTTTCTTCCTTTTTCTTTCCTGATTCAATTTCTGTTATAATCAAGATGAAGAAAACCATATAATCTGATTAAATCTATACAAATACATCCCCTTGAATCCTCATCCTCATCTTCATCTTCATCTTCATCTTCATCATCATTGAGCATTCAGAATAGTCTAAAAATATTATTGAAATAATCACATTGATTTGTAATGATAGCAAATGAATTTGAATCAAACTCAATCATGATGATAATCAATGAACTTGAGATATTTATCATCCTCATCTTCACCTTTATTTTCATCCTCTCATCATCTTAGTACTTGATCATCCTGATCATCATCAAGTATCATTTGAAATCAATTTGCATCAACATGTAAGGGAAACGCTTCGATTAGGCTTCTCTCTCCCCAAATTATTTAATTGTAAACAATTAACTATTTAAATTCTCTCTTTTCCCGCACAATTATTATTAACCAATTACAATTGTTTACCTTCAGTATATTTACCTGTTCTTCTCACCTTAAACTTCACTTGAAGATTTACTCTCATTCTCTTCTAAGTCAACCCTTTTTCTATTTACATTGGTTACTCTAAAGGTTAATCCCTTTACTTCCTCTCTTTCCGTTTCCTCAAGTTATTTACCTGACCTCTACTCTCTCTATGTGTTTCTATTGTTAAATAAAAGTGATTCGAATTGTCAAACAATCTCTCAACTACATTAGCGCTATCGGAATCACGGTCATCAGACTATGAACCGCCGCTCTAATTGTTAGGCCTTAGCAGTCGATCGTTACTTCGGTGCATTTTTGTAAGGGTGCTGTACCTCATCCCCGTGAATTAAATTAGACCTTACAAATGGTGGAGATTCCTCATTTACTTTTATAAGTTTTGACCATTTCTTAACTTGTAAAAGGCGAACGTGGTCAATTTAAACAACCTCGTTTTCTACTAATAATTAGTGTGTATCTGAAAGTGCTATAAGTTAAATGAATTGACAATTTATCAAATCACGAAAGTGGATCTTTCATCATCATCCTCATCCTCATCAACTGAGTTAAAATATCTCTCTCTGTCTAAATCAAAGTCATTACCAAATTTGAGTGAGTCATTCATCGAATTTTACAACCATCACATCAATTATAAACAAAGTATTCTCGATTGGACATTCAACGATTCAACAAGAATGATTGATCCTGAATCAACAGTTACTGTTTGCGATTTCATTGCTGATCCAGCGAATCGAGAAAAATTGTGTAACGTTTATGGCCTCAAATTCAATGACGCTCAACAAGGCAAAGCTTACATCACAAGAGTCATCCGTGAAGCGATGACTACACAAGCTTACATTTGTGGTTCGATTGATTCCTATTCCCTCATCGATAAAACCTTAAAAGTCGACCCTAAATGGCTTGACTGCCCTGAAATCTATCGTCGCATAAGAAGATGCGGTATTACCGAAGAAAATCTAAGAAAATTGATCAAAGAAGACGCTCTTGATGAAGGTAAGAGTCTCGAAAAAGAATTTTTGAAAGATTTAGAGTTCTCGGCAATACAAATTAAAAGGTATTACGAATGTTTTCCAGAAACTCCTAACCCACAAGGTCAAGTCAATGACGACGAAGATGACTTTAGTGATGGTTATGAGTCTCCAAATACTCACAATCAATCATTTTACAACCACAATCAAACTGTTAATAATCAAAACAATGATCAACAGTTTATTAATCGCCCAATTAACCCAATTAGGTTAGCCTCTAAGGCCATTCACAAACCGTCTCCAATCCCTGAAGGTTTCAAATTCAAATCAGTTATTGAAGAATTTGCAGAAAAAGGTAATCTTACCTTTTCTCAATGGCTCAATAAATTAGAGAGAAGAATTTCCCTCATGGAAATTCCCGACAAATTAGCAATCAAAACTCTTTGCGCTCAAGTTACTGATGAGATTCATAAATTAATTGATGAGATCCTAAAAATTAATCGAAACATTAGTTTCAAGAACCTAGTAAAGCTAGTGAGAGATAGCTTTGTAGGAGAAAGAGAAATAGCTGACGCTACTGAGAAATTATTTAATAAGAAATTTACCAAAAACCTTAATCCAAGTGATTACGTTTTTGAGCTCACTGAAGCAGCGAGATTAGTTATACCTGGTATACCAGATAAAGGAATTATTTTCCTGATTTTTCATTTGTTACCAAATGATTTAAGTTTCTCATTAAGACACAATAGCGCAATCAGTTCTCTTGATAAATTAACAAAATTTTTGATAATTTATGTTAATAAATT